CGGGATCTCTTACTCGGACGAGGTCTGGGAGGAGTCCCCGGTCGTAGATAAGGAGGCGGATCACTCTGGTTTGTGCGGTTTGCGCGGTTGCTTGTCGGAGAGGGATAGCGCAGGGCATTCATGGTGAGACCGTGCCGTTGAGATGGCTCAGGCTCAAGTGTGTCTTCAGGCTCCGATGTGTCTTCAAGCTTGGGTGTGCGCTCTGGAATCGTGGGGGAAAGCATAAGACTCGGCCCGCCGGGGATCGGACCGGCTAACGTATCATCATCAAACTGGTTCTCGAGCAGGTCTACCAACTCTTCTTTATCGTCCTCATCATCGCTTGTTGGTTCCTTTTTTATTTTTCGGTCTGGGCTGTATGAGGGACGTGCCGGTGCTGGAACACTGCCGCCGAGTTGGTGTGGGCTGTATCCAAATCCGTCGCTGATGTCGCTGTCGTCGTCGCTGAACTCCTTCTTTATGGGACGATCTTGGCTCTGATTCCAGTTGATCGGCCGGAACTGGATTGGCGATTGGGGCTCTCTCTTGGGCAATGGGCCTGGTTGAGTGCGTAAAACCGGGAGAGGGGGCTGGATTGGGGGGATTGGAGGCCCTGGCTGGGATTGTGACTGTCGTGGTGGCGGTGGTGGTGTTGTGAACCGGTCGGGCCAACCTCTAGGGAGAGTCGGGGTTGGGATATCGGGGTTTGCTCTTCTCGAGTCATCATCGTCGTCGTCATTGTTGTCATCATCGCCATGATCAGAGGGAGTGCGGCCTGGGGAAGTGAAGCGGCCAGGCCAGCCTGATGGGAGAGCCGGTGTTCGGATGTCGGGATTTGCCTTTTTGGAGTCGTTGTTATCATCCTCACCATTATCATCATCGTCGTCGTCATCACCATCCGGCACACCCTTCTCATCCTTCTCTTTCTTCAAACACCCCCAAACAGTCCCACCATTACACCAAGTACGGCACTGCGGGCACACAGGAGCGGGCGGGGTGTGATACGCATCCAAGGGAGTAGTATCCGGGTCGAAGCCGCTGTCCGGGTTGTCCAACGGGATAGGGTAGCTGGGGTCTGCGTTCTGCTGGTCCCCCACGGGACGACTGCCGCAGCTACCATCCGCCCCGAGTACCAAATCATCACTATTGCCACAGTCCCAGGCATCCGTCTCCTTCTCTTCCTCTTCCTCCTTCTTAGGCACATGCTTATTCTTGAGGGAATACACCTTGCTGGGATTGAAGTTATTCCGACGAGCGGTGCCACAGATCCACTCGCCCTTCTTTAACTTCCCCCTCGCCTCCTTCTTCACCTCCTTCTTTACCCCCTCTTCCTCCCCCTCGCCGTCGTCGTCGCTTATCCCCAACAACTTGACCGGGTGTCCGTCATTGCCAATAACCACAGCCACCGGCTCATTGGGGTCGTCATCAAATGGGGGGAAGGGCCGCGGGGCCGGCGGGGTCTGGTCGATGAGGATGGGGGGGTGGACGTGGTCATTCTCGTCGTCTTGGTGGTCGTGTGTATTGTGGCCCGCATTACCGGAGTTGGTATGTTTATTACCGGAGCTGGTATTTCCGCTCCCGAACCCGGTACTGTAACTGGTATTGTTACCGGACCCGGTATTACTGGAGGTATTATTCTCACTCCCACTCCCACTCCCACTCCCACTCCCACTCCCACTCCCATCACCATCACCCTCCCCAGCCCAACTAACCCTCTTCTTCTTCCCCTTCCCCCTATTCCTCCTCCTCTCCTCCCTCTCCCGTTCCCTCTCCTCCCTCCTAATTCGTTCCCTCTCCCGTCTCTTCCTAACCTTCTCCCTCTCCCTTTCCCGTTCCCTCGCCTGCGCCTCCGCAGCCGCTCTCTCCCGCGCCCGTATCAATTTGATCGGCGGCGTGGGCTGGATTACTGCGCGGCCGTTTTCGTCGAGCATGAGGAGGGGTTCGGCATTGTGTTGTTGTCCCTGGTCTGAGTTGGGATCGGAGCTGGGGAGGCCGTTGATGCGGCGGACGCGGCGGGTACGGCGGGGGGGTGATCGGGATGATGGGACGGGTATGGGTAGGGGGGTGTTGTCGTTGGCGCGGCGGCGTTTGGGAGGGGGGGGTTGGGGGGAGCGGGGGGTAGAGGGGGAGGATGGGGGAGAAGGGGATGCGGAACGGGATTCTCTAGGTCGAGTTCTCATTGTTGCTGTGCTGTTGTGTTGGTGTGATTAGATTGGTTTTTTGTATGGATCATCACACGGAGCGAGTCTCATCAGGCCATGTGTGCTGTCCTGATTTTGTCTTTTTGACCTGACTCGACTCGATATGGCTCGGAGTTGGCGCGGTTGGCCTTATACTTGTGGTTTGACGAGGGACAATGAGACAATGCGAGGGGAGTGTTTTGTGAGGAGGTGGACAAAGGGCTATTAATACAGGATAATGAATGCGAGTCGGCGAGTCTTGTTGTCTTTGTCTGCCTTTGAGTCTTAAGGGTGTATGGGTAATTGGCCATACTTTGTTCAATTTTGTGAGACTAAGGCTGTATTGAATTACCTGAGTTAATAGGTATCTGAGACTCGTAAGTCCATTTTGTAAGTTAAGTAATTATTTTCTCAGGGCCATACCGTACCCAAAGAACAACTTCAGCGTGACTCGATCAAAGGACTGTCCTGTGGTACTGCCCCGAGACCAACAAAGACAAAGAAACACCATCATGTCCGTATATGAGACTGCCCACGTTAATCTCGGCCATTTCCGGAATCGCCATCTCCAGAATATTTCCCAATGCGGTCTTGCTAACGATCACCTCTCCGATAAAGTCTCCACTATCAGAGTCCAACACCCTTACCACCTGCGACAAAAAAATAAAAAAGGAGAAAAAATAGGAGAACCATCCACAACACCACCGACACCACATCCGCCCAGCACTACCCCCACAATGCAGCGCCATCCATTCCCCGACGACGACCCCCCCTTCCGCTTCGACTTCCGAACCGCCTCAACCCCCTTCCCCCATGACCAATACCCCCCTCGCGAACGATATCAACCCCGCTACACATCCTACACATCCTACCCACCCTCCACCCCCTACCAAACAAACCCAAAAAACCCAGCAAACTCCACCACCACCAGCCCACCCTATCACACCCTCTCCCTAGTCATCACTTTGACCCTCTTATTTACTTACTACCGCCGCGACCTGGGCCAGTTGCTGCTGTATTGGGCGTGGAGAGCGCTGAGATTGAATCCGTATCCGTGGATGGTGCCGGAGGTGTTGAGGGCGAGGGGGGGCGATTGGTTACCTGGGGAGGGCTGTGGGAGGGATTCTGAGACTGGGACTGAGACGGAGACGGAGACGGGGTCTAAGAGGGAGTCTAAGAGGGAGTCTAAGAGGGAGTCTAAGAGGAAGCACCATACCCAAGTTAACCCTAACCCTGATTCTGCCCCTGAAGCAACAGCAACAGCAACAGCAACCCCTGAAGCAGACACAGACACAGGCACAAGCACAGCTGGTCCAGCTGCGGGTACAACACCCCCCAAGAAAAGGAGCAGCAAGAGGAGTCCAAGTACGAGCAGGAGCAGCAAGAGCGCAAGTACGAGGAGCAGCAAAAGTCCAAGTCCAAGTCCAAGTACGAGAAGGAGAAGGAGCAGCAAGAGTCCAACTCCCAAACCAACCCCCCGAAAAAGCCAAAGACCTCTAACAACCCCCAGCCGGTACTGGTCCACCCTCCACGCTTTACACCCTTCTCCCTCCCACTCCCCGCACAACCTCCCCACGCTAATCCATCTCCTCCTCACTTATATCCTCACCTTCCTCCTTCTCTCCCTCCTCCCTGCCTCAGTCGGCCTAGGGTTGTCCTCGCTGCTTGATACCACGCTCGGCACGCCATTGCGTATTTATATCCGCCTCGCTGGGCTGTGCACCGCTCTCCGCTACAGCCTGCGCCTAGCGAAAGTAATATGGCGGATAAGCTGGCTAGTAGCCCTCTGGATAGCCGAAGTCGCCACCGAGGCAGGTCGGGAATGGATGAGGGTAGTGAGGGAGAACTGGAGGTTGGTATGGGCCGGATGGGGGGTTTGGTTTGGGTGGGTGGTGGCTAGGGGGGTGGTGGGGGTTGTGGAGGAGTGGATGGGATTGGGGGTAGGGGAGTATGGGGAGGATAGGGATGGGTGGTTGGTGGAGGTGGGGTTGTCGCTGGTTGCTGGGGGGATGTACTGGGTTGGGGATTTGGTGAGGGATTTGGCGAGGTGGTTGGGTCAGACGTAGATCTGTATTGGAGACCTAGCCTAGGAGGATATATATTAGTGCTCGTGATAGTGGCGTTTGTCTGTTACTTCCCCTTGCGGGTAATACCCCCCGCCCCCGTCTCAATAACAGTATACCCATCGGCATTCCCCTCTCCCACAGCCGCCCGCTCATACGCCTCATCACTCCGATCACACAACACCCCCAAGTCCCGCTCACTCAGCACCTCCTTTTCCTCCCCGGACAAGTTATACACCTGCCCATCTTTCAGCAGTAAAGCCTTGAGCGTCTCCCGGTCCAGATCCTCCTCCCGCATATCCATCTTCTGCCCCATCGTGCGGAACCCCCCCTTTTTAATCACCAGCTTCTCCAACCGCCGCTTCGCATCCGCACTCATCAGTAGTTCCTCCTCGACTGTGCCCTTGGTAGCCAGCCGGTAGACCACCACCGGCCGTGTCTGTCCGATGCGGTGCGCCCGGTCTTGGGCTTGCAGGTCCTGCTGCGGGTTCCAGTCGCTGTCGAAGAGGATCACGGTGTCGGCGCTCGCGAGGTTGATGCCCTGCCCGCCGGCGCGGGTTGACAGGAGGAAGAGCTTGCGGTCGGGGTTGGTGTTGAACTCGTGGATTTGCTCGCGCCGGTCGTCTTGGGCGACGCCGCCGTCGATGCGGCAGATGGGCCAGTGGCGGAGGCCGGTGCAGTAGTCTTCGATGATGTCGAGCTGGGTTTTGAACTGGGAGAAGATGAGGACTTTGTGGCCGCGCTGGAAGAGGGCTGGTAGGAGTCGGTCCAGTAGTAGCATCTTGCCTGACGAGGTCACGATGCTCTCGTCGATGGGCTGTGCGGTGTCGCTGGCCCAGGGGTTGTAGAAGTTGTGCGGGCTGTTGCAGACGAGGCGGAGCTGCAGCAGGGGGTTGCCCAGTTTCTTGTTGGAGATTTCGCGTTCTACCTTGTTAGTGTTTCTCAGCCAACAAGAGAAGCAAAAGAAGGGAAAAAAACATACTAGCAACCTCAAGAGTCTGCGCCCGCTCAAAGTCCTCCTGACTCGTAACCACCTCCTCCACCTTAACCTCCCCATCCAACTCTTCCGCCAGCTTGGCCTCAAACTCGTCGTCATCCAGCAAATCATCGTCCGAATCCGCCTCAGCATACGACTTGCGCCCCCTCGGTCGGCCCCGCGCGCTGGCCGGAGTCGACTGTCGGCTAGACTTGCTGCTCTTCGGCGCCGGCGACTCGGCCGCTGGGCTTTTTCTTTTAGCCCCCTTTTTCGGTTCCACGACCTCTTGTTCCTTCGGCTCGGCCACCTTGGACCGACCGCGCGGAGGCGGCTTGCCCATCATCAGACTGAATGCGTTCTTTACCGGTGCTGCACTTTTCGACTTGGAAGGGATAGCTTTGTCTGGTACCGCAGACGCCTTCTCAGCCGCAACCCTCTTAGTCTCAGGCGCCCTGGCACTGCTCGACCTCGACGACCGCGTGCTCCGACTAGGCGACGGCTTCGTGAGCCGCTCAACCACCTTATTCTCCAGATACGCCCGCGTATCGATATTCTTGTCATTAATGACATTATACAGATCCGTCTGCTCCTTAGTCATCGGCGCATACAACACATACTCGCGCTTCTTGGGCAGGTACTTGGCCACATCCGCTTTCACCCGGCGCAGCAGCAGCGGTTGCAACACGACATGCATCTTCTTGACTAGCTCTTGCTTCGTCTTGTCGGCGATGAACTCCTCGGTGCCTTCTTCGTCCTCTAAATCGCTGAAATCAAACCAGCTCTCAAACGCCTCCCAGTCGCGGAAGATCTTGGGCAGTAAAAAGTTGAGCAGCGACCACAGCTCTTTGAGGTTGTTCTGCAGCGGGGTACCCGTGATCAGCAGGCGCGTGGCCGAGGTGAACGACTTGAGCTCGCGGAAGAGTTTTGAATCGAAATTCTTCATCCGGTGGCCCTCGTCGATAATAATAAACTCCCAGTTGATCTTGGACAGCGCCGCGCGGTCCTTCAGCACCATCTCGTAGCTCGTGCACACCACCGGGAACTTATCCGTCGGCCGCCCGCCCTGCAGATGGCGCGTGATTTGCGTGCGGAAGATGTCGCTGCGCTGTTGGGGTGTGCCGTGGTACATGACCACGGGGATGGACGGGACCCATTGGCGGAACTCGTCCATCCAGTTTGACAGCGTGCTCAGCGGGGCCACGATGAGGTGCGGGCCGAGGTAGTTTTCCTGTTCGCGGAGGAGCGCGATGAGGGAGATGGTTTGCACCGTTTTGCCTGGGCCGTTAGCTTGAATCTTAAGGTAGTGACAAAAAAAAGGAAAAGGAGAAAAACCTACCCAACCCCATCTCATCCGCCAAAATCCCACTCATCCCCTGAATACAAATCTCATACATCCACGTCAGCCCCTCGAGCTGATAATCCCGCATCGTCCCGCCCACCAAACACTTTGGCTGCGTCGCCATCGTCAAGTCATGCTCGCCAATCGTCTTGCCATCCAAGCTCGTGCCCACCCGCCCCAGCACTTTGGTCTTGTTGGTCAGGATACTGCTGAACGCCGCGCTCTGCGCCAGCAGCTGGTCGAGGTCTTTGGCTTTGGCCTCGCGCTCTTTCTTGCTGAGGTCGCCGTGCTTCTTGTTGCGGCCCTTTTTGCGCCGTTTGTCTTCGGCTTGGTTGTTTTCGAGTCGGGCTTTTTCTTCTTCGGCGGCGAGGATCTGTTCCTCGCGGAGTTTGGTGTAGCTCATCTTGGGTTTGTCGTCGTTGTTTGCAGCCCTGTTTGGTGGGCTTCCGGGGGCGGTTGGGGGTGGTGAGGAGGGGGTGCTTGTGGGCAGTCGGGAGAGGGAGTCGCCGGAGGAAGAGGACAATGCATATGGCATGCTGGGCAAACGGAGTCTCCCTTGAGCTGAAATTAGGGAGGTTTGACTCCGCGCAGATTGGACAGAACGTTTAGATTCACCGGGGAGAAATTAGAAATTATTTAATTTGGCACGAAAAGGCCAATTGTAAGAATTGAGTGTTGTCAAGAATCGAGCACAACGGGTGCACTCCAAGATGGTGTTGGGTGGACGGACAGAAACCGAGGCGAATGTAACGCGATCCACGCGACGGGGGGCCACAGGAGACAATCGACGACGCGTCAAAGACCCGCGCAGTCACGGGCCAGGGGCAAAACCCATTAAAATTCCGTGCTAAGGCCCACACTCGTGCTCCACTTTTGTTTCTGCCCTGATTTCCAGGAGAGGAAAATGCCCCTCGTTTGACTCAGCAGTTGCCCCGCCTTTTTTTCCAACCAAAATTGTTCGTCAATTTACCCCACCACCCCTCCAAGCTCAACACACACACGACCGGCGAAAGCTCACCTTCACGTCAACTTTCCCAGTCGCATTCCCTCCTGCGACAGAACCTCCCAAACTGTCTTTCCTCCGAGTTGCGGCGCGCCGGGCCCCCGTCCTGCGAAGCATCTCCCTCGCGCGTCTCGTGCGATTCCCAACAACCGCAATTCAAACTCGATTCCGACCCCATCTTCAACAACACTCCCACCACACAAAACCCATCATCATGGCCTCCCTCACCACCCAAACCTACACCCCCTCCGAAACCACCGAGATCCAAACCTGGCTCACCAAAGCCACCACCACCCTGCAATCCCCCTCCCCCAGCGACCTCGACGCCCTCAATACCGACCTCGCAACACGCACCACCGCGCTCGGCACCAAGCCCAGCGAGGCCGACATCGCCCTGTACAAAGCCCTAGCCCCGTTGGTCAAGACATGGACGGCGGAAGAACGCACGGGGGAGAGGGGACGCCCGAATATTGTGAGGTTGGTCGATTTTGTGCAGAATAGTCCCGTGTATGAGGGTGGTTTGAAGCTGGCGGAGGGGGAGAAGGTGCAGGTGGATGTGGAGGAGATTTTGTGGGTGAAGCCGATCGTGGATGCAAAGGCGGAGAAGGAACGGTTGAAGAAGGAGAAGGCTGCGGCTGCGGCGGCTGCTGCCGCAGGTGCCGGCGCTGCGGGTGCGGGCGGTGCTGCTGGAGGAGAGAACAAGACCCTCGTCGACCGGACAAAGGACGCCGCTGCTGCTGTCGCCGACAAAGCCGCCGAGACCAAAGACAAAGTCGTCGCGGCCGTGGCAGGCGGCGAAGGCGGTGCGGGCAAGAAACCCAAAAAAGAGAAAAAAGAACGCGCCCCCAAGCAACCCGCCGCTCCCCCGGCGCCCGTGGTTCTCTCCCCATGCCTGATCGACCTCCGCGTCGGACACATCCTGAAGGCGATCAAGCACCCGGAAGCGGACTCCCTCTACGTCTCGACCATCGCCATGGGCGACCCGGCCGGCACGGACGACACGACGGAGCACGAAGGCCAGGTCGTGCGCACCGTGTGCTCTGGACTGAACGGATTGGTGCCGCTGGAGGAGATGCAAGGCCGCAAGGTGGTGGTTGTGTGTAACCTGAAGCCGGTTAAGATGCGCGGGATCAAGTCGTCGGCTATGGTGCTGGCTGCGTCGCCGCGGATTAAGGAGGGGGAGGTGGACGATCATAAGGGGCCTGTGGAATTGGTTAACCCGCCGGCGGATGCCAAGGCGGGCGAGAGGGTGTACTTTGAGGGATGGCAGGGGGAGCCGGAGAAGGTGTTGAACCCGAAGAAGAAGATTTGGGAGACGTTTCAGCCGGGGTTTACTACGACGGAGGGGCTGGAGGTGGCGTTTGATGCTGGGGTGGTTGAGGCGTTGGAGGGGAAGAGTGGGCTGGGCAAGTTGGTGACTGCTAGTGGGGGGGTGTGCAAGGTCGCTTCGCTGACGGGGGCGCAGGTGCGGTAGATGTGTTTACATGGTAAATACATGTTGCATGGTGTAGAGTATGAAGACCAAACAAATAGACCAAATCAAGTTCTATCAACGTTCTCCATTTCCTACCTGTTTGAGATGTACATGTTTACATCGTGTAGAGCATGGAGATCAGACAATAAGATTAAACCGAGTTATATCAAAATTCTCCAATTTTCTGCCCTCATTTTCACAACTTCAGCAGTCAACATATATACAGAACACCCCACCATAACCCCCAAGCCCCTTCCACACCACACCGCACTCATAAAGCTGATGCGTCGTCCTCAAATGTGTCGTCCCTAATGCGTCGTAGCACTAGGAAGCGGCCCCACCGTAACCCCCCCACACACTCCCGTAGTAGCCGTCACCGTTGTCGTCGGCACAACACACTCGGCTGTACAGCCCGGGCAGTCTGCGGTTGCGGTGACTGTGGCGGTGGGGGTTTTGGGGCAGCAATCGGTGCTGGCGAGTTGTTAGCTACGGTGTGAAGAAGATGTAGTGGTAGGTTGGGAAAAGGGTGATGGGCCTTGCCCGAGTAAGGTATTTAGGATCAAGGAGCGATGATTGATTAGGAGTTGAGTCTTCTTTTCAGTAAGAGACCTACCTGCACGGCACCTCGACGGTGGTCACCTTGATGTACGGCGGGCAAACAACATGGCCCGTCGGCTCGACACACTTGATCATGGGGCAGATTGCTTTACGTAATCAACACAGTTAAGTCAGTTGTCCTACTCGTCAACAACCTGCATGACTGCTCGAGATCTCCGCGAGTCCACAAACCCCGGGACTCAACCAGCATGGCGTAATCAAGGGACAGAAGGACATACAAGGAGCAACGGTCTCAGTGGTCGTGGCGGTGTAGCACAACTTGGGGTCCTCGAGATACTTGGAGCATGTCTTGGGGAGGCCGGTCGGGACGGGGCCGACGGTGTAGGTGGCCTGGTTCGTGATGGCTGGCTCGGGGGCGGGGGCTGCTGAGCTGGGACAGTTAGGGTGAGTAACGGGGTTCCTTGGAGGGTACAATACTTACCTGAGGCCGAGCAGACCGAGGAAAAGGAGGGTGTTTTTGAGGGTGAGTTGCATTGTGAGGTTGGCTGTCTGTGGAGACTCAAATGATCAATGTATGTAAGTGAGTGATTCAACTAAAGTGTGACAACTAAGTTAGTGAAAATAAGATCCAACTTAATCTACAAACCACCAACAACCATCTCAACCCAGAGAGAAAACCTCCCCTTCAAATACCTCTCTCACAACCTCCTTCTCACCCTCTTCCCCCCAAACCCAACCATCCGCTCCAACAAAACTCACCGCCCACATCGCCGAGCCATCCGACGGACAACCTCCTCCGTCAACCCTCCTTTCGTTCAATCTTCCCCCATCACCAACACCTCTCTTTTACCCGTCTTACGCTTGACACGGACAAACTCTGACCTTGCACAGTTGCACCCCGAAAAAAAGCCAACCCAGCCCGACCAGCCACGAATGCCCTTTTCAGCTTTGACGTTGGCCCAGAGGCTTGGCTGGATGGATGGCTGATAGGTTATCGTGTGCAGTACGACGAAAGGAAAGGGAAAGAAAAAGAGGAAAGGAATATCAGGTTCCGAAAACCTGGGCGGTTGCGGAAAAACTATAACTTTTTTTTTCTTGGGTTGCTTGGCGCGTATGTGGCTTGCAGGTTGGCTTGCAGGTTGCTAAGAAAAAAAAAAGGGAGGAAAATCCGTATCCTTCCGCGAGGCCAATTGTTTATCCTGCTTCTCTCACGCGGTCAATATCTCCCCTGCCATTCCCACCGAGAACCAATTCTCCCCGACCATCCGGCCAGATATGCCCCTTGCCCCCAGAACCCCTACACGTGTACGGATGCTTCCTATATTATATTTCCGCGCGCCTATCACGCCCCAGACCACCAAATCTCCCCTTCCCCCAAAACCAAAAATAGCACACCCCATTCACACCGGTTACATTACCCATCAACCGGGTAAGTTCACCTCCCAGCCCGCCAAGCGAAACTCTCTTCCGTCCCTTGCAGGACGCCACGACGGACACGCTGTACCACAATACTTGGTACACAAGAAGGGAGTTGGGAGTTCGTATAATGCAAACGGTAAGCGAAGGGCAGAGAAAGGACAAGAAACAAGAAATGAAGTTTATCCGGTTGGCACAACTCTCGGCATGGTTGCTGTTGTTGTTCATGCCAAGATCGGGGTTGTGGGGGATTTGAAGTGCCGTTGGATGTTGAAGGTAAGATCGGATCGGTGGTTTGAAGGGAAGTTTTGGGGTGTGTTGAAGATGCCGATGAAAATACCGAGATGTTAATTCGTAATGTCGTATCCGTAATGTTTATTTATCTGAGGCAAACTACATAACCAGCAAAAAGTCCGAGGTTCATCCGGGTTATTTGTCCTTTCTTCTGGTCAGCTGTACGTACGTTCACATTCTCAGGGAAGCCACAACACAACCGGTAACACCCCATTTCATAGTGTCCCACAAGGCCGTATGTCGTACACCACACACAAACAAGACACACCCATCTTCAACTCATAATTCATCTCGATCTATATCTCTCTCTCTTTCTCTCCTCTTTTTATCTTATCTTGATACACCAACAAGCCCCAACCCCAGGCCTGCCTCTCATCGTTTCATCTAACGTACTGTACATATACACATGCAATGCATCCATCCCCCTAAACCATCCATCCCCCAACCACCACCCACCCATCAACCCGCCCAATCCACCCCCCGCAGCGCGCGTCTCATCTTTTCGTCACAAACGCCCCGCCGGTGATGTGATGTGATCATGCCAAAAAAATGTAAGTCGAAAGTAAAAAAGAGGAACCGCTACCGAAATAGCCAAACGCCTGTCTCCGGGGTATGGAGATCATCATAATAACAAAACAAAAACAAAAACAGCCCCACAACACCGGGTGAGAATGCAGCCGCTCTTCCCCTTCCTTCTTTCTTTTTCCCCCCTGTTCATGGTACATACATACAAGACAAAACAACAGATATAGGGGGGTGGTTAGACACAAGCAGGCTGAACGACCTGCAAGAGCGCAAACACAGCACTAAGAGAAAAAGTACTTGCTCTCCTTAAGCTTAGTCACGTCAAAGTCGCCCTTGGCCGGGATCTCCGGGAAGGTCATGGGCATCCACAGTTCGAGCTTCCGGACGGTCTTGGGAGATTTCTTCTTGTCGAGCATTGTTGAGAAGTAGTCGGAACTCTTGCGTATGTCGCCGTCTGCTTTGGTTTGGTCGGCTTCTGCTTCGGCGCCGGCTTCCGCTGAGGTTTCAGTATCGGCTTCGGCTTCGGCGTCAGCCTCGGCATCAGCGTCGGTGGCCCCGTCTTCATTCTCGTCTGCTGACGCCGTCATGCCATCGCCATCTTCGTGGTCCGCGTCGCTCTCAATATCCATCTCGCCGTCCATATCGGCGTCGATGGCTGCACCCAGCGTCTCGGCATCGGCATCAGCCAACAAATCGCTCGGCTGCACCTCGTTAAGAAGCATGTCCGGCGTGGCGTGCGCGTCAAAGATGCTGGCGGGCGTGACCATGGCTTTCCCCTTCTTGACCTCCTCCGGGTCGTCCGAGCTCAGGAGTTTCTGCCGGCAGCGCTCGTCGATGAGCTCTTCGCGCGCCGTCTTCTTGTTGAGCTTGCGGTGCTCGGTGATGAGGCGGCCCGTTGGGGACTTGGCGGCGACGCTTGCGCGGTAGATGGCGCCGCGGTACCGGGCTTCGAACTCGGCCTTGAGGCGGCCGATGACGTCCTCCTTGTGGATGCGGATGAAGCAGTCGCGGAGCACCGTGTTCATGCGGTCGATGTCGCCGGCGTGGGTCCAGAACGAGTCGTGCACGGCGGCAAAGGTGAGGCCGGCGGCGCTGCACTCGAGGGCCGACAGCATCATGTGGCTTGCGTCGAGGGAGTGGATGAAGTTGGGGGGGAAGGCCTGGAGCTGCTTGCGGCGGTTGACCGGGTCGTCGCGGTCGACGTTGCTCAGGACCAGATCCTGCAGGCAGGTCGACACCAGGCGGGTGCCGCTCTTGCGGTAGGGCTGGACGACGGGCATGCGCAGCGGGGTGGTCCAGACGACGGTGTTCCGGAACTGGGCCTGCAGCTCCTTCTCGGCCGCCCTGTCGGGGTTTTTGAGCGCGACCCTCCTGACGTAGGTTTTACGCGACTTGCCGAAACGCGCGTCGTCGCCCAGCGCGTCGATGATGCGGTCGAGCTGTTCCTGCGTGATGGCGCGGCACACCCGCCCGCCGATCTCGCCGAGCCAGTGCTGGATGTCGTGGGCGCCGCGGAACATGGTCGACATGGCCAGGAACACCTTGCCGGCCAGGTAGGTCGAGAAGATGCCCCAGGGGGTGTTGGTGTCGGTCGCCAGCGTGGGGTACAGGTCTTCCAACTGCCGCTGCAGCTGCTTCTTGGCGCCCATAAACGTCACCCCGTACACGTTGGTCATGACGGGCTGCTTGACGACCTTGCGCGTGATTTTGCCATCCAAAAAGGCCGCAAGCTGGTGGCCCGCGGCCTTGTCCTTCTCGATGCCCTTTTGCACGAGCTCGGCCACAGCCGCGTAGACATCGGCCGGCCGGTCGCCCGGCAGCAGGTTCACCTGCGTGGCACCCCACGTGTCACCGCCGAGCGCGGCGTAGTGTTGCAGCCCGTTGCAGGTGCCGTCCTGATGCACCGGCAGGTGGCAGACGTACGCGGCCGGGTCCGGCGACGTCAGGGCGGCTTTCAGCTCGAAGCAGGTGGCCAGGCATTGCCAGGGGTCCTCGGCCTCGAGCCACCACTTCTTGCCCGTGAGCGGGTTGTCGGCCGCATCGAAGATGTCCTCCATGTGCTCGACCGCAAAGTCCTCGCGCTCCTTCAGGCTCGCCTTGTCGAAGCCGTACACGTTGGACAAGTGCACCTTGAGCCACTTGAGCCCGGCTTCGCCGAGCGGTTTGCCGTTGGCGAAGAGCAGCAGGCCACGCATGTGGTCGGCACCCATGTGGTTGAGGTAGGTGGGCATCGGGTACGCGCGTCCGCGGAAGTCGATGTTGTGGGGGAAGTAAAAGGTCTGGTCGCGGAAGGCCCGCGCAATCTCGAGCTGGAAGTTCATGAAGCAGCGCACCGAGTGCAGGCCGATCTTCTCGCTCTCGGCGGCCTTGACAGCCTTGAGCCAGTGCCGCTTCTTCATCGGGTCGTCGGTCGAGTCGGGCTCCGGCGGGATCGGGATCTGCGGGTTCAGGGCTGGCAGGTTCGCAAACTCCTCGCCCGTGTTCCAGGCCTCCAGCATGACGTTGAAGACGGAGTGGTTGATCTTCCAGGCCGTCTTGCCCAGCACGTCCAGCCCGCGCATCATCTGCTCCATGTCGCCGCGGTCGATGGCGGCCTCGGCGTAGATGCGCTGGTCGATCTCGTTGTTCTTGAGCCGGATCATGGGGGTAATGGACGAAACGAAGCCGCCTTTGTCGAATTTGGTCCACGGCTCGGGCTCGACGACCATGGGCAAGTGGCGGGCCAGTGCCTCGCCGCGGGGTTCTCGCTTCATGAGGTCGACCAGGTGGCGGTTCGGCAGGATCACGCCCGTCTTCCTCCCCCTCTTGAGCTGGACGGCGTGCGTAAAGGCGGCCTGCAACTGGGTGATTCTTTCCTTTGTCTCGGGGTGCTGCCCGACAGCCACGACCTTGGCGGTCTCGATGAGGGCGCTCAGCAGGACGGCGCCGACCTTGGTACGGATGGTGATGGGCCACCGGGTTTCGTTGGTCTCGGGGGGTTCGATATCGAGACCGGATTTCTTCGCTGCAGCAGCTGTGTCAGGCGGGGTGGTCAGCGGTACGGTCGACGGAGGCGTGCGGCGGTTATAGCGGATTCTTCGCCGAGCGGACCGCTGCCAGCGCGCCATCAACTTACTTGAGCGAAGGTTCTTGGTCATGATGTAGGTGCGAATGTCTTCCTCGGCAATCTTGGCCAGGTTCTGCACCAGACCGGCCACGGGCACGCCTTTCTCGCCACCGTTCATGGCGATGGTGCTGAGCATGCTGAGGATGGTGACGGCCGCCAGACGGCTGGCCGGGGCCTGGAGCAGATGGGGGCCGTAAATGCAGCGGTCTATGTCTGTGTCGGTCTTTTTGGCGAGGTTTTCGGAGACGTCGACTTGTTCTTGCTCGTGGGTCAACCTGGCCTCCAGGGCTTGATGCCACTGGAACAATTTGGAGTTGAGGGAAGGATCGGACAACTGCGAGTTCAAGCCCATTTTCATGAGTGCCTCGTTCTCGTCCCGCCACCGGGCTAGGGCCGCATCCACGCAGTCCCTCTCCAAGCGGGCCTGGACCTCGCGCCGCTGCGAGTTGGAGAGCGAAGCAATGTTCAGGCCCGGGGGCAGCTCGGAGAGCAGGGAGAGAGCCGTTTTGAGAGACTTGAGGCCCAGGCCCTTTTGTGGGGTGCTGAGAACTTCGGGTGTGCGGACCTGTTGATCACCTGCTTTCAGGCCGTCAAGGCCGGGGATGGGACCATCTCGGTCACCGTCTCGGTCGCCGTCTCGGTCACCCAAGTCAGGCTCCTCGACAGGGCCGGCGTCGTAATCCTCCTCGGTGGCCACGACGTCCAGGGATGGAAAATCGGCGGAGAGAGCCGCCAGATCTTCATCGCTGAGAACGTTGCCGAGATCGACAAGTTCCGAATGGCTGTTCTTCTCTAGCAGTTCGATGTAGCGTTGTAACAACACCTTCCGGCGGGGGCCCTCGGAAGCGAGCAGAGTCGCCTTGAGCATGTAGGCAACCGTGATAGGCTTCAACGGCAACTCGGGGCTGCGGATCTGCTTCTCGAACCACTTGTGGAGTCCATCCCCGAGCTCCTTGTTCTCGGGCTCTTCCGAGAGCTGGGCGATGCGGGCCTTTAGATACTGGTTGTGCAGTTTGATGACTTGTTCCGGGTCAACCAGGTTGATCCTGTTGAGCCGGGCGAGCACCAGGGAGGCGCGGTCCAGTCTGCCGACCTGAAGGCAGGCCTCGAACACGGCGACCATCTCGTCGTAGTCGCCGGGAATGCCGTTCGGGTTGACGCGTTGTCGTGGCGGGGCAGATTTCTGTGCTTGAAGCACCAGCGGGTCGGTCGGGGCGAAGGGCCGGAGCAAGTAGAGGGGTTGTTTCGGCGCATCGTCGCCTGACCGGTAGGCTGAGCGGGCTAGCCCGGCCGGTAGACCCCGGAAGGGTACATCATGCCCTGTGACTTGAGGGCTGCCGGCGGAAGTGGCTATGTTTCGCTCGAAGCTGTCCGGGCCCTTGGGCGGAGCAGTCTTTCTCCCAGGCCGCGGGCCGCCGTTGCTTGTGGTCAGAACCCGGCGGCTCTCAGCTAAGAGGGCAACGGAGCATCTTGACGAGGCAGACCCGAGGAGGGGTCGAGACGATACGAGGCAGCGAGCAGGTACAGGCTGTCGAATGGCGGTCCGGCGGACAAGCATCGTCAGAGAGAGAGGAACGGAAGTCCCGAGGCCGCGCGCCAGTGCCGGTGCCTCGAGGTTCCGGGAGAAGAGGGGGCCGGTTGTGTGTCTGGCGGGGGAGGGGGATCTGCTGAACAAGCAGAAAATCAATTCATTAAGATAACAGGGTTTGTTTTACACAAGAAGAAATAAAGGGAAACGAGGGAAAAAAGAAGAAACAGCCGGCGAGTCGCACGGAGAAAGAAAGTCGCGGTCAACTCGTCGTCAACCGAGGACAGCTCATGCAAGACGATGGGAAAGACAAGAATCGCCGGTTGCTTTGGTCAACCGAACGAGGTTAAAAAGACGAAAGTTTAGAAAAATCGACATGCCGCAAGGTGGAGGGCCGTTGTGAAGAAAAAAATCTGGATTCCGTGCTTCTGATTGGGCGGATAAGAGAGCTCCACCTGAGCTGTGGAGTAGCACGAGCCTCGAGTCCCGCAATCCCGCTTTGAAAGTACTGCAACTTTTACTGAGCATTGCAAGCGCTGGGCCAGTGGCGAAGGCCATTGAGTCCCGACTCCATAGGTCTCAGCGTCTTTACTCTGTCCTGTAGGCGTTTTACGCGGCTCGAATTTACGACTTCTCGAACTCTCCTCAACAACGTTGAACCACAACCCATCATGTTAAGACCATCCGCAGCACCCGCTTCGATCTTGCGGGCTGCCCGTTGCCCCGCGTGCAGGGCATCTGCGGCCCGTCCATTCATGTCCACTTTTGCGGCGCGAGACCAAATATCGACAAGGACAACAGCGAGGTCACCACAACCCTCTTTATTGCCTCGGACAAGCACAGCAGCATTCTCTGCTTTCCGGCCGTCCCCCAATCTACTGAGGGGGCCCTCCATCGAAGAGCTCGCCCCAGCAGAGCCCAGTGCTGATGTCGAAAACACACCAACATCTGGTTCCTCCTCCTCAGCAGATTCCCCCCCAGACAAAGACAAAGATGACAAACCCTGGTACCTCCAAGTCGAACCCCCGCGGCACCCAACCCTCCTACACACCCCCTCCACGCTCCCCTCTCTCCCCTCCTCCCCCCCCAAGATCCTCCCCCTCCTCCTCCCCTACCTCGCCGACGACCTCGGCCTCGACGCCCTCTCCATCCTCGACCTCCGCACCCTCGACCCCCCGCCCGCCCTCGGCCCCCGCCTCATCATGCTCTTCGCCACAGCCCGCAGCGAGCGGCACCTGCACGTGTCTGCCGACCGACTCGTCCGCTGGCTGCGCGGGCGGGGGATCGCGGGGGATGCGGATGGGTTGCTGGGGAGGAATGAACTGAAGACGAAGTTGAGACGGTTGGCAAGGAAGGCGAAGTTGTTGGGGACTTCCGGGGTGGTGAGAGGGGGGGATGATGGGATTAGTACGGGGTGGGTGTGTGTGAATTTGGGGATGGTCGGGGGGTCGGTGCAGGAGGTGGTTTTGAGGGATGAGCAGGGGAGGACGACGGGGTTTGGGGTGCCGCAGACGGGGGAGACGGTGGTGGTGCAGATGATGACGGAGGGGAGGAGGGAGGAGTTGGATTTGGAGAGGTATTGGGGGAGGAAGTTGGAGGGAGCGCGGAAGAGGAGGGAGAGGGATGGGTTTGTGTTGGATGCGCCGGGGGAGGGCAGGGCGACCCAGGCGTGGTAGATGGATCTCGGTCGGTTAGGTTATGAAAAGAGGATGAGGAATAGATAGTCAGGGGTCGGTCAGAAACGACATGATATGTACAACAATGTAAACAAAAGACGTATACATACAAATATACCAATGCAGCGATGTCCCAAATAAAACATGAAATCCCAAGTACCAAAACTATACACCCACCCTTATAACCTCGCACCATCCCTCATCACCTCCCTCAACATCGGCCCAACCTGCTTCCGACTGTGCTTCACCTCCCTCTGCCACCATCCCACCCTCAATCCCCCATCCTCATCCCCTCCATCACAATCCAATTCCCCAACCCCCCACCTCACCAACCCCAACACCCCCCCAAAGCTCTCCCCAAACCTCCTCACCACCATCCCCCCCTCCTCACTCACCCCCCACACCAACAACTCCCTCCTAAACCCCCTTTCCCCGTCCCCTTCCCCTTCCTCGGTAATATTCGACGCCGTCATCACAGCGACAACATCCAACTCCTGCTCGTGTGCCCAGCGCCGAAGGACATGTAAAAATGCGGTGCGGTTTTGTGTGTCGATGTGGGTGAAGAGATAGGTTAGGTTGCGGACGATGGAGGATATGCCGAGGGTGAGGCGGCCTTCGGTCCAGCGTTTGTAGTCTTTGCGGAGGAGGTCGTGGTAGGTGAGAGAGGTGATGGATTGTTTGTGATGGGATAGGAGGGAGTGGTAGTTTTCGCGATTGTAGGAGGAGGGGGGGTTGGTGTCGTTGTTGTTGGTGGTATTGGGGGTTGTTTTTAGGGGTGAAATTTTGGCCTCGGCGAACTCGACGGAACGGATGTCGGTCTCGGTGGTTTTGTCTTGCGACATGAGCGTCGCGGTGTCGATGAGCATGGGCGCGAGGGCGAGGTGGGCGAGTTGGGAGTCGCAGGTTGTTGCTGTCTCGTCGTGACAGGGAAGAGAAGAGAGATCGTCCCAAAGCGACCGGTACCGATCCACGACGAGACTCATACAACTCCCACATTTGGCAATCACGCGTGGGTTGCCCGGGGGCAAGTCACGCTGCGCAGGCACGACACCCTCGTCGTCGTGGTGGTCGATACAGCCGACTACACGGTCTGCGAAACGCGAGGCGAGTTGACCAGTCAGGGCGTTGTGGTCGACGAGTAGCCATTGTGTGTCTTGGGGGTGTAGTGGTGACAACCCGTCGTCTGGATCTTCGACTCCCTGTTTACCCTCGCTGCGATCTGCCACCGGCGGGAGGTCGGTCAAGGTGAGCAAATCATCCGGTTTCAAGCCCGCTGGTACCAGGGCTGCGGTCAGTTCCGGGCGTAGGGCGAGGTCTGCACGTGGGAGGTGGGAGAGAGGAATGTGCAGGGTGTGGGGGGCCGTGTGGGTGCGGAAGTAGGCGAAGAGGACGGCCGAGCAGAGGGAGTCCAGGTCTACATACGAGTTAGTTAAGTTCAGGATATGATATTGGGGTTGGGTTGTTGAGTGGTGGGTTATTACCTGCAGACTCGTTGCCGATGACAAAGGTCAGAGGTTTCGGCCGCTGTGACGGGGGAGCGCGGAGGGCATTCCGGGCGGCTTGAAGGAAGGATTTGAGTGAGTGGCGGGTTGGGGGCATGATGAGTTTGCGGGTTGAATGTTTTGCAAGTTGAGTTTGAGGTTCGTCCCAAGTATCACTAAAAGTGACATGAATTAGGGCCGAATTATGGTTCAGGCTTTCAGTGAGAATCTGTCGGGAATGAATTGCTCACTCTCCTACCGGCTCTGAAAATGCCACTTGCTGCGAGTTACTCAAATAGAATCGGGTCTACTATCCGTCAAAGTCAGGTAGAGGGATGTCGACAATTTCGTTGAATTTAGACAAGTTTCCAGTCGTGAGTTACAGGTTCCATACAACCTAGGACACCCCACTCACGTTAACGGTCCTGGCCCGCTCCGGCTCCGGTCGGCTCGGCTGTTCTCGGCGCAGGGTTAGGGTTGTACGAGTCATCAGGCACTCGGATCTCCGTAAGCCGCTCCCAACCTCGACCTCCGCGCCGAGATAAACGCCGATATCGAAGTGAGATTCCATCCGAGTTCACTCACAACTACGGGGTCAACCAAGCCTCAGAACAGCCGCCAGTTATTTTTTAAGTCATTTTCAAAATCAACCCCCCTTAAATTTTCCGATCTTTCTCCGGTATTTTGCCGTCTCAGATTTCGACCGTTTACCATTCTCCATCAGCTCTTCCCCAAAACTACACCAGTGACCATCATGCCCCTCCGCCTCGCCATCCTCGAAGCCGACACCCCCGTCCCGGCATCCAACGCCCGCTACGGCGGCTACCGCGGCGTCTTCCGCCATCTCCTCACCCGCGCCGTATCCCCCATCCCCCTCGACTCCGTCGTGACCCTCACCGGCCACGACGTCGTCTCGGGCGACCCAGCCACAGTCTACCCAGACCTGAACAACATCGACGCGGTGCTGGTTTCGGGTTCGAAGCACAATGCGTTTGGGGATGATGCGTGGATTTTGGGGCTGGTGGAGTTTGTGGGGCGGGCGCTGGCGGATGGGAGAGTGAGGGTTGTCGGGGTGTGTTTTGGGCATCAGATTGTGGCCAGGGCGATGGGGTTGACGGTGGGGAGGAGTGAGGGGGGTTGGGAGGTGAGTGTGACGGAGACGGGGTTGACGGAGAGGGGGAGGGAGGTTTTTGGACGGGATGTTTTGGTAGGTTTCTGATTTCTCTCATTTTATTTTTATTTTATTTTATTTTATTTTATTGCAAAAGTAACGAACACTGCTAACTGTTTAGAAAATCCAACAAATGCACCGAGACATCGTGTTTGGGCTCCCCGACGGCGCAGAACTCCTGGCGTCCACGGAAAAGTGCGCCAACCACGGCTTCCTCATCCCCAACAAGGTCATCACGGTCCAGGGCCACCCCGAGTTCACCGACGACATCATGGACGAGATCCTCGAGCTGCGGCACGCGTCGGGGGTGCTTACGGACGCCGAGTACGCGAGCGGCAAGACGCGGAATAAGCAGGAGCATGACGGGGTGTTTATGGCCCAGGTGTTTCTCAAGTTTTTGCTGGATCAACAGCAGGGCTAGGTAATCAATAGACATTAATCGTCACGGCAGTTACTCCGTAGAGTTGTTTAACAGAGTACGGATGACTCGGCATCGCCGAAGGATGCTCAGCATGTGTTGGCGTCTCAGACAGTGTGATATCATCTCCGCCAAGCCGATCGTCTGGCAATCGCCGTGGTGATCTCTCTGAGACTCTTTTGCTCACGCGGCCGCTGCTCAAAGTACGATCGTCCCCATCTCCGCACTTTATCGTCCGAGAGCGGAATTGTCTCGTTGAGGACTCACTCCGGTCTCCCAATTTCTCACCCTACGAGGGTAGAACGCCAAGTACGTGTTCACAGCACCGAGACAAATGCGACATCACCAAGAAACAATAGCTTCATGTTAACATGAGGACCGTCATGCTACCTGTCCGTCCCGTCCCGTTTCCCAACCATGCATCCATCCCATTGAACGCCCAGGAACCCAATGCAACCGCAACCGCAGCGCAAACCGTGTCCAGCCATCATCCAGTGTGCCCCCGCCCAAATGCAGAATCAGGAACTAACTCTTCTTCCACCGGGGTATCTTCTAACTTGGTCGCTTCGACAACAAACATGAGTAGTAAAAAAAAAGAAAAGAAAAGAAAATAGTAGAAAAAGAAAAAAAAAGAAAAGAAAATAGTAGAAAAATAAAATAAAAAGAGGGAAAGAGAGAGGGAGAAGGAAACAGAGCCGCGTGGCATGCATCATACATGTAAACCAAAAACAACCCCCCACAACCACAACCACCCGCTAAAATGCTGAATGCACTCCCCTCGTCCACATCAACATCAAAAATCCGAATCATACTCCCCGACCACCCCATCCCTCTCATAAGCCTCCCACCATTCCCTTTCCCTCCCCACCGTCGCAGTCCCCCTGCCCGTGTTGCCCATCCCCCTCATCCGCCTCCGTTCCCTCTCGTCCTCCACCTCCCCTTCCCTTCTTTGTCTCGCCAACCGGCCATCAACTAGCATTTCCTCCCTGGTTCGGCCAACTGCACCGCTCCGGCCGACTCGGCGGCGGTCCCAGGGTCGGGTGTCGCCTGTTGTCGCTGTTCCTATCCTGCCTGTGTCCGTGCCTGTGTCCGTGCCTGCGTCTGTGGTTGTGATGTTTCCGTTTTGGTGGTTGTTGTTATTCCTCCTCCCGGCCACTAACGAAACCACAACCCACAACCACCCACCAACCCACTCCCACCATGCACACCACCTCCCCCAGCCCTGTTGAGCCCTCCACCCCCATCGCCTCTTCAACCCGTTCCAGAACGTGCCCACCATCACCCTGCCCTCGCTCAACGGACACCCGTTCTGGCCCCCCCTCTGCTGTGCCTGCTGTGCCTGCTGTCCTTCCTGTCCATGCTGTCCTTGTCCCTGCTGCTGCGACTGCTGTCCCTGCCGTTGCTGTGCCTGTTCGGCAGGAATCTCTTGCGGCTGCACCCTCTCATACCGCCACGGCGTCTCCCTCGCCATAAACAACCCACAATCCACCGCCCCCTGCACACACAAGCTCAACAACGTCACAATCAACAACCAATGCGGCGGTTCCTGTGTCAACGGCTCATCCCCACTAGCACCAACCAATCCCCCCGCTAACCCCGCAGCCAGTCCTCTCAACTCCTTCCCCCCTGAAAATCCAGCCCCAACCCCCAACCCAGTTCCAGTTCCAGTTCCAGTTCCAGTTCCAGTTGCGGTCCCAGTTCCGGTTCCGGCAGCGGGGTACATCTGAGACTCATGTACATGTCGAACAGAATCATCGTCATACCCAAGAATATGGGAGATGAAAGGGAACAGCCAGACACAGACGTATACGAGGGGGTAGGCGAATAAGGAACGGAGTTGGCGGAGGGTTTTTTTGTGGTTTTTTGTGCGCACGGGGGCGTCGTCTTCGGCTGTGTGGTCGTAGGAGCCGTAACTGGAGTAGTGGTAGCTGTAGCTGCCGTGGCTGGCGTAGTGGTAGTGGTAGTAGGAATGAGAAGCGGTGCGGGAATCCGGGTAGTCGGAGGAGTCGTGGGGGGTTGTTGTCTGGCTGTGTCTGTGGCTGTAGCTGTGACTGTAGCTGTGACTGTAGCTGTGACTGCGGGAGACAGGGTTAGGGTTAGGGTTGGCGGTAGTGGTCGTATGCTTCCCCCCCGGAGGCGTAAGGGTAATAAGGCACGCAGGCGGCGATGAGGGGAGAATAGGACAGGAATCGGGTGCGTCGGCGTCAACTTCGGTCGTTGTCCCGATTGTTGCCGTGTCTGCTGTTGTGTCTGCTGTTGTGTCTGCCGCCGATGGAAGGAGGGTGTCGGCTGCTGAGGCTGCTGCCATGGCTGTGTCGAGGGAGAAGGACCGCGACGTCAGCGGGATGTTGTGGCGATGCTCGGGGATAGAGCGCCGGGATTGGAGGGAGAAGGTGCGGCGTCGTTCGGTAGGGCGGAGTTCGCCCAGGTCGTCTTCCTCGGTCTCGTCTTCGGTTGGTGTCGCTGATGGACCGATGGTCATGATGATGGGTCGGTGGGCGCGGGTGTTGGTGTGGGTGTGGGTGTGTGCTGCGGCTGGTGGAGATAGAAAAGTGGGTGAATTAGGCGAGTTCGGCGCGATCAGGTCGCTGGTGTCGTCGGCTGGTTTCCGCGGGCTCTGACGTGCTTCGAAGCCAGACCAGTCCCATTTGATGAACGGATCCGGAGCGTCGACGCTTGTCGGACGGGTCGGAGCCAGTGACGACGCCGGTCGTAGCCGGTCCTTGGCCGCGGCGATGGTGTCGGTGGCCGACGTCCGGCGTGAACACATCGACGACGGGATCAGCCCGTTGTACACCGATCCTGTCCTGTTCGAGTCTCTCCGGCTTCCCCTCCTTCCTCCGCTTCCACCTCCTCTTCCTCCCCCCCTCGAGTGAATAGCCTCGGACCGCCTCCTCCCAAAATCTCCCATCCGCTTGCGGATGTACAGATAAATAAACGCGTAAATAATCACAATCGCCACCGTGATCATGTACCGCGGTACCCAGCTCAGCGCCAGCCGCGCCCAGCTCCGATCCGTCCGCAAGTAGCAGTACGGGCCCATATTCTCATACCCATTCCCATTGATGAACGCCAGCGACGCGGCCAGCAGCGGATACAAATAAAACACCACAAACGCGAACCGGCGGTACGGGTACAGTCCCGAGCGCGGGCGAAAGATGTACATGAGCGAGTGCACGGCTATGAGCAGCACCGCGATGTCAGAGGTCTCGATGCCCACAGCCAGGGCAAAGCCAGTGACCTGGCAGAAGGCCGAGTCAGAGTGGACAGTGCCGCGGACAAGGTTGACGATGGCGAAGAGGACCAGCACAGCCGACTTGAGGAAGTCGCTCTTGATCAGCAGGAGGACCAGCCTAAAATTCATTAGCACAACGCACAAAAAACACCCACGACCAAAATCCGAGAGACGGGAACCCAACTCACTCATGCCGAAAACTCCGCCGCATCCTCACAAACCAGTACAGCGTCGTCAGCGTCGCCAGCACGCTCACCGACGCAAAGGTCACCGACAAGATCAGCAGCACTTGGATGATGTACGTGTCACCGGCCATTTTGGACGGGTATCGCGCCACCAGCTGCCTGACCTCCCCTGTGGCTGCTGCCCATACTGCTTCTGCTGCTCTCGCTGCTGCCCCTGTCGTCGCTGTTGCCGTTGTTGTGGTTGTTGATGCTCCATGGCTGGAATCGAGAAATGACATCCCCGAGTCTCTCCATCCCAGTCCCGTCATGGCACAATAACAAGTCTCCCTTTCCCTTCTCTCTTTTCCTTTCCCTGTCTCTTTCGTGTATGTGTTGTTTTGTGTGATTCAGGGCAAGACTATATCAGTCCAGCCTTCCAATGATCCCCCGCAAGACGTCGGTGCATGACGGCGGCCGATCTGCACCTGACGATGTTCCGTGTTGCGCAGGTCCGAAGCCGAACAAGTAGTGTCTTTATTACTTTGTTGATATATGTAGTGTTGCAGTGTACTGTAATTGTCGAGAACAAATAAACTCTGTCTGCGGAAAACCAGACACGAACCCGGGACTCGGGGGTCTTGGTGGGTATTTAAAAGATGTCCGGATTAGGCACACTGTCGGTGAGATGTGAGACAGCAAACCGCCAAATAAGCACCCCCGGATCGAGGCTCGGGACTCGGAAGGCAAAACCCAAGACAGGGCAATCAAATCAATGCAGGGCAAGTAATAGCCAGGGTAAGGCAGGCAAACAAACAAGAAAAAATAGGTCCAGTTCCGAGCTAATAGGTTCCTAGGTCCCTAGTGTAAGTCCATAGGCTAGGTCACAGAATAGGCAGGAAAGAGGGAAACCAAGCAAGGCAAGCAAAGTAGGTCGTGAAGGAGAGGAAAAAAGCGTTGAGGCGACAAGAAGGGCGAAAACCAACCAACAGACACCTTGATAGTCACAGACAGGCAGACAGACAGACCAGACAGACAAACAGGAAAACCCGAGACCTCGCTCATCACCCCCCAGTCCCAGTTCGAGTGCCCCGTCTCCGTGCCCCCCTCAAGCGAGAGAAAACAACGGTCATTTTGACCAAAAAAAAAAAAGAAACAAGTGAAAATGCGGGTCACCTCCCCTCCTCCTCTCCCTCTCGAGTCTCCAAGCGCGGCCCAACGCTCTGGGCGACAGGGGCGTCCGTCGAGTTCCATGGGGGGGGGTGTGTGCCAAGGGATCGCGGCCTTGAATCAGACGAGATGTCCCCGGATTGGCCCCTTGTCTTTTTTTGTCGCTGTGGGCTGCAAGCTGGGGATGTGCAAAACGCCAAGCGCAAGCCCCAGCCGGGCGCGCGAGGGAAATGTCACAAAGCAAACGCTGCACATCCCATTCCATTCTCTGTCCTGCCCCTCTCCCTCTCGCATCATCTCCCTGGTAGTGAGGTCTTTCTTTGTGCAGCGCCCTGCCAAGGAGATTGTGTAGTTCCCGACGGGTAGCCGACGGGAAGCCGAGGGAGGAATATGACCTTGTTACCGCGGAGGTACACGGTCGACGGGAGACCTCCGAGGAGGCGATAAGAAACCCTGGGCCGCCTAAAAAAAAGAGGCAAAAGGTCTCGTGTGTTTTCCTTGGTCCATCCGCGACGGGGGAAATACCTACACTAGGATAGGATACGATCCCACGGGATCGATCGCTCGTCAAGTCATCGTCCACGTCACGGCCCCCTGGGCCTCGTCGGTCCGGCCAACATGAACTGCGGACATAACATCGCAGACCATCATCCCCCCATCCATCCCCATCGCGTTTGCCCATCGCCAGGCCAGCCCCCCCTTGCGCACTCAGGGTCCCCCAATGCCCCCCAAACCGAGACACAGGGTCTTGTCCAGTTCACGACCCCCATCAGATCAAACCCCTTTGCGAGTCGTGACTTGCTCGGATGCACCAATAGGAGAAATAGGGCACATCGCGCGGGCGGGAAAGAGGCAAGGGCCAGTAACCCTGGAATCTTAGCTCTGTATCCGTCGTGTACACTACGGATATGAGCACTTGGTAGGAATGCGGGTGACTGATCAACGCACGCAAGTTCCGTCTGCATGAGTGATGAAGCGGGCATTGCAAACGGGCGCGGGACCGAGAAATTGGCCTTGGGTGCGCCCCAACAACTTGCGGCTTGCGGCTGCGGTTGTTGCTTCGCTTGCGTTGCCCCGTTGCCCGCTGCCCGTCGCCCTGTTGGCCCAAAAGCCAATGCATTGCATCAATCCGTCCCACAAGGCAGACTGACAGTGACAGCCAGAGTGACGCCTCCTCAAACCCGAAAATCCCAGACCGCCACATGCACACCTCCAGCAACACAGCAGCACAGCAGCACAGCAGCACAGCAGCACAGCAGCACAGCAACACAACAGCAGAGCACTGCACCAGCGCACTGCATACCCGCAGAAGCGAGAGACCTGCTTGCTAACGTCACAAACGCGGCGGCAACACGACCTTACTCGGGTAACGTTAGCGGCAGCGGCAGCGGCAGTTGCGGATGGGGCGTGACTGGGCGGAATTTGTGCATAACTAAATGTAGGTAGGTCTCTGACAAAAAACCTTCAACTCGGGCGGGCGCCCCAACTGCCTGCCGCCTGCGCTACTTGCCCGCTCAACCCGCACGAGACCGAAAAAAAAGTCTGACTGTTGGTTCATCCACTTGTCCGCTTGTCCGGTTGGATTGAGTCCTTGGGGAGTAACTAACTAACGTACGAAGCAGTCATCTGGGATCAAGCTGGTCAACCGACACCGCCTTGTCCTGCCCCGCTAACGACGGTTGACGTTTCGGCCTCGGTTTGGCTTCGGGTATCGGGCGGAGATAAAGGTTCCAATCCTGTCCGTAGGTCTGTCTCCCTTCCCAATCGCAACCAATGCCATGTAGGCTGGTAGGTCTGGCAGGTCCAGCTGTGATGATAAACAGCGACCTTTTTTGAAACGACCAGACGCGGAACAAAGTGACGAATACGGATCTCGAAAATGCTATTTTCGAGTTTCGAGTGCCCGCCCAGTGAGAATGAGCGACGCCATAAACGCAGCCGCCCAACTCATCCCCTCATCAACCAACCAGTCGCTTCATCATCAGTCATCAAACTCATCACCGACCCGATCGGGCGTTCAGGTGACCCCGTGGAGAAAAACCCCAACCCCAAAACCCCCAAGCCGAGGCGATCACCCGCAGCACACCAGCGCTTCGCGTCCCACAGGGGGGTAAGAGAGTGCCGTGAGTGAAAGGAAGGGGGGTGAGCCAAGCAGCCGGGCACTGGCGCTGCCCGGCTGATTGATGGTGGGGGTTCACCCGCCCGCCGAAGACCCCAAGTCACCGTCACAATCCGCTGGCTGGCTGCCCTGCGATTTCATCGACAATTCACACACACTTGACATCGAGTTTTACCGCCCGCTCGCCTGCCCGCCCGCCCCTCCAGCTCCTCGCTAAATAACCCCCAAAATGTCCCCCTCCCCCCCAAATCGCCCTGCCCCCCAATGTCCATCCTTGTTGGGTGACGACTTGGCTTTTGCTTGGCCGAGCTGGACCCCGGTTGTCGGATCAATGAAACCCTGATGAGACCTCTCAATCGCTCTCAATGAGCGAGGTGCTGAAGCGGGCAAGCGGGCAAGTGGGCGGGTTTCACTTTTTCTCTCTTGACGCACAGGAGTTTAGCGTCGAGAGATCCCGGGCGAGTTACGAATACTGCAAACAAAATACACGACAACCTTTGGTTGACTGACCGCATGCATTGCTGTATAAGGTAAGGCAGGTAGGTGTTCATACGTAGGTCTTGTCAGTTTCAGAGACATTTGACGACGCGGCAGCCGCTCAATGAAAGGTCTCTGCCGCAAAGGTTTCAGACCTATGCGAACGTATGAAGGTTCAAGACAAGTGCATCGTTGACGCTGTTGGTGAGCCTGATCGATCAGTGGAGTCGCCAGCCCCGATCAGGGCTAAGGCCCGGCAGTCCGATCTGCTGCAACCTTGTCCGCTCCAAGTCGTTTTCAGATTGCGATGTGCCCAGTTGATGTGACCGGGTTAGCTCTCCCGAGGTATCATCGGACCGTCGTTTGGTTGTGTCTGGGCACCACCAAACCGAAACAATAATAAGAAAAACAATAAAATTGTCAAGTCGATTCGAATCGGGGGTAACCGCCCGCCCGCCCGCCAAGTGATCAAATTCCCCCATCTCACATCCCGTCGTCTCGTCACAAGTTCACTTCACAACAAGGGGAGACTGCGTAAAAATAAAATAAGCCCCCCGGAAGCGAGCGAGATTCCCCCACAACAAACACCCAACGGTTGAAAATCCCTCGGCTCACGCCAGCCACCCGGACGCGGAGTCCCGCGCAGGTCTCACGGGGTCCTCTCTCAAGGTCTCAAACCCGTGCATGTTGGTTCCACAAGGGCCAACAACAAAAAGAGAAAAAAAGTCAGCGGGAATTTCAAGTGATGAGGGAAAAATTGAGTTGTCCAGCATGACCTCGAGTGAGGGGTCAAGTCCGTTGGGGGGGAAAGAGAGTAAAAAAAGCCATTGATGTGGGGAGACGAATCAGGAATGGAGTATCCGGAAATAGGTAAACAGACACGACTGCGTCACGTTAAAAGCAAAAGGCAACAGACGAGGCGCTGAATGGCCGTTTCGGGTCCAAACCACCGGTGCAAGGGTGGGTCGCCCGGATCACTTCCGGCCCAAGAACCAATGTATAAAAACAAATCGATATTGACTAGGAAGGTATCCATTGGGAATCCTCCTGCGTAAAAGTAAGCTCTTCAACCCTAAAACTGAATGCGCCTTTTGCCCCGACCTCTCGGAAATGCGCCAAAAAAAGCAATGCTATCGCCATCTCTCTCCACCGTGGGCTTGATATCGTGTTTTACTTGGTTGCTTGGGGCGTTGTTGATGCCCCTCTAATTATCGCGAACCGAAGTGCAGGGCCAAGCTGAGCTCTCGTCACTACCCTAGCAAGTTGATGTAAGGCTCAGGCCACCGGCCCCAGACTAGCGGTCGATTCCCCAGTCTCCCGCTCACGGGGGACAGGATCTTGAGACGCCGCCTGTTCTCGTCCACATCTGCGATGGCCACAAATCCCATGACGGGCGCCTGCCGGATCGTCTCCGGTGGGTCGTTGATTGATGCATTCATGACCGCGAGCGTCCAGTGGGACATCTCCGCCGAGATCTCGGCCTGCTCGAGAGTTGTTTGGTCGTCAACATAATCTGAGTCTGGTTCACCGTCAGTTATGGCCCGTGGGGGTCCAAATATTAGAAGGTCAACCCCCAATGAAGAGGCTAGACCTACCATCGGGTGCCTTGAAAATAGCCACCTCGTCAAACCCAACCGACTGCGTAAACGGACTGAGTGTCCTTTTGGCGTCGCCGAAAAAGTATTCCTTAATCGCGGCCTCGCGGTTGAACTTCATGTGATCCTTGTCCCGTGCCGCCACACCATCCGACTTGACGAGATCCAACAGCGCGATAGTTTCTCCGTGAGGTGTCTTTTCCGTTCCCAGTCGGCGTTGCAGCTCGGTGTAGAGGGCCGGCGACCCGAGTACGACCACGATGTTTACTGTGAAACGTCAGTTACCAACTCAGAGCCAGGAAACGGAACCCCAATAAACTCACTCGCAAACTCATTGACCACATGAATCAACCCCTCCACTTCCGCCTTCGCAACGCTTGCCGCCGGCGTATCCACGATCAACCCAGCCTCCCTCACCAGCTCATCTGCCGCAAACTTAGCCCTCACCGAACTCCCCAACTTGCCCACTAAGTCCCTCCACAACCCCACGTCCTCATCCACCCTCTCTCTCCCAACATAATACACCATCGGCAACTTAACCGGCACGGCGCTCGGCCCGCTGCTAGGCGTACCACTAACTCCAAATCCGCCCGCCGGGTCCTCCACATCCATCACCGTCCCAAACACCGCCGCGCTGATCGTGCCCGGCAGCGCAAGCATGCCCTCGCGCGGGTCGACGCTGGCCACGAGCGGCTGCCCACCCATACGTGTCGCCATCGCGGCGAGCGTTCTCGCCAATGATGTCTTGCCCCTGTCTTTACCCCCGCATATCATCACCCTGGGTCCTGGGACCGCTCCATCGGAACTCCCACCCTGATTAAGATTATTATTATTATTACTCTTCCCCACAGCAGCGCGCAAGTCCTGCAACGCAAAATGCAAATTCAGCACCGACAGCTGGGGCGAATGTCCAGGCGTCCCGTACTGCGCGACGCTGCTGTCGTCATAGTCGCCGCTGACCTCGAGGGTGCCGCCCGTGTAGGTGAGCAGGCGGCTCTGGGTGTTACGCGGGAAGACATAGGTGTGGTTGAGGGCGAGCTCAGTGCCGTCGCGTTCGGCGGTGCCGCTGGTCAGGCGCACGGTGGCGCCCACGCCTGTTGGGGAGCTGCGCGGGACCCTGAAACGCCACTCCCAGAAGGGGCGGAGGGTGATGGTGTTGGTTGTTGAGGTTGTGGGTTGCTGGTCGGGAGAAAGGTAGGTTAGCAAGGTGGGCTTTGGGGGTTGTCAATTGACTTTGTTTGACGGTGCATTAATGGTTAGTTAGCATTTGTGCGTACCTGCGGGGCAATTTGGCCTAGCCCGGGAATAGACATTTTGGTTAACTCATGCGGAGGATAGTAAGTTGATGAAAATGGATGGAAACTTGAGCTCCGGAAGCTTTGGAGCTTCAATTGATGTTCTTCCGCCGGCAGGCAAGTGGGGCGGTTACCACCAAGCATCACATCACACCTTCCCTAGCACACTTCACGTGAACACAACCACCGCAATGCATTGATGTCAAAAGCATCAAAGTACCTGACCAGGAAGAGCCTTGAGGAGATTGACTGAAACGAACATGTTCTTATTTCCCACTTGTCTCCTTGTCATGCTAAAAGTCAAGGCCATATATACGGTACAAAAACAACGTATCTAAATTGAAAAATCTAGTAGCACACTGGTGTTGGGTATTCGATGGAAATCAAATCAACGCTCAAAGCCTCTAAACCCTCCGCGTCATAACGGTCGTAACCTCATGCACCATTCCCACCCATGCCAGGCATACAAAAAAGAGAGAGAAAAAAAGAAAAGAGAAAACACCGCTAACCGAAAGACAACGCCGTTTTCCTTCTCCACCCCATCTTTATTGGCTCAATTCCTCAAAAATCTTGATGAGGCTCCGAACGCCCAGCAGGTTGTTCTCGTCCGGCCCCTGCCCTGGCACCCACTCGGCATGCGCAAAGTCGATAAGCTTGAGCGAGTAGATGCGGGGAAGCTTTGAGAGCTCGTCGTCTTCGTCCGCTTCCTCCAATTCGCCGTCTTCCACCTCCCCCATCAACTCCACAACCTTCACATCCCCTTCGATAACGCCAGGAAGCGCCGAGGCGTCTATCCCGGTCACAGCAACCAACTCTTCTTCCCCAAGGAGACCATCCTCGTCGACCTGCTCCCCGAGGCCATTGACCTTTTCCACCACGTCGTTGTTCTCCTCAATGGCGGCACGCAACGCCTTGCCGTCTCCTTCGAAGGTAAACAACAGGCTCGCCGAGTACATGCGGGTCTCCGAGCTAGCCAAAACCTCCTCCACCCGCTTGAGGTCCGCCACAAAAGCCTGCGCAACGGCCTGCCCCAGCTCCCGGTCGATTCCGGCCGATTCATTGAAGATGAACTTCCCCAATTCCTCCACAATAGTGTCCTTGTTCACTGACAATCTGCCATAGTCCCGGTCATACACCTTGAAGCCTTGTTCATCCAGCTCCTCCGGATCAGCAGACCCCTTGTACACACGCATGCCCGCGATCCGAAACCCGTGCGTCCCGTTTGTGGTCTGTCTGCTGATCTCCTCGAACCGCTTGCGCTTCTCCGGGGGCGCGTCGTCAGCCCATAGTCGCCGGCCGAGTTTGGCGTCCAAGATGTTGGGCTTCTTGAAGCCGTGTGTGGTATTTTGTAGAACTACCGATTTGTTGGTTGCGAGCTTGCGGTTCTTGTTTGGCCGCCACGAGATGTCGACTGGTTGGGCTGCTGCTTCGGCCGCCGCTTCAGCTTCGGCTTCAGCCACAGCAGCCTTAGCCATGTTGACAGCTTCTTCTTTCAGCCCCTGGCTCATGTGGTCGGCGACCCCCGGGAGCTGCTCGTTGAGCGAGTCAATGTCGGTCGCATCGTTAAGGGAGAGCGTTCCGAAGTAAATGGGCATCAGAGACGCAAAGTCGGGGTGGTCGCGGAAAGTTGTTTCGTAAAAGTCAATCTCTTGCTGCACGCAGGGCTTGATGAAGAGCTCGCCGTCGATATCGGAAAGGGTCCCATCACTAATTTCCAAGAGTTAGATCTTTGCAAACCAAGAAAAAGCTCTGCCTGCTTAGAGTTGAACTTACTGGCCCGCGACTGCATGATTGTAAGGCTGGAGATCAGCGTGGGCTGGGAGTTGTCTGCCGCCAGCCATGGTGTTGATTGAATTTTCTTGTGGGAGATATGGTGCTTAGTGTAAGATGCCAGGGGCACCCGCAAACGAGGGCTCGGCTGCCGGTATTTGTACTCGGGCTGAGGCTCTGTGGTGCAGGCAATGATTGCGGCCTCATGAGTGCATAAATGTGACTTGTCGCTTAATGCTGAAATTCCAACAAAGGAGAGCCTCGCCGGGAGGAACCGATTTGGTAGCAAAAAAAAAAAATTGCGGCCAGAAAGAGCACCACGATGCCCTTTTCCAAGGTTGGGATGAAAGCCAACGAAAGCCAACGCGGGGCGATGCGCGGCTCCAAGCTGCAAGGTGGGCATGGTGGGGACCTCACAACTTGCAGCTTGTCGCAAGAGCGGGTCGCCCCGCGCCAAAAGCCTCGGATCTTGAGGAGGCACAAGCCAATCAGAGCGCGCAAGGGCGGCTCAGATGGGAAACTCTGCAGGGGTCCTGCGAATGACCAGGATTTTGAATGCTTGACATGCACGTTGACACCTCCAGCTGCCGTCATCCCGTCACTGCCCCAAAACCATAGCACAAACGCGCAAGGCTACGGGGCTTTTGAAGTTATCAGCTGTGCAAACACTTGTCCCCCACGCGCTTGGGAAACGCCACGATGGTACAAAAGAAAGCCCCATGGCTTCTCCTGACATCCTCTAGGCTCCCGCGATTTGAGTCTTCTCGGGATTCGTGATGACCTGCTGAGCCTCTCCCGGATAGACAGAGCCTCACCCATAATGGACGCATTATCGAAGTGTAAGAAACAGGGTGGTCAGCTACGCCACTTTCTTATGTGGTCCAACAGCAATGGAGGCTCACAGTCCCGTCGTTTCCGACTCGCATTTAGCGGGCTTCCCGCTCATAATCTTGCTGCAGGTTGTCTGCTTGTGGCCCATTTAGGTAGCATCAAACTATAATATCTTCAGCACTGAGAAAGGAAAACCCCCAAGGATATACCCCAGGGCTTGCAGCTGCTTTTATGGCACAAAGCTGATTATACGGGGTTGGCAGATTAAGTACGCATGCTCTGGGCCAGTGTTTTGTGCCATAATCTACTTGTTGACGAGCTCGAGTGCTCGGTCGAGAAGTTAAGGGGAGGAAGGTACATACATGTATATGCCACTAGTTCAGTGTTCCCTGGACTTGACATGAAAACAAGACTCAACCTTACAATAAAGTTTTATCTCATTCTTAGCTCGAGTTTTGCTTTTATTCTCGATTTAGAGAATCGTTTAACTGCTATGATGAATCAATGTGTAACTATTAACAATTAACAACTTCCTGATTGCGCTGCACTGTTCCGAGCTGGGCGCGCCCGTTTGCTCCATGCACTCCTTCCTTCTTTGATAATGCTTGAGGACCTATTTGATCCGATTTTACCGTTTAATTTCCAGTTAGGCCATAATTTCGCAGTGCCTTTCACCAAACCTCATGATCTTTTGCAAACTTCTTCTGCCATTCGGTTGATCAAAACCGTACAACTCTTCACCCCGACCCTAAAACACAAGGACCGCATAACAGACCGTACAAGGAACCTTATGCAGAGAACCAACATCTAGGATTTTGCTTCTCCGACTCTTCAACATGGCTACACCGGAAGAGCCCACTCCCGCCAGCTTGGAGGGTCAGCAGAACCAGGCCGAAGCGCAAACGGATCACACGCACCCACCTGCTACGGGGGACGTGGTCGACCTCACAGAGAAACCCAAAGAGGAGAAGAAGAAGAAGAAGAAGAAGACTTCAAAGGCGAAGAAACGGGGTACTGGATTCGAAGGTGAGTCCCAAACCCGTGGGATGGGAGAGAAATCCGATAACGGACCATGATCACTGATGGACTCGGTATCAGAATTCTACTGTGACGCCCCGATGACCCCGGCCGAACACAGTCAGGAAACGGAAGTCATTTACGCTCCACACCGGCCGTTCGTCGACCGCATCGAAGAGTGCATTCAACGATTCCGCGCCCGGCGTCGCCTCAGCTCCGAGCGCGAGTACCTGTTTTCCCGCTACCTCTACCTAGGGGGCATCGACGCCAGCGTCAGACAGTTTCAGAGTACTCGGAACATTGAGAATGACGCGCTGGAAGAGGCCAGCAAAAGCTCGGTGCGAGAGATGACGGCAGACGATGTGATCCAGCGAGGTGGAGAGGGCAATCATAACCCGCGCTACTTCAACCCAAACTACCCCGAGCATTGGGATGTTGACTTCACTGGCGTTGTTACGGGATATCTGTAAGCTTACTGCCACACGGTCTGAAACTCCATTACAGCAACAAAGCTAATAGCTCGCTAGATCCGAGCATCTTCCGCAGTTGGCGGGAGGTAACTACAACCAGTTTTCCATGGGCGTCGATGTCATCCTCAACTTTCTGAAGTACGTCGACCGTCATGAGGTCTGCCCAGAGTACGCCGACGACCTCAAGAAAGCCCAGAGAATCTGCAAGCAAGCGCTGGGCGAAATGCCGGCGATTACAGAACTTACCACGCTGCTCCCTGGCCCATTCAACACGGCGTTGGGCATATTGCACAAGCCGGACCAGGGCAAAGACACTAGCGACTTTGACACTTCTTTCGGAGGAGAGAAGCCTATGGATCACAAAACGGCCAAGATCATATACGCTGTGGCACTCTCGACCGTGATGGGATCTAAGCAAACGATCATTCCCGCTGAATCCTCCATAGTCGACACAAACGAGATGACCATTGAAGTTCGTGGCATCCAACGCCCGAACGACGCCACGCGCGCAAAGTATCAAACTGTTAACCGGCATCTCACCGGGTACCCGGACATGCAGCCCTGCGGCACGATCACCACTCGTCCGGTTGTTGTCCGTGATGGGTGGGACAACTCCGCCACTGCTACTATCCCACCCGAGGCGGATAAAGACCACAACTTCATTCTCGAGGATGACATCTTACGTCTTCTCAAGCTGGGCATGACGTTGACCATGACTGTACACACGCTAAGCTCCGGCCTCGAGTTCATCAAGTGCATCCGGGAGATCCGCCCTACGTACTACTTGTTCCTGCCGCAGGAGCTGATGTTGCAGTACAAGGAACCGGTTCCGAACGAGCGCCCCGCGAGGAGCATTTATGATGACGAGGATGCGGGGGGGATGGATGGACCTCAGGTGGACGAGAAGGATATTTGAGACTTGTTGCGGATTGGGTTTGGGACACGGACGGAGGGAGAGACGGAACCGGGACTGAGAACTCGAAACGGCCGGGTCTCGGATAGATAGTAGTCGCAGCTATTCAGTGAAGTTGGAGGACCTAAGCGGACCCAAATAAATGCCCGTTTTGAGAAGCATATGTTGTTTAAGTGAACGATGTAAACCTGTGAGTTATTCGCTGATATGACATGAACAGTACTGCCCGAGAGGCTCAACGTTATGTATCGCTTATAGGCGTCCCTGGCAGCTTGATACAAGTTGCAGCCTTGGGGTAACCATGAGAATAGAGAAATCCATGTTCCAACATCGCAAATGAGAGAGATAATCACAAAGAGCCAGAAATCCGCCCGTAACACCCTTCCCGATAGCCCATTTGAAATGAACTGATACCCTAGGATCCTGACTCAACAAGACCAGACATACACACTAACGCCCGAACTTCCAAACACACCGCTCGCGTCGTATTGAGCGGCTAGAACCACCGGCCACCGACCAACCATACGGCCGTGGTAGGCCCCTGGGTTCGACAAACATGGCCTAGATGAGTCACCTAGTCATGTGTCTGCACCTTATGGTCTCCAGCAACAACCTGAGCATAACTCGGGGGCGCAGCGCCATCACTCGGCCCGGCCTCCGAAGTCGTCCCCTGCTCCTGCGGCTGGTGCTGCTGCTGCTGCTGCTGCTGCGGGGCACCCGCAGACCCCGAAGTGTGGTTGTAGTTGTTGGTGCCGTAGTTCGGCTGGCCGCCCTGCTGTTGCGGCTTGGGGCCCTGGGCGTGGGGGATCGGGTGTTGCTGGTAGCCCTGGTGGCGGGGGTGTTGGGACTGGCCGTTGACGAAGACGTAGACGCGGCCGTGCTCTGAGTCCTGCGGGACGTTTTGGTACTCGTAGTCGTAGTCGGGTTCGGGGTGCTTGGCGATGATGTACCAGGCGTGGAGGAGGCCGGGGAGCTGGAGAGCGGAGGGTGACAGTGTTAGTTAGGGGGGGGTGATAAAGCGAGAGGATCGAGGGGGGGATCGGGAGGGGAGAAACGTACGTAGCCGAGGACACAGAGGAGGATGTTGATGATGGAGTCAGCGGAGCAGATACCGCGCTTTACCCAGACTATCAAAATCATTAGCGTATGAGCTTTAAAGATGCCATTTGCATCGCGACGCCTGCGGAAGGCAACAGCGCACGAGGGTGACAAACCGGAAATTGGTGGGAAGAGGACGGCGAGAAGGCCGAGGAAAATGTCGGTGGAGCACATCTTGAGAATATGAAAGCCAAATCTCCAAATGAGCGAGGAGATGGAGCAAAGTTTTGTGGGATTAGAGGGATGTTGTTGTTGTTGTTGTTGAAAGGGAGAGGGGTTGTTCCAGAAGGTCCTGAATTCATGATGCAAGAACGGGGGCCTTGGGGTCACGCAGTGGGCAGTGCGTGCAGGGACTTGCGTAATGAACTTGTCCCTTCTTGGTTCTAGGCTCTTGGCGTGCCTTGCAGCCGCGGGTCAGCCCCGCAGGAGGTCTCACAATGATCTACGGGTTAGGGTTGGCTATGATACAGTCCCCGGAAGGAAGGCGGTAAGCTGGTCGCGGTTGGCAGAATTTGTTCTGGAGCCAAGGCCGAGCTGCAAGTCCGCCTTTCCTTGTCCAAAAGCGACATCTGCAACCTGGTTTGGCCGTTTGGCCGCCTTTCTTCAACCCCGGCCAATATCTGATTTCTCAAGCCTTTAAAGGGTCGCCGTCATAATGGATGATCTGGAGTCCCTCGAACTGCTGTCCCTCGTGTCGAAAGTCACGTCGGAATTGCAGAACCATCTCGGCGTTAACGAGAAGACGCTTGCCGAGTTCGTCATCGCACAACGCGTAGAATGCGCGTCGTTCTCGGAGTTCAAGGCCAAATTGGCCGCGTTTGGCGCCGAATTCCCGCCCAGCTTGGTGGAGAGTATCGACCGCCTTGTTCAAACGATGCACCCCAAGGTCAAAGGGCAAAAAAGCACAGCGGATTACGATGGCGATGGGAAACAGGGACGGTCAACGGGGGAGCAGACCAAGACTTTCAAGGGGTTATCGATTCCGGACAAAGAAGTCGAGGCTATGGATGACACATTTGCATTACTAGAGAGCTTAGAGCCAAAACGACCAGAAAGAGAACGACCTGAACGAGAACGCCCACGAAAACGGAGCCGAACACCAGACGAGTACCGGGACGATTCGAGGCGGAAGCGCAAGGACAGGTATCGATCGAGGTCAAGATCGAGGTCACGATCCCCGGGACGAGGCCGAAGGCGACACGAACGTTACGACGATGACCGCGATTTCCGCCGCCCACAACCCCAAGAGCTTGATGATGCACCTGAACTTCACAAGGTCTACGGTGGGCATGTCACGGGGGTTAAAGATTTTGGCGCATTTGTGAACATACATGGCGTGAAAGGGAAGATCGATGGTCTAGTCCATATCTCGGCGTTCGGCCAACGCGTCGACCATCCCTCTGACGTCGTTTCGAGAGGTCAGGAGGTCAAGGTGAAAGTCGTCAAGATCGAAGGCAACAGGATAGGGCTGTCGATGAAGGATGTCGACCAACAAACGGGCATGGACCTCGCGCCACAGATGAAAATGGGCTCTGGTGCGAATATGGAGGCTTTGGGCGGCCGTGGGCAGGCTCCTCCGGTCATGGGAACCGGGGCGAACGGTTCGTTTCAGGCTTCCGCAGCTGCCCGGGCCCAGAAGAAGCGGATGACGTCTCCAGAACGATGGGAAATCCGGCAGATGATTGCAGCAGGGATCGTCAAGGCCTCCGATTATCCCGACTTGGAGGAGGACTATAATGCGACGCTAAAGGGAGAAGGTCAGCTGGAGCTGGAGGAGGACATCGATATCGAGATTCGAGATGAGGAGCCCCCATTCCTGGCGGGGCAGACGAAGCAGTCACTCGAGTTATCACCAATTCGAGTCGTCAAGGCCCCCGACGGGTCACTCAACAGGGCCGCGATGGCGGGGGCGAGTTTGGCGAAGGAAAGGAAGGAGTTACGGCAACAAGAAAATGAGTCGAAAGAGGAAAAGGCCAAGGTTGACTTGTCGTCACAATGGCAGGACCCCATGGCAAACCCTGACGCTCGTCAATTCGCGAGCGATTTGAGGAAGCGACCACAAGCAGCACAATCGGCTCCGGATGGCGTGCCGGAATGGAAGAAGGTCATTGCCAAGGACCAGCAGTCTCTCGGGAAACGGACAAGCATGTCCATCAAGGAACAGCGCGAGTCCTTGCCCGTGTACGCTTTCCGGCAACAGCTTATTCAAGCCGTCAAGGAGAATCAGATCATGATTGTTGTGGGCGAAACAGGGTCAGGGAAGACGACACAGCTCACGCAATATCTCGCCGAAGCTGGGTTCACCAACAACGGCATGATTGGTTGCACACAACCCCGACGTGTGGCCGCTGTCTCGGTCGCCAAACGTGTGTCTGAGGAGGTGGGTTGCCAACTAGGACAAGAGGTTGGGTACACGATCCGGTTCGAAGACGTAACGAGTCCAGCAACCCAGATCAAGTACATGACGGACGGCATGTAAGTCGTGATTTCATTCCCCAAGATCCTAAGACCACAGAGGCGTTCTCATCTTGCTAACTGTCTTAGGTTACAACGTGAGATTCTGATTGACCCAGACCTGAAAAGGTACTCGGTCATCATGCTGGACGAAGCCCACGAGCGGACGATCGCGACGGATGTTCTCTTTGCGCTCTTGAAGAAGACGATCAAGAAACGCGACGACTTGAAGATTATCGTCACCAGTGCTACGCTGGATGCGGACAAGTTCAGCGAGTACTTCAACTCATGCCCGATTTTCACGATTCCCGGCCGGACGTTCCCGGTTGAAATCCTCTACTCGCGAGAGCCGTATGTCTTTCTCTTCAGTCACCTCCTTACGGCCTATGACTAACTTTTTACACAGAGAATCGGATTACCTAGATGCTGCACTAACAACGGTGATGCAAATTCACCTAAGCGAACCGATGGGTGATATCCTGGTCTTCTTGACTGGGCAAGAAGAAATTGATACGGCTTGCGAGATCTTGTTCGAGCGGATGAAAGCGTTAGGACCGGGTGTTCCAGAACTCATCATACTGCCCGTTTACTCTGCACTCCCGAGCGAAATGCAGAGCAAGATTTTCGAGCCGGCAGCACCAGGCAGCCGCAAAGTCGTGGTGGCCACCAATATTGCCGAGACCTCGATTACGATCGATTTCATTTACTATGTCGTCGACCCAGGGTTCGTTAAGCAGAATGCTTACGATCCGAAACTGGGGATGGATTCGCTGGTCATCACTCCTATTTCCCAGGCGCAGGCGAACCAGAGGGCAGGTCGTGCCGGTCGTACAGGGCCAGGGAAGTGCTTCCGCCTTTACACCGAGGCTGCTTTCCAGTCAGAGATGTTACCGACAACGATCCCTGAGATCCAGCGGCAAAATCTGTCGAACACAATCTTGATGCTTAAGGCTATGGGCATCAACGACTTGTTGCGGTTCGACTTTATGGATGTAAGTTTTTGTTACCTTTTCTCCGTAGATTTGGCGAATGATGACTAACTAAACTTTTAGCCACCTCCTGTAAATACCATGTTGACGGCACTGGAAGAGCTTTATGCTTTAGGCGCTCTGGATGACGAAGGACTACTAACCCGCCAGGGGAGAAAGATGGCCGATTTCCCGATGGAGCCGTCGCTGTCTAAGGTGCTTATTGCGTCTGTCGACAGGGGCTGCTCCGACGAGATGGTGACAATCGTTTCCATGCTCAACCTTCCCCAGGTCTTCTACCGGCCCAAGGAGAAGCAGAGCCAGGCCGACCAAAAGAAGGCAAAGTTTCACGACCCCTCAGGTGATCACCTCACCATTCTGAACGTCTACCAATCATGGAAAAACAACGGCTACGCCAACGCATGGTGTTTCGAGAACTTCATCCAAGCGCGGTCGATGCGCCGCGCCAAAGACGTGCGCGACCAAATCGTCAAGATCATGGAGCGCCACAAACACCCCATCATCAGCTGCGGCCGTGAAACAGACAGAATCCGACAATCTCTGTGCACCGGCTTCTTCCGCAACGCCGCGCGCAAGGACCCGCAGGAAGGGTACAAGACCCTGACGGAGGGAACCCCCGTGTACCTGCACCCAAGCTCGGCGCTCTTCGGCAAGCAGGCCGAGTGGGTGGTGTACCACGAACTGGTGCTCACCACGCGCGAGTACATGCACTTCACCACGACGATTGAGCCGAAATGGCTGGTCGATGCGGCGCCGACTTTCTTCAAGATTGCGCCGACTGACCGGTTGAGCAAGAGGAAGGCGGCGGAGCGCATCCAGCCGCTGTATAACAAGTATGCTACGGAGGACGACTGGCGGTTAAGCGCGCAGCGCAGGGGTGGGAGAACGGGTGGTGGCGGTGGGACGTGGGGTTGAGCTGGGGGCTGGGCGTGGCCATGGGCAGTTTCTGCGAGGTGGTGGAGTTTCTGTGGCTTGTTCACGATGCACCAGCTTGTGGTGGATGAACTGTGTATGTAGGTCTTTTTGGTTGGCGAAGAAGTGGTTGAGAGCAATGAAACCCAATCGATATGTGATACCCACCTCTATCCGTCACCCCTGCCTGTTCGCGCTTCTAGCCCGCAAACCATTCGCCGTTTACAATGTGGGGGGGCCAAGCGGCTAAGGGGCCGATCCACGCGGCCATGACGGCTGTGCTACGGTGAACGACATGCCAGCAGACCCGTTGAATTTCTTTTCTATTTGAACTAGGATTGGGAGAGACAAAGGGGAAATAAAGAAACAGCGGGGAAATGGCCGGCTGCTTGGCGGCCAGGCAAATTCGGCCTGCGTCTGGAGGCAAGCGCTAACGAGAGTTTACTCAACCAAGCTCAACAGGTAACCGGCTTTTGAAGGTCAACGTCCCATCAACTCAACACTGAAAACAAAAATAAAATATTATTCAGAAAAAAAGGAAAAGAAACATCCAACAATGGCATCCTTCTCCAATCAACCCCTCCAACCCCTCCAGCCCCAACCAGACGACACCATCACCATCCCCCCCTTGGACCCCTCCAACCACACCCACACCATCATCTTCCTCCACGGCCGCGGCGACAACACCCGCTCCTTCACCAACTTCCTCCGCTGCTGGTCCTCCTCCCGCGGCCGCACCCTCATCCAAACCTTCCCCACCATCCGCTGGGTCTTCCCCCAGGCCCCGACCCGCATCGTAGCCAGCAGTGTCCGAACCAATACCAACAACAACAACGGCGGCGCGGGAGCAGTCTACCCGCCCTATCAAACAATGCCCCAATGGTTCGACGTCTGGACCCCGCAGAATTTCGCTCAGCGCGAAGAGATCCAGCTCCCCGGCTTGCGGGAAATGGTCCCCGCCGTGCGGGAGTTGATCCGGCGTGAGGCGGAAGACCCGATCGCTGATCCGCGCGAGGGCAGGGGACTGAACGGGCGCTGGGATAGGGTCGTGCTCGCGGGTATTAGCATGGGGTCTGCGACGTCGCTGCATACGCTGCTGAACTTGGATGTGCCTGCTTCCGGAGGGGGGAGGTTGGGGGCGTATATGGGGTTTTGTGGGCGGTGTCCGTTTCGGGGGCGGACGTTGGGGGAGATGAGGGGGTTGTTGGGGGTTGCTGGGGCGCCTGTGGGTGGTGAGAATGAGACGATCAGGCGCACGCCGGTGTTGTTGGAGCATAATGTGGATGATCCGTTGGTGAAGATTGAGAATGGAAGGGATGCGAGGGATATCTTGGTTGGGTTTGGAGCGCAGGTGGAGTGGAGGGAGTATCCGAGTGGGGGGCATTGGTTTCAGGAGCCGGAGGGGATTGATGATGTGGTGAACTTTTTGGCGAGGGCGGTTGGGGTGGTGCAGGCGCCGGAGGTGTGGACTGCGGATGGGATGGATACTTATGTCTTAGGCGTTATTGGTGGGTGATGTGGTTAGGACACTGCGGAGGATGATTTCAAGATTAGACGGGCAAGGGAATGGTTATGTATGGGACAGGAGGTATTCATAACGACTGGCTTTGGCTAGATATTGAAATTGCAAGACTATCAACTAGACCTTTTCAAACACAGACTCGTGGTCCCGGAGTTGGGCAATATGTTCATGGGAGTTGATATGTTCGTATGCTCAATTTTATTATACTCGTTCTCGATGGGAACAACATGATTGATAATTAATTCTAGTCACTCTGTTCAGGATGTTCAGGACTGTGCGGTTTGTTCTCAAGAATATCAGATGGAAGTCGAGCAGGTGGGCAGGTAGGAAGGCAACAGGAGGAAGGCAGGCACTATATGTATCAGGTCCGCGTTACTCGCAGTCACCGACCTCCCCCAAGGCGAAATGGCCTAGCGGTCAGGAGAGAGGTCGGAATCCGTGATCTGGGAGTTCTGCTCATGCCCTTGCAAGTGGTCATGCGTTCGAGCCCAGGTCGAAGTAGCAGGAAGCGGTACCTGCAGTTCTCGCCCCGACAACCCTCGGCAACTGCGAAGTAAAACCTTCCCACAAAGGGGTTTTCGTAACTGACTACCCACATTAGCGAGGCGTGTGGCTGGTCAGTGAGCTTTTTGACTTTTTGACTTTTTCTTGGGTGTTGTTGGGAAGATATTCAGCAGACAGTTGTCCAACACTTTTCATTCTTAATTTCTTGGTTACCGAACTATTTCCTGAACAACTTTCGATCTATTACTTCATCCTTCTACCTCCGATACGATTGTTTTCAGTCAGGTACTTTCCCACTCAGTCACCAATAAGATTCTCAAAATCAAACCATATGCTCATCACTTTTAGCTCGACGTCATCGAGAGTTTGAGGTTAGTTCCGATTGAATTCATTCAAAAAGGCAATTAACACTGAGCCTCGTACAAACTTTGTGTGACGTTAGGGACGGTGGAGCTTGAAGCCCTAGATTTCCTAGAATTGGGCCACACGTAAATTATGTAAGTCCACCTCTGAGCCTCTTTGTCTTTCTACAACCCTCTTTAAATTCAAAAGAAACCTGGAATCCCGGAGCACCCGGATACTGTTTCTTGAGTCGTTTCTCTCCCAGTGGCACCCACTCGCTTTATCAATTTTCGGGTCTGTTGAATTGAATTAACCGACGATTGGCGGTTCTGGAACATTCATCTATGGAGAATTCGAGTGTCACCCCGCTTCGCCAGCCCTCGTTTGCTCACCGCCAGATCGCTAACCCCCCGACAACCCCCCACATACCCTTGCATTGCCCATTCAACTAAACCCTTCCACCCCCATTTTACTTCCTTGGACTTCCTTTGAAACGCGCAACCAGTTAGAACCCCTCACGAGAACGGGGTCAGGTGTCTTGGGCTGCAACTCACGAATCATCGCAGGCTTGTCTCTCTTTTTTTTTCTCCCTCCCCCAACTCCAACACCTTCCTTCTTCTAGTATTTATTTATTTTATTTTATACATTCTCTTGCCTCTCATTTGCTGGCTCGTCTTCCAGTTAGGGCCGTATTCCTCCAGGGCATGAGCCGGATCGGTTGGGCAGCATCGTCCATCCAGGCCTCCGGTCATGCCTCTGCCCGTCACCCTCCCGCTCTACAATGGCCTCCGCATAGGCCTCAACGACGCCCAGGAGTCTGAGGAGGACATCATCCGCCGCATCGCCTGGTACACGGCCGCTGCCGCTGCCACGGCCGAGCTGGAGGAGCAGAGCAAGGAGGGTATCATCTCGAACCTAGCCTCTCACCATCTCGGCATCCGGGCGTCGCGATGCATCGTTGAGCCGACGCGGAACTGGCCGCGGGGGAGCTTCAACCAGTGTGTCTTTATCGGTATCCATGCCCGGTCGATATGGGGCAAGATCGCCGAGACCTCGAGCTCTCGCTTGCTGTTGCGAGTTCCCTCGGCTCATCGGTTGGTCGGTATGGTGGAGGAGAAGATGAGATGTGAGGTTGCGACGTACATCTGGATGCAGGAAAACTGCCCGGATGTTCCCATCCCCCGGCTCTATGGCTTTGGCTTCCCGGATGGTCGTCATGTAAGTAAATTCTAAGCTGAGGGAATCATGAACGCAGTGAGTGAGGGAAGAAGGTGCAGAATAAGAGCTAACTCATTCTCAGTTCACCCACAGCAGTCTCCTGTCGTGGCCCCGGAGATGGGGTCGAGGGCTCCGGCGGATGTTCTGCTACCTGTTTGGCTACCCGGTTCCCTCTCACTACATGGAACGCTCCCGGTCTCATGAGTTCCCGGCGGGATACATCCTGCTGGAGTTCATCGAGAAGGGTCACCCGCTCGCCAAGTCGTGGTTCTCCAAGTCTGTCGACGCCGTCAAGAAGCAGAACCTGTTCCGCGGTATCTCTCGTCTGATGCTCCAGCTGGCCCGGATCCCGCTCGACCGCACTGGTTCTTTCACTTTCGACCCGGACACGGCCGTCATCTCCCTGACCAACCGCCCGCTCACCTGCAGTCTCGCCATCCTCGAAAACGACGGCGCCGAGCAAGTCATCGAGCCAAACCGGACCTACGAAAGCGTCGACCCCTACGTCGAAGACCTCCTGACCCTGCACGACAACCGCTTCCTCGCCCAGCCCAACGCGGTCACGACCAAGGAGGACTGCTACTACCAGATGGCCATCCACTCGACGCTCCGCATCATGACGCACCACTACCTCGACCGATCGCAGCGCAACGGACCCTTCTACATGCAGTTCACCGACCTCCACCAGGGCAACATGATGGTCGACGACGACTGGAACATCACCAGCCTGATCGACCTGGAATGGATCTGCGCCCGCTCCGCCCAGATGATCGATGTCCCCTACTGGATCACGTCCAAGAGCATCGACGAGATCTGTTCCTCGCACCACTCGGCCGAGTTCGCCGCCGCGCGCGAGGTCTTCATGGCCGCCTTCCGCGAGGTCGAGGAGGAGCTCTACCCCTCCCGCGTCGTGGAGGACGACGAGAATGAGGACCTCGAAGCGGGCGCTGTCGCGCCCCGCCGCAATGCCCAGGGCCACCCGCTCCTGTCTGAGACGATTGACAACAGCTATGCCTCCAGGGCGACCTGGTTCTTCCAGGCTGTCGACTCGGTCAACGCCATGTACCGGCTGTTTGAGCTGCAGCTGCGCCCGCAGTTCCTGTCGCAGCACACACCCGAGACGGTGGATGTGTTCTTTGCGGCGTTTTGGAACCAGCAGGCGAAGAAGATTGCGAAGCGGAAGCTGCAAGAGCGCAAGGAGTACTCTGCTAAGCTGAAGGAGCTGTTCCAGGCGAAGGGGGCTAAATAAATGAATGAAAAAAAGGAAAAAGAAAGAAAAAAGCTGGGAAAAAATGACGAGATAAGATCGGTTGGATTGACGTGCCTTCCTTAGTCTTGTTTGTTTTTGGCTTTTACGAAATTGTCCCACGCAGGCCATGAATCATGTCAGTTTAACGAACATAGCGTAACGTCACGAGATTCCTCGAAAGGGGTTTACTCTTAAAGATCTATGAATGAGACATGCCCAGTTTGTTAGCAAATCAGGAGACGCTCAGACCAAAAAAAAAAGGGGTAAAACTGTTGTCTGGGCAACACATGGCGAATTGGCTGACTCCTGCACGTCAGTCAGTTCAACTCAAGTTTCTCTAACCAGTGACGTCGATATGTGATGATGTATTGTTGCCAAGGATTCCCAGGGATCGCCCCCTTGGGTGAGGTTTCCTTACGTACTCAATCCCACGACAGTGGGAAGTCGACGTTATCAACTTCGTGTTCCTGTTTCTGGGGGCTTGTTTGATGCACATGGTGATTGGTTCAGCGATTCTGAATGAAGAAGGCGGGATGTGCAGCTAGGTCACTTTAGGATGTGATTTCGTCAAGGCCAATGCGTTCTGCTGACTTTTCTTACCCACGAACGCACCCCCAAAAACAAGATCTTCCGAGGAGTCCGTTTTGTCAATCCTCTTATCCCTTGACTGATGTCACGACATTACCCACGCCGAGCGTCAAGATAGGGACTTTTTTTTATTGTTTTCTGTGTTTGCTTCGTGTCAATGCCCCATGTCGTGTTGTGAGCACATGGCCGAAGTTGGCGCATCACGAGCTTCCCGTTTTGGGGAGCCGCGGGACCGGGCGCGGGTTGACACGGGCATCGTACCGAGGGTCCCACGGCGACCCACGGCGATCCGGATTCACGTCTCGACGATTTCCACGCTTCACGTTCAATCAGAGGCCAAAGACGGGAACCCGGTCAGCAACGGACACTAGGGTAGAGAAAGTGTCGTGTGGCACTGTGTGAGTACCATGGCGTCAATACTATGTATACTTTCGCTGAGGTTCCCCCTACCGGAACAACGCCATTCAAGACGGTGTCTGAGACGTTGATGACAACGGGAATGCCAGCGAGAAGATCAAATGCGAGGCGTTCGTTCTCACACATAATAGTCTCATGCAATTTCCATAACATTGCCGAATTCACCACCCGGGGGCTAGGCCACTATTGGGGAGGAAAGGCGATTGGAAGTTTGATGGACAATTTGACGATGGGATGCTTGGATGGATGGGCCATTGCCGACTTCCAGCCGGGAAAGTGTTTTGTCGGTGAGCAGCAGAGAGCTTTGCTGGCCGGGCGCGGTCCGGCCCTCGGGTACTTGGTACTTCGTTACGTACGTATCTGACCGAAACGGACCAACGGATCACGTGAAATCAGGGTCTCGAACGGCTAAAATCCAATGACGGAATGACGATGGATGGGATGGATTGGCGGTCAGCTGGCTGCGCTGCTTCCGGCTGAAATGGGACACACACATGTTGCGGTTGTTGTGCACCATGAGCGCACGACGAATGGGAGAGGGAAAATGCCTGGAGAACGGTGAAGGGCGCAACTGCACCGCCTCGGTGCCCTTGTAAAGTTGTGGCCCAGGCCGGCCTTGGCGTCATAGCCGAGCCACAAAACAAGAAGTGGCGAACTGAAACGGAGGAGCGAGGCCTGCCTAGCCGGTCGTTGTTGGCCTGGTTTGACGGGCGTTTCTCGTAAAACAACTGATTACTTCGTGAAGGGGTTATCTTTAGAAACGGACAATTTTGGCCGGCGGTGAGTTTGGCAAAGGTGAAGGGTCGGGCCGCCGGTGAACAAGAGAGATTACCAACAAAGAATAACTAACTTAGCCTGCAGTCCTTTTTCTTTTCTTTTCGGACCGGTTGGTGTAATGAAGGACGGGCGGCCGTGGTAACCTGCGGTGACCTCCGCAGGGGTTTCAGATCCGCGAAAGAATGTTCTTCCCAAACATGACACACAATACAAGGCCGTTGTCACATCCGGATTGGAGCCGCCCCCGGAAAATTCGAACGTTGGGGGAGCGGCTCGGGCGGGTGTGGGGCGGTGGAACATTTTAGGGCAGGTGCAATGCGGCCTCGTGGCAGCTGAGACGCACAGTTTGACAGCTGGCGATGCATCAGCGCCCTGACAAAAAACAGCTTGCAGGCGAATCAACGACTGCCGATAACATGGCACACCACTCACACCGATCTGGGACTGCGACGATCGCATCCATGTTCAACCTTGCAGCAAATAGTGGGGTGAATGGGGACGTCCAGGGCCTTCTTCGGGGGGGCCGGCGGGCCGGATCACGTTCGCTAAGAATAAAAAGTGACAAAACGTCGAAAACCCCTCATTGGGCTGCAAGTACCTCGACTTTGTCGAGGTCCGGGCGCCCGCGTGAGCCCGACAAGCGCCATTGGCGACAGCGGCGGACCACCTGCAGACGGGAGACTGATGGGACCGTCCGTGACTTTGCTCCTTGGGCACGTCGCGTCTTTCCAGGTTGCTGAGAATTTGCTGAGCATCGTGTCCCCTCGCCCCGAGTACCTTCGTACACAGTACAGTGCGCGACCCCGTCCTCCGTCTCATCAAAGCCTGCCAGGAACCGGCAAGGGCACGGGAAAAGGCCTCGATGTCTGGGAATGTGGCCCCACGGCCCCGCCACTCCGTCCCCCAGGCGGGGCCTCCCTCCGACTCGCCGCCGATAAAATTCCCTCGGTCCCTGCGTTATGAAAGAAAAGAAATGTGACTCCTTCGCAACTGCCTTCATCCCTTACCACTAACTTAATAACCCAATTGGTTTCTTCGTTGTTCTTTGTTGTTTGCTCTGTTCTCGATCCAAGACCGAGATACCCCAACGACCACCTACACCTAGATACCCCATATTTCTTTTTTTGTTCCAACACACATCCACAGCCATGGTACGGTGTCACTCCATCTCTTGTGTTTGCTCCTGTTGATAATTCCGGGATCCACATGCTAATGACTGTTGGTTTGCAGGCGACATCAGAATCATCAGTATCTCGCACAGAGATCGTAAGCACAACCAACGCCAAAGACAGGCTTACATGGCCCCCACAAAATACTCGACTAACACGCTACGCTGCAGCTTAACCAATACACCCAGCTCGACCAGCGCGGCATTGTCATTGCCGAGTACGTCTGGATCGACGCGGAAGGCAACAGCCGTTCCAAGACTCGCGTATGTTTTTATTTCTTCTCTCTAAGCCGCATTGTTTGCCACAAATCTAACTTGGAGTTCTCTAGACCCTCGAGCCCCGTGATGACGGCAAGCAGTGGGATGTTGACACATTACCCATCTGGAACTTCGACGGGAGTTCCACCGGCCAAGCCCCCGGCGACAACTCCGATGTCTACCTCCGCCCCGTTGCCGTCTACCCCGACCCCTTCAGGAAGGGCAACAACATCCTGTATGTGCAAACAAACAAGAGCCCTAGAATGCTCCAAGCAGATGGGTGATGGAATAGCAAGCTAACATGCCGGTTTTAGTGTCCTGACTGAGTGCTGGAACCACGACGGAACCCCGAACAAGTACAACTACCGTCATGAGTGCGCCAAGCTCATGGAGGCGCACGCCGAGACGATCCCCTGGTTCGGTCTCGAGCAGGAGTACACCCTCCTGGACCTGAGCGACCGGCCGTTTGGCTGGCCCCAGAACGGCTTCCCTGCTCCCCAGGGCCCATATTACTGCGGTGTGGGTGCTGGCCGTGTCGTCCAGCGCGATATCGTCGAGGCCCACCTCCGCGCGTGTATCTACGCCAACGTTAAGATCTCCGGCACCAACGCCGAGGTCAGCAAGTCGCAGTGGGAGTTCCAAGTCGGCCCCTGCGTCGGCATCAGCAGTAAGCAGCCATTTCCTCCCTGAACTTGGATGTTTCTTGTCATTTCTCAGGCACCATACTGACTTTGGAATCTAGTGGGCGACGACCTCTGGATCGCTCGCTACATCCTTGCCCGTGTTGCTGAGGACTTTGGCGTCAAGGTCTCGCTGCACCCCAAGCTTATCCCCGGTGACTGGAACGGTGCCGGCATGCACAGCAACTTCTCCACCCAGGAGATGCGTGAGGAGGGTGGCATGAAGGCCATCGAGGCTGCCATCAAGAAGCTTGAGGGCCGCCACCTCGAGCACATCGCCGTCTATGGCGAGGACAACGAGAAGCGTCTCACTGGTCGCCACGAGACCGGGGCCATTGACCAGTTCAGCTAGTATGTGACCTCCCCAGAAAGCATATCACGGGGATCTCGAGCTAACCAAAATTTTCCAGTGGCGTCGCCAACCGTGGGGCTTCGATCCGCATTCCCCGCGAGGTTGCCGCCAAGGGCTGCGGTTACTTTGAGGACCGCCGCCCGGCCAGCAACGCCGACCCCTACCGTGTTACCGGTATCCTCATGGAGACGTGAGTGTCCTTCCCGACTTGACTTCGGTCTCTCTATGTTCTACCTACTAACCCCGCCCTTAGGATCTACGGAGCCGTCTAAGGGGATGATTTGATATTCTGTTTGGGGGCGTTGCTGTCTTTTTCTTGTCAGAGGACACCAAAAAGTAGACCAGGGTTCTTGTTGGGTTCTGCGGAGGACACTTTTGCCTCCGCCGGTTCTTTTATTCGCTTCCGCATACCTTTTTTTATCCTTCGAAGGGGACGTTGTTGGGAGATCGAGAGAGAAGAGAGAGAGACCTTAATTCCTGTTTGGATCTTGCCCATATGGGGCTGGTGAAGGAAGGGGAGAGAGTTTCAGGGGGTACTTAGAGGCGCTACTTGCCTGCTTTGCCAGCTTTTTTTATATTGAAGGCTAATGCATGGCTTGGATGAGCCAAACCCCCAGCGTTTGGGTTCTGACGCTTTGTGTTATTAACATCACTTAGATGCATCATCGTAGGAGGCGCCACGGGTCGTTGTTATTTTGGGATATAGGGGCATGACACGCATGGTATGGAACGCTACAGGACAGCGATGATGATGGGAAGGGATGGGAGGAGGGAGGTATTAATATTATTAGAGATGGGGTGGGCGGCACCGCAATCATTACAACAGCGTTTTGTCCAACATCTTCAGCGCGTGGAGGTTTTGCTGTGAGCTAAGATGGCCATTTTGCTTCGTGTGGCTTGCCGGGGTGACGATGCTGTGTGCGGTTGCCCGATGTCGAACTGGTCGGCCTAGTCCACTTACAAGCTGGATTTGGTGTACTTACCCACGATCCATCCAAATATCCCTTTGCTAGGACAGCACCATCTCCCCTCTCATTCTAAGACGAGAAACACCATCACGACAGACCATCCCCCCTAATTAACTCAAATGTAAGACCTCAAGACCTAGACATCCAGTATCCCTAAGCACCAGACCCACCACCATGATAACACCACCACAGTCGCTTATCGCTCCTCAGTCACCCCGGCAAACGTACCCCTTCCCTATCTATCCTCCGACCTTCGGGATCGGACATCACTGCCACGCGATGCCACGCGGGAGCGGGAGGACGGGAGATCCCCCTCTCCCCCGGTTCCAACGGCGGTTCCAATCGCGCGGTAACCAATCGACAGCGTTGAGCAACAGCTGGACAAGTGGAAGTACCGGTACTTTGCTCGAGTGAAGTGGGGGGAAGGGGTCTCTTGGAAGCTCGGCAGGAGATAACGTTAACGAGGGAAGATCAGATCTGATCTTATCTTTGGCCCAATCCGAGCGAGGGAGGGAGGGGCGGGAAGGCGGGTGGTTGGCTTTTGGGTTGGTCTTGGGAAGGGGAGATGATGAGATGGCGCAAGGGGATGGTGGTGTTGGAGATAAGAGGGATGCATCGAGGCGGTTAATGATGGGGCCGGGGCGCGCTTGGGGAGGGGCTTGAGGGGGTGGGTTTGATAAGACAGCCGCGCGGTTAAGGGTTGGGTCGGGGACGGGCGTGGTCGGTAACGGTATTGGCATGGTGGGGAGGAGGGGAGGCCCGAGATTCCGGACCAGGGTTGGGTTTGGAATACCGACTGACAAGCAGATAAACTGCTGTTTCGTCGGTAATTTAAGGCCCCGGTGGTTTTGAGCAAGAAACGGTTGGCTGTGGCCTGTCTTTCACCATCCGTCCAGAAGCTAAATATCTATCCGTGGTTATTCGCGGAAAACATACCACTGGGCATTCCTTTGTTGGACCCAAGGTGGAAAATGTAACGGGCAAAGCAGGATGTTGGGAACAGAGTGATTCTTCCGTGAAAACCTATCCCCGATTAAGTCTCAGACCCTGACATGAAAATTAAGTCAGGGATGTTGTAGTGTTGACTTTACAGTGTTTGACAATAACTTCACCAAATTGCAACACAACGGCTGGACATCAGCATGGCGCCAACTGCATCGAGACGGTGATGCACGGGTCGTCAGAATGCAGAGGCGTTTGGTGGTGCTGATCGCGAGAATGATAAGAATGCGGCGCACGGGATGTCATCCAACACTTCCAATCTATAGGCAGCTTGAATGTATCCAGACATGATACTGTGGACAACGCGTCCACTGGCATGTTGTTAATGTTTTGTTGGCTCGATGATGGTCACTGAGGGCTGAAAAGGGAAGCCGCAAATGGAAACGGGTGAGAGCTGACAGTGGGGCACTATGCATGGGCCACGACTGTGATTGGCTGCTATGCCCCTTTTCCGTTTGGGAGGCCCTTGCGAACCACGATTGCTTCGTTCCTTCTCGAGATCGATGAAATGGGGTGTCCGATTGGCCTGGGCTGGAGTGGCCCAGGCTTCCGAGTTGTTCATGCAAAACCCGTTGGCAAATTGCTCGTATCCAACCCGTCCAGTTATGTATGGACCGTTACATTGTTCTCGAATAATAGCGCCGTTATGGGGACAAATTCTCGTCAGCCCAGCCAAGCTAAAAACGAAATTAGCTCCCCAATCCTCCTCGGAATACGCGAGCCGCATTGGCTGCCTGCAGTCCGAAGTCCCAACGCGTCTGAGCCTTCTTTAAAACCATGGAGACCGGGATGAAGGCGTCTTCTTGGTCAGTTCCGTGAACTTTCCACCTCCAGGCTCATCATGATGCACAAATCAGCCACTCTGGGACTACTCGCCGCCGCGGGCTCGGCGTTTGCAGCCCTGCAGGTCGATATCTCGTCGACAAGTAAGTTTTCACGGGCTTTTGCGAAAGGCATCGAGCTTCAAAACACTAATACAGTTATTCAGGCTCGATCAAGGCTGCGGCTAAGGATGTTGCTTTTGACGTCATGTCCGTCTACAAGGGCAACCAGAGCGGCGAGATCGTGGGGCTCATCGGGTCCCCCCCTCCCGTGGGCGAGTACTACTGGTGGACCGGGGCCGTTCTGTGGTCGACCATGATCGACTACTGGCACTACACCAACGACAGCACCTACAACGCTGTGACGGTCCAGGGTCTCACGGCGCAAAATGGCCCCAATCTCCAGAGCCCCTTCATGCCTCCCAACTGGACCGCGAGCATGGGCAACGACGACCAGGGCTTCTGGGGCATCGCTGCGGCGAAAGCGAACGAAGCCGGCCTCCCAGCCCCACCCAAGGGCGAGCCTAGCTGGCTTGACCTGGCCAAAGCCATCTTCCAGGTGCAGACCGTCCGATACACCGACAGCGAGGACGCCTGCGGGGGCGGCCTGCGTTGGATGATCGTCCCCGTGAACACAGGTTTTGACCTTAAGAACACGGCGTCGACGGCCGTCTTCCTCAACCTCGGCGCGCGGCTGTACCACGCCACCCAGAACGAGACCTACGCCGACTGGGTCGAAAAAGGCTGGACGTGGTTGACCACCATCGGGCTGGTCGACGACAAGTTCAACGTGTACGACAGCGTCAGCACGATAGACGACTGCGCCAAAGCTAACAAGCAGCAATGGTCCTACAACGCTGGGCTGTTGCTGGAGACGGCCGCGTACATGTACGCGCAGAAGTCATCCAAGTCCGCGGACTCCAAGGAAACCACCACCTGGAAAACCCGCACAACTTCCCTCGCCAACCGCACCGTCTCCCACTTTTTCTCGGCCGACCAAGGCGTCCTCGTTGAGCCGTTGTGCGAAAACGCCGGCCAGCCCGCCTGCACTCAGGACATGAGCTTCTTTAAAGGCGTCACCCTGCGGTCGCTGGCCGGCGCCGCGGTGCTTGTGGATGAGCTGCGCGATCCGGACCACGGCGTCGGCCAGGCGCTGCGCGCTACTGCACAGGCTACGGCTAAGACATGCTCTGGTGGCAAGAGCGGTCGGGAGTGCAAATTCGACTGGACGGGCCATGCGGCGGATCAGAATGCGAAGCTTGACGGTGCGCCGGTTGAAATCAATGCGCTTGCTGCGGTGCTGGGTCCGTTGGCGGTTGAGTCGGCGTCGGGGGCGGGTGGGAATGGAAATGGGAGCGGCAGTAATGGTGGTAATGGCAATGGCAGCGGCAGTGGCGATGCTGGGTCGGGAGAGAACGGCCAGAGTGGAACTGATGACGGGAACGCGGGTGCTTCATTGAGGGTTGGTATGGGCGTGATGGTGGCTGGGTTGGTGGCTGCTTTGATTTAAGTGTCTTGCGATATCTCGTAGGGACGTAGGAAAGTGGGTTTCTTTGGATATCCTCCCGAGCTATAACTACCATTGAACAACGACAGAGCTCACCCTGGACCTTCCAGCTCCCATGTGCCGCTGATTAGATCACAGGTCTGCAGAGCAAGTCCTATATCAAGTCCCGACACCGAACAAGAAGCCTGGCACTTAGCGCATGCCGAACGCGACATGATTCCGGGGTTGCACACTCGAATTTATCCGACCCGTCGTGGGTTGCGCAGCAAGGGAATCAAACTGATTATCTGGTTTTAAGCGGAGCCAGATTTAGCCCCCAGCGTTGTGGTTAACCTCCGAGAAACCCAAACTACGCTAAGTTTTGACCAACCGGAATAATTCTAGAGGACAGCAGGGTCTGAACATAGACTGCAATATGCGCAACCCTATTTCGGACGACAAGATGATCTGCCGATCTCCGGGGACATGGGGCTTTTTCATCAATCGTCTATGCAAAGGGGTGATTGGACTGAAGTGCTACCGCAAACCATCCTTTTTGATATCACTAGATTGGTGGAACCCGGGGTATGGGTGTAGTGAATCGCTCCGTGGGTAATAATCAATTACTTAGTTACGCATCTTAGACGTCGTGTAAATTGAGGGGGTGATTCTTGAGTTGAGTAGCCAGCTCGGTGTCTATCTCCAATCCCCAGCCCATATGACCACCCATCCGCCCCCCTAACAAACCCTTCCCTCCCGATGCCCATCCCCAAACAACTCCACAACCCGCACACAACATACAACATCTATCTCCCCCAAAATGCTAGGCACCTCAGTCCTCCTCCTCGCCCTAGCTGCGACAGGTCTGGCCCAAGCCCCCGAGGGCTACCGCACCGTGTACATCACGTCGAACGTGGACCCGAAGTTTGTGATTGTGGCTAAGGAGGCGACGGCTGGGACCACGACTATTGTGTATGTCATTACCTAGCTTCAGGGCTGATGTCGACTGCATGCTATGCTATCGTCAGCCAACCTGCAGAGAAATTGAAATGCCTGGCTGACCGCGATGATCACTTTCAAATCACAGCAAGACGCGCGCGGATACCCCTGAGCAGCAGTGGTGGCTGACGGACGGGGCGACTAAGATCCAGGCGGCGAACACTACGTTGTGTTTGGATGGTGGTGAGCAGGGTGAGTCGTATACATTTGACCCAGAGCGAGAAATAATCATGATCATACAGGAGAGAGCCAGGGGGAAGACAATGTGTGATAAAAGAAGGCACAGAGATGAGGATAGACTAACAGCACTCTACTACAGCCAACTGGGTCGACATGGGCAAGATCTACGTCAACGAGTGCGCCGACGACGCCGAGTCGCAGAACTGGTTTGTCATGGAGGACGGCCGGATTGCGCTGGACGCTGGGGGGCAGAGTATGTTCTTATTTACCCACTCTTTAATAACCCTGACCATATAATATAAGTTCCCGGACAGTGTCATGGATGACTGGTAAAGAAGAGAAGCTGACGATAACAGAGGAGTGTGTCGACCTGGTGTACATGCGCGCAGTGGAGAATAATGATGTCGGGCTGTACAGCTGCGCGGGGCTGGGTAATACGGGAGCGGCGGATAAGGGGATTAACTGGCCGTTGGTGGATGTGACGGTTTAGCGTTTTAGGGGAGAAAGAGAGGGTCTTCAATTGGGGGGTTGGTAAGGTACTTAGTCAGATAAATCACCATGAGCAAGTTGCAGATCAAGCGTCAAGCGGTTTGCAAGGCGAACTATTATATGACTCGTTCACGTCTCAGGTAGTCAGCGCTAATTATCCAAATCCCGGAAAGATGAACGTTTATTTGTATCTTCTTCTTGTCCCCCCTTTCAGAAACGCAGAAATAACCCCCCTCCCCCTACACACACACTCCACACTCGAACAATCACCGCTTCTCCGGCTGCGCTGGATCTTCCCAGGGCAGCGGAATCGGCCAGTACACCTTAAAGTCCGGCGGCAGTGTCGGCGGCGGTGCGACGTCCTTGAGTGCGCCCTTGTTCCGCTGCGGTTGCGCACCGGCACCGTTTCCACCATTGGTCATCGCCCCCGCAGTCGGCCGCTGCTGCTGCTGCTGCTGCTGTTGGTGGTAGGTATTCATAGCAGTCGTCGTACCATTAACGTTATTAACAGTAGCAGGCCTTGCGGGGGAACTTGTACCTCGGTCGGTCGGTGCTGGGGGTGCTGGGGGTTCTGAGGGTTCTGAGGGTTCTGAGGGTTCTGAGGGTGTTAAAATTTTCAATTCGACGTCAACAGGTGCATATTGTCCAGCAGCCTCTCCCCCAAACCGTTCTTTCAACCATTCCTGATAAAGTTCATGACTTTCTTGCCACTCGAGCGGTATCCAGCCGCCAAAGTCCAGGATCATGCCCCAGTAGATGCATATAGGATTTTGCGGGAGCTCTGCGAACTGGCAGGGACGCTTGCCAAGACGAGAAAGCTCGAATACCACGGCTCTGTTGTAATCAACGATAACAGGCTGTGGCAGGGACTGCTGTTTGTTGGATCCTGAAGGTGAAGAAATGGGCGCAGACCGTAGAATGACGTTGCGTGCGGCCAAATCGCGTTGATCAACGCCTGCGTGCCGCTGTCTGACACTGCCATCTAGTACCGCAGCCAGGATGTCAAGACGATCTGCTTCGGTATACCGTGAGAGTAGGTCCGGGTCAAGGGAAACAGACCGGATACAGTGGCCGTTGATGTGCTCCATCAGAACTAGGCGGACAGATCGCTGTACCTCCTTTCCCGCGTGCGTGATGGGCAAGGTGAAAGTCCAAGAACCATAGTACCTCGGGGCAGCCAAGCCCAATCCTGTACGGCCGTCACCCTGGCGCATTACCCCCTCGAGATGATCGAGTGCTGCGGCCTCGTGCGAGTAGTCAACGTCAGCTAGCCAAGGGGTATCGTCGGCCTCGCTCATCGCATGTGGGCACTCGAAGGAGTAGTAGAGTGGATCAAAGATCTTTGCGACAAACTCCCCGTGCCCGTCATTATTAGACTCTTGCGGGCAAGGGCAAGGGCTTGGGGTGACGGAGCAAACGACCAGCTGGGCACCCCGCCCGTCGTCTACGGCGAGAGGCTTGAGGATGGTAAGCGTGGCCGTGGCCGTGGTTCTGGCTGCGGGAGACGAGGATGAGGATGATACGGTGTTTAGGTGTTCGAAGGGGGGGTGTGCCAGAACAAGCTCGGTCTGAGTAACTGCCTCCAGGTCCACGTCGTTTCGTTCTGGCCATGGTCCCGGGCCGTAATGGGGGTCACCAAAGGGTGGAGGGGGAGTGTGCCGCTTAATTTCCACGGTAAAGCCCGCTTGGTACGGACAGGCTGGTTTCTCTGGATCCGGTGGTGGATGCCAGAAAGTGAAATGTGGGGGAGAGTTGGAAGCTAGGATAAATGGTGGTTTCATCCCGGGGGGCGAGCCGGTGGGCGAGCTGGCGAAGGAGTCCATGAGGGAGGCAATGAGTTTGATGAGGTATTCAGGCAATGCAATGAGTGTGTAGAGAGCGAAGCACGGGGCGATATGGTGCGGTTCGGGGCCTCGCGAGAGGAAACCCAGAAACAGTAACCTTCAGACGAAGAAGTTGGAAAGCCCGACGCACCCAGAATGGGGAATAGAGCAGGGTATCAAAATCAGACCGCTCCTGTGACCAAGTCTGGAAGGTCATGCTCTGTGATGGATGTTCTTGAGTTTGGTTTGGGGGTAGGTTGGGAACTTGAGTAGGCAAGTTTAGCCCCCACCAATAAATTAGGTACAAAACTAGGTACCTAAGGTAGGTACCTAGTTATTTGATTACACAATTACTCTTCGGGCCTGCAAACAACCACCCAACAAGGTATAGCACATTTCATGTTCTCAAAAAAGACTTGAATTTAATCAATTATCATGTTTAATATTAATCGGCTTAGGCTGGAGTTTTATGAAAATTTGTTATCTGTGTAATACCAGGTAATTAATTACGTTTTAACCTCGGATCGGATGGCTTCTTTCCGGATGGATAGTTGATATTGGTATCATCAAATCTCTCCCACGTCAGACGACGACAGCGAATGACAAGCACCGTTCTGTTCACAATTCCATTATATTGCGAGCCACGTGAGTCTGTATTCCTTTCCATCCCATCTTTCTAAACAATGCGTCCGAACAAAGATCCTCGGAGCTTTCACACAGACCACGCAGCATTAAGAGCAACAACAAACTACCAACACAACAATCCAAAAACCCCAACAAAGCCCCAGATTATCTAACAAAGCCACCAACCAAAAAAGCCCAGACTGAACCATCCGAGAGAATCACCCCCTCTCCAACCGCCCCAGAACTTCCAGCCAGTGCTCCAAAACAGGCACCGCCTCTCCCATCCTGGGCTGTGTCCCTGTGTTCTCCCGACACCGCTTCAGCAGTCCCTCATACGCCTCCTTCAGCAGCAGCGCATTCAACCGGTCTCTCGTTCTTATCCCGGACCCAGAGCCAGGAGCAGGAGCAGATCCAAACCCGGATCCAAACCCAGATACCGAAGGACCACCTATCAGAGGACCGTGAGCATTGGTACTGCTGGTATCGTTGGTATGACTGAGCGAAGCAAAAGCAGCAGTCATCTGTTCAACCAGCATGTCCTGGCACAGCTCCAAACCGGCTGAGATATCCCGGCCGTGGAGGAAGCGGGAGATGCGGGGGTCGTCGTTGGTGTTTTCGCTGTCCTCGATGATGGGATTTGTCTCTTGGGTCAGGTTTGTGTCTGGCATGTCTACGTCCGCGCCCGCTGTGGCTACGCCTGGGTCCGGGCCGTCCATATCCACGTCTAGTTCTGGCTCTGGCTCTTGAACTGGGTTAGATGCAAAGGGGTCGGTAGCAGGACTACCACTTCCCACGCTTGAGGCTTCGGCCGCAGCAATAGCAACGGCGATGGTAGCAGGGAAAGGAGACCTAAACCGGGGCCTGCCCCTCTCTCTCTCCACCTCCATCTCCATCATCGGCCAGACCTCACTTTTTTGTGGTTGGCCGAGGGTCGGCTGCGGGTGGCTGATGAGGCTCTGGGTCTGCTGTGAGAGACGGTTGGGGTTGCGCGGGGGAATATGAGGAGTTGCCGGGTCCGGGGCGGGGGCCGGGGTGTCCATCTCCATGGTGTCGTCGTTGTTATCGCCGTTGTCGTCCACGTCCATGAAGGTAGGGCTGCTGGCGACTGCGGGAGTGGTGGTCGTCGGGGTGGTTACCCCGGTGTTGATAGCCGACGGGGGGGAGAATGTGCCTGCCGAAGGGGAGGCCGCTGAGGGGGAGGTTGTAGAAGCCTCGGCGTGAGAGGTCTCACCGTGGGAGGTCTTAGCGTTGGGAGCCGAAGGAGCAGCGGTTGATACCGGGGGCAGAAAGGTGAACGACGACGACGGGGGCGGAGGAGTCGACGACCCCGGAGAAAGACGGAACACGACGGCATTAGGAGGTGAAGGGGTGTCCCGGCGTCGGTGGGGGGGTCTTTTCTTTAGGGCGTTGGTCCGTTTCCTCGACGGAGACTGCGACGGAGACGGCGACGGTGCGCTTGTCTGGTCCTTGGGTTTGGACCCGGCGTTGAGAAGCGGGGAGTGGGTGGTTGGCTGCTGCTGCTGCTCCTGCTTCTGGCGCTTTCGCGGCTGGGGTTCGTTTTCGGATACCACGTTGTTGTTGACGCTTTGGTCGTCGTCAGAGCTGGCGAACATGGTGCGGTAATCCGGGATGATGGACTGGTAGTACTTGGCCAGTGCCACAGATTCGTCAAAGACGGGATTTTTTGACGCCAGCCCGTCATCCTTCGGGGAGAGGAACTCTTGCTTGCCCAGGTCCGTAATAGCCGACACCCGGGGGCTCTTGCGCTGGGCGGAGGTGCTGGACTCCCCGTTGTTGTCCTGGTTCAGACCCGGGGTCGGGTCCTCCGGCTGGTAGCGGAGGGCGAAGAAATCATCACGGCGGGACGACGTGAAGCTCTGATAAATGGGGAGGTGGGTAGTAGTACTTTTGGGCTCGGTAGTCCCGGGACTGGCTGCGCTGGCGGCGCTGTCCGCATGGAGTGTCGGCTTGAACGGCGAAAAATGGGCGTTGTTGCCCGAGGAGTGGCCGAACCCGGGGAAGGTGGGTAGTGAGAGATGGGCACGCTGTTTGGGCTTGTGCTCTGGCTCATCCTCCAAGGAGCGCTTCCGTTGATAACGGAAGAGGGAAGAGAGGAACGGCATGACGGAGCGTGCCCGAGAGTGGCGTCCGGGTTGAAGCCGGAGGATGAGATGTCGAGATGGTCTGTCTCTTGTCAGAAACACAGAGGAGACAGAAGAAAAAGAGGATGAGAGAGGAAGAGAAGGAAACGGTCAAGTTCTAGGTTATAGGACCATGCTTGAGGTAATGGAAAACTCGAGTCGCCATGACGTGAGCTTTGGCTATGCCATGCATCTGCTACATACCCGACATGCCCGAGAAGCGTCATACGTACATGTACATACATGCACACATGTACGTAGATATTTCTCAGCAGTCTTGTCCCTTATCTTGCCGCACTCCACTGCTGTTCATGCTGTTCATGCAGTTTATGCAGCACAAAGCATTATCTGTGCTAGACAAAGAGTGTGTGCGTTGCTGTTCTGCAGTGTTGTTCACAATGTCTTTGTTGGATATAGCTTATATTGCCCGCCTACGGTCCGCTACTTTTATGTATAATGAGCCTGTTTAAGAATCGTAAATAATCCGATAGCTCACACCCGATCTTTAGACGTTGACTCAACCACAACAGACAAGACTACCAGTAAGTAATAGTAAAAGATAACAATCCACAAGGTAAGTAACATGTCACCAAAAAAGCGAGCACGCCGTGCAGAAGATTCAGATCCCGCTCCAGCTCAAGCCTCCTCATCCCGAGCACCACCCCAAAACCAACCTCAGCCCCCAATAGAACTAGACCCAGATGCAGACCCAGACCTAGATGTCGTCGCAGAAGCAGTCGCAGAAGCAGAAGCAGAAGCAGAAGCAGAGGCAGAACCAGCCCAAGAACCCCGCCGCTCCTCCTGGCAATCCCGCGCCCAACCACACTGGCCCGTCCCAGCCCTCACAAACGTAGTAGCGACCGCGAACCTAACCTGCCGCATCAACCTCGACACCGTCGCCCAACACGCCCGCAACGTCGAGTTCAACCGGCGCAAATTCCACGCGGTAATCATGCGCATCCGCGAACCGCACTCCACCACGTTAATCTTTGCCTCTGGCAAGGTCGTCATCACGGGGGCCAAGTCCCGGGATTTGGCTCGGTTGGCTGGGCGGAGGCATGCGCGCGCGATACAGAAGTGCGGGTTTCCGGGTGTCAAGTTTACGGAGTTCAAGGTGCAGAATTATGTGGCGTCGGCGGATTGTCGGTTTTTGGTACGACTAGAAAGGCTGGCGTATTTGTATCGGCAGTCGGCGAGTTATGAGCCGGAGTTGTTTCCCGGGTTGGTGTATACTATGGTGAGGCCGAGGTTGAAGTGTTTGGTGTTTAGTACGGGGAAGGTGGTGTTGACCGGGGCGAAGGAGGAGGAGCATGTTTTTGAGGCGTTTGTGAATTTGTATCCGATGTTGTTGGAGGCGAAGGTTGTGGGGAGTGAGAGGGCGGAGGATGCGCCGCCGAAGAAGAGGAGGAGGAAGGCTAAGGAGGATAAGGGGAAGGGGAAGGAAGGGGGGAAAGGGAAGAGGAAGAGGGCGGATGACGATGAGGGTGAGTAGCAGTAAGTATAAGTTTCTCTGGTAAGTGATGTATGTAGGTGAATTGCTCGATAGATTATAAGATGTGAGTGGCCACCGACTTGTGATTGTGAACCCAAAAACCTACATCAAAAACCAAGAAAACTACACCGCAGTCTCCTTAGCCCCCCTCTCCGTCAATTCCACCTGTAACTTGTCCACATTCTTCGCTACCCGCTCCTGTACCTCCCTTCCCTCAAACATAAAACTCAACTCCTCCAGCGTGCGGTTGTGCGTCTCCGGAAATAGAAGGTACACCGTCGCGATCTCGACCAAGATCCACACGCAGTAGACAATATAGTACTTCCAGCCGATGGCGTCGAGGGCCACGGGGTTGACATATGTGTTGAAGAAGACGGCGAACCGGACCGTGAGTTGTTCCACTGCGATGCCCTTGGCGCGTTGCTGGAAGGGGAAGAGTTCGACCATGTAGGTGTAGGCGAGGGCGTTCCAGCCGATGTTGTAGAAGCTATTGCACAGTAAGTATTGTTAGTATTGTCTTGACAGAGCGTGAGAGGGAATGTTTGTGGTGAGAGAGAGATAGGGGTTGATGGAGAGAAAGAGAAAGGGGGAAAGAGAGAAAGAACGTACGGCGAGTAAACAAAGATAAACACCAGCACCGGAATACTGGCCGCCGCCGAGCCCTCAATCGCCGACCGCGCACTCGCCACCGTCCACACGGTATACACCACGGCCGTCCCAATCGTACACACCAAAAACATCCTCCGTCTCGGAAACCTCGGCGCCAACAACGCAATGGGCACCGCATTAATCAACCCCCAACACGTATTACTCAAAATCACCTTCTGCACCGTCCGATCATCCGTAATCCCGACCAACGCCAAAATCTTCTTCATATAAAAACTCAACAACCCATTCCCACTCCACTGCGTAAAAAAACCCACCACCGCCGCAATCACAAACCTCCTCCTCATCGCCGCATCCCTCACCACATCCGCCCAAACAAACCTCCCTGCCACCTCCCTCTCCAACGCAATCGTCCCCTGAATCTGCGCAAACTCCAACCGCACAAACTCCTCCCCCTCTAACCCCTCACCATGATACCTTCTCAACACCTCCATCGCCTCCTCCCCCCGATCCCTTGACACCAACCACCGCGGCGACTCGGGACACCAATACATAAACCCCACCTGACACGCGCTCGGCACCACCTGCAACAAACTCGGCAGCCGCCACGCCCACGTAGACTCCATCTGAAACGTCCCATACGTCGTGCCCGCAGCAACAATCGCGCCCACAAACCACGACGCATTAAACAAACTCGTCATGACCGCGCGTTCATTCGCATACGACAGTTCCCCAATCAGCGCCGAGGCATTGACGATAGCGAAAGGGATGCCGAAACCCAGCACCCAGCGCGAGGCGAGGAACATGTCCGAGTTGATGGCGCCTGCTTGGAGACCAGCCCCCAAAGCCATGATGAAGGAGGCTAGAAGGATGGTGTGCCGACGCCCGAGGTGTTGGCTGATGGTGGGGATGAAGGGGATGGCCATTAGGGCGCCGAGTGAGTACATTGCGTTGAGGAGACCGAGGCGGGATGAGGTGGGGTTGTCGAAGTCTGACTCGTGTCAGTATCTATTATCTCGCAAAGGAGAAGGGGGGAAGAGAAAGAGGGGACGGACAGTCTACCCATGATTGCACAGCCTGAAGACTGTTCATCATGGAGGAGTCGAAGCCGGACGTCCACTCGACACCCAGGGCTGTCGGGACGAGGATCAGGTAGAGGAAGCGTAGGTTCGGTTTATGGTACCATGGTATCGTGTCCGCTTGGGCGATGCGGGTGAGCCGCGGGTCGACGTGCTCTTCTTTGGCGCCGATGATGGCCATGGTGGTTCTTCGTTGTGAGACTGTCTTGAGGTGTTTGGTTTGTGATGTCGGGGATGTGTCGGGACTGATAGAGCCCTCAGTGAGAGAGACTCAAATCTGTGTAAGTCGGGCATGGATAATAAACGGCGAGGCCGTCTTTATAATTGCAGCTACCCCCTCGAGACCCCCTCCGTCAACAGCGTCGATCCAACCCCCCGATTCAAGTCACTACACCCGCAACCCAGCCGGAAGGATTGCCCATCCTCGGCTATCTTTCACCACGACCCGAGACCAAACACAGTCCATGTCGTGCGCCATCAATACAAAAGCTCCTACATCCTCCATGCACGCGATCCCCATGCCAAGCTCTCGTTGGGGTTGCTTCCTCCGACGCATGCGGGGTTCGGACGGCGACCACAAATTGCGGGGGTGAAAAATCCCCGACAAGCAACCTGGTTGTTGGGATTTTTAGGGGGGCCAGGGCAACCCGCGGGTGAAAGGCGACCGAGGAGAGGCGGGTTGGACGGTTTTGGTTGGTTGCAGGTGGTCATTGGGTGTTGGTTTTGGTGTTGGACAGAGGACAGATGACAGAGGGGACACCATGGAATGTTGTGCTTCTTAATCCCTGTAAGGAAGGTTGTGGGGGCCGGCAGTTGAGAGGTGGTGCTGCTCGGCTACATAGTACACTGCTATCAATACGACCTTGTGGTATCATGTCTTTTGTGATAATGGGAACTCACTCGAGGTAGGTATCTCTCCTTTTGATAACTTTCAGAAGGAGCAAGGGACAAAATAAAGCAAGAATCCGAAGGCAAATCTAATGATCAGGCGCAAACAACTCTTTTCGCATCAGTCTATCCCAAAATCTACGCACTCGCCTGCTCCCCAAACACAAACTCCTCCAGCTCCTTGTACGCCTTGTCCAAATCCTGCAACTCAAACCGTCAGCATCTTCCGCCCTCCTCCAAAAACCAACTCCACGCGAAGAGAAGGGGAAAGTAGGGACTTACATCATTAACAATAACCCGATCATGCACCCCCTCCACCTTAGCATACTCCAACTCCACTTTCGCCTGCTTCAACCGCTTCTGGATCGACGCCTCCTGCTCCGTGCCGCGCCCACGCAGCCGCTTCTCCAGCTCGGCCTCGGACGGCGGCGCGATGAAGACGTACCGCGCGGGGAATTTCGAGGCTTGGATCTGTTTGACGCCTTCGACTTCGATGTCCAGGACTACGGTTTTGCCTTTGGCCGTTTGTTCTTGGATGGTGGCTTTGGAGGTGCCGTAGAGGTTGTCGCCGAATTGGGCGCTGTCGGTCGTTAGTATTTTCTGCGTGTTTATGTTGTCAATGTGGGTGTGCTCGGCGTACTTCTCGATAAACCCATCCTGCGCCTTGAGTTCCAGGAATGCCTCCTTGGTCACGAAGTGGTACTCGACGCCATCACGCTCGCCAGGCCGCGGGCCGCGCGTGGTATGCGAGACGGAGAGCGTAAAGGTGTCGGGGTGTCTCTGGAAGAGTGTCAGGAGACCGGAATTTAATTGTATCATTCGGAAGGGAGGAGGATTCGAGATCAATCGTAAGGCGTACGCACTTGGAAGAGTAGGTTGTAGAGCGTGCCCTTGCCGACGCCGGACGGGCCCGAAATGACGACGGGGCGGGGATCGCGGACTACGTTTGTCAGTTTTTTCTTTCTTTTTTTTTGTCAACGGGAGTGGACAGCGGTCACCCACCGGGAGCCATGGTGTGAAGATAGGAAGCGCGGACGGTTTGGGCGAGGGAAACGAGTGGACGCCGCATCTCAGGCTACGACGCGGGACGGGAGGCTTTAGAGGGGATTGCGACTCGGTGGAGGGGCTGTCCAGGGTCAAGCAGCGTGGGGCTCAGTGGGTCGCTGTGACTCAATGTAGGGTTAGGGATGGGTGTGCACGAGCCCGACTCGGCCTTCTCGTGTACTTGGGTTTGAGATGCTTTCCCGACAGAATGTCGCAATGGAAAGGGGAATGACTCTAAATGTCATCATTGAATCAATAGATGCACGCATTGACCCATTGCCTCATTTAACAGATTTGACACGAGTTGAACGGCACCGCTGAGTTCAATTCCACGTAATATACCCTAACCCTGAATCTCAAACCAACTCGTCGCACTCATCCTAGTTCCTCCTCCAAATAACAAATTATTTACCCTCCCCCGGCATAGTCTCATAACACTCCCACCCCTCCGCCAACTCCATAACCGCCGACTTCGTAAAAATATGCACCCCCTTCTGGCCCTTCCACCCCAACCCCCCCTCACCCACATCATCCACCAACCCCGCCTTAACAGCCACCACCTCCCTCAACGTCTTCCCATCCGGCAGCACCACCGCATTAAACACGCGCGTGCCACATTTCGGGCAGAAATACCCGCGCATCGTGTTGCCGCTGTCGGTGGGGTATTCGTAGATGGATAACAGGCCAGAGGACGGGGAGAGGAGGTCGGCGGGGAGGGTGTCAAAGAAGATCGGGGTTGGGTAGTAGATGGAGGCGCCGAAGGCCGAGCCGGATTGTTTGCGGCAGGATGTGCAGTGGCAGTAAGCGATGCGGGTCGCGAGGGGGGGCGTGGTGAAGGAGACGGAGCCGCAGGGACAGGAGACGGGGAGGGCGGGGCCTGGGGCGGGTGTGTCGGCCATGGTGCGTGACTTGTAAGTTAACGGGTGTTGTGATATTGTGTTGTTGATGATGATGTCTTGTTGATATCTTGTGAAGTATGTTTGCTTGGTGCTCAATGTCGATGGCCGGAATAAAGCAGGCTGTCGCAAAGAGGGGAAATATGGGAAATTCACCCGTTTTTGAAAGAAAAAGGACAACACGTTGTTATCTACAGTTGTTTCTCTTCTGCAATTCCTCGGACACCGTTTTGGGGAAGAGAATGGTGACTCAGTCATCCGAGACTCGTTCGTGCAAGCGATGGGAGTCCGATCCGATCCACTGCACCTTATTAATGGCTTTCTGCTTGGCAGCTGCGATGCATGTACTGCACTAGTGTAAACCGCCGAGCGCCCTTGCAACAACATTTCAGCTTTGTATTTTTAAAAAAGGAACCCCGCGACCAAGACCGAATCAGGTATATTAGGAATTGGGATGTCACCTTTACCCCGTGAAGCAACCTTGAGGTGTCAATCACATAGTACAATACAACCCCGCCGAACAAATACAAACCAGACAACCACTCCCTATCGTAAATAAACTGCCCCTATCGTAAACAAACCGCCCCCTTTTTTCTCACCCCTAAACTCAAAACTCCATCCCAACTTCACACATCTTTCTACCTCCCCCCAACACTCCCCTTCCTCAACCCCCCTATCCCTGCGCCTAGCTGTCCTTGCCCCTGCGCCAACTCTGCCAACCTCTCCGCATCCCGCTGAGACTGCCTCACCAAATAATAATCCCCCACATCCTCCACACCCGCACCCATACCCATACCCGCACCCATACCCATACCCGCACCCACCAGCATACCCCCCCTTTTTGTTGTCGCTGTTGTTGTGGTCTCGACTACTTCGACAGATGTCTGCTTGACGATGACGCCTTCACGGATTGGGGATTGCGGTGGAACGGTGGCTGTGATGGATCCTGAGGTTTTTGGTGGAAGCGGTGGCTGTTGCTGCTGGGGAGGGTGGGTATGATGTTGATGATGATGATGGTGATGTCCAGCCTCGAGATCAGTCTCGTCATACGCCGTGGTATGTCCGCTCTCGCCATCAGTGCCCCCAGCCGCACCGCCATAAATCTCCTCATCACTCCCGTTCATCGTGAAATTCGGGATGGGGTGCACGCTGCGCGGGCCCATACCGCGGCGCGGGTTCTTGTTTTCGAGATGAAATCCCATGCCGCCGTCGCTGCCGGAGAGTTTGGAGGGCTTGTTGTGATTGTGGGCTGAGGTGGAGAGAGAGCGGAGGGTGCCGAGGATGGGGCGGAAGCATTTGGCGATTACGGATGCGACCATGGGGAGGTTGGAGGTGACGACTGCGACGAAGGTTTCGCGGACGGCCCAGGAGCCGGCTTGTTGCGCGCCGTTGACGGGGTCCTGGTGATGCTGGTCAGATGATACTGAAGTGAGGCTTTGTGGGGGAAGAGGGACGTACGGTGAGAATGAGGACGCAACGCAGGATACCCGCTGCCGTGACAAAGATGCCGCCGGAGAATATAAAAATCAGACCGGCCTTCTTCATTGGCCGCAGTGAGGAGCCCCAGAGCATGGGGATGGGGATGCTGAGTAGATAGAGATCTGTGACGACGTTGAGGACGACCGTGACAAAGATGTCAATCTTGGAGATGGCGGGTTGGCAGGCGTCTGTTTCTATTAGTGAATGTCCACCAACACAAGGAGGTCTATCGCAGACGTACTCCCAGGGTCGGGGTAAATCTGCCAGTTCTTTTCGAACGGATAGCACCCGAAGAGAATAGAGAATAACACAGCAATCCAAGTCGCCACGATGAGCACGAAGCCGGCGTAGATGCGCTTCTCCATACCTAGACCGTCCTACTCTACCGTCAGCCGCTATGTCGTTTTTCTTTTTTCGTGCCACGTTCATGCGCTGCATAAACCCGAACCGGGAGACCATACCGTAAGACGGAGATAAAACGTGCACATGGCCGCCTTGATGACCCAAAGCAAAAACGTGTAAGTCGACCACCCGGCTACCTGCGTCTTGGAGCCATTGACTCTGTTGTTCCCGTAAATTAGTCTTCATATTCCCTCGCATATGTCCGATGTTTTGCTTACCGCAAGTGGTACTCCTCACTCCCCGGGTCCAGCAGCCGACGCTGCTCGTCCGTCATGGCATTGTTGGCTAGCCCGTGCCAAAATGCCCCCACCGAATAGGCGAGATATGTCTCGATCGAGTACGCTATCTAAAATGCCAAAAGAGCGAAGTCAGCTCAGAGATGTTCCGCTTGCAGAAAATAAGGCTGAGGAAATATGGCGGAAGAAGTAGGACACGACCCGGAAAAAGACATGGTTAACGTACCGCCGCCACAACCATGAGATAATCATCAGCATGGAGCCGCTTCCATCCTACCGCACTAATCCGAACATACAGGCGAAGGCCAATAACAAACAGACCAATGCCGAGAAGCATAAACGCTTCCCGCACGAAGGCTTCCATAGTGGCGTCGACAAATGGGGTTCAAAAGAGGGTTGAGAAGTCGTTGCTGAAGCCCACCGTGTATCCCGCTTGTAGCGGTTGCAGATATCGTGGCTGTGAGACCTCGACGCCTACCGAAGCAAAAAGGCAGTGGCGTCTGCAGCCAAGAAAACGAGCGTGGATGAAAAGAATGGATGTGGTGAATAAAAGTTGGGTAGTTGTACAGACCGGATCTCGGCTCGCCGCAGCCCAATACACGAGGGATGTTTCCTCCTTTATTCAGGAGTCCTCTCGATCTTCCTAGCGAATGCTCGTAACCGAAAAGGAGAAACGAGGAACACCCACGTGGGTGGCTAGCCACCCATTCCGATAACTGTAGATGATATCGCGATCGGCCTCATGGGAACCCAGGGTTCGTAGAAGTGTGTTGAGTTTGAGGCGAAGGACAGTATAGGCTAGGGTTTCTGAAAAAGAAATGCGGATTCAAGCAAGAAACGACCGGTCCCGCGAAAGATAACTACGCAATGGGGTGATTATGGGGACCTGGCTGGCCAACAGGCGGACGAGGTTGAAGAGGATGTGGGACAAATCGGTTTCTTTCCTGAGAGACGACACTAGCATACAGGGCAGGAGGACAGGGAGGCAAGGATAAATGGGGGTCAAAAGAAGACTTGGAGAGGGCCTGACGTCCAGAAGCACGCTTTCTGCCTTCCTAAACCTCCCCCTCGGTTCGGTGCGAAGGAGATCGGCGAGGGGGTTTTCGGCCCCCGGATGCGGGTGGTGAGACCGAGAAGCATCTTTAGCTTGCTAGATCGACGGGTGGTGTAAGCAACAGACGAGAAAGAAACAATAAGAAACATATGTTGGGATAGCAAACATCAGTGTCCCACTAGCACACCAGATACCAGCTGCGAACAGGCTACACGTGCAGTTACTGCACTACCCATGGCAGTTCGCCTCCAGCTGCAGGTCGTTTTGCCCCTTTTCTGCGCCAACGCCTCGCCTCTCAGTGCCGGCAGTCTCTTGAACGGTCGTTCAAGAATACCACGGACGAGAGGAGCCGACCGCGCGCCATCGTGGGGGCCCAAGGAAAGGGTCAGGGGTCGGGAGACATAAGGTGAACCAGGGATCAAGCCCCGAGACTCGAAACGGCAAGCTGCAGCTGTGCTTCGTTGGAGTGGAGTGTTTCTTCGGTGCCACCATCACCTCATGATCCGGGCTCTAGTGTACTAGTGTACACTACACTATGTGTGTAGAAAGGGGTCATGGACGGCGTCCACCAATGGTGACGGGGACGAGAGGAGAGAAATAGGAAACAAAAGAAACAAAGAAAATGGTGGGTGGCGAACGAAAAGTTTGTTGATTCCAAAATGTAACTTCCTCATCAGGGTCTCGAGTCCGGCCCCTTAGGGCCCTAGAGGACATGGTCATGGACAGGGACAGGGCCTGGCCAAGACTTAAGAACGACCCTTCAACCCGGCCCTCAGGTTGCGGCAGTTGATGTGGGGGTGTGGTAGTCGCTAGCGAGCCGACTGGCGCGGGCTCAGGGGGCCCTCCATTGGGAAACGCGAAACTACACTAACAGCGCGGAATAGGCGTACAAAACCACAAGGCTGTCTCGAGGCTGTCAAGGTTGCGGGAATGAAGATGAGCGAGAAGCAGAGAACTAGTGTAAGCTGTTAAAAGCGTGGGGGCCACCAGTCAGCCGTTAGTTCCCTTCGCAATTCCGCATCGGTACAAGTAAGACCGCAATGTGAAGAAAACCGAGACATGACTTGTAGAATGGCCGTAATGTTGTCGCTGGACGAAACCCACTCTCAGAGGTTGTAACCCGCCGGCCAATGTTGGGTACACGTGTATGTACTGTGTCGATGTAATTCCAAGCTTGGGGAGCCCTAATTTTCATCGGTGGGCCGCGATATCGAGTTCCATCAGACTCAGGCGGCTGTACGTGGAGGAATTTGTCCCGTCTAAACCGTTAGTGGAGTAGCTCCATGATTTACTGCGAGCCCCTCGGGTTGGCCTGGTTAACTGGTGCTGATTCTTTGCTTCTTTTGTTTCTCGGCACCTCGGTCAACGTTCCCTTGTTTATTTCTTCGCTTCCCATTGATAGTTAGAGCGAGTTGAGTTCCAGGTTGGAGGGACGATAGGGCGGATTCCGAGTCTCGAAGTCAAATACGTGCTATCGTTGCCCAAACCAGCAGCTCCAGGTTCCAGCAACCGCAAACAACCCCGTTTGTCGGCCGGTCCGAGGCAGTTAAATTATGAGGCGGCCGTTGTGCGTACCGGCCAGAGACGAGCGGGAGGGATCGGGCAAGGCACGGCGCGAGGTGGATGAAAGCAAGGATAGGCGTTGTTAAATGGCATGTGAGTGTGGAAACTTGGGAACGACAACAGGGGACGGGCTTCGGGGCTTGCTGAACCCTGAACCCACCACGCTAGACAGGGGTTTCTGGCCCCCACTCCACACCTCAGACGACCTCCCCCATTCTGCGCGTGTCGCTCCTGCATGGGCAAGGGGCCTGGCACCACGATGGTCTCTCGCAAAACTACAATCGCGATCACGATGGAGCAGCCAGCCGACGATTGCCAACATGTGCTCTTTCCTTCTGTTTTGGTAGGCTCCTCAAGAACCTAGCCGAGCCCCACGGTCTCGGTTACGCCTGGCTGCGGCAAATCCAAACCCATGTTCCACGGGCAGCGCCTTCTCGCAGATCTGGAATGCTCGCTAAAGTAACCTGATGCGCAAAGCTGAGGCGCGCACAAACTTTTCTCGTCGAGGAAGCAGAAAATCCTCCATCCCTCTCTCCTTCGCGACCACCTTCGAGCTCATTGAAGAAGGTATCCCAGTGATCCATCAAGTCATCCCGCTGTTTGCCGCACCCTTACAAGGGGTCAATCAACATGAAAGACCAAAGCTAAAGAGCCGCGGCGACGTTGCCCCTCTCTTCGTGGGTCATGGACAATGCAGGGGCTGCGGCTGGGCCAAGCCCATCCCACGGTGTTTAGCCCCGGAATAAGGTGAAAACCAGGGTTTCCGTGTTCAGTCCGGCGAGGAGTCAACATAGTGAAAGAGGGCATCGCTGCACTGCCCGCTGAGGATCCTTCAAGAACGGGGACAGATAAGAAAAAGGGGCATTGGGAATTTTCTCATTAACCACCCAGTTGGGTTGCATTCAGGAGAAGAAAAAATGTAAACCGAAAGAAGATCAAGGTCAAAGGAAAGGAAAAGCAAAAGCAGCCCGAAGCGTTCTTCGGCAAAAGCTTGACAGGACTGCGAAGACATCAGGCCACTCGCGCTTTACAGGTCGCAGGACACTATCAAAACTCCCCACCACTCTAAATCCTTCAGGGTTTCATCTGAACCAAGCCACATGGCGAACAAGGAAAGGCTTTGGATGAGAAAAAGAACCGAAAAAGCCAAGACGCAACCTCCCAGGACTGATAATCCTAAAGTGGCTGCACTCAAGCGCCAGCAAGCTCTATCTCGCGTAAGCACGCTCTTAGCATAAGCAGGAGGTACATAGTTAGACCACCACTGCGATGATGACCCATAACCGTCGTTTGGGCGCCAATGGGACCCTATTGATCGCCAGCTCAACCCACCTCTTATATCCTTTCTTTTTATTTCGATTTAACCCGTTTTTTTCTCTTTTACCCTTCGTCGGCGCTGCCCCCCTCCCCAACCATAACCGGCGAGATTCCTGACTGACGGGAACTTCGTCCGCCACCGCGTGAGACGGCGCATCACCTGCTCAGCAACTCCGGCAAAACACACGCGTGCTCGCGCACTGTTCACGTTCGTTGACTGTTTAGCAAGAAGTGTCTCGCATTTTTGTTTTGTTCGGGACTTTTTCCGCAGTGCGAGCAAATCCGAGAGTTAAGGTGCGGTTACAAGTTCGCAGCCATGGAGACACTGGATTTTGTTGTTGTCGGAGCAGGCATGTTGATTCCATTTTCTTTGTAACCCCTGTTCCGAGTCGTGCGCCCGTCAACATACCCCTTTTGAGGTGTTGCAGAGGAGGAGGACGACGACAGCGAATTGGAATAAGATAGATCTCCCTATCTGGCATCACTCACAGATCGCCATCACCACCATGACTAACACGACCGACCCCCGGCAGGCTTCTACGGCCTTGTATCCGCAAAGACCTTCCATCAGCTACACCCAGACGCGAGTCTGGCCGTCCTAGAATCCAGTTCAAGCGTTGGCGGCGTGTGGTCCTGGGAGCGGCTGTACCCCAGCCTGCGCACCAACAACTTACTGGGGACCTATGAGTACCCGGATTTCCCCATGGACACCAAGACGTTTGGCATCAAGCCCGGCGAGCACATCCCGGGTGAGGTGATGTATAGGTACTTGAACAGCTACGCGAAAAAGTTTGACATCCGCGACAAGATCCGGCTGCAGACGGTGGTTAGCACGGCTGAGCACCAAGATGGTCCGGACGGAGGGTGGGTGTTAACGGTGAAGACTGGGGGGGAAGATGGTGAGGAGAAGCAAATATTTGCGCGCAAGCTGGTCATGGCCACGGGGTTGACCTCGCAACCGTTCTTGCCGCATATCGAGGGCCAGGAGGGATTCGGTGCGCCGATTTATCACAGCCGTGAGTTTGCAAAATACACGAATAACTTGGACACGGCCAAGAAAGTGGCCGTGTTTGGCGGTACCAAGTCGGCATTTGATGTCGTGTATGCGTACGCTATCAAGGGGGTTAAGGTGGAGTGGGTAATTCGAGGTGAGTGTTCCTGCTTGCCCACAATCTTGTTTGGCGCTGGGTGAGACTGACACACTTACTTTTCTTTTAGAGAGCGGCCACGGCCCGGCTTGGATTGCTCCTCCGTATGTTACACCACTTAAAAGGTGGCTCGAAAAGCTCGCACGTAAGTTCTCTTACTCCAAGGCACACCCACCCCGCGGGCCCAACGTCTAACACACCTACTAGACACTCGCTTCTTGACTTGGTTCAGCCCCTGCATATGGGGCAACGCCGACGGCTACACCGGGATCCGCAACTTCTACCACGGCACCGCTCTCGGCCGCGCCATCACCAACTTCTTCTGGTCCATCCTAGGTAACGACGTGCTCACACTAAACAAGTACGACGCCCACCCGGAAACCAAGAAGCTCAAGCCCTGGAGTCAGGCCATGTTTGTCGCGACATCCCTCGGCATCCTCAACTACCCAACAGACTTCTTTGACCTTGTTAGGAATGGCACGGTGAGCGTGCACATCGCCGATATCAAGGGCCTCTCATCCAGAACAGTGCATCTCGCCAAAGGCGGGAAGCTAGAAAACGTCGATGCGCTCTGCTGCGCAACCGGCTGGAAGCACCTCCCTCCCGTCAAGTTCCTCCCCGAGGGCATCGACAAGGAACTAGGTCTACCCCACAAACTCGGCACCAACCCCGACGACGACGACAACGAGCTCTTCTCCCCCTCCAGCGTCGCCGAAGCCGACAAAACCATCCTCTCCCGCTTCCCACGCCTACGCGACCAGCCCATACAGAACAAGCGCCTCGCACCACTCACCGGCACCCCAGGGGTTACAGCGACCTCGCCCGAGGACGACGCGATTGGGTCCTCCTCGGCCGTGGCCGACTCGGCGCCGTTGACACCCTGGGGACTGTACCGGTTCGTCGTGCCGCCGTCGGCCCGGTTCATGCGCACGCGCGACATCGCGTTTACGGGGATGCTGATGAATTTCTCGGCGGCGATGGGGGGGCAAGTGCAGGCGCTTTGGATTACGGCGTATTTTACGGATCGGTTGTCCCCGGCTGTTTTGCCGCCCCGTCAGTCATTGACAGCAGCAGCAGCAGCAGAAACAGAAACAGGACCAGCGGCCGAAGAAAAAGGCAAATCCCTCGCACAAGTCCGCGACGAAACCAGGCTGCACGCGCGTTTCGGTCGCTGGCGCTACCCGGCGGGCCACGGCTCACAGTTTCCTGATTTTGTGTTTGATTGTATTCCGTACTTGGACCTGTTGCTAGGGGACTTGGGCGTGCGTGCGCACCGGAAGAGTGGGTGGTTTGCTGAGATGACGGAGCCGTATGGGCCAAAAGATTATGAGGGGGTTATGGCTGAGTTTGAGGCGAAGAAGGAGTGACTTTGGGGTTCGTTTTGTATCTAAAGCGGGGTCCGAAAACGTTGCAGATCGTGCATTCGAGCGGTAATGCTTGGTTTGGTTTGGGCACTATACGGCAAGGTAATCGGCGCGAACAATGCGCTGTCCAATTTGTGTCTGATAACAGTCAGTTTGATCATGCCACATCCTTTGCCATGACGTTCTCGTCCCCCAGAATCAGGTAGGTACACTCAACTCCGTGACCCGATCAACAAAACGCTCCAACCCCCAGCTTCCAACCAAAATCTTATCCCCAGGCTAGCAACATTACGATCACCATGTCCTAACCTTCATGCTTCAGCTGTCAGGGAAGGTCGCGATCGGCGGAGTTTTGGTTCTGGTGGGGGTCAAGGAGTCAAGGGACAGGGTCCATGTCCCCACTTCGCCCCGCGATGATCCGAACACCCCCCAAGCTTATTTTGTGGGCCGTGCCCCTGCCAAGACTGGGCGTTTAACGACATGTGTAAATGTGTAAGTCGGATCCGGAAGCTGCTATGGAGGCGCGATTGATTTTGGTGTTTGGATCGTTGCGCTCAGAGAAAGCGCGACTGGAATCGCGATTGTTTTGGTTATTGGTGGTTTTCTGCGGCAAAAGTAATTTCAAATTGATGATCGCAGTTTGAAGTTGTGAAAAGATTTGGGGAAGAAAAATGGTTTGGTTGGGTGTGGTATGTTCTGAGTGTGATGCGAAATGGAACGTGTTGAAGCAAAAGGCAGAAGTGGGGGCGGATAACCACACCACCAAGAAATTATCATGACATTGGTTACTGGTAGGTTTGGGCGCAAGTTTTCGTCGCTTCAAAGCGCTGTGGTTGTTGAAAAACGTATGGAAGGGAGGTGCAAGGTGTGTTGCGCTGCCGACAGACGAGTTGCCTCACAAGCAGCAAATAAAGCAACCACTATGCTTCAAGCTCACCAGCAGGAATGACAGACACTTCACAACAACACCAAAGGATTTGAAATTCAAAAAAGAAGATGATGACATGCTTGGCCACCCCCAGAACCCACCAGCCCCCAGAACCCACGACATTGCCACAGACGTGCACGACAGGGGTAGTGGCCGCAAGCGACCCTACAAACGCCATAGAAATTGCCATGGACCAATGCCCACCACAGGAATCAAACCCGCGGTGTCAGGAGTGGTGGCTGCCCGAAGGGTGAAGCCATAGACCACTTGACCAAGCATGTCATCTGAATTGTGTTAACACCCATTACGCCGGGGGGGGGCTATAAACCCCCGACGGGGGAGGAAGGAATAGGAGGTCTGTTCCCCCTTCTGCCCCGACGGCATGACGTACCAGGCACACTTTGAGCCCATGTACACACGATCTTGATTTGTTGTTCTCCAACTCGCCCATCACGTTCTAGCTGTCCGTAATCGAAGTGAAGCTCTGAGGAGTTTCTGAGATATACTATGTACATTGAAGAAGTGAAGTAGCAACGCTTCGTTTCCTTTGCGAGGTTGATCCTCCAAAGATCTCTGCACGCGATTAGATTGCAAAGTAGATCTGCAAAGTTCTGTATAATCGCCATGTACACATGGCGGTGTTGTAGCCACAAGACATGAATTATCACCTTTGCTTCCATCCCCTGGTGTTATGGCTCGTAAATGTTCCTCCTCTTTTCGCTGTAGTATTCGATGGTCCCTCCTTTGTTCAGTTGTACGCACCTACCGAGCTTTCCACACACAAAGTCTCACAGAGCCTTCCACACACACCAGCCCTGCCACCGACCTTCAGGAAGCTGTGCCGTGATGTATCGCCGATGACCAAGTACGATCCATATGCAGGTCGTCGGCTTAAATGCTGCAACATTAATGTGATGGTGACCGTGTGGAATACCGGCGTGACGGTATGTATCACCAAGCTTCGCTTCATGCTTGTTGTGGTAAGCCGTGGGTGTATTTTTACCACGGCCGGGAAACACAGACATTGTCCATGTCATCTTCTAATGCCCTATATCTCTCCAGCGTTGTATTCCCCCCGTTCACAATCTCAGAGCTACTTTCATGACCAAGAATAAATGAATCAAGATGGAGTCGATAGAATCACATCAACAATGCCTGGTCTCCTGCTGAGAATCAAATCTGGGACATAATAAGTTATTGTTAGTCATACCAGAAACAACACAATTGAATACCTGCCTCCAAGCTCTATTGTATTTTTGTGGGTTCCTGAACAATTGTTGTAAACATGCCCGTTTCCATCAGCTTCGCGAACCTTGACACAGTACCTTCCCCCGCCGACCTCTCCGGCGTGTATGTAAAAATTCTCACCCACCTGCCCTTCCACCTCGATTCTTTTTTCTACAACAACAAAAACAAGCCATCCGATTTTCGAGCTCGCTCGCGGTTCTTTTCCGAACAAAAGAAAAAAAAAGAACGACGACGATAACGACGACGACGACCTCTCCGCCTCGGGCGGTTGGTTTGTTTTCGGCTCTCTCTTCCTTTCGGCCTCGTTTTTTCTCGTCTTCGCCTCACGGCCTCCTTCTTTCGTCACTTTCATTTTTTCGGACGACCGAAAAAATAAAAACACACGATGCCCCGCCAAGCCAACACCTTCCGTTGGTTTCTTCCCAAGAACGGGATGACCTGGTAAGTATTCACGAGTTTAATTTTCGTTATGTTACTTCCAGTACTTCAATACACTTCAAGCTACGATACCCATTACTAACCGGTTTGCCCTGTGGCGTAGGCACCCGTCCTCTGTGGTAGCCCACCGCAGCCGCGTCGACACCAACGTCGTCAGGGCGCTCCGGTCGCTCGGCGCCGTGTCCAAGCGCGACGTCCAGGTCGCGCTCACCAACCTGGTGGACGCGGCCATCGACCTCGCGCAGAAAACGCCACACGACGTCGAGCGGTCGGAGTTTGCCCTGGCGCTCCGGAACCAGACCCCCCTCGGCCTTGCCCTGCTCCCTGCTCATTTTGAGCAACTGTTCGTCGCGATCGTGCTGGCCAGGCAGCGATACCTGGGCGACCGCGAGGAGGCGGGTCTGGTAAGTCATGTGTGGTGATTTTCGCAATTCCGATGACACAAAAACACGATCTGCTTTGGGAGGGTGTCTACCTCTTTTCACCAGAGAACACTCTTTTGTCGTTCCAAGACCCATGGCACGAGCGGCCCCTGTTTTATCCTAGCATCCCCCTAACTTCACACCCTTTTCCCCTTCACATATCCCCAGCCCTTAGACCGAAACAAAGGGAAAAGGAAGCTCGCAACAAGAACGAAAAAGGCACACATTACTAACCAACCTTTTCGTCTATTCTCAGCCGGTGGAATACCCGGCTGCGCACAGCCACATGGCCCGCGCAGTCGACGCCTTCGAGGTGGCCGCGCCGTTCTGGAGCTCGGTCGAGGCCTTTCTCGAGGACGGTTTCCTCCGCGAGGAGGAACCGGACTCGGATGGCGCCGAGGACGCCGAGTCGCCCAGCGGCGGCGCACCCTCGTCAGCGGCTGCGGCGGGCCAGGCGGCTGTCGGCGGTGTTGTTGCTGGTGGTGTTGGTGTCGGTGGCGTGGGTGGTGCTGGCGTTGGTGGTGGTGTTTTCGGTGGTGGTTTCGGGGTTGGTGGTTTCGGTGGTGTGGGCGGTGGGGTTGGTGGTGGTCAGGCCACCGCGTTCCCCAACGACCTGGCGTATGTTTCCCTCGCGGCTGGTGTGAGCGCGATGGAGATCGACGACGCCCGGGTCGTTGGGGACGCGGGGGGTGCTGGGGCTGGTGCTGGGGCTGGTGCTGGGGCTGGTGCTGGTGCTGGCGCTGGGGCTGGTGGTTGGGAGAGTGGTGGCGGCGACGCCATGGACATCGACGGGTAGGCGGCCCGTGGTGGGGAGGGCCGGGGGAAGGGGGAGAGGGGAAGGGATGGGCGGGCGTGTGGGTGTTTTCGCGGCGCGGTTTGGGTTTGCCCTAAGGGGCCTTGTTAGTTTTTCCGGCGCGAGCCGATGAATGCATTTCTTTTCAGGCGTTGGTGCCTTGGTCTCCTGAATTGACGGTAAATGGGATGATGTGACAGACTTCCGGGTCGCGAATTCACGGCGAAGGGGATAATATGGCAAACTTCCGGGTCCTGAGTTCCTGGCGAACGGGATTATGTGGCAGACCTCGGGGCCGCGAAGGGGATTCGCTCCTCTTTCGCTTCGACTCTTTAGAACCTCGTTGGAGGTCCCTGGATTACGATCGAGGCGTCTATACCCGCTCTTGGGAAGAAACCACCTCAAGGTGTTTGCTTGGCGGGCCGGGGGCATCGTGTGTGTTCGTGTGTGTGTATTGTGGGTTTTTTTTTCGGTTGCCCGAAAGGAACGACCAACGCGCTGCTGAGTCCTGAGCGCTGTGTTGTTGCTCTCGCCGCTAGGTTCGCGAGCATTTTCTCGGTGGGTCTTCAGCTGCCATGTAATCAATCTTAAGGGAAATTTAAGAGGGAATACAAGGGGCTTTTGTTTCTGCTTTTGCTGTTCTATCGTCTCAATTTTTATCACTTGTGCTCTTCGCGTGTCGTCTTTATATTTACCTTGAGAATAGTGGAGAATGGCACCTAATAAAACAATTTCTAGAGCTAATTAATACGTCCCTAGCCGTCAACAACGTTATCCCCGATACCTAGGCCCTCATTCTTGTATCCGACGGTGTTGGCCTCGGATCGGAGCGACGGATCGGAATAAGTGGGGCGTCCAGCTCGGCATGAGGTTGCATTCGCCGAGCGGCTCTGCCGGCCCGCCGGACTGTCACAGCAGCGCTCGGGCGACCCCGCGTGATGACGTGTTTTGACACCACCGCAGTTTCATGAACGGAACTTATAACTAGCTAATAGTTCGCAACATTTCTATTGTGACTTTTTTCCCCTCTTGCACCTTCCCTCACTCTCTTTTCCATTCTACCGCTGTCTTGTTTAGTTGACTATCGATTGACGATTAAAGCCCAGATTTACTTCGCGGCCCTCAACTCATCAACGTAGCACAAAAAACTACCAATTTCATCAAATCTCATCAAGGCAAACACATCATCTCAACATCAAAAACATGGGATCCCCCACTACTCCCTGGTCCCTGACCTCCCACCTCCTCGCCAGCCAAGAAGATCTCTACAAGTCCGCCACGCAACACCCCTTCCTACTCGCAGGCGCCGAGGGCCGACTGCCCAAGGACATCCTCAGCCGCTGGCTGGCCAACGACCGGCTGTACATCCACTCGTACATCCGCGCAGCCGGCCAGCTGCTCGCGTCCATCGACCTGCCCAAGGCAGTGGCCGGCTCGCAGGACGCGTTTGAGACGCAGCTCGTGGACTGGATCGCTGAGGCGCTGGTGGCTATCCGCAGGGAGGAGCGGTTCTTTATTGATGTGGCGGAACGGTACGAGTTGGGGATTGAGTTTGGACTGCCGTATTTGCCTTCTGAGGGCGCTGCTGCTGCGACTGCCACGCAGGACACTACGCCTTCTTCTTCATCTTCGCCGGCGCAAAAGCAGGAGAAACTACCCGGCCTAGTCCAGCTAGAATTGATCTTCTCCGCAGTCGGTACCGCACCACCACCGCCAGCCTCATCCCCCTCCTCCTCCAGCCATATCCCCGGCGTAGCCGCCGTGCAAGCCCTCTTCAGCAGCACCGCAGCACCCACCACAACCCCTCCTCCCCCCCTCCCCTGGCTCGAAGGCGCCCTCACCTTCTGGGGAACAGAACGATGTTACCTAGACGCATGGTCCTGGGCGCGCCAGCAGGCCGCGGAAAAAGGCCAGGATCGGAGGAGTCACACGGAGGATGCGGACGGCGGGGCGCTGCGGAAGGAGTTTATCCCGAACTGGAGCAGTCCTGAGTTTGAGGGGTTTGTGGATAAGTTGGGAAGGTTGATTGATCGGGCCGTGGCGGGGGTGTTGGAGGGGAAGGCGGAAGGGGAGGAGAGGGAGAAGGTGAAGGCGGGGATTTTGGGGAGGGTGGAGGGGAAGTGGAGGACTTTGTTGGAGGCTGAGAGGGTGTTTTGGCCGGATGTGTAGGAAGTCTGGTGGTTATGGTTTGGAGAGTAAATGGCTCAGGTTGTGTGTTTTCTCTTTTCTTTGAGCGTTTGAAGCATAGAGTTGATAGATTACTCGGCTCAGTAAGACGCAGTCCTAAATCCATGATGCTGGTTGAATCTCCTTGGTAAATTGCAGTGTAAGTTTGTTTCTCGTGACCTGTAACCCGTCCTGTGCCATTATTTACCGCGTAACTTCGATTAACAAGTAAAAAGAGGAGAAGAAAGAATACGTTGTTTTGTTTTCGAACTCCGCCAAGGCGAACTGCCCGTTCGCCAACCGCTTAGCGAATGATGAGGTGGGAGCCGAGACACTTTTGAACTTTCGGGTTGGCCGAGGGCAGTCCGTCTTGCGAGGCTTTGTCGTGCATTTAGTCTGGAACAAAAGAAACGTGCGCAGGTGATTTGAAGTACAAATTACGGCGCGTTTGTATCACTATTCCATGAGATATGATGATGTTTAAAAAGTTTATGGAATCTCTTCTCCGGCTGACGCGTTGGTATCGGCACAGAAGCCGGCTGCAGCGGAAACAGGGGCATTTCCCCAAAAAAGAATAGGCCCTCGAGGCCCCGCCGAGCCCGCCCCGCCGGTTGGATTCAGCACGAGCTGTGCCAAGACATCTTGCGACAAGGGGGCGGAGCGTCGTGTGCTTCTTTGGGATCGGCAATTTCCATCAACCTTCTCAACATTCGCCCACCTTTGCGTACACCATTTCATCGCAAACGACCGAAACATCGATCGATAACGCGATGCGCTCGCAGTGCAGCTGGCCTGATGAGCACGATTACCTTGCCTTCTTCCGTCACTTTCTACACGCCTGAATCCTTTTTCACCACGCTCATTTGATTCTTCCTTTTCCTTCTTCTGCCGACGAAATCACCCACTCGACGAACGGTGGATCGAGCTTGGCCTGTCTGTGCCTGTGTGTTTCAGCGCTTTCAAACAGATTAGACCCGGGACTCGATCAACGTTAGGCTCCTCGACAACGACGCATTACTCAATTCACGCAGCAGGCCACGCCCGCTGTGACCACGACACCCACGGCATCTACCATCGAACCACGCTCGCTCTCTTGCGCGCGAATCGACGAACGAACACTCCATCATGCCGCCCTCCCAAGATCAGCGGTACGCCCCCGTCCCGCCAATACCGACCTACGACGAAGCCATCGCCGGCGGCAGCAGCTCCCACAACAATGACGATGCCGCCTACTACTCCCACCACCAACAACAACCAACCGAATCCGAACACCAATCCCTCCTCACCACCTCCTCCCGCCACGCCTTCGAATCGCCCTCTTCCACCTCCTCCCCAGCGCCCTCCTCAGCACATGCTCCCCTAACCGGCCGTCGACCGCGCGGCTACCGGGCCCCGACAGTCGAAACCGACGACGAGAGCAGCCTGTTCAGCTCGGACGATGATTCCGATTCCGATTCCGATGACGACCGTGAGGCGGAACAGGTGCGTCGCGAGATGCAGGAACTGGAGATTGATGACTCGGATGTGCGTGGTCGTCATAATCGCTCGTTATGGGGGAAACGGATTGGGCTGTCGCTGCCGCAGTGGCGGTGGAAGTGGAGGTTGAGGATGCCGAATTTGCGGCGGTCCGCTGGGACGGGTGGAAGTGGTAGTGGGAATGGGAGTACGGGCGGGGGAGGAGGGGCGGACGCGGCTGCTGCGCCAACGTCGGGACAGGAGGATGGGTCGAGGTCTTGGTTTGGCCTTACGCGTCCGCCGTCATTACCTGCTATCAGCAACCCAGCCATGTTCTTGCTCGTGGGCCGGACCCTGGCTATCTTTGTGGTACTGGGATTCCTGTATCTGCTCATCTCGAGCGACCTCTTCAGCAACATGGCCCAACGCATGGGCAGTCGGCTGTTTGATCCAGAAAGCGTGCGCGCACATGTCCAGGGCAGCGTCGATGCGCGGCATATCCGGGACCATTTGAAGCACTACACCAGCTATGCGCACATTGCTGGGACGGAGGGCGACTTTGCGCTGATGGAGGATACCGAAATGTTGTTTGAGAAGTACGGCCTGGAAGGGGTCAGGCGGGATGTGTTCCACGTGTATTTGAACTACCCTCTGGCTGGCGGCCGTGCGGTTGAGATTCTGGGCGAGGGTGGCCAGGCAACGTGGTCGGCGCAGTTGGAAGAGGAGGAAGCCGGGGAACGGACGGCGGGGCATCAGACGTTTGCTTTTCATGGGCACTCCAAGTCTGGGGACGTCAAGGGACGACTGGTGTACGCGAATTATGGGACGCGGGAAGATTTTAAGGCGCTCCAGGACAAGGGTATTAACACGAACGGCGTCATTGCCCTGGTTAGGCACCATGGGCCGGTGGAGGATGTCGCGTTGAAGGTCAAAGCGGCACAGGATGCTGGGGCTGTGGGCTGTATCACGTACAGCGATCCGGTGGATGACGGGTTCCTGAAGGGCGAGGCCGCGCCCAAGGGCCGGTTCATGCCCGCTGATAGCGTGCAGAGGGGCAGCGTGAGCTTGCTGAGCTGGGTCGTTGGAGACGTCCTGACCCCCGGCTGGGGCAGCAAGGATGACTTGCCGCGGATGAAGCTGGAGCAGACTAAAGGGATTGTCAAGATCCCCAGTATCCCCCTCCCCTGGCGCGACGCTCAGGGGCTGCTGCAGCACCTCCAGGGGTTCGGCGAACAGGTTCCGAAAGCTTGGGTAGGCGGTGTTCCCGATGTCGACGATTGGTGGACAGGCAATGGCTCGTCCCCGATTGTGCGCTTGAAAAACGAGCAAGACGAGGTCGTCAAACAGCCCATCTGGAACGTCCACGGCCAAATCACGGGCATCGAACAGGGCGAGAAGAGGGTCATCATCGGCAACCACCGCGACTCGTTCGCCTTTGGCGCTGTCGATCCCCACTCCGGCACAGCCATCATGCTCGAGATCATCCGCATCTTCGGCGATCTCGTTGCCCGCGGCTGGCGACCCTTGCGCACCATCGAATTCGCCTCCTGGGACGCCGCCGAGTACAACCTGATCGGCTCAACCGAATTCGTCGAGCAAAACGACGACGCCCTCCGCGAGGACGCCCTCGCTTACATCAACCTCGACAAGGCCGTCGCCGGCGGCGACAACTCCCTCCACGCGGCCGGATCCCCCGTCTTCCACAGGCTCCTACTCCAAATCCTCAACCGCGTCGCCGACCCACACTACAACGCCACGCTGCGCGACCGCTGGGACCACCGCCAGGGCGAGATCGAAGGGCTCGGCCGCGCCGACTCCGATTACGTCGCCTTCCAATCTATCGCCGGCACCTCCTCGCTCGATCTGCGATTCGAAAACGACGGTGCCAGCGATGCGGACCGTCTTCCGCTGCACCGCTCCAGCTACGAAAACTTTGAGTGGATGGACAACGTCGGCGACCCGGGGTTTATCTACCACTCCCTGCTCGCGCAGGTTGTGGGTCTCCTCGTTCTCGAACTTGCCGACCGCCCGGTCATGCCCTTTGACTTGCCTGCGTATTCAGACGGGCTGAAACGCTGGGTCAAGACGTTGGAGAAGTGGGCTTCTTCTGAAAGTCTGCTTGAGTCTGCGAAAAAGGCGGCTGGCAGTATCTCGTTTGATGGGCTACGTCAGGCGGCAAATAAAGATGTCCCCGATGCTATAACCCGGTTTATCAAATGGGAAGCGAGCTGGGAAAGCACCGTGATGGCATCAAGCGGGTGGGAGCCCGCGGGGCTAGGCCGGCAAAGAGGGGAGTACAACGCGCGCATGGCGGCCTTTGAGTCGGATTTGTTGGATCTGGCCGGGGTACGTTTCCCTTTTATTCTCTCCCTCCACGCATTACTGCTACGGGATATGCTAACGAACAACCCCAGATCCAGGGCCGCACCCAATTCAAACATGTCGCCTTCGGCCCGCAAGCCTGGTCCCGCGATTCGGAGGCGTACTTCCCCGGTATCCGGGACGCCATCTTGTCGGGGAATGCTACGTTGGCGCAAGAAACGGTGGATAAAGTCACTGAGGTGTTGACGCACGCGAGTTCGAATCTTATAGCGCAGTAAGGGGGCTAGGGTGCTGCTACTTGCGAGCGATGTTCCCCGGGTTTTCTGCTATGTCTTTTTTAGCCCTTTTCTTATGTCGATTTTTTAGGGGCTGGCTGGCATGTTTGCTTGGTATCCTCTTGGCCATTTCTCTCTTTCTTTTTCTTTTTTTTCATGTGGTCGGTGTATCAACAAACATGGCGGTCGGTTAGTCGATTGGGTTGGATAATTCACCACTGCAGACAGCCAGCGGAGCGAAATCTGACAGACAATGGGTTCGCGGGACGGCATCAGAGCGAGGGTGGAAGGGTGCCCGCATTTGGAGGGGGGATATTCTGACATATACCGCATTCTTTTCTTTTTTTTGTTCTGTTTTCTTTTTTCTCCTGCTCTATTTTCTTGTTCGATAGCATTGCATCGGCGTTTTGGAGGGGGATCTCATCTTGTCTTTTGTTTTTTTCTTCCATTGCGGCCAAAAGACCAGCTCTGCGCGAACTTTCCCAGTCCTCAAAATCACACCATTATTAGTACTTCCTGAGTTCACTTCACGCGTCCAGCTTCCTTTATCATCTTGGTAGCGTCGGTCGTAAGCGAAAAAAAGGAAGTAAACAAACGGCATCCCGACCTTGGGTTGAAGGGAAGATGTACATGACATGAAAAGGAAGCAGAAGATTGTGCTGTGTCAGTTGAGTACGGACGGTAATGGAAAGGTACACAGATACACTCTAAACGCTGCACAAGGAACATATGCAGCCCCTCATTCTGTGAGTATGCATCATGGTATCGAATCGCCGTCGTGGCTCTGCGTCTCTCTTTGCTTGCTTATCTAATCTGTGCGCATCTCTGGTATACTACTCACTAACACTTCAAACCCCCTTCCCCTTTCTCGCCCTAAACCTGATCAAACCCCCAACATTTCCCTCCGCCCGATCCCCTTTTCGCCAGGGAACCGAACATCGAATTTACTAGAGAGCTTACTTCGGCGTCAACACGATGCCCTCATACTCCTTACTACGTATCATATCGAGGGTCTGCATGAAATGCTTCCGGCTGGCCTCGACGGACGCCGAATCCTGTTGGTTGCCGGCTAGGTTGGAGTGGATCAGTTCGATCAGGCCGTTGAGGTATTTAGTCGTGACCTGGGTGATGTGTTAGAAAGTGTTTTTCGGCTTAAAAAGGGGGGGCTGGGGGAGCTGGGAGCAAGCCGACGACTTACGGATTCATTCTTCTGATCAAAGTAATAGACATAACGGTCGAGAATCTCGACAAAGAGTTCGATCGATGTAGCTGTCTCCATGCAGGAGTCCGCAACACGAAGGGCGCGCTGCAGACATTCCAGGACACGCTTGCCATCGCGGTAGAGCTGTTGGTGAGGTTAGCACACTGATTAGATCACAACCTCTCATGATATTATTTTTCGCTTGGGAAAAAAATGAAAACTCACCTCTGTCTCCTCCGTCTCCCCATTCGCCGCAATGGGCGTAGCCCACCACAAATGACTCGCCAAATACACAGCGCGACACTGATCCGGCTTGCGCAGCAGCTTGCTGGCATGCTGCGCGCACTTAGTAATAAGCGTGTCATAGTTCTCCTTGCCAAAGTTGCGCGTGCGGTGCAGCGCGCTAGCAATGACACAGACGGCTTGGAACTGCGCCTTGGAATCGCTTATGGCCTCCTCGTAGACGGTGAACGCCTGCGCGAAGAATTCGTACGCGACTTCCTCGAACCCCGTCATGTCGGCCACCTGTCCGCAGGAGCAGAACAGGCGCAGGGAGAGCTCGGCCGCGCCGGCGCCGTTAACGCGCGTGTATAGGGTTGAGATGGCCGAGTGGAGGAATTTGAGGAGGGCGGAGGACTGGGAGGACCAGTTGTCGTCGTAGTGTTCGCGGGTCTTGAAGCGGCGAGCGAGCTTGAGGCCGACGGTGATGAGAGGTGGAGTGGTGGTCCTGATCCGCTCGTTGCCTTCACCGTAGGCCTTTCTTGTCATCTGGAGGAGGCGGAACTGGGTGTCGTTGTTGTCGGAATGCACGAGGTGCACAAGGCGCGCGAGCCAGCCCTGCTCCTCCATCGTTTCGTCGGTCTCGAGCGTTCTCGCCCGCGGCTGGACGACCCCGGGGTAGCCTGCTGGCGGCTGGGAACCCTCTTTGATGAGCACCTTGAGGACCTCGAGGACATTCTCGAGGTGGGCAGGTGTGGAAATGAATGTTTGGTTTTTGAGGAGTGTCCTCGCCACTTCCCCAGCAACTGCTCTTCGTGTCGGGTAGGTCTGAGATTGGAAAAAAGGAACATAGGTCGGAAGAGATAGCGCGGTGAAGAGAGATACATAACGCCGGATGGGGCTCTGTAGAAGGGCGAGGAGGCTTTGCTGCGCGGGCTGGGAGTGCAAATCCGCGCTGTTGGCGTGTTCCCTGACCTTGCTGTGGGCATAGTCCAGAATTTGGTCCACATACTCCAGTTTTTCCGGGTAGATATTCAGAGCAAGATTCGTCAAGGAACCAAGCAGCGCAATCGTGTCTTGTATGGGCAAATGTTGCGCCTGTACCAGGTTTTTCACCTGCCCGAAGAAGATCTCATACAGTGGTACGTTCTCCGGGATCCCTCTGCGCTTCGTGGCCGGCTGCGATTCCTCTGCATTAACCGCTGTCGCTTCGGTCTCTGCTATTGATGGCGTCGGCTCCTCCTCGTGCTCCTTGGTCAATGTCTCTGCCTTGGAATCCGCATCAGTCTCGTCCTTATCTTCCGGCTTGTCGTCGGGTTTTGGTGGTTCCGACGGCTCTCCTTGAGGTGCGCTCGAAGCCTGGGCCTCGCTGGAAGCAGTCTCCGCGGCAAGCTTGACCCTCTCAAGCAAAGCTACCAAAGCTTCTTCCTCCACCTTTTCCCTGTCCTCCTCTGACTCGTTCTGGGATTCGCGCTCGGCATAATCGGAAAGACGGTCCATGAGACCGATAACAATACCCTTAACGTTGACATGTGGGTTTAATCGGGACACGGCGCCTAAGAACTGGTCGAGGGTGTGGAGGTGGAACTCGTCGGGGAAGACCTGCGTGATGACCTCCAGCAGATACTCCTGGGCCAAGACATCACGGCACTGGACGACTTGCTCCAGCAATGGCGCCAGAATACCATCCTTGTACGCGCGCAGGTCCACTAGCTGGCTCAAACGCACCACGTTACTCCCAACCAACAGTTGAAGCTCCTTCCTCTCCTGTGTCCTCTGCTCACGCTCCCTCGAATGCCCTTGGTGCTGTAGCCTGACCCACAGCTTGTTCATCTCGACAAAGTTGGTAAGCACAAAGTTGATCGAGTCCTGGAGATTGCCTTCGGGCCCATCAGAGTCGCCAGACGGGAGGCAGTCTCGCGCTTGCCCGGAGAGGTAGTACCGCAAGAAGAGGCCCCGGATCGGGTGCTGGACGCCACGGCTCATATCCATCATGTCTTTCATCAGTTCCTTAACCGGTGCGCCCTCGATGGCCATGTATGCTGTGCCGACGGTGATCATGAGGTAGAGGCGGGGGATGATGTTGCCGGCATATTGTACCAGCTCGTACAGGTCGGCTAGGTGGTTGACCGGGTGGTTCTCGCGGAGGTGGACGGAGAGGTAGCGGAGGGCATCGAAAACAGCCATGTACAGCTCGTAGTACTGTTTCGGACCCAGACTGCTAGTTCGAAGCTCGGAGACCAGTGTGGAGCTGGAGGGGACAAGTGTTGTCAGCTTCAGCTATCAACAGTACAGTTGGCGAAGCCAATCTAGAAGTAAACATACCAGCACTTAAGCGCATCCATGAGCTTCCCCGGCGTGTCTAAACATTTGCGCATCAACGCCGTCTGCTGGCGCACCGCGATGAGGGCGTCTTCCAGCAGCCTAGCCTGGTCCTCGGGCGGCGCGGGGGTCGTCATGGTATCCAGTTTGGTCGCGGTCACCGCCGCCGCGATGATTGCTATTGTTGTTGCTTTGACCGTTCAATGTCACTGACCGGGTAGCCCGGCAACCGAATTCGATGCGCTATGACAGCTGCGGGATCGTGCGCGGGCGGTTTTGGCGTAGGTTTCGGTGGTGATGGGGGGTGTATTGCAGCTTGCGCAGAATGACGACGCCGGCCGCAGCACAGCTCCGCAGCACCACAGGTTCAGGGACCAGCCCCTGGCAATGCGCCAAGCTCAATTGATTACATAATCCCAGAGCGCACGTGAGATCGAGGTAGTCCCTTCCTCAACGCCAAAATAGACTCTGTGAAACTACAGCTTCAGCAGATGCATGACATTCCCCGGTTCTTAAACAATCCATAGGGTCTCCAAATAACTATCCTCAAGTCTGCGAGGTGAAGTTTTTCTGCAGGGATTGACTCTTTGACTTTCAATTGGTAGGCACTCCCGACACTCGAACAGGTCTCGCTGCTGGCGATCACTAAACCGTGAACGTTATCTACGCAACGTTGTGAGTGCTATTTGGTCAACGGAACGAAGAGAATCAATAATTAATCCTAACTTACACACTTGGTCAATGGGTGCGCATCGAATGTCAACGCATGCTTTTTGGTCTTGGTGGATGTTTTCGATGGAATATTGTGGGCAAATTAACAAATTAACCCAGTTATTTGGCTTGGCAGTCTCTATGGAAAACGCCGAATGTGACAAATCCGACGCCGGCGAGGCCCCAGCTCGCAAAGTCAGAGTAGACCAAACGAAAAGGTGGCGCTGAGTGAGCCCATACTGTATCGAGAAAACGAGGATGGAATCTTGAGATCTGCACAAATGGGAGCGCCCAGTCCGGGCCCATCCTAGCTTTCGACCCCTCGCCCAGGCGCTCTTATGGAACGTCGAGGGCGAAGTTAGGGGCGAAACACCATAGCGAAGCCCACCTTACAAATCGAGAGCGTCGGCGTTACCTCTCTGGTCGAATTTGATTCCATTATCGGGGTGAATCGAAACCGCTTTGCATGACAGTATGTTGCCGGCGCCTCTGTTGTTGCAAAAAGTCTCCGCCGACTCTCCGGCTGGCGAAGGCAAAAGTGACGATGGAGTCGGATGGACCCGACTCGAAAATGTATAATAGGAGATGATGCTACCCGCTGGATTTCACCCTCTGATCAGCAGCATCAACATCAATAGCACGACAGTACCAAGTCTTCTCTCCTAACACAATCAATAACGAACCTCCCAGAAGTCCAAATGGCTCCCACCGATCTCTCCCTCGCCGGCAAGACGGCCATTGTCACCGGTTCCGGCCGTGAGAACGGTATCGGTGCTGCCATTGCCAAGGCTCTTGCCCGCAACGGTGCCAATGTAACCATCAACTACGTCTCAGATGGTTCAGCTCCCCGCGCGGCCGAGGTAGCAGCCAGCCTGGAGGCCCTCGGGGCCAAGGTTGTCGTCTCGCAGGCCGATGTCTCGACGCCCGAGGGCGCTGCGAAGCTGGTTAAGGACACCCTGACCGGGTTCAAGACTGACAAGATTGACATCTTGGGTTAGTTGATTTTTGTTTATTGGCTTCACCCCTATCGCCCGCCTTTCCTTCTCTTCAAAGAGCTTAAACTAACATAACCCTAGTCAACAATGCTGGCGCCGGTACCGGCCAAGGCAAGCTGCTTACCGAAGTCACCCCCGAGGAGGCTCAGAAGGCGTTTGTCCTCAACACCTTCAGCACCTTGTACCCCATCCAGGCTGCGGTACCTCACATCCCCTCTGGTGGACGCATCGTCAATGTCGGCACCATCGTTACACGCTCCTTCAACCTGCCCGGTGTTGGCCTCTATGGTGCTAGCAAAGCCGCGCAGGAGTATCTGACGCATGCTTTTGCTGCCGAGGTATGTGTTAATCATATTCATTTTTCACCTCCCTAATTCCGATCAAAAATCATTCTGACAAACCTTTCAACCTTAGCTCGGTCCCCGCCATGGCATCACGGTCAACACGGTTGCCCCCGGCCCCACCACCACGGACGCCGGCGGTTGGTTCCCTGATGGTGACCTTAAGAACGAGGTCGCCCAAAAACTCTCCCTCACCACTAGGTCCGACAGGGTCGCGGGTGACCCGGAGGATGTTGCCGGTGCTGTCCTGTTGGTGGTGTCTGATACAGCCCGGTGGATTACCGGTCAGTACATCGCTGCCAGTGGTGGTATGTCTGCCTAAGAAAGGAGGGGGCATAGTGTATGAGGGATGTGTAGAAAGGTCTGTAGATAGCGAATTTGGAAACTTCATGTCTTGAAATTATCCCTTGCACTTATATGTGAAGCAACCAGGACTCCATAGTGACCACACGTTCTCTATCTCTTGTTCAACCAACGCACTTTTTCCAATTGCATGTAATTGTCCAGGAGATGGATAAAGCAGCACAAGGAATCTGTGTGATTGATTTTCCCACAACCTCTAGATCACCCTCGCCTTTGATGATCCCCATCATTGATCCCCGTCATTGACCCCCGTCTATACATAATGCGGGCCTTCCGGGTAGTGTTGTTGGAGTTTCTCCTTCTTCCAACCTACAACGCAATCCTAAACAGCCCGCCTTCTACACAGGAACATCCTGTTCGTCGAACTCACCATGTATGGTGTTTACCTGTTTCGAGGCACAATGGCTCATTACCGGTATGGAACATCCTATATCTTTCAGGCTGTTGTAACAATTATTGGCCGCTCGCATCTGCTTAACACAATAATAGCTAACTCGCATGTTGTAGCCGACATCCGGGTCAGTCTAATCTTCGTCGTGGCCTTACTGCCTACCTGGGAGGAGCTCGCTGTCAGTTTCAAGCTTCTAGAAACCTTGTTTCTCCTGAACTCTCTGTGACAGATCAACGGGATCTCATCTATCAAACGCACCACTCCCGGGGTTGTTTTGTCCGCGGCTACAGCAAGTTCGCAGGCTTTTCTCTGTTTTCAAGGTAAGCGGCCTTGATGATGTTGAGCGTCATTTCGGAGTTGCCAACACTGACAAACTTGAAGCAACATCGCCAACTTGACGGGAGCTAAAGGTGCTACGAACGGTTCAACGTCACCTCCCGCACTGACGATGCCGGCTACGCCAGCTGCGCCCGCCGAGCCCCGCGAGGAGAAGCGCAATGGCACTAACACAATCGGCGACACGACTCTACTCCAGTCGAAAGAGCATCGCGACCTGCTCGATGTGATCGACCGGCTCCGATCGCAGGGCCTCAGCCGGTTCGTCGACCTGCCGCAAATCATTGTCTGCGGCGATCAATCCTCAGGCAAGAGCTCCGCCCTAGAAGCCATATCGGGAATGTCCTTCCCGACAAAAGACAACCTCTGCACGCGCTTTGCGACGGAACTAATTCTTCGGCGCAGTCCCAAGACCGGCGTGGCCATCAGCATCCGCCCGGGAGCGGACCGGACCGATGAGGAGAAGAAGAAGCTTAAAGCTTTCAAATACAAGGACACGCTCGAAAATCTGGATCTTGGCCGCGTGGTCGAGGAGGCAAAGAGTTCCATGGGACTTAATAACGGCAGCAGCGATCGTGTGTTTAGCGCCGACGTCCTTTGTGTTGAGATCTCGGGGCCCTCGCAGCCGCATCTTACCATGGTAGACCTCCCCGGTCTTTTTCTCGCTGGGAACAAAGACCAATCCCAGACAGACGCCGCTCTTGTGGAATCGCTGGTGCTATCATACATGAAGAACCGCCGTACTATCATCCTCGCGGTGGTGTCGGCCAAGAGTGACTTTGCCCTCCAGCAAGTCACCAGTCATGCTCGAAAGCAAGATCCCGATGGGACTCGCACCCTGGGCCTCATTACGAAACCTGACACGCTGGACAAGGGTTCGGAGAGCGAGCGGTATTATATCGATCTCGCTCAGAACCGTGATGTGCACTTTCAGTTGGGCTGGCACGTTCTCCGCAACAGGGGCTTTTCCGAGCGCTGCCAGTCTAGTGGTGCTCGCGATGCTGCCGAAGCAGAGTTTTTCTCGACAGACCCATGGAAAACCCTCCAGCCCTCCCAAATGGGCGTCGGCGCGCTCCGCACGCGGCTAAGCAACGTCTTGCGGGGCCAAATCGTGAGCCAGCTACCCGACGTGCTCGCAGATATTGCCAAAGGAATTGAGGAAAGCAATCATACCTTGCAGAAGCTAGGAGACTCCAGGGCTACCCTCCGCGACCAGCGCCAGTACCTTATCACAATCGGTTCTGAGTTCATGAAGCTTGCCAAGGAAGCGGTGGATGGCGGGTATACCGATCCTTTCTTCGAAGACTCTGATCATAAGGACCGGCGGTTGCGCGCGGTCATCCAGAATACCTTGTCGGACTTTGCTCGAGATATGAGGTTGAAAGGTCATTCGGTCTCCATCGCGGAGGGATCTGAACCATCGAACGGTAAAACTCGTCCCCCGACGATCAGCCGCGCGGCATACATCGAAAAAGTCAAAAAACTCATGATGGAGAACCGTGGCCGTGAGCTCCCCGGCACATACAACCCAATGTTAGTTGCTCAAATGTTCAGGGAGCAGTGCCAACCCTGGGAGGCTATGGTCGACAGTCTTCTTACCCGCACTTTCCACTCCGCTACCCGAGCCGTCGCAGCCATCCTTTTGCATGTAGCGGACAAGGAGAGGGCCGCATCGCTTAGCCGCACCGTCGTTGGACCACTTCTACAACGCATCCAGCGCGAGCTACGGCAGAAGGCCGAGGAGGTCCTGAGGCCGCACATCTCGGGACACCCGATCACGTACAACCACTACTTGACCGACAACGTGCAGCGCGCACAATCCGACAGGAGGCGGGCGCGGATGGAGCAGCGCATGAAATCCTTTTTCAAGGCCGGCAAGATTCCCGATGGCATCGCCAACCACAAGTTCGACATGAGCATGTTGCTCAGTGACCTGGTCGACAACACCGAGCCCGATATGGATACTTACTCGTGCTCCATGGCTGTTGATACAATGGAGGCGTACTACAAGGTGACTTACCTATCCCATCTCCAAACAACATGATAATCATGCGCAACAAATGCACTAACACATAAAACACACCCACAAACCAGGTCTCTCAAAAAACCCTCATCGACTCCATCAGCACGCTTGCCATCGAGGCTTTCCTAATGAAGAAGTTGCCGTCCTTGCTCTCGCCCAAGGTCATATACGAGCTGCCGGACAGCGTAGTCGAGCGTATCGCGGCCGAGAGCCCCGAGTCAGTGGCCGAACGGGCCCAGGCTGGTGAGAAACTGGCTGTGCTGGAGGCTGCGCTGTCTGAACTGCGTCGGATGGGGATAGATGGGGACACTGGGGGGTTGGAGGTCGATGATGGCCAGGTGTAGGGGGATGCAGTTGGTGCTGCTTGATGGCGACGGGAAGATAACGTCAACTTGTTGATTAGCTCCAATACGGCCTGTGAGTAGCTGCGTCGTTGCTGATGTTGTGTTAGTTACTGTGTAGTTCTCTATAGCTAAGAGAAGTTGAATTTTGTAATTAACAACATCGCTGAAGAATGCCCCCCACGCCCATCGATTTTCAAGATTGTGTGCATGTTGAAGATTCCAGGGGCACTGAAGTGTGTTTTGCGCCAAGTCTGTTTCCGGCAATGGCGCGGGGCAAACTGTCCTCAATTTACCCACGCGACTGACCAATCATGAAACAAAATTTCTGCACGGTTGGGGTCCACTGGCTGCACGACGGGTCCTCCTCCCGTCGTGTGGCTTGGCGCTCCTCAGGTTGATGGAAAGATCAGAACGGGAAAGCATGCCGGAGACAGAGAGATCGTCTCGTATTTGGGGGGTAGGGAGAGGAACGCCCAGTCCTTTAGGATTCATCTTGGCTATGGTTTGTTTTTAGTTTTCCTTACATTGTACACTGTATTTTCCTTCGTCACTCTCTAAAACGCGAGTAATTCATCCGGTTTTGACGCGAATTCGCTTCTTGGGAGCTCCACTCCTGGAGCCGAGCTTGATCGGGAATCTTGGAAGACACTCATTGTCTCGTATTTTAATCGCTTACTTAATAACCCAAAACAACTTTCCAGCTTCGTGTGAGATTCCTGACGTCAAGGTATCTCATCTCAGGCGCGTCCCTTCTTTGGATACACCTCAGCAGCCGGAAACCCCCAACAACAGCCGACACGGCCCGGAGAGTCGAGAAGAATGCGAGCGAGCAAATGATCCGGCTAAACCATCATCATTATGAAGGGCCATGAGGATGGCTCTGATCGAAGGGACCACAGCAAGCATGACCACGACGGTGACAGGGTGCATGAGATGAGCCCGATGAGTCCACTGGGCAAAACCCCCACCACGGCTTCATCACAACCCGTCGACACAACATCTCCATCTCCGTCCCCTTCCACCCCTGCCCTCAACCGTCGCACCACCCTCACAACCACCGCCCACCACCTCTACCGCCGCCTTCTCACCACCATCCTAAACCGCCACACCGACGACCTCCCTCCCTCTCTCGATGGCCGGCACATCCCACTCCGCCCACACATCACGCCCCCCTCAGGGACAAACGGACCACTCCCACAGCCACCCCTCCTCATCGACGAACGCCGCGGCTACCCCTACCTCTCCAATTCGATCCGCACCTCGCGGTACACCGTGCTCGATTTCTTCCCCAAACAGCTAGTCTTCCAGTTCACGCGGCTGGCGAATTTTTACTTTTTGTGTGTGGGCATTCCGCAGACCATTCCGGGGATCAGTACCACGGGGAATTACACGACGATTTTGCCCTTGTTGTTTTTTGTGCTGTTGACTATTGCTAAGGAGGGGTTTGATGATTGGAGACGGCATCGGTTGGATAAGGTGGAGAATGCGAGGGTTACGGGGGTTTTGAGGGGGGGTGGGCAGGAGGATGGAGCGGAGAGTAAGGAGAAGGGGGAGAGTAAGGAGAAGGGGAAGAGTAAGAGGGGAGGGTGGTGGCGGCTTGGTCGTGGAACCGGGAGTTCGATGGAGGAGTCGCGGGTGGCCGAACAAGGTGAGACGGAGACGGGGGCCCAGGAGTCGTACCTTGGTTTGCGATGGCAGACGGTCAAGTGGCAGGATGTGCGGGTTGGGGATGTCGTCAGGCTGGCTCGGGATGATGATACACCCGCGGATATCGTGCTACTTCATGCCGATGGGGAGGACGGGCTGGCGTATGTTGAGACGATGGCCCTGGACGGGGAGACCAATCTCAAGAACAAGCGGGTGTCTGCGCTGTTGAAGGGGTGCGATACGATAGAGGGGATATGCAAGTCCGGGGCGAAATTTGTCGTGGAGGACCCGAACCCGGACTTGTACCGCTTCAACGGGCGGGTGACGGTCAAAGGAGAAACGCTGCCGCTCACGCTGAACGAGGTTGTGTATCGGGGTTGCACGATCCGCAACACCACGACCGTCCTCGGGATTGTCATCAACACGGGCGAGGAGACCAAGATCCGGCGAAACGCGAACCGCCACCCAAGCGCGAAGAAGCCCGCTCTCGAGCGCATGGCCAACATGATCGTCATGGCCCTCGTCATTTACCTCATTGCCCTCGTGGCTGGGTTATCTGGTGGATACGCGCTCTTCCAGCGCGACTACGAGCGGACCGCCTGGTACCTTCAGGACGTCCCGGTGCCGTATTCACACATCATCATGGGGTTTGCGATCCAGTTCAACAACGTCATTCCGCTGGCGTTGTACGTGAGTTTAGAGATTGTCAAGATTTGCCAGATGCTGCTGCTCAACTCGGACATTGAGATGTACGATGAGGCGTCCGATACGCCGGCGCGGTGTAACACTAACACTATCCTCGAGAATCTGGGCCAGGTCGGGTACTTGTTCTCGGATAAGACGGGGACTTTGACGGAGAACGTCATGAAGTTCCGCAAGTTGAGTGTCGCGGGCACGGCTTGGCTCCATGAGATGGACCTGCCGAGGAAGAAGGTTGAGGATGATGATGACGATGATACTGTTGATGGACAGTCTCGCGTTGAAGGGTTGGGGGCGTTGACTTCCAACCCTGAGGGGGGTAGTACCGCCCCCAGCGAGCCTCGACACTCAGGGTTCTTGTCTCCAACGTTCTCACCCGACCAAGTGTCTACTCGGAGATCTTCCTCGCAATGGCGTTCAACGGGCCGGCCTGACCACGTCCAGCCAGATCTTAATACCTGGGATCTTTTAGAGTACATCCGTCTACGGCCAAACTCTCCCTTTTCCAGGCGCGCTGTGCAGTACATCCTGGCCATGGCCCTTTGCCACACTTGCTTGCCCGAGTCCAAGGATGGCAAGATTGACTTCCAGGCGGCTTCCCCTGACGAGCTGGCTTTGGTCAGGGCAGCCCAAGAACTTGGGTTCTTGGTCATCCAACGGAGCTCGCAGTCGGTTACGCTGCGAATCACCACCGGCACAAACCAAGAACACACGGAGCGCACATACCAAATCCTGGACGTCATCGAGTTCAGCAGCAAGCGCAAACGCATGTCTATCATCGTGCGCTGTCCAGACGGGCGGATCTGGCTCATAACAAAGGGGGCTGACGCTGTTGTTCTCCCACGACTGAGAATGGCAGATTTGGCGAACCAAAAGGCCAAGGAGCTTCGGGAGAGCCTGGATTTTGAGAGGCAACTGCTTCGAAAGAGTGAGGCCCGCGAACCACGGAATAGCTTTGGTGGACGGCCTAGTCTTACCATCCGGCGGAGCTTGGCCGTGGTTAGGCAGGGGTCCGTGACGGGGCCTACGAGCCCGCGGCCGAGTGGACTTCGCAGTCAGTCCTTTGAAGTCGGCCGTCTGGACCCTTTCGCTCACCTTCGTGCTCGGCCGCATATCAGCAACAACCGCAACGCGTCGTTCGACGTCCGCCGTCCCGAGAGCACGGCATCCGTCCCGGAGTTTCACCATCAGCCGGTCCCGAGCAAGTTCTCCTTTCTGGATGATCCCTCGCTCTCCGACGATGCGGCCATCTTCACCCGCTGCTTTCGCCAGATCGACGACTTCGCAACCGAAGGCCTCCGCACACTGCTGTTTGCCCATCGGTTTTTAACCGAGGCCGAGTACAACACGTGGAAGAGGCTGTATCACGACGCCGAGACGAGCCTGGTCGATCGCCAGGAACGCATCGAGGAGGTCGGCGACCAGATCGAGCAGTCCCTCGACTTAATCGGCGCGTCGGGCATCGAAGACCAGCTGCAGCCCGGCGTGGCCGAGACCATCGACCGGCTGCGGCGCGCCAACATCAAGATCTGGATGCTGACGGGCGACAAGCGCGAGACGGCCATCAACATCGCCCACTCGGCTCGCATCTGCCGGCCCGGGTCGGACGTGTTTGTCATCGACGCGGCTAAGGGGGGCTTGCACGGGCAGATCTTGGCCATCATGGAGGACCTCCAGATCCAAGCCGAAACCAACACGGCGCATGTCACGGCGCATACAGTCATTGTTATTGACGGACATACCCTAGCCGCGCTCGAGGGACCTGACGCGTTGGCCGCCAAAACAGCGTTTTACAGGCTTGTACTCACCATCGACTCCGTCATCTGCTGCCGCGCTTCACCCTCCCAAAAGGCCCTGCTAGTCCGCACTATCCGCCACATTTCTTCTTCCACCACCACCACCTCTTCCCTCTTCTCTTCCACCGCCCCATCCAAACTCCACACCCTCCTCCACCAACCCCTCCACAACCTCCTCCACCTCTGGACCCCCCCACCCCCACTCACCCTCGCCATCGGCGACGGCGCCAACGACCTCGCCATGCTCGCAACCGCCCACGTCGGCATCGGCATCTCCGCAGGCCACGAAGGCAGCCAAGCCGCGCGCGTAGCCGACTACGCGATCCCACGCTTCCGCGCCCTCGCCCGCCTGCTCCTCGTCCACGGCCGCTGGAACTACGCCCGCACCGCCCGGTTCGTGCTGGCCACCTTCTGGAAGGAAATGCTCTTCTACCTGCCCGCTGCGCTGTACCAGCCGGCTGCGGCGTATACGGGGACGAGTTTGTATGAGATGTGGAGTTTGACGGCGTTGAATACGCTGTTTACGAGTTTGTGCGTTATTGTGCCGGGGGTGTGGGAGCAGGATTTGAGTGCGGAGACGCTTTTGGCGGTGCCGGAGTTGTATGTGTTTGGGCAGAGGAATGGGGGGTTGAGGGGGGGGATGTATTTGTGGTGGATGGTGGGTGCTGCGGTGGAGGGGGTTGTGGTGTGGTGGGTGTGTTGGGTGGGTTATGGACAGGTGGTTGGGCCGGTGAGGGATGGGGGACTGTTTGCCGTGGGGAATTTGGTGTTTTCGGTGAATATTGTTTGGACTAACTTGAAGCTTTTGTGAGTTATTCTTTTTTTCCTCTTCCCGGCCGTCAATTAACACACCCCCAGAATCCTCGACACCCACTACAAAACCAACATCGTCCTCGGCGCCTTCACCATCACCGTCGCCGGCTGGTGGCTCTGGCAAGTCTTTCTCGCGGGCGCCTACAGCCCCGAAATCTGGCCCTACGCCGTCAAGAACGCCTTCTTCACCTCCTTCGGTCCGGACGCAGCCTGGTGGGCGTCACTATTCGCCGCGCTTGGCGCCCTAGTCTCGCTCGAACTGGCCTACAAGGCGGTCAGGCGGAATCTTGTGGTTGCTGGTCTGTGGCGGCGCGGGTGGAAGTGGACGCGCTGGGAGACGTGGCGGGCGGCGTTTGTCATGGGGGGTCCTAGGAGTGGTGGTGGTGTAGCGGCTGAGGAAGGGATTAAGGGGAGTGTGGAGGAGTGGGATGTGGAATTGTGGCAGGTTATGGAGCAGGATCCGGCTACTAGGGAGACGCTGAAGAGGATGAGTAGGTTTGGGTTTGAGGGGAAGGATGGGGGGCATGAGGATGATGCTGAAGAAGTCGAGGGGTGTAGTGAGCGGGTGTAAGCTGAGGGTCTTGGATGTTTTTTTGGCATATTTCCTCTTTTTTTTTTCTTTTATCTTTTTTTTTTTGGATCGAAGTTTTAGATACTCGGGGCGATTTCCTTGTGATACCCGGCATTTTTCTTTCTTTATTTCGGGATGTATAGAAAATACATGCTAGAGGCAATTCAATGCTTTCCGTGGTTCTGTTTTCCGTCCATTCTCAATGTGTTGAATCCATCTTTGTTCAGAGCCCCCTCGAGCTGGTTGATTGATATTGGTGAGTTCCACCATGGCCGTCAACAATTGGTCGGAACCACACTCGACTCCATCGGGTATGGTGTAGCGGTAACATCGTTGACTCTCACTGCTCAGCAGTGACTGTTCTCTCAACAGCCCCGGGTTCGACTCCCGGTATCCGAGTCTCAACTTTCCTTTTTCCCTTTTTCCCCTTTTCCTTCTCGCTTTTCTTTGCTTTTTCTCTAGTTTTTTTTCCGTTTGTCTGAACTCAGCTTTGTCTCACCCGGCCTTCGTCTCCTACATTTGGCTCCCGACCCTGACGGCTGACGTACACTATTCCCGTGGGCATTCCTGTGGGCTGCTTTTGCCGACCTTTCCGTGTCCCGCCAATCCCCATCCCCCCTTTGCCTTGGTTTGCGCACTTAAGGCACTCTCGCCAGTTGTTTACCAGACCAAGCTTTGTACGGGGGATCGACAACTCGACGTCGAGGCAACGTGGGATCTGCCGTGAGACTTCATCACTCCAGAGCTTGGCTCCTTGGCTCGCGTTGGCACATGCCGCTTGAGGTGCACGGGGATTGATTTCAGTGGCCCGTGACTTGTCTGATTGTCTCCAATCCCTGCGGGGAGCTCTTTAGTCTGGGGCCAGCCCAAAAAGAATGAGGGGATCCAGCGGTCTATGATCTGTGATCGGCCCGCCTTGGAGCTAATTGACACCAATTGCGCCCAATGTCTGAGCCGTAATTGTTGTCCTTATGTTCCCGTTCCCCGCATTCTGCATCTGCAACCCTTCAAGTCGCATGACCGCCTCATGATGAGTGACTGTCGGGTTCGGAATGTGGTCACTGGTCACACGAGAACGACGGTGAAGGCCATCCAACCCAACAAGCGGAACACCAAAAAAATTTCAGAAAAATGTCCGAACTAAAGGTGGGTAAACATTAGTTGTGACTGCTTCAAGCCCCGAAATCACGAAGGGCCGAAAAGGCATCGGTTTTTACGTCCCACAGACCCACGTGCTACGAAGACCCAAATGTGGGCGCTGGCCACAGAGCACGCAGAATGCGAGGTAGAAACGAAATTGTCTGGCGCGACTCCGCGGCGATGCATCGGTCAATCAGAGAAGGAGCATTCGGCCACGGTGCAATGGGCCGGCGGTGTTCCAGAACTCCTTCCCGGGCCACTGGGCCCTGCTGGGGTGGAGCTCGGCGTGGGAATTTAGGGAAACACCTCGAGCTCCTTTTGGGCCTCCCGGGCTGAAGGAGTGACGCGATGCCAAGGAACAGGCCGCTCATCTCCAGCGAGACAAGCCCCCACCCCTGCAGCGCCAAAAAGCTTGACCTGGCGCCAACCGTAACCCGCCGTTGTGACGGTAATTACTGAAAATGGCACGCTAGAACGAGGGAGCAGCTCAAACCAAGCTGCGGCGAGGCTGTCAAAGCCCCCGAAGGGGAAATCCATTCAATGGCCAGCCTCCGACCCGCGAGGGAAAAAGGAAAGGAACAACGGGGGCGCAGTTGACTTCGGACCTGAACATCTCGGGAGAGCAACAAAGCGGCCCAACAGAGAGACCATCGCTGCACTCGATTCATGACACAGTTTATTTCCGGGTCCCGACATGTCTCATCCATTACCGTAAACAGTATGGTACTATAGAGTGTCAGATCTGGCGCAAAAAGCGGGCACGTCGAAATTGTGAATCGCCGTCCTCGCTGTCGGTCCCTTCCCAGTCTCATCTTTCGTGCATTTACGACGCGTTACTGCAGCTGCTGTATTGCGTAACGTATGTGGATCATTGGCCCGCCCGCTCTGCTCCGTCCACAGGGGACCCCCTCTTTTTTTCCTCTTCAACATTGCTGCTTCCGGAGCGTCTTCTGTACCACCACCATTCGAGGGCAACTGACCACAATATGCCCGAAAGAAGTATCGTGCCACAAAGGCGTCGTTGAAGAAGGCCTCGGCGTGCATGCGGCACGCACCTCTTTCTGGTCCCAAGATGAGGGGATTGCCGTCTGCTGGTGCATCGCAGGCTGCCGCCTTTTCCGTTGGTTTCCGCTAGCGCCATGTCGCTGGTAAAGTACAGCAAGACTTGCAGGCATTTTGGACCGCGCTGCGGGCGGTACTGATTACGTCCGCAGCAGCATGCAGTCACGCCACAAAAGTACCAATGTCCGCGGCAGGAGCAAGGGTAGGGGGCCCAATGTCACCGGTTCCCCAATCCCGATTGAAACTCACTCATCTCACCGTCTTCCACGCTCGAGATCTCACACTCAGCTCAGCCACCTGGCCGGCCCCCACTCCCTTCCCCCTGTCCGGGGCTGGCCCCTTCTTCGTGCCAACACCGCGCTGCTAAGCCTGCACCTTTGTCTGTTTCGTCTGCGTCTCTCTCGCTCTCGTCCCCCGTGCCCCAGCTGCCTGACCCGAGAGCTCACTGCCCGTTATGTTGCCCGCCCCCAAAATAGTCCCAAAAATACTTTCCGCTACACCCTCTTCCTCAACTCTCCCCAACATCCAACAACAACCCTCCGTCTTTGTCGACCCACATGGCCACCTCTTCGACTTTATTTTCTCCTCTTTGTTGCTTCCACAATGGGAATTGGAAGTTATAACCACAACAGCGTCAGGCATCCGGCTTTAGATGTCTCGGGACTACGGCCATTTTAGCCTGCTGATCATCAATATCCCTCTGCCTCTGTAAACCGGGCAACACAAACAACAAAGGGGCAACGCGTCCCTGAACCCACCGCCATCTTACGCTTTTAACGCGGAGGAAGAGGAAGGACCGCATCTACAATAAAGAAACGACAACAGAAAACTTGGAAACGGCCGAGTGCCGAGTGAGGGGATTGCCCGCCAACCGCCCTCCCCCCCCCTTCTTCTCATTTCTCCCCTCCCCTTCTCCATTGTTCGGAAGTCGGCCGACTTGCGCTCGTGGCCCCCCCCCCCCAAAAAATCCCGGGGGAAAGGGGGAGTAGAAGTGAGAGTGCAGTGCGGAAGTGGGTTCGGACTCAACGAACACCACGCGGTTGTGCGTGCGGCCAACGACCAAAAGGGGAAAGACAGAAGGACGACACTGGGGGCCGCGTGCACACGAGACATTATCGCCGCCGCTTCCTCCCGAAGCTCATCACCGGGATTGTTTCATATAAGCCCGCGTCTGCCCCAGACTTGAGAGGTTACAAGAAGCGGAGGCCAGGGCGCATCTGTATATCTTGTGTTATATACATGTGTCTATGTGAGCTGTGAGCTTACTTCCATCTCATCTCGGTCGGCAATCACGCCAAACACGATCTCATATTATCTCCCCTCCTTCTCGCCTTCCGTCAGCCCTATCGGCATCTCGTTAGCAGCGCCGCTGTCGTCCCATACGTGGACTGCCGCGCCGTCTTATAATACACCCTCGTCACTGCGGCCATCGTCACCGCCATCATGGTTGCCCTATCACTTAACGCGCTGGTAGCAGGTTTGTTCATACCCTTCCCTTCCAGTCCCTCCCTTTGCTCCCTCATAGCATCATCTCGATTCTCATCATCATCCACAACAATATGGACCCTCGCTAACTCTTCTCATCAGCCCTCACCTCCCCACTAGCCCTACACGGCATCGCCTCCACCAGCAGCACCGCTAGCCCAACCGCGCTCGGCCTGCGTAGCACCACCCCACTGGGCCATGGCGTACCCCTCCGTATCATGCCCCTAGGCGCCTCTATCACCTACGGTACCGCCTCCACAGACGGCAACGGCTACCGCGCCTCGCTACGCTCCCAAATCGTCTCTGGCCCGGGCAACCCCGTCAACATGGTCGGCTCGGAGCAGGTCGGCACCATGGTCGACAACGACGTGGAAGGGTGGCCCGGGTACCGCATCGAGCAGGTGCACGAGCAGGCCCTCCTAGCCGCGTCCACCCCGCAGTGGCACCCCAACGTGTTCCTCATCAACGCCGGCACCAACGATGCCGCGCAGCACTACCACGTGTCGGCGGCCGGGGACCGCATGGAGGCCATGCTGGACGACCTGTGGCGCATCTCGCCGCGCGCCGTCGTCGTGCTGAGCACCTTGCTGGTCAACCGGAATGCCTCGACCGAGGCTAACGTGGGTATAATCAACACCCAGCTGCAGGCGTTGGCCACGAAGCTGCGTTTCCGCCAGGGGCGCCGGATCGTGCTGGTGGATATGCACAGTGAGGCTGGGCCGGGGACGGCTGATCTGGTGGATGGGACGCATCCGAACGACGGCGGATATGTGAAGATGGCGAATATATGGTTTCAGGGCCTGGTCGTGGCTAGCGATCTCGGTTGGTTGCTGCCGCCGCAGTGGTTGGACGGTGTGCCCGACGATGGTGCGGCGACCACTACTGATACTCCGGATGATGCTGCGGATGATAATAGCCCGGTCACCGATTGAGGTCGACGTGTTGGCTGAAGGATTGTTGGGGTGGTATTAGATTTGGCGGATTCTTGGCCTTTCTTTTTTTTTTTTGGCCGTTGGAAGGTCCCCATCATTGCTTGGTTTGCATCGCAAGGGCGTTAAGAAGGTGGACTTTTGGATACCATTTTGGCCTTGGCTAGGTGTTTTTGGTTGGGTTATAGCCATTTTTTGGTAGCATAGTTACTCGGACTTTCGAATAATTTACTTTGTATATCAATATGTGCAAGCAAAGTATAACGGCGAGGCGGATCATGAACGGTGACTCCAAAACGTGCCACGGCTGACAAAGTAAAGACGCTCCTCAGGACTTATTGCCTACAGATCTCTGAGCAGAACAAGAAGTCTCTTGTGATATATTTTCTGCACTGTTATTAGGTACCTCACTTTCCCCGGTGTATGGCAAAAGTACTGCAAACAAATTCCGTTAACTTAGCACAACCAACGGAGCCCAGTCCTCCTAGTCGCCCGTCACGGTTGAGGAACCCCCTCAGGGAAAATCGGTCCCATCCTGAATCTAGGACTCAAGCACGAGGTGAGCCGTCACGGTAGCGATGGATGAGAAGTATTTTTAGGGAATTGGAAACGGTCTCGAAGGTTGAGCGGTGGTGGCGTTCTTCGTAGGGTTTCCTATCTGGCGCAGCTCTGTACATTTTAGTGATATTATGAAGCTGGCCGCCACCACGAGGTTCAACGACCTGGAAAGTATGGGATCCTAAAGTTTGTGTACGAGAAAGGACTTGTCGCTATTTACACCTTACGCTGTAGCGTCTCGTCAAGGTATGTTTCGGCGAACAACTTTCTTGAAGAAGGCTACTCAGTAATCTGCCCTACATATAACACCGGGCAACGGCAGCTTCGATGTGATGGGCACATAAGCGTTTTGAACTTTGCTGGAGAATATGACTCGAGCTTCAGGAATAGGGCCTTGAACTCGGTGGTGGGGAGAAGTGGTGTGAGAAAATTGTGCTCTAAGGTTATTATTCTTTTGAACTTTTGCCTCGGAGATAGCTGTTAATAACATGACAAAAATATGTTTTGCTATCTCACTGAGTCTCTGGCTTTATTTATCGAGCTTGTGCTCACGCATTTGCTAGAAGTGTGAACAACCATCCTGTGCACCCAGGCAAGCTTGGACCCACCCATGACGTATAAATTGGCGCGTCAAACGCGTGAACCCGAATTTCTTCCCCTCGCCCACCCATCTCGGAGTTTTCCCCGCCACAAACATTGTGATGTCGTCTGCATTCACAATGGCTTCGCGAGATTCGCCGCCGGCGCCGGCGCTTCCGGAGCCGGTTACTCTGCCTAATGACGAGCACCGCATTGAACCGGTATTTCCTCCGCCCCGGCCTCTCCCGCTTGACCCTCTCTTTTGCGGCGTGCTAACCTCACACTTGCAGCTGGTGGAAAATTTTTCCACTGTCAAGGAAATCATCGAATACATCGTCAAAACCCGTCAAGATCTCTGGGCCGCCGGCCATTTCAATCACGGCGGTGAGCTTCTTGTCAGGTTCCACTGGCAGGCAAGCAAAGCCGGCGAGGTAGATAAGTTTTTCAACAGTCTCAATGCCGCGCTGCTAGATCGCGACCATCCGAAAATCAGCCGCTTCGAGTACGACTACGAATCCGAGACGGTTTATCTCGACATCATGCCCGAATCTAGGTTACATTCCGGGATTCAATACCGTCTTAACTGTCACATCTGGGACCAGATTCGCAATCAGATCGCTACAGAACGTAATATAAGTATTCGACACTTTTTGAAGTCGATCCGAGGCTTCGGTACAGCGACTATCTCGGACGAGGAAAAGATCTATTCAGAGCCAGACTTTTCATTTGGTCAGGCGAAATCGCTACTACCATCCCTAATTGGTGAGGTCTCGTAGGCCGAGACCCGTCGACATGTGGAATGGAAGTCCCGTAAAAATCTTCGTTTGTCGGACGGCAAGACCCAAGCGGCTCTGATGATTGATATTGAATATCCCGACGAGAAGAAGGCATGGGTCAATCTCCTGGTCACAGGCAATCTCACAGGCTCTTGGGCCCTGTTTCACGACGATGATGTCGATCAGCAACCCGCCGGCCAAGTCGCCCTCTATCTCTCTGACTTTGTCGGTCTGGTCCCTGATTTACCGGTCGGCTTTTGCCGCCCTTCGGCCACTGAGGTAGCTGCCGGGATCACAAGGTTTGTTCCCTCCTTGATGTCAAATCAGCCAACAGTTCTAACTTCTCGACAGGACCCCTCTATTCGTTCTAACATTTGAGCGACTGAGGTTCATCTTCCGTGACGCTCGCTCTATGCACCGCCCTGATGTATTTACAATGGAGGATGGCGACATGGACGAAAACCCCTACGAGGAGCTCAAGGTGAGACATAGGGAGGGACTCAAGGAGGGATTCAAAATGGGCCATGAGAAAGGGCGCGAGGAAGGGCGCGAGGAGGAGCGTGTCAAGAACCAGCGGCGTTTTGCCGAGATGGAGCGGTATATCGCTCAGTTGGAACGGGAACGGCATGTGCCCCGAGCCTAGCTAGCAACTAAGTTGCACCTGTGGAGATGAAGGTCGGGGGCCTTGAAGGAGCAATGTTCAACTCAATCAATCGAGCATTGTTAAAACAGTGTCCTCCAGATCGTATTGAAAGCACACCTCCCGTTGTTATAACAGGACCTTGAGCCCCTGCGAAGAGCATCACTGTTACGTTTAGCATTGTCGCTACGGTCCGGTATCCCCGCGAGCCAGCCCGCCCTTGCGGGGACAACTGATTGTCGGGGTAGTCAAAACACATATCACGGGGGCGGACAAGGTCGTCGTTAGGATGGTGTAGGTCTAAATTGACACCAGCGTCTAGTCGGTAGAGGGACAGTACTTCGCGTCTCCCTTACCCCCGCTAGGTAGCTTATCGTTGACATCCTGTGGGCTTTTCGGTTTAAATCACGGAGTGGATCAAATGTTAATGGGTCAAAAGATCGGTTATTCGATACTCAAGCCAACCGGTGTGCCGTAGGTGACTTTGGTAACAAAAACACTTCAAAACCGTTTAGAAGTCTCCATTCGAATATATGATAAGCCCAAGGTACCTAGATAGCATTGTGGGACAAGTTTATGGGCTTGGGCCCCCGGCCTTACGCCGGGCCCCCGCCAACGTGTCCAGGATTATGCCCACAACCTGATAGCCTTATACAAACCGCATTCTCCTACAAATATGCCGAGAACAAGGGGCGCATGGGGTTCTCCGATGGCTCACTTGATGCACTAGAGTCGCTAGAACGAGAGGTCAGTGTGTTTCAACCCAGCCACATTTAAGAATAATACTGAACACTCTTGGAATGGGGGCAGAGAACTCACGATCTGCCCGTCCTCGGCCTCACATCCACCGGCCCCTTATCCAACCCTTCGAGCCCACACCACTCATCCCCTCCCGCCGTCCACACCCGCCACCTCGCCTCCGCCGCCATCTGTGGTAGACGCAAATCTGAGATGGCCGGATCGTCGCGCCAGAAGAGATATAGTTCGCCGAACTGGTCGTACACGGCCTGTAGCGCGGGGCAGGCGCAAGTGCACGGAGATTCGGGTTCTAATGACGGTGAGGGTGAGAGTGAAGGTGAAGGGGGAGAGGGAGTTGAGGGAGTTGAGGAAGCCGAAGGGGGGAGGAGGAGGCCGACGATGCTGTGGACAGAGGTGCAGGTGCCACAGCGCCAGGTGGCGGGGACTCGGAGGGCGGTTGGGGAGGTGAGGTCTGCTGGGAAGTTTGTTGGTAGGTGGGAGTTGGGGATGGAAGCTGGGGGGAATGGGGCGGCTGTGGGTTTTGGTGTATTTGCGGTGGGCTCCGGGAGATACGGCATTGTGGCGGTTGTTGATATCGTCGCTGGTACAGAGGTTTTCGTGATAGAAAATAATTTAAGAATGCGGATATAATGAATCGTGAAAATTGCAGCTCACGACGTCGAATTTACCAATCCGGTTTTAACGGAGTAACGCCCGAAATCAAAACCTGAAAGAGCTGGGTCCGGGTAATCGAGCTTCAATCACTCCTCAAGAAAAGTGATAGCTGAGAAAGAGCAAATCACCGAACAGGTCGGGATGATCTGCATAAGAGGGGATCGTGAGGTCCCGATAAGGAAGGCAGGGGGGCAGACCTTGCTTACAAAGTAGAGCCGGCCGGACTCCGAAGCATGTCCGCCGAACCGCAACAGGACACCCCACAACTCCGAGCCAAGACAACAAAAACTCCGATAAGATGAGCGTGGGAGTGAAAGCAAGCTGTTGAACCTCGAGCTTATAGCTCGATAATAGGGGGTTTACCAGATTATAAAATAATACTCCAACACTCAAGGAGATGGCAAACAACACAAAAACCCGTACGTTCCTTCTCTGTCTCCTCTCAGGGAGCCTAAGGTCCCAATTTCCTCGAACCTCCCTCCCACGGAAAGTGATTGCTGCCCCACCCCGAGGATGGCCCGCGATATCCGGTTTCCCCAAAGAGAGACATCGGGCTCCAATCCGGCGTTTTGGTTGGCCCGCGGACATTCCCCAGTTTTCTTCAACCCTCTGCAAGGCAGAGGAACTTTCTGGGTTACAGTCTGTCACGTTGGCTGTCTGTTGTCTCTCGCTAATTAACTTACCTGATAGCTGTGTAAAATCACAAACTGGGAGCCGGGGTCTGGGGTGGACGAGAAGGATCCCAAGCGCTTCGAGACAATGGAGAAGGTAAAGCGGAAGTAAACGGGCCAACTCAGGCCGAAGGTTGAACGACAATTTATAGAAGCCCGGAACTTGAACATGACCCATTCGAGATAATATACCCGAAGTTCGGTGCTTTTCGGGGGTCACAACCGCCGCGGAGAGGTGCACACGGACATCTATGAGGGAGGTTTGCGGGCCCGGTCTCAAGTGGGTCCCGGACTATACTTCCGAACACATCCAGGCTCATCGCGCATTCCACACTCACCACGCGCATGGAAACCGATACTCGTGTTCAATATCGAGGACATGGCGTTGCTATTCTGAGTTGAAGGTGAGACACCTGATAGGAAACCCCGCACAACCCCCTCGGCGAGAACCTGAAACACAGCTGAATCCAGGTAACCTCGACCAGGGGCAGGTGAGGCCGACATCTTCTCCCGAAACGGCAGGCGCAACCTTCTTCGTGGGGGAAGACAAAATGGAAGCCACAACCGACAAAGCACAGACTGCGGCCCACCCATTTTGCCAAATGTTTGAATCAAAAACCGTCGCACCCCCATGGATGCTCACACTGAGCCGCTCGAGCAACCCCCACAATGCACCGTGGACTGTCTAGCTCATGGTGCCGAGACACCCGATCGACGAGAACTTAACAACAAAACGTCTATAAATCCGGTTGTCCCTCCTTGCCGTTCTCCTTGGCGGCTCGGCGCGCTGCTCTCGCACCAGACCCACGATATCGCCCTTGTCGCGCACTTGCTAAGTAACTCTTGCTGCTCGGCGTTGTCTCAGCTTTTCTACCCCTCGGTTTGGCCAAGATACTTCTTTGCGTCCGTTTTCCTGGCCCGATAATGTCAACTATAGCCTACCGGGGTTGGTGAGCTTGGGGAAGCTGGTTCTTGACCAAGGCTAGCGTGAGCAGCGGTAAAACCGTAGCCCAAACACCTGGGCGTTCGTAGGGTGCTGTGTCTTCCTTCGTCCGTGGTGACATTTCGCGAGTGTTGCTCGGATGGCTCCAGGGTTACTAGTAAGAAATGCTGCATCAATAGGGGCGTCTGAGAGAGCCCCTTCTTGACCTTGGCGTCTAGCATGGGGTCCACAACCCGAACAATGCTTGGCTCAAGGATATCAACATAGTCCATCGGTCGTCCAATCCTTCGCTCATATCCTCTTCTACTTTGACTTGATCCATATTCTCTCCATGACCTTCGCCCAATATCCCTTCATTTAATCACGAGATAGGTTCGCCCCAGAGCAGGTTCTCCTCTCTTTTTGTTCTTTGGGTCTGGTTACCCCCTTTTTGATAGCGATTAATTAATCACCACAACAACGAAACCCACAATCCGTAATACACAACACACAACACTCGCCCACTATACCGCCAAGATGCATCCTACAACACTCTTCACCTTCACTCTCCTCTCCCTGACCGCCTCCGCCCTCCCCCTCAACATCAACCTCGGCGCTTACTCGCCTGCCCTGGTGGTCGGTGATGGTGCGATCTCCTTCGAAGGAGAAGGGGAAGGGGCAGCAGGCAGGAACGGCGTAGCCAGCATCGTCAACGCCCTCCAGGGCGCCGCTACCAACGAAGCGGGCGCATCCGTGGCGAATGCTAATGGTGCCGCGGTTGTTGCCGGTGCTGGGAATGGCCAGGCAGAAGGGGCGCCGCCGCCGATTGTGGCGGCTGCTGTTGCGGAGGGCCCCAGTGGGGTATTGAATGATCCGGTAGGTTGTTTTTCCTTAAACAATCCGTCGTATAGAGAGGTACTAAAAGGAAAGTAGACTGCTGCGTTACCGACACCGGGGGCCGCGAAGCTTCTTGACCCGCGAGAGTGAACCGAACCGTTCTGATGATGGTAAAATGAACGTTAGTCGGCAAGCTGTTCAGTTGGATTCGATTTGATATCGACGGAGTACGGTCTGCTGGGCTTCCAAATCCTATACGGTGAATGGGCGGTCTTAAGTTCCTTTTCTTTCCTTGTCAGAGATCCATTCCTCTGTAGAGGGCGCGGGAACGGACATATAGCGGAGGTGGGCTGGGTCGAGAAGTCCCTACCAAGCTCGAGTCAAGTAACAAAGTTGGGGTTTTGCTATTGGAGTCTCGGAGTTTGGATCATATTTTATCGCCTTCGCGGCTCCGATCTAGTCTAAATTCTGTTTCTTAGTCCACATTTCCTTTGAGGGCAACGTATTTTTCCATCTGCAGCCTCACGGAACACTCAGTGCTGTGGTGTCTGGGGAGGTACATATAAAGGGTATCGGGGGTGACCAGAAAGTAATTGTACATAATCATTTGTGACAGGCTACGCCCATCCTGGTTGCCCCGATCTATCTAGTACAGTATACTTTACATGCCGGGTATCTTAAGCAAAACGCCGACCTAGTCCGCACCCAGAATCCTGTAGAAAAAATACAAACACGGTCCCAACCATTCATTCGATGACGGACCGGCGGCCGACTCACAAACCGGATTGACGGGTGGTACCTCCTCACTCCTCATCCTCCTCGTCACCACCATTCCCATCGCCAAACGGATCAAATTCCTCCTCGCCATAGGTATCCTCTTGGAACCCGCTCGCGTCATTGAACCCACCATCATGCTCCATCTCGTCAGCCTCATCCTCATCGCCCTCTCCCTCGGGAGGGGCAAGCGCCTTGGCAACTCTCTCTTGCGCACTAAGACCCGCAGCAGAACCGGTCGCGGTAGTGGCGGCCGTCGCGGCGGTCGAAGCGCCGTCCGCGCCGGAGCCCTCCATCTCGTCATCGTCATCACCGTCCGAACTGCCGCTGTCGCTCCCAGCGCTACTGGGCAGCGCACTGCGGCTTCCAATCGAGCTGGCGCCGCCGTACGTACTTCCGGGCCCGGCCTTGTTGGAGTACTCAAACAGGCGGTCCATGCGGGAATAGTCGAGCTTGGTGCTGATGGCGCGGGTGCGCAGCATGTTCTGCGCGGCCTCGATGGCGGACCCGGCGGGCGTGGTCTGGCCTTCGCCGATGCGAGGCTTCTTGGCGCGGCTGCGCTTTTGCTTGGGCGGGTTGTTGCTAGACATTTTGGTCTGGAAGATTTTTTCTTGGACCTTGCGCATGTAGTCCTTATTGTGGTTGGCCCAGATCATTTCTTTGAACTGCACGTCTCTCTCTGAGAGCCGGCAGTGCATGACCTCCGGGTCGTCCTTGAACTCGTCTTCGTGGACAATGGGGTCGTCGGACACCTTGGATGCGGGCGTGCGCCAGGCGGCAGCACCCGTGAGTGTGGACTGGGTGTTGTCCCCGGCCGCTGGGGTGTCTGCATTCGGGGTGGCTTCCTCTCCGCGTTGCTGCTCAATCCCTTGGGTGATAACGGCAGAGGCACCAATCAAGACGGGATTGTTTAAATGTCCCTCCATCTCTTTCTCGAGGTTGTTCTCGTCCATCTCCCAATCCTCGTCGATTCGTAGCCTAGGCTTTTCCTTCTTTTTTTGTTCCTGGTCATTTTCCTGACTGTCGTCGGCTCCGTCCGTGTTACCCTCACCATCCTGCGTGGTAGCCGCGGCGGCATCTCGTGGTTTGATCTTCATGTTCTCCATGCCGGGAATCTGAATACCCTGGGCCGCAGCCATGGCCATCTCGCTGCTCGCTTCCACTTCACTCGGCGACTGGGCCTCCACATCACCAAATTCATCTACGAGATTATTCAGCTGGCCATCAACATCGGCAGTCGCGTTATTCGCAATGACAAGATCGGCCTCGGTCGGTTTGCGGAATGGGATAGCAAAACCGTCTCCGTCGACACCGGTTAGGGGCGCGTTTTGTCCCGATTTCGGCAGGGAGGTGGAAGAGGCGACGGCGTCACTTGAGGAGGGAGTTGCAGCTTGCAGCGCCGGATCAATGGGAACCGAAGTATCTTCCGACGCGGATTGTGCTGTCTTTTGTCTCTTCTTGTTTCCACTGCCAGCACTGGTCGCCTTTCTTTTCTTGGGCTTCTTCGCGTGTTTCTCCTGCCACTCCTTTGACTGTTTGTAAACAAAAGGGGGATCGTGAGAAGCTTCCGGGAGTGCCTTAGACTCGTGGAAATCGTGAATTGTCATTTGGGCAGAGGGCACATTGGCAAATTCCTCCATCCGCTCCTGGAGAGTCGCCATTGTAACCTTGGCGATGTAAACTACTTCCCTCACGGTGCGACGGTAGTTGTGTGCTCGAGCGGCCATAATGAGAGCCGCTCCGCAGATACCGGCGGGGCGGCGGCCATGGGTGATGTTGTCATGCCGCATGCGCTGGGCGATCCGAATGGCAGACAGGGCGACCTTATTGGTATCGTGCAGGAATTCGAGCTTGCTGGCGAAGCGGAAGATGAGATCCTCGATGATGATGGGCTTGGTGCCGTCTTTCAATTGCTCAAGGGTATTGAGAAGATCCTTATAGCTTCGGCCCAGAAGGAATACGTCTGTCTTGATGATGTCGGCCAGGTCGATCAACATGACCCTATTGTTGTCTTCTTTCCGGCAGACAGCATAGAGACAGACGGCGGCGACCGTGTTCTTTTTGCGGCCCTGGATAAAGTTGCTGCTTGATGCCTGCTTGTACACCTGGAATCCCTGCTCAGACACATGCGGCGCAATCTGCAGTTGGTGACCGAACTGAGCGATGGTCTGCTTGGCCTCTCTCAAGCTCCGCTCACGGGCTTCGCTAGCGCCGGCGCCGGCGACACGACGAAACGCAAGTCCACCGGCCGCAGGTCGAATTCCCCCCTGATCTGCCGCGAGGTAGCTACCGTGGACGACAGCCGCTCCATTGGCGCTCTCGCCGAAGGTGACTTCGGCGACGATGTTGCTTTCGTACAAGACTCGACCGCAACTTTGACACATCCCATCGCGGACGTCCGAATCCGTGCAGTCTGGATTCTTGCAGACTGAACGGGCGGACTTTGCTGTGTCCAGCGCTGTTGAAGAAGGAGACGGCGCAACGGACTTCTCTCGGACGCGCTGCTCCTGATCCATGATGCGGCGAACGGCATTCGGCTTTTTAGCTTTCTTCTTGCCGGGGCCACCGCCGGCCCTAATGATGGGCACCGACGACATTTTGGGTGACGTGATGATGCGACGTGTTGTTAGGTTTCGGATTTTTCTACTTAAGCATTAGATATATTTCATGTAACCAAACTTGGTTGGTGGGCGTACTGAGCAGTAACTTACTGTTGTGAATGAGGACAATGGCAGACAACATAGATCGACGCCCCCCACCTTCAAGAGTCAGTCGCCGCTCTGGTACACCCTGTAGCAATTATCGTGAGATTAATTCGTGAGTCGCGGTCTATGACCGTCTCTCATGAAATAATATCTCGATGTAGAAAGGGGTGTTATGCGATTGGTGAGTGCGAGCCAAGGGTTGGGGGATACTGGCGATGGAGGAGTTTGCGAATGGTGGGGTGTCAAATTTGAAGAAATGGCAGTTGGCCAAGCGGGGTGCGTCGGAACCATGAGAAAACCTTACGTGCACGGGCCAGATCAAACGATGAGTCAGCAGGCGAGCACAAAAAGGCTGACGTTCAACTCGCGTTTCAGGCTCAACTTTTCTGCATCCCAAGCTTGAGCCCCGCACCGCTTCCACTCGAGCCCCCCACCACCTTTGGCTTGGACACGACGACTAAACAATTTTCTGCGTAACTTGGCGTAATTATCCTCAATTAATCAACCTAGTTTGGGCCGGAAGCTGCCGGTAGATACACGGCAAAGCCACGGACTTTCGGCCCGTTCACAATGGTGGTTTCTAAGGCTGGGCTGGACTCCGCTCGCTCGCTCTTATGGGCGGCGGAGTTGCCGTAAGTGGAAGACCTGCGAAGCATTGAGACGGCTCGCATCGTGTTAAATCACGTTTCTTCATGAACGTAGCAACGCCAAGTATGTAATGCCAAGTATAAGAAGGGGCCGCTATCTTCTCTTCACGCCGAGGTTTGTGTCCTGGAATATCCCACTCTGGAACGTCAGAGGAACAAAAACCACACCATAGAAACCACAAACACCATGGCGCCCACGGAGACATTCACCATTGTCGCTCAGCCCGGTACTGACATCTGGCGCAAGCCGCCTTCGACGGATGTATTCAATGGTGACTGACCCCAATCTCAACCCCCTCAGTCCCAGCCTTCACTTTCCCAACACCAACAACCCAAGACGAGACCACAAAACCATAAATAACCTAAACTAACCCAACCCCGCCTCCACAGCTCCCACAGCCCTCCCGCCTTCAACCCCTCAACCCCTCCGCCACACCGGCCCCCTGACCTCCTTCCTCTCCGCCCGCATCTCCCTCAACTTCACGCCCCTAGAACAATACGACCAAGGCGGCATCCTCCTCAGCCTCCGCCGTCGCAGCGACAACAACCCTTCCGCCCCGCCGCCCAAATGGATCAAATCCGGCATCGAGTTCTACAATAACTACCCGCGCGTATCGACCGTCTCCTGCGATCGCTGGGCCGACTGGTCGGTTGCTGATCTTGTTCCGGGTTCTTCTTCCGCCGACTCCGTGTCCTCCACGGGGAAGGGTAAGGAAACGGGATGGACTACTATCCAGATTGAGAAGGACAAGGACGGGAACGGGACTGGTGTGTGGGTGTATCGTATTGTCCGGGTTGGTGGGTGTGAGGGTGAAGAGACGAAGGTTCCGCTGCGGGAGATTTGTTGGGTGTTTGGGGAGGAGCAGCTGGAGGAGTGGGAGGTGGAGGTGTCGGCGATGGCGGCACGGCCGGAAAAGAATGTGAGTGAGGGCGGGGAGAAGGAGTTGGTGGTTGAGTTTAAGGGGTTGGAAGTTAAGTGGGCTTCTTGAGGTGTGGAATGGCATTTTGTGTGTAAGCTCTGCGAAGTGCTCTACATATGATACGGGAGGTATTCAAGTTATCACGAGAAAGGGAAGACAAGAAGGGACGATGTGTTTTGAGGCGGCCGAAGATTTTCTTTTATTTTCTTATAGTCTTCACCCATTACCTAGCCCCTCAAGCGGGCGGCGTAGAGCCGTTGCGGGAAATCGGCCGGACTACTAGAGCCCGGCCGATTACCGATGCCCGAATTTGATGTTTTTCGTTTTTCGTCAAGAAAAGGGTCTCAAAGTCGTCATCATCAGTCGTTACAAACGAGTGACCGCCATATGCTCCACGCGGCGTATCGGTCCAGTCAATCCATGCAGGTAGATAACCCAAGGTGTTGTTGATTTTTTTTGTTCGTTGGGGTTTCGTTTTCTTCCTCCCTTCCAACCATGATCAGCCGGATTGTTATGTTCTTTTTTTTCTTCTTTTTTTTTCGTTTGGGTTCCACAAAAGGAAGTGTTGCGGCCAAGCGCAGGTCGAGTAAGTGTTGTGGGCAGTGAGAGACGCGTGGCGAGGAAAGCGGCGAGTGGTAGGTAGTAAAGCGGATTAAACCGCTTCCTCCCGGCGCCCCACTCACTGCCCGTCTTGATCAGTCTGTGTTGTTGAGTGGTGTGTGGTTCCGACTCCAGCCTTGTATGTTTCCGAACGCCAGGGAAGAGCAGAAAAGCTGAGATGTCGTCACCGATTCCTATCCCGAAGAAGCCAGCTTGAAAAAAACGCAGACAGAGCAAGTCAACCAAAAAAAGAAAAACACAATCCATGGTTGTTCCATAAAGGGGAAGGGGGGGGAGGATGTTGAAGTGGGTTGGGGTTAAAACGACGCGTTGTTGCTTGTCAGTTGTTGGGACGTCGAGTTTGGCGGCAAGCCTATATCCTCCTCAGCCGTGACCTTCCTTTCGCCTAGTGTTCCGTCTCGGCAATCTCTGTTCGACTTGCGAACTATGCCTACAAACAAACAATCTGATGCTCCTTGTCTAAAAAAGCACACAAAACGCCAGGGTTAAGTAAAAGTCCCAACTAGCCCAGAGTCGCCAGATCGCAAGATAACAGGGGAAAAAAAAACCAAACAACAAGAAAGAACTGAGATACCAGAGGGGCAGCAAGCTGCGCAGTGTCTAATCCCGCACATCCTCGCATCGTGTATCGGCATTAAGCCCCTCCCGCTCCGTCAGATCTTGGAAGCCAAAACTGGTCGGCCAACCTCGTGAGAAGTGAAGAAATTTCGGTGTGAGTGAAAGATCTCCCAAATGGTGTTCCAATCTGATGCAAGATGCAAGGGAGCTTCGGACGAGAGTAAGGGACCAAAAACGCCGTGATTGTTGACAATGTCGAGAATGCCGGGAAACGGGAAAGACACAACCTCTTAATAAAACCCAGTGAGCTCATCCTCCTCCTTGCTTGGTAAAAAATCCCCTATTGCGCCTGGAAAAGAGAGGTGTTAAGAAAACAAAACACATCCGACCTGGAAACCTTGTTCAATACTTCGCCATTGCGTTGCCCAGCCTCTTAGATCGTCTTTGGGGTACGAGCGTTGGTCGCATCAATGACGTCGTCGAGGTGGTTGCACATGGCGACGAACAGGTCGAAGAAAAGCTTGCCGCTGCCCTCGCCGCACGCGTCGGTGCCGCACTTCTCCATCTCGGCCTGCATGGTGCCGCTGCGCTTGAAGGTCTTGCGGCACCGGATGATGAGCGCCAGGTAATGGGCGCGCAGGCGGCTGTCGGAGTCGGGGGTGTTGGCGTAGCAGTATTGGGCACTGCGGAGGATGGTACCGACATCAATGCCGGACTGTAGTCCTTGCTTCCGCAGCGCCAGCCTCTTGAGTTCCTCCAGCCCGTAGCGCTCCGCGGCGCAGTAGACGACGGTGTCGCGGAGCAGGTGCTGGTTGACGCTCGAGAGATACACGGTGGCTTCGACAGCCGAAGGGGTCTGGGAGGTGGTGGGTTGTTGTCCTCCTGCGCGACCGCCTCCGAATTTTGGGGAATCGTGAATCGTCGGGGTGGTTTGGGGGGTAACCCGACGGGGGAGCGAGTCCTCGAGTTCCCACGAGTTGCGCTGCTTGTTGTGCAGCAGCCGCGGGTAGTAGTCGCCTTTGTAGAGATACTCGAGAATCGCGCTAAAGACCTCCGGCTCCTCGTCAGGGAGCGAGATCCTCTTGTTCTGCGCATCGACGTAGGTACTGCGCAGGACCTTCTCGAAAAAAGGGGCCTGGCACAAAACGTCCTCGTGCGCTGCAAACAGCCGCGCCTCCCGGCCCACCACCAAGGTGACGATGGGCGAGGGGGCGAGGGACTTGTCGGTGGTTCTGGGCCTCGGCTGCTCCGTAGACGTGCGCGAGGGCTCCTCGCCGCGGAGCGACCGTTGCAATTTCGTTACTTTCTGGGCATCCCGCGTGGCACCTTTCCTGGTCAGCCTCGCAGACTTGTCCACCCGGTGTTGCGAATCCATCGCGGTCGAGGCAACCTCCCGCTGGGAGGTGCTGACGTTGCGGCTTCGGAACGAGCGTTTGAACATGATGTCGAGTGGGCGGGGTCTGCGGTTTTTGTGTGGTTGTCGTGAGCTGAGAGTCGTAGTGAGGTTTGTTGTATCGATTGGTGCCGAGAGAGAGAGAGCGGGATAGAGAGGAAAGAGGCGGCGGAATCGTAGGGAATACCGTCGCCGTTGTATTCCTCAGTGTTGATCAAGAGAGCGACGAAAAGAACGAAAGGATAGAGGAAAAAAAAGAATGAGAGCGGTGCACAAAATAAAAGATTGACTGGGTCCGGGCGGTGCTATCCCAAGGGAAACCTCATGAGATAACACCAGCAACAGCTTTGCGACCCTTGGTTTGTGTGATGGGGGAGGGGGAAAAAAGAAAGGAAGTGGATAAGGAGTGGGGGGAGGTCGATTCTATTTATTCTGCCACCTCTCAGATACCTCGCTCTGAGTGGTGGAGGAGAGCACAAGGATGTGAATGCCTAGTACGACCGCCCTACAGACATCGACAAGACATAACCGGGAAACCGCCTATTTCATCACGCTTCGACTCTTGACCATTCGTGCCATTGGCCTGTAATCATATTTTCTCTCAGTGGCCAGATTGATACCGCTTCATCGATTACGACTGTTGGCATCTGTTGGCGTCAACGCCTCGTTTGCTGAGCCATTCACACGACTGTGACTGAGGGTGAGGGCCCAATCCCGGAACCCATATGGGGCATTGCCCCGTTTCTACGCTTTGCTGGCAGCTTCGAGAACGAAGAAAGCTGGATGCCCCATGCCGAATGCTCACCGCGTTCCTGGGCAATGGCTTCTCCGCCATCTTGAGCTTGAACATTGGGCTCTGCTCGGAAACTCGACCCCATGGGGCCCTGCCCCCCAGGCCCCCAGGATTCTGGCGAATTCAGTTTGCGGGCCCTGCGGGCGCATAACCGGTAGGGCTTTGGGCTCCACGTCTCGAAAGGGGGATTGGTCAACATGGTCGCCAATGCAACGAATTGAAGTTGTACAAGCTGTTGCCGTTGGCGCTTCGCCGCAGCGGTTTGCCCCCAAAGCGGGGCACGTGAACAGGCCTGACGAAAGCAGTGCGAGGGGGATTCATGAGGGTGGGCACTCGGGCATCACCAAGAGAGACGACCACGATTGCAACAGGCACAGCCCCGATTCAATCCCAAGGGGCAGTTGTTGGGCCGGCATTGGGTGTGCCTGGCACAGGTCGTCCAATTGCCATCTCCCGATATTCGATGACCACTCGTTCGTAGGCGATAAGACTCCGTTGACGCTGGGAAGCCCTGAGAAGCTGGCAGACGTTGGGAGCGACCCGTCTAAATTGACTGTATCGATTTCTAGATTGATGGAGTACATGGGTACATTGGCCACGCAACTCCCATAATCGTGCACATCCAAAACACAACGCAAACCAACTACAACAAAACTAAAAAATAAACTACGCGACACATAGCATCGTGATTATAATACAATTCTTGTCGCTGGAATGTCTAAAATCGCAACAATCACGATAAAATCATGGAGGTATGTTTGGGGTCTATGTATCTTGAGCGAGGCGAGGGGACTTTGACTTCGCCTGGCGCCAAAAGTGGTTAGGCGTGGTTGTGATCTGCAGGCCTCTTGCCTTGTTCGGCCAATGCACTGCGTCAATCTAGAAATTGATACAGTCAATTTAGACACGTCGGTTGGGAGAAACAGAGATCTTGTTCCCCGCAGACCCACCGATCGGGCGATGTGGGCCAAGACATGGGAGCCCTTGTCGAAACCATGAGGCCATCGACCACCGCACCACCACGATGCCACCACTCTTCCCTACACGTGTATGCCATTAGTACCAGTTCATTGATTCCTACTATTTTCCTCGATCTTGTCAATCTAATGGGCGAATCGTCTTCCCCTGATTACAACCCCCGCGAGATTATTGCTCGATTTCCTTCACCGCGGTCGCCTCACCGTACTTTCGATGGGACATATTGGGCTACCAAGATGTTCTTTCCGACAAGATACGGTGCCTAACTCAATGTGGATGAGGGGTGATACACCGAGTCGTCGAGGCTGACCCGAAACTGACCCGGTTTTCCGAGAATTTCTGGGTTACCCGAAGTCTGTACCTGTCTCTCTGCCGGAACGTCCGAATAAGTGTTGCCTGCCCGTATGAGTGCGGTGCCATCCGAGAATCGCCTTTACCTTCCATTAAACGTTACGCAAATGCTTCATACTGGCACCAACTGGGCACACCGGCAATCTCGAGAGAATTTCTCATCCCCAGCGTGATGGTGGAATAGAGGCCTTGAGACGTACACAAATGGTTCATTAGTTCGCATGTCATGCGCGCAATTTTTAGTTGGAGGGACAAATGAATATCTTACAGCTATACATTCAACGTTACTATCTCCGGGAGTTCACTTCAAAAAATCGTCGGCATTCATAATGGTGCTTTTCATGGCTTGAAGTGACAGTCATCGAGGGTCCCGAGGTCATGCAGGGGCACCAGGGGATAAGGCTGGTGTGGGTCCTGCAAGCTTGGACCCACATCGAATTCTATCCCCAATCACCAGCAGCCAATTCAACACCGTGGCCGGTCAGTTGCAAAGCATAAGCATCTCCAGCTACCTCGGTCTTCGCACCCATCTCGAAGGTCTAGGGAGCCTCAATACCTTACCAACGCCACTACCACCGCGACGGCGGTCAGCTTCCCTTCCTCGATCGACTTAATTCAATAGCAACGACGACCCGCCGCCATACAAGATGCTGTCCAGCCTCCAAAATCCGCGGCAAGCTGCCGCGCAGCTCATGAACTTTGGGTTGATTCTCTCGACAGCTTTCATGGTGGGTGCTTTCTCGCGCGCTTTCCCTTGGTGTCATGCCGCAAATTGATTCCGCTCTTCCAATGCTTTCGGGATGCTAATTTTTCTCCGGTAGATGTGGAAAGGTCTCTCGGTTATCACAGACTCGCCGTCCCCGATCGTCGTCGTTCTTTCCGGTAGCATGGAACCCGCGTTCCAGCGCGGCGACTTACTCCTCCTCTGGAACCGCAACCTGATCTCCGAAACCAATGTCGGCGAGGTCGTCGTGTACAACGTTAGGGGCAAGGATATTCCAATTGTCCACCGGATCGTCAGGAAATTTGGTGTTGGGTTAGCTACTCTTTTCTCTCTCTCTCCCATCGACAACACCCTGTGGAGCCCCGGTCAAGATAGAAACTAACAATCCTTCCTAGTCCCGAGGCAAAGCTTCTTACAAAGGGCGACAACAATGCGGCGGACGATACAGAACTCTACGCACGTGGGCAGGATTATCTGAACAGGAAGGATATCGTTGGGTAAGACACACCCCACGCTCTATGTTCTCTTACCGCGCGCCGCGCTGCATGCAACGAATATGCTAACTCGACCGGACATAGGAGCGTTATCGGATATATGCCTTTCGTGGGATATGTGACGATTATGCTATCGGAACACCCATGGCTGAAGACGGTGATGCTCGGGATCATGGGGTTGGTGGTCGTATTACAACGCGAGTAACGGTAATCGGAATAGCCATTGCAGCATTTTCTCACCATGTTCACCCCCCTACTTGCCGGTATGTGTGCGGAGAGTGATTCAACTTGTGAGTCTTCGGGCTCGTTTCCTGCTATTTATTTCTGCCTCTGGGTTTACCGCCATCATCCAACAAGACCCAGAATCTTCCTGGTTGGTTGCGACCTTGTGCTTCTGTGTGGACTCTGTGCTCCTGCGCGGGCCTTGTGAGTGGGACCGTTGCCTTGCCTGCCGCTCTCTTCAAATTTGCTCGGCGGTCACGAGAGGGTCATTTCGAGAAGGAAATCAGCTTCCTCTCCGTTTCCCTTCCCTTTTAAACACTTATCTCCGGCGAATTTGCCACGAGCGCGATGTTCGTCTTGTGAGTATTCCCGTGAATTAGAAAACAATAGGGTAATTTTTTGGACCTTGGCAGACGCCATCCCGCTTTCGCTCCCATCTCACGGAGTGCCAAGCCCCGCTAGTTTACAAAAATAGGTCGCGTGAAAAGGCCTAGAATCCAATTTTAAAAACAACACCATCGCCATCAGCGGCCGTTGTGGCCATTTCTTCATTCCTTCACCCACCTCACCGCCGTCACTCGTTTTTCGGATCTTTTTTATTTTATTTTTCAATCTTTTATCCCACCGCCGCGCCTATCAACCCCAAGGCTCACGATATCTCGCCCATCTATTCCGTATCCGATTTAAACTTCTCATCGCCCACATCCAAGGAGATCCACGTGATCAAGAGTCAGCATGGCCGACGACGAGATCTCGCCCGCGGAACCGAGGGCGGAAAATTCCAATCGAGACGCGGAGACGACCCAGGCGGATGACGGAGTGACGCGAGAACAGGCCCGAGATAGCAAGGCTTTGCCTCCTCTGCCGGCGCGACCTCTCCCTCCGTCCCATCAAGAAAAGACCCTCCTCCGGCAATCCGCGCTCCCTCCACCGCGCGGGGTCCATTTTGGCCCTCTACCGGTGGAACAGCCCCAGATCCCCGTCCAAAACGAACCTCCAAACCGCCCCGGGTGGCGCAAGACGAAATGGGGGTTTCTCCTGCTGTCCTTGCCTGTCTCCGCGACCATTGTGGGCGTCGGCCTCGCGCTCGGCTACTTGAATGCCCCGTACGCCCCGTGGCACGAGGACTCGCCGACTGATTGGGGGTTTGGGTCCTCCGCTGCTGCCGTATGCTTAGAATCTTTGCTCGTCGCCCCGACCCAGATAGCTGAGGCTAACTATGTGTGATAGGCCGGCGTCTCGATCATCATCGTTGTGGCCGAATTTGCTGTGGCGCTTTGGTCTAAATCCCGGCAGGGTATGCATCCGGGTGCGCTCGTCGCCGCGCACCTCATCATCACGCTGATGGCTCTCTCCGCCGTGGTCATAGTCAGCCTCTTCATCATAGACTATGTGCCGAGTGACTGGTACGATTATCCCCGGGCCGAACGCATCTCTTTGAGCAGCCAGACCGCAATTTATGGCCAAGTCTTACTCGGCTTCGACTGTGCTCTGCTCGTCATCCACTTCTTTTTGTTCATCGGCGCCTGTGTCGATACCAATCGCCTTTCGAACGCGAAGAAACAGGTGCTCGTCGTCAATGTACCCGTCCCCGTTGGGCCCCAATATCCCGTCGGCCCATACGGCTATTACGGAGTGCCCCAGCCCTTCCCACCAGGCGCACAACCAGGACATTACCCATATCCTCCAGTACAGGCACCCCCACAAGCCAGGGACGGCGCCTCACCCGCTGTGTCCCAACAAACGGCGATGTACGGCGGATACTACGAGCCCGCGCCCGCCCCCACGTCCGCACCGGTCCCTGCAACCCGAGCCGCCAGATCTTCGCGGACCCCAGGGCAACGAGAATCTTCAGCGCCTGCCGCTGCGTCGGCCTCCGGGTCTCATCGACCGCAGGGCCAAACTACGTCTCCAGTTGAGCAACCGGCTCAGTCAACTGTCCCGCCAGCAGAAGCATAGGGGTCAGGGGACGTTCCGGGTGAGAAAACTTCATGAAGTTTGACGCATTACGGCCGAGTTTTGGTTTTTACTATCGGAGAGAAGTCCTTTTTTTTTTTTAGAATGGCGTACTTGGAAAGACGGGGCGCGACGGTATATTAACAGGGATGGATCACATACCCGACACCTCGCTTTGTGTCTTCAAACGTGTTATAAACCTAATAGCGTTGCAAATTAGATAGATATCACCTACCTAGTCCTAATATTTAGTCATTGCGGCTAGCATGAAACCTCGTCCTGACTGGCGATCATCCTGTGTAAAGTTGGATTCTGATGTACTTTGTTTGCGAGCCGGCGTTCATCTTTCTCATTTCGGCCCAGGGTTCAACCTAGAAGTCGCATCGAGAAGCTTCGGTTCTCTGGGTCAACTTCTTCCAAGTCAACCGTCCATTTCGCACATGCAGAACGCCTTCAAATTTCCTGGCTTGTGGGCCGAACGACTCGCCGAGGGACAGCGAATCAGCGTTACATTTCCCCTGATCCCAACATGGGTCTTCCCCAAAAACCCGACTTCGATGCTTCCACACCAATCCTCGCTCCACGCATTTCGCAAGGCCAGCCGTTTGCACGCGCATCCCCCGCATTCATCTCCCCGCCGATCCCAACCTAAAGTCGGCGTTTCTCGCCTTCAACACCACCCTAGAGACAAAAAGGGGATGACGCCTTTCACAGGACGAAGCACCACAGCTTCCAAAGCAAGCTGCCCCGAGGTATCTTTAGACCTTCACTAGCCATAGATGCTCTCATTCGAGAGTCGAAGCAAAGCCAAGAACCCCTCAAGCTGTGAAGTGGTCATCAGATTCACTCCGCATCGAAAGTCAGCGTGGTATTCAGTACGAGAAGACTGACCTTGTGTAACATTCATCCGGGCTCTCCTTGGATACCTCGGTGGAAAAGACAAGGAAGCATGCTTGTGAAATCCGGGGTCAGGTTGCCGCGCGGCCCACTGGGTGCAGAAGTCCCATACATAGGTAGTAACAAAGATTGCATATAAGACCTCGAGTTGACGATCCTCTCCCCTTTCCTTTCCTTCTCGCCTTTTTCCCTGTTGATCGCCGTGGCCATCGTCCTAGTACGCGCCTGTCCCTACCAAGCCAGACCACACACACACTCGTTTACCACCTCACAACAAGAAAAAAAAACCACCAAAATGAAGTTCACCACCCTCTTCGCCCCCCTCGCCCTCCTGGCCCCGACCTTCGCGTCCCCCATCATCAACGCCTCCGCCTCCGCCGACAGCCCGACCATCGTCGACGCCCTCACCAGCGTCAACCAAACGACCGTCAAGTTCGGCAACGTCATCGTCAACTGGAACGGCGGCCTCCTCGGCACAGTCCCCGTGCTGGCCGAGAGCACCGCCCTCCTCGTCACCGTCAAGAAGGGCACGTCGATCGCCGAGCACAGCGAGCCCCTCGACAACGACGGCGCCCTAGCCGTAGCGGGCACCACACAGTCGCTTGTGGCGTCTGTTAACACCACGCTGACGACCCTGATCGAGGCCCGGCCCAAGTTTGACAAGCTGCTGTTGACCCCGATCATTGTCCTGAACTTGAAGATCCAGCGTGATGCCACTGCGGACTTGAGTGAGGCTATCATTGCCAAGGTGCCGGAGGCGTTGCAGGCTATTGCGAAGAACTTGGTTGCGCCCATCGACCAGAGCTTCGCGACTGCTATTGACGCGTACGAGGCATAAGGACGCCCGCGATGGCTTGGGGGGTTAGGGGGAAGGGGTACGTCCGGCAAGTTAGGGGGTTGAGAGCAGAGAAAGGCGGTAGGGGGAGTGCACATGAGAGGAACGAATGTGATACGGGAAAACGGAGTACAAACGGTACATCTTCATGATGCACCGATGGATGACGATGATACCTTCAACTTCATATATACTTGATATATACAACTGTATATATATTTTTGTTCATCCCAAGCCCATATCTAAGGCGTGATTGTTTACTCATTCCCCGGCTGCAGACTGTTTTGTTTCCTCCTTGCTCCTTTACGGTGGGCTTACACCTCAACACATCGGCTTTATTTTCTCGGCATCTCGCTTTCATGAGTTCGTTTTGAACTAATGAGCTAGTAGAAGTAGAGACCGTTCACCAAAGACTACGTAGTCCGTAGGTGTTTGTGAGTCGCAGCGGCCTTATCCATGAGGATCTAAAAAATTACCGATAACTAGTGTGACAACCAGAGGGAACTTTCAGTTACGACAGAAACAACACCACTCAACCACGCCGCCCACGCCATGCGTTGAACCAACAGCATCATCGGGAATTGCAGCAATCAACCGAACCACGGCACGAAACGAAGGGCAAGGGTCAAAGGAACTTTCGAGAAATGCCCATGGCGTTTCTTGCGAGGACCGAGAGATCGACGGACACCTCGAATTTCTTTCGTGAAGCTCGCGGCCCCAAGTGAGCCTCTTACTCAATACCAACCACATTTGTCCGTTTGTCAGGAATGGTCCGAAAAAGGCAGTTGGGGCACACAAAGAGGCTCAGAAAAATGTGGATTTGTGCTCCAACAGTCTTCTTACCCGGGCACATCCAATCCCGTAACAGATCAAACGGGAGAGCACACCTCAATTGGTGAAGTTGCTCCCCGTGTTATCCAATTCCGGCTGCAAAGCACCGTGCTTGCGTGGTTGCAAAGGGAGGGGGGAAAGATCTGGAAATTTTGGGGGCGCACAGGTCGAGCAAGCATCGAAGCTCCACAGATGACGAGCTGACGGGGGTCTGGCCCAGCTCAGCTCAAGGTCCTGTCGTGCAACCCCGAGACAGCTGGTGGCAAGTGGCACATCACAAATTGCCAACTGTCGGCACACTCCAGCTTCGGGGAGGTACAGACCCACACTTGCGCAAGGTCAAGGTAATGCGCCGCGCAAAGCGGTAGCAGCACCAAGCATCAGCAGAGCGCACCTCGCAGGAGCTCCCCGCCTCCCTCCTTTCTTCCCCCGTCTCCCCGTCTTCTCCCCACCTCACCTCTCTGCCGCGCGCAGACTTGGGCGGACGGCGGTACGTACCGTCCGCCTAAGCTCCCAGCTTTTGCCCGTCCATGCCCCCAGACTCCCGCCCACCTCGGAGCCTCCCTCCTCTTCTCTCTCTTTTTCGACTCAGCACACACTCCATCACCCTCTTATCCCAACTCGATCTCTAACCCCCCTCTGATACCCTATATTCGTCAATTGGTGTTGTCCGGCTCTTTATTCCGCAATGACTGGCCGTAAGAGAAAGCAAGAGGAGGAGGAGGAGCTAGTCTCGCTTCCCAGTGGCGACGAAGAGGAGGAAGAGTAAGTTACCTACAACCCACCCCAGCTGTCGCAATACCCAACCACCACCGTCACGCCCATTGCCGACCAGACGCGACAAGGACTAGGTGTGCGCATATTGGTTGTATCGTAGGATCACCGCAGCGCAAAACTGGGCGCCGAGAGCGCCGTCACTGTCGCCGGCCGGATGACGTGCTTGGTGCGCCTGTCGGGCACATCGGTTCGCTTGGTTGTCGCAACACCAATGCTGATGAATACCACAGGTATGAAGACGACGAAGAAGACGAGGAAGATTTTGACGACGATGAGGAGGAGGAGGAGGAGTATGACGAGGAAGCCCAAGATGAGGATGAGGAAGGAAACGAGGAAAACGCCGCCCCTGGTAAGCTTCCGTTCCGAAACTATCTCCAGCCCCGAATTGCACCTTGAGTGCCCCTCCACAAGGCGTTGAACAGGTTGTTTAAATCCGCTGTACCATGGACTCTTTGACTAACGGCTGCCCCAAGAACAAGCCCCTCCCAAGAAAAAGCTGAAGACGGCCCCCGTCGCGGAGGCGCCCACCAAGAACGGCACCGCCGCAAATGGCCATGGTCATGGCGAGGCCGCGGGCGAGGAGAACGAGGATGGCGACGAGGAGGAGGCTGAATTTGACGATGACGAGGACGAGGACGACCTCGAAGGCGTGGAAGAGGGCGATGAGGAGGAAGGCGACGAGGATGCCGACGAGGAGGCGGCCCCCACGAAGGCCGTCGGCAAGGTCCCGGGTGTCGCGACAGGCCCCACTGAGCCGGCCAAAACGGCCGCTGGCGGTGATGAGGAGGATTGAGCCTTCACTAGCTCATTGCTTGAGTACATGCATCAGAGCCTGAGCTGACCGGGCGGACATCTGGTCTAGTGCACCGTCGGCTTCAACACCGTCATGGTTGCTCCAGAATATGTGCGTGTAATGATCGCCAAGGCAACCTTGGTGGGTGGTGCTGTTTGTATCGATGAGTTTGTGTCAATTAGAAGTCGTTGTCGGTCGTCTTGGGATATTGTAGCTGGGGAAAGAGCAACAAAGAAACAGTCCTTGCCTAGCCAATGAATGTTGAATGGGATTGATTCTCCAATGCGCTTGCCTTCTTTCTGCCAATGTGTTTGGCTCATCGGCCACATGTATCCCCGGCTCCGGTCAACAATCCCGCTCAGGCCAGGTCCCAGTGGGTGGAGATTGCGCATCCGTCTTAGGAGTCAACACCTCAAAGTGAACCTCCCGAGGCTCTCGTATAAAAGGAATATTTTCATAAACGGCACCCCTCCCTAATACGTCTGGGCGCACCGGTGGGCAGGTTTTCTTCAACATCCCCTCCCATTCCTAATTGACCCCAACTCGACCCAAGAGTCAAATCCCCTCAGCGAACGGATTCATATTGTGGCATCGAGGACCTTGAAGTACCCATGGTATTCTTTTCTTTTCTCCTCGACCGGATTGCATGTCCCAAAGATCGACCTGTCGTCATCACAACTCTTATTCACGGGGTCCCTTGCTTTTTTCAACACTTATACACTCACACTCGCACCGACCGACAGACATGACCGTTTACCAATAAAAGAGTTTTTAAATTCTGATACCCAACGCCGAGACTGCGCCATGGCAATATCTACCCCCCAATAAAGTTGTACCACCATTCTAAAATGACAAGACGCCAAAACCATTGAAATGCAAAAATGTGTGAACCCGACCGAGTCCCTTTCATAACAATGGGAAACAATCCCGGATTATGTCACCCCTTATCCCGACGAAGAGTAAGAAAAGTCCTTTTGCTGCATTACCTGCTCGCTGGCGGGGGTAGCACTGTATCCAATTCCTGCGCTGCGCGCTGGCTCGCGCCCAAAGACGAAACCGGGATGGGCGATATTGAGACAGAACACAGCTAGTACCATCATCCTGCATTGAGAAACACACATGTTAGCTAGAGATCCTCTTAAAAAGGTAATGTGAAAGGCTGCGGGGAATAGGGGTCAACGTACACAGACTCGAGTCCCACAAACAACGCCTCGTCGCGAATCAACGGTCCATCGTACCCATCGCTCAACTCCTCAATCCGATACGCACACCGCACCAGAACCAGGATGATGGCCAAAAACAAAAACGCCAGGAACAACTTCAGCCGCGAGCCCACGGGGCGCAGAGGGTGCCGGATGTAGCGCACCACATAGTCGGCAAACAAGATGACGAAGATGCCGAGAGTGATGACCTGCAGGATGAGACCACCCATGGAGATGTTCACACCGGATTTATTGCCCGAGGAGGCTTGTGTGGCCGATAGTGCGCCGCCGAGGGCTTGTAGGATCAGGGAGACGATGTCGAAGGGGATGAAGACCCAGGCGAAGAGCTTGGAGGGGAAGCGAGAGATCGAGGGGTCGAGGTGGTTGATTCTGTAGGGGGAAGGTCGGTCAGCGATATTATGGATATTTAGAGAGGATTGTTTGGTAGTCATGGCTCTAGCTAAGACTCTAAGAGGTACTCACGTCCGTACTAGCAACACATAAATGGCGGCGCAGAAGAATACCGGTGCAGTAGTGATGCAGACTAAATTCAAACTTGGTTAGAAAACAATGCGTTCGATAGTTGAAGTGCCACCCAGGGGACCAAAACAAAGCACTTACCAATTTGAATGATGAACGCGTTAAATGAAAACGGATTCTTGCTCAACAGAATACGCCCGACGTATCCAATAATCTGGTCCAAGCAGCCCACAATCAGGCAGATCATGAACGACCATTGCCTCCATTTCAGACCTTGGACTAGGTGGATGAGCATCGACACCCCGAACAGGGCCGCAATCACGGCGTTCCCGGGAATGGATGGTTGGTACTGAAGGATACTCGCTTCGATGGGGCATAGGTCGAGAGTGCAATTGGCGTGAGAGCCAAAGGCGATCAGGCCGTCCGGTAGCTTAGGCATGGTGAGTGTTGAGAGTGAAGAGAATTCGATAAATGGCTTTGGGGTGTATAGCAATGGATCGAGACTGGGTGCCGCTGGGAGATATCGGCGGATGGATATATGTTATTCGTATCAGGAGGTAATTAATTAAGAAATTATACTCGGATCTGGAGTGTGGAAGAGTCTTTGTAGGACAGTATGCTGGTGAGGGAGTTGGACCGAATCGTGAACGTAGAAGGTACCGACACCTTTATATGCTTAACATCACGACCTCATTCGAAGGCCCATCCGTACCCGACCTATGGAAATAGGTGGACGCGTGGCTTGCCCGTGATATCTCGGATAGCTTGACCCACCCACGCCCACACCCAGGCTTCCGCGAAATGGCTATGCCTTCCTTTGCCCTTCTTTGGGTAGTGGCGGTGCATACCGGGAAGACTGACATCAGATATTGAATTGCAACACCATAAACGGTAAGGCTTGAATCCTATTGCTGCTTGCGGGCTGGACCAACACTTTATTCCTTTCAACAGACTTCCTATTCTAGCTGCTTTGTTATTACCACAAGTCCACCTAGAAATAGTTTACATTGAATATTTTACAGCTAAATTTTGAGAAGAACTGAACACAAGCTTATCATCAATGACTCCCGTGTCGTTGTTGAGACGAGTGCAGCCTGAGGTGAGTGCGGGTGAGGCGAGTGCGACTATGCGAGCGCGAGTGTGCGTTCAGGCGAGTGGAAGAGAACTGATAGGTTTCAAGAGCGACTTGGCGGTGCGGGACGGAAGGAATCTACGCCGCCACACTAGCCCCCAGCACCTTCGTCTCGATTTTCGCAGCTGCGTTAACCTTATTCTAAACTAGGTTTGCTGTGCCTGAATACCCCGACGGGCGTCCGTTTCGTGCTCCGGCTCCGGTGCCTGGCCCGTCGCCCTCGTCTGCGCCATGCCGTGAATCACGCCGGTTGGCGTGATTGGGTTCTCTGGGTGGGTTGTAGCCTCCTCAGCATCCTCGTCCCGGGCCGGCTGTGTCAGCACAGGGGGGGTTGGTTGGTGAGGGGATGCGAGACGAAACGAAAAGCTGAGCTTGTCAATGTCGACCACACGTGTCGGATTGGCTAGATCTTTGCGGGCTGGCTGACAGTCGATATGCAAGGCACAGACTCAGCCACTACAGGAGTATTATTGCAGTAGTGTACTCTATTGGGGAAGGATGGAGATGCCTGCCGAGAGAGGACGGAGCTTAACTGAGGGGAAGGTCGTCAACGATGTCGTGATTGTTTTGGTCGGCTTCACATTCTGTTTTTTCCCAGCTTCCTTCATCCTGTTGTATTTTCGGTATTATTTCCTTAATAATTATGGACTTGGTTTTGTCCTTGTATCTCTTCCGTGCGCTTCACCAGCTCATTGATAATATGTTGTATTTATGTGATGGGGACCTGAGTCGGTACTGGCCACTCGCCGTGTGCAATGTAGGCGAAGGAAGATGTTCTTGGCCTTCAACCTTTGCAACGGGTTAGCATTCTCGTCGTGTGGTGTTTTTCACCAGCTACGCGTGGCGTGCCGTCATGAGAAGATGGCCCACACGTGGTAAACGGATGAAACGCCTCATTGAATGCATAAAATATGGATATCTCGGTGGATAACGTTATCGCACAAGCCTGGTTTTCCCAGAGTGTTCGCCAAGGTCAATCATTTGTTTGCTGTGCTCTGTTCCGCCGAGATCGGCTTGATGATCTCTCGGACAACCGAAAGGACGTGTAATTTTTTCCTTCCTTTTTTTTTCCAGAATGACGACCACGTGCGAGTTGCCGGGAGTGGCGGAAATGGGTGCTCATCCCCGGGTTGCAGCGTCGTCTCGCGGGCCGGCGTGGCCCACTCAACTTCGACAAAGCTGGGCGTTTGGCCTCTGTGGAAATTTCCAGGTTCCGTCGAATGTTCCCCAACCGGGCGGGATGAGGCAGGGAGGCCCTGGCCGTACCAGGGGAAATGCAACCTAAACGGGCCGGGTTGGACCGCCGAGTGGTCCGGAAATGTCCACTCGCTTCCCCAACGGTGATGTTTTCGCGTTTCCCTGTCTGCTTGCTGAGTGCTCATTCTGGCATTTCGCGTCGAGTTGAGAGCCTCCTTCTGGCTGGTTTCTTTTTTTCCAACCTTGAATTTCTGATTGACAACCGGAACGCGGGGCCACCGGTCAGTGATGTTGGTGTAAGCTTGCAGACTTGCGACATAAAATGCCGCCAATCAGACCTTTGATCACCTGGCTTTTGCCCCTGAGGCTGGCAGATTCCGGGGGCGCGGAAGATGCAAGTTGAGTCGCTGTTTGGGCTCTTGCTTTTGGTCTGCAAAGTCCTTGTACTTGAGCCAATGAAGGGCTAAAACATTGTTTATGGTTCCCGGTTTGTTGCACGAAAAGTCGGAAACGGGGCCAAAAGAAACGGCGGCAGGTGCAACTCTCCCAAGACAGGAGCTCGTGACTGCACTGAGCGTGGAGAGAGCAAAGACAGAGTTGTCACAAGCCGGGAGGATGGCAGCTTCCTACTTAGTAATTCCGTGACTTCCATGTTGTCAGCGGTTAGTTATGCGGCAGACGGCCGTCGCACAAACTCGATTTCCATTTGGGACCTGTTTGACCTCTTTCTCTTTCGTGTTGTACTTTCTTGGTCACTTAATTTCCCCTTCCCGAACCTTGGCCATCTGCACAACCATCATCTTTGAGCAAGCAATCCCGTTCAATTCAAGGAGGTGTGTCGCGGGCAGTGTGTGCCTGGCGCACCCAACAGCACCTGCAACAGCGGCAGTTTGCGTGCATCAGGATTATGTGCAGCAATCTATCTTGCTGCTCATCACGGTTACAACAAGTGTCCCGAGCCCAGTGCATCGGCATTTGAGGACGTCCATGTCCGCATCTGCTCAACCTGGCCGCATGAAAGAGCCGTGCAGCTGATTATTGGTTATGACGGAGTTGGATATCGAGGTCTTGCCCATCCTCATTTGAGATTAGGTTGTTGTGCCCGGCTTCCGACTTTGCATCCTGTCGCCGTTGGCCTTGAACTTGGTTTTGGTGCTTCGTTGCCTGGGTCGAAGATTTCAGGTTGGCAACCCCGAATCAAGCTGGGCTGGCACTCCCGGGGGTCACAGGCCCGGGACCTCCATCCCGGCACTTACTGAACCCCAACAAACCAAACAGGTGGGCTCCATCGCGCGGTGCTGGGACCGCATCCGGGGTCTGGCCAGGGCTCATTTGGGAGCTTCGCGCTAAAGGAAAATAACAAAAAGCTTGGGCGTCCGTCGACGATATTTTCCTCTGCTCCTCCGCCCGCGACGCTGGCCCGCCTCCTTCCGCAACGGCCCCGGCAATGATGGAGAATCGGTATCCGACCGATGACGCTGCTGGCGGCGGAGCGGCCCATCCCATCGAGCAGGATGGCCCTCCTCCTAACGCAGAGCGTGCCGGACCGGGGCCGTATACACCATCGCCACAAAGATTCCAGCAAGGGCAGTGGAGGCCACAGCCGAACTACTACCAACAGCACGAACCGCAACACCACCAGCACCAGCAACAATGGCAGACCGCGGGACCACCTTCGCCCTGGCCTAAACACGAGGAGGTTGACGCTTCATCCGCGTACGATCGTTACCCCCAAGCCCAGCCCCAGCCGCGGCCCTTCCGCCTGCAAAACCCGCCGCCGCCTGGGCGGATGCACCCTTCGGGTTCTCGCAGACCGGTCCTGCAGTTGGGATCAGACGGATCCGATGTTCCCCCCGACCTCGCGTCTCCTCGCAGCGATTCCTTTTTCTACAGCTCCCGTCCGACCAGACCATGCCCGAGCCCGACCCCGACAATTTCATACTATCAACCTGTTCATAGGACGAGAGCCGAATCATCACCGACGCATCGCCCACCGCGGTCTGCTTTCCCTGGCCTGTCATCCAATCCGTTTATCCCAGAGTCGCCCGAGTCGGCGAGCTCGCCCACGCACTCCCGCAAGTTTCCCTCGTTTGCCCGGCAGCATGATCCTTTAGCTCGATTGTCACCGGGCCCGAATTTCAACTCCCCGGCCGAAAGCCGACAAGGCACCCCGACGGAGCCCAGTATGGTGGTGGAGAACTTCTCACGCCCACGGAAGACGAGTGTTAGGTCGCAGCAGTCGGACAGCGCCTTGTCGCGGCGCATGGTGACACCGCACCGGCTCCAAGCTGAGCCGCCCCTGGCAGATCAGCCGCCGCCAACAAGTAGCACCCAAGCACCCGCCAGTTTCAATTCAGCCTCAAACCCCTGGACGGGAAACCGCCGGTTGTCAGGATCCTCTTCTCAATCCACGAGTACCTTTTCCTCCGCTCCCCACCGTTCAAGCAACGATCGTTTCGACGGCACACCGAGAATTGATCATTCACGACACGCAATCTCGACGACGACCGCTGCTGCGCCGTCTGCATCTGCACGACCACCACCGACTCATTATAACCCAAACAGCCCCTCGACACACCTCCGCGAGCCAACACCATGGTTGGCGACCGGAGATGAGTTGCGCTCGAGTTTCCGATCCCAGCTCACTGCGTCAACTGCTCAAGGGACCGTCTCCACGGCCAGCGGGACGGAACGGAACAGCATCCTAACCAAGGACAGTAGCTTCACGGAACAGTCAATTATCAACGGATACGCACGGCGGAGCTGGAGAGCCAATTCCATTGACGACGGCCCGAGCCTGGAGGATGTGATGGGAATGTACGAACGAGGGTTTAATGATTCAGATATCGAGAGTGTCCGCCGTAGCATGCGATTCGCTGAAGACGACGATATCCCCGACGCAGACCACGACTTCGAGATACTCGAACCGAAGGACGCATCACGCCCGGCGAGCGGTCATTCTGATACGGGTGGACTTGAGGCAAAGATGTTGGAAGCGATGAGTGACAGCCTGCCCATTCCACAAGCGCTACCTGTGCCAGAGGCGGAGCTCCAGGGGGGCCGACGATCGAGGACACGACGATCGTTGCTTCCGAGCTCACTGCCGAATGAGATCGGGTTGGGTTTCACGATCGAACAGGCGCCAAGACGGGACAAACCAGAGTCAGATACCAGTGAAAAACACGATTCAGCCAAGATGTTGGACGGAGATGATGGACCGGTCGTGGCTCGCGATGGTACCAACAGTCAGCCTCCCACGCCAACCTCGCCCACATCACCGAACTCGACGACCTCGTCGACCCCGACGCAAGCTCACCCGGTGGATAATACTACCCCCCCGCTAGGCGAGACCTCGGCACCGCCAGCACCCGTGAACATACCCTCCTTACCACAGGAACCCCCGGAGGAACCTGGCAGCCGTGATCGTTACGGATTTCGAAAAGCTAGTGCCAATGTTACCCGCCAAGCGTATGATGCTTGGGACGCGACTTACACCGAGTATTTAGCCCGGCGACGCAAGAAATGGATCGCGTTCCTGAAGGACAACTCTCTCATGACAGATCGACCGAATCGATTCCCCCAGCGTAGTGCGAAGGCGAAGCGGTTTATCCGCAAAGGGATCCCCCCGGACTGGAGGGGAGCTGCGTGGTTTTATTATGCCGGCGGACCAGCGATCGTGAGCAAACATCGCGGAGTTTACGAGCAGCTTGTTCGCCGGGCTGGTCTTGATCTTGGTGGAACCGACGGGACGCGGGACCCAGCGGGCGAAGTGAAGCCGCTGATTATAGAAGATATCGAGAAGGACCTTTACCGGACGTTCCCCGACAATATACGGTTTAAGCCGCCACGCACGGCCACCGAGACACCGACCGCCCAAACAAACCCGACTCAGCCTGCCGCCGAACCCGACATCATCACGTCGCTGCGGCGAGTGTTGAATGCCTTTGCTTTGTACAACCCACGCATTGGGTATTGCCAGTCCTTGAATTTCCTGGCGGGCCTCCTTCTACTTTTTGTAGAGACCGAGGAACAGGCGTTCTGGCTGCTGAACATTATCACACGAGTTTACCTACCTGGAACCCATGAGATGAGCCTCGAGGGCTCCAAGGTCGACCTCGGCGTTTTAATGCTTGCCATGAAGGACTCGATGCCAGCTGTGTGGAAACAGATTGGCGGCGATGAGCTCGAAGCGGGCAAAAAGACCAAGGGCCGGCTCGGCTATAAGCTTGGCCATGGGAACAACCCCGGCAGTATCAGCGACCCGAATCGCCTGCCGGCCATCACGCTCTGCATGACAGCCTGGTTTATGTCCTGTTTCATTGGCACGCTCCCCATCGAAACAGTCCTGCGCGTCTGGGACGTCTTCTTCTATGAAGGCTCCCGCACGCTGTTCCGCATCGCCCTAACGATCTTCAAACTGGGCGAGCGCGAGATCAAGGCGGTACAGGACCCGATGGAGATGTTTGGCGTCGTCCAGACATTCCCCCGACGCATGGTTGACTGCAACACCCTCATCGAAACCTGTTACAAGCGCCGCAATGGGATCGGTCACCTTAGCCAAGAGGCCGTTGAAGAGAAGCGGCAAGAGCGTCGTGACGGCATCCGCAAATGGAAGGCTGAGCAAGAGGCTGCTGCCAGCGACACCAGCAACAATGCTGACCACAATTACAACAGCCCACGCCCATCGACAAAGCAAAGGTTTGGCGCCGGCGCACTGGGTTTGGATTTGGCCGCCGACCTCGACGACGTGCGCCGGAAAGCCAACCTGTTTGGCCGGAAGAAGGACCAACGGGAACAGGCCCGGGCGACCGAGGTGGCGTAGGGCGCACCTCGGCCCCTATCTATCATCCCTTGAAGACACTTTTCACCAACTACTTGTTACACACCCACGTTCCTTTTTTTTATTTTGTGTCATCCTTTTCCCTTCTTTCCTTTGTCACATACCCGGCGCGTCGGGAAACGCGCTTTATTTTCTCTGGTGCCACCTAGGCAGACTATTTCTGTTATCTGTGCAAACGCCTCCTTCGGGTTTGCGTATTGGCAGATTTGGTAGGCATCTGGTGTATGTGTTGTACATCCACCCTTTTTTTCTCCATTTTCACTTCATCGGTTCAATTTTTTTTCCTTTTCTTGTTCACATCTTCTACTACAGTGGGCCGCCTCACGTCCCCCGACCGATTCAGAGCATTTATGTGGGTAACGGGTTTTCCTCTCTACAAGCATTCGCATAGCATGGCATGGGCCGCGGGAGAAGGGAAGATAAACACGGCGCTGGGATGGTTGCCGGACTAGGGGTGGCGGGAGAAGGGAAAGGGAAAGGGAAGACAAAAAAAAGGGAGATATGGCGATTTAAACCGGGGACACCTTTTCTTTGTGTCTATATGTGTATACCGGGACTGGTACAGGCGATGTCCACCTTTTGCTGGATCTTCATAGGCAGGGATTGCACCAGGATAGGGGGCTCATCGTATCACATTGTTGATGAGTGAGTCAAATCAGATTCAAGATGAGCGATCAAATCAAGACATCTCTATCAACATATACCAGGCAGACGGTGCTGAAGTCCACCTTGAATATTGACCTTAGATGACTGGTTCATTGCGGTAGTTATCGAGTCACCACCGGATCATCCAGGGCTTTGAGAACTAGGCTATTCCCCTCATTCGCTTTTGATGTCTTTCCAATCAGGACTGTTCCCCGGAACCTAACCCAGCTTGGTCCCCCTTGAATCCTGTTGCAATACCGGATGAGTAGAGTAGCACAACTCTCGGCGACCGCTGGGCCGTTGACTATTGCTAATACCTAAGCAAACCTCACTAGAAACACAACCATCTGGCCCTTCGCTTTCTCAACCCGATATCTAACTAGCCGTAGGCTTCGCTGAGTCAAGCCAGATTTGTATCCATGTAAATAGCATGTATGTGCTCCCACAACTTGTGAGCTCGGCATTTCCCTCTTTGTTTCCTTCTCTTCCCCCTTATGTCCATATCCTCGCCTTCCCCCCATCATCTCCCCATCTGCCCCCACCTTCTCCAACCCATCTAAGGCCTCACAACAGCAGCACCAGTCGCCGCCCCCCCAGCAGCCTCCGCCCCCGCCGCCGCAGCACCAACAGCCGCATCAAACTTCACCGGCCCCTTCGCATACCGTACCACATACGCCCTTGCATTCTTCTCAAACTCCGCCCTATCCTGCCGAAACTCATCCGCAATCCGCGCCTCCAACGGATCATCCGGCTGCGGCTCAACCAACAACGCCCGCACAGCCTCCAACACGCCCGCCAGCCTTGTCGACGGCTTCCAGTTCTCTGCCTTCAGCGGGCCTAAGCATACGTTGCCCAGGCTGTCGTTGGTTACGTTGGGGTGGTAGATGCGGGTCGCGAAGGTTACTACGGGAGCGCGGAAGGGGTAGTCGACGGGGAGGGTGACGATGAGACCGAATTGCCCGCCGGCGTAGACGGTGTTGTCGGGCCCGGCGAGCGTGACGTGCCAGCGGTGGAGGTCGGAGTCGTTGGGGAGGGTGATGGTGATACCGGCTGGTGGGGAGGTGGTGCACTCTGCGAGTTCCTGGGATTTGTTAGGGATGGGATGGACTTGTGGGGGGGAAGCGGGAGTTTGAGATTTGCTTGAGGTACCTTTGCGATCCGCTTGTTTTGGGACGCCATCGTGGGAAGGGTTCCTGTCTTCTAGGTTGTTGGTGTCTTTTCGGTAAGGTGGTGTGTTTCTGATGGTCTAGGAAGCAGCTCTTCCTTGCTGTAGTTATTCGTACAGTGGATGCTTATGATTTGCTAAGATACCAGCTATTCGGTTTAGGGGTATTACTTCAAAAAGAAATAGAGCGGCTGTGGCCAAGAACATAGGTGATGTTAAACTAGAGACTTGAGGGGACTGGTAGGAACCAAGGCATCAATAGGTCCATCAAAGGGTTGTTAAAGGGCAGCCCAGCGCAAACGCAGTTGTTGGACGAGAGCAAGGTGGGGTCGGAGCTCACTTGTGACGTGCATGTGGGGCGACCTATCGCTGACGGGCCGCCAAGAACTGAGCTCAGGGAGCTCGGGCATTTTGGGGGGCTCCATGCAGGGCCATAAAGAGCATGGGAGCACCTGACAGGCTGAAAGCGCCGGTGTTTGGCTATTTAGAACTTACTACTGTATGTACCTATGTATGTTAGGTACCTGGTAGGTTTCTTAGTGTTGCCATACACATGATCAATAAAGAAAGTAATACTCAGGAGCCCTCCGCGATCCAACCCAGAACGCCATATCGTCCGCGACCCTGCCCTATCTCCTGCAGCCACCGGAAAACGCCTTTCACTTGGCCAAGTTGTGAAATATCATGAATGCCACCCAAAAACTAATTCCCCTCCTCCTCTTCTTCCTCTTCATCGTCGTCTTCATCCTCCTCCCCATCATCTTCCTCCGTCGCCTCGGCGTCATCTGCGGCATGGAGGGCTGGCCCGCTTACTGAAATGTCTGCTGTCTCATCCTCTGCCTCATCCTCTTCAGCAGCCTCCTCCGCCTCGTCACCACTCTCATCGTCTTCATCGTCTTCTTCTTCTTCCTCCTCTTCGCCCACCTCTTCACCCTCCTCTTCTTCATCTATGTCTCCTTCGTGTTCCTCAGGCGCTTCTTCCACACCCTCCTTCTCGTCCTCGTGCTCCGCCTCTGTATCGCCGGCATCCCCCATCTCAACGTCGCCGTCGCCGTCCCCAGCTTCGTGATCTTCCTCCTCGCCTTCTTCGTGTTCACCTCCACCCTCAATCACCGTCTCGTCTTGATGACCCTGCTCAGCCCCACTCTCACTCTCATCTTCTTCTTCCTCTTCCTCCTCTTCCTCATCCGTGCTATCCCCAACACCTCCATCAACCGCAATCCCAGCATCCATACTCCGTCTCAAATTAGGAAACAGCAGCGACGGTGGGACATCATCCTCATAATCCGCCGGCACATCGCTCAGATCACTCTCGTCATCCGCCGAGTCGTGCACACTGCCCGGCGGGCTCGAGACGTCACTGCCCCCTTGCCTGCCCTTACCACCACCAAGGCTACCACCACCCCCAGCCGCACGGCGCCCATTTTCGTCGTCGTCGCCCGCATCCTTCATCTCAACATCCTCATCCTCCCCTTCATCATCATGTCCACTCTCGTCGTCGCTCCCCTCCGCAAGACCACGCACCGTCGCCCGCGCACTCGAGATACTGCCCATTCGGGATCTTGTCCTGCCCGTCTTCGCAGCACCCGCACTAGCCCCTCCACCATTCCCGTTCGAAGACCCGCCAGGACCGTGACTCCCGCCAGCCCCACCAGCTGATCGCGGCGCCGCCTCTGCCGCGCGTAGCACGGCCTGCACGGCTTGTTCGGCCTTGCGCAGGATATTCGGCCTTCGGATACCCGCGCCCGCACGGCCTCTAGCGTTCCCGGGCAGGTCGCCGGCGACCGAGTGCCGCTCTGATCGGTCGCGGTCGGGCTGTTCGGAGCCCGCCCGTAGCGAGCCAAGGACGGATGGGGTTGTGTCGTTGGTGTCACGGTCGCGGGTGACAAGTGTGTGGAGGAGTTTGGATTTGAGGTCGTCTGGTTTTGGTCCGGTGGTAGTGTCGGAGGAGGATGGGACTGCTCCGAGTGGCTGCTGCTGCTGCTGCTGTTGCTCGGGCCCTGACATATCGGGTTTGAGATGGAGATAGATGGTGGAGTAACAGTCAGTAATGAGGTCGTCGATGGGACCCGCTTTCATAAGGTTGGAGTTGAGTTTCTTGATTTCGACGGCCTCTTTCATGGCTGTGAGAGCGGCGTTATTCTCGGCCGCGGGCGTGGTTGACCAATCAGTGATCCTTTCGCCAATGAGATCGAACTCATCAGGAGTGAGGGACTTGAAGGCGTCTTCATCTGCCGGGGGCACTTCGAAAGTCTGCTGGAGAAGCTTGACGTAGGTGACGACGCAGAACTGCCAGAGCTCGTTGAAGTGGTAAAAGTCGGCGCCCTTTTTGCGGATGCGGCGTAAGACGGCCTCCATGTTGACACGGTCTTTCATGACATCGAGAAGGCGGACGACAAACCGGATGTATTGCTCGGTGTAGACGTGATGTCGTCCGGGTCGCTCGGCGTCACACTTCCACACGTTCATGACCATTGTCTTGGTGAACATGCTCTCTCGGAGCACGTTGAAGGCGGCCTTGGCGGCCTCCTCGCGTTCTTCATTGGTACTGGGATCTTCGTTAAACAAGACGTGGGCGTGGCGGACAATGATTCGGTGCTGCCAATTCGATTTGTCCTTGTCCCGCAGATACCGCAGACAGCGGATCACGTAGGCCTTCCACTCCTCGGCGTTCTCGACCGAAACCTCCTGCCCGCGGTCTGGCGCGTACGGCTGCTGTTGCAAGATGTTTGCTGCCGTTTGGATATCAAGGTCGCCTCGCTTGACGAGCTTGTGAACGACTGAGACAATCTTGTAATGGGGCTCGAGAATCGGATCCTGGCCGTGCCTCGGCTTTGGTAACAGCGACACCACCTCGATCGTCTTCTCAAGGGCATCAATTACCGTGTTCACCGTGGGATGGTGTCGACGGTTCTTCTCATCGAGTTCCTCGACTGGTTTCTGGTACATCTTCCAGATGCACTTGGCCACCATGTAAGGGTTCTTCCAATCCTTTGGTCTCGCGGGCATGGCCTTGCGGAACAGGTGGGCGGCAAACTTCCAAACCTGATAGTCCGTCATCTCGTTGTGCAGGATCTTCTTATAGGTTCCGGCACCTTCGGCTTCGATGAAGAACCGTTTCTGTTCCTCGTGCTGGAAGGGCTCCATAGCAAACGGCCCGCGGCTGGACGAGTACATGCGCATGCCGAACTCATGGTACATGTCGTACAGCGCTTCCTCGTCGTCCTCCAGGGATGTGAGGGCAGCCGGGTCAGACGCCCAGGCGTACGAATGGGACAAAGCCATGATGTAGCTGTGGATGGCGTTCCGTTGGAACTTGAGGAGCTCTGCGCGCTCCTTGTTCATTTTGTCGGCGGTCCAAAGCACGGACTCATCCAATTCGTAGTCGAAGCACTCCGCCAGACGAAACCAGGCGTCCCAGCGATCTGGGGTGTACTGGAGCTGGAGTCGAAGGAACGTAGCCCCGATACGCAGGTCGTCCGTAGCACCCGGTGTTTGCCGCCGGTTCAGATCAACGCCCTTGAATTTTGTGAGGGCAATCATGCCCAAGAGGAAGAACCACCCTTGCTTGGCCGGGGCGCTCTCTGGTGTGTTGATGGTCACGGCGTCCAGATCGACACTGCCGGTCAACGCCTGGTAGAGATGCAATGGGTGGATTGGCGCTTTGAGGTATTCTGAGTAGTTACGCAGGTTGTGTGCCATCTGCGGGCTTGACTTGGCCGACCCGATCGCCTGCTGCATTCGCTCGATCGTTGTCTTCAGGTCAGACTTGAGCAGATCCTTCATCGACATCCGGTTTGCAAGCATGGTGATCTTTTCAACTAGCTGCAAAGCCTGACGTTTCTCCAAGTTTTCGGGCTCACAGCCGTGGTCCTGTACCTCCCAGACGCCGACGCCAAGCTTTAGACCATGCAAGTCGTAAAGCACCTGGCCAAGGTAGTCTTCCCAGTTGTCAATGTTCCTCTGCTTGAGCAGCTCCACGCGCATCATCTTGAGAAAAATCTTGTTGGATGTCTTGCAGCATTTGCGGAGTCCCAACACCTGGTGCACCGCGGCCAGGTAATCGGCTAGATCATTCTCGGGTTTCGGGAACAGTTCGGCATGCTGATTGACGCCAACCTTGAGCATGGTGTACTGGAGTGACCAGGCTCGTACCTGCATCTCTTGAAGTTTGTTCAAGAACGCTTTTAGCTCTGAGTTGTTCGCGATCGGCGGCTTCATCCCAATCCGCGTCTCATCCTCATACATTGCAGCTACGTGGAGTAAACAGCTGACCTTGGCCAGAGCAGACATGCTTGATCTCAGGTGATCATCGTCAATGACGTCGAAGGAGCTGTTGTCGTTTAATGCTAGGTGTAGTGACTGGATAATCAGGTCATCCAGGGCTTTGAGCAGGCTCATGAACTGGGTCCTCCTCGGTTCGTCCGGTGATTGGAGGTAGTCGTCGCTCTCAAGATCAGCGACAACAGCCTCGATACTTCGGAGAAAACATGAAAACTGTTTCGTGGTGTACTGTAACTTCCCGTAGGCTTCACCTAGTCGAGACCAGAGCAATAGCCTGAGCTCTGTGCTACTGCTTTTCAAGAACTTCCACAGATCCATGAGTTCTTGGCTGGCACACTCCGAGATGGGCTTCCTGCGTTGTTTCCCGTCTGCAGAATCGGAGCTGGCACCACTTGTTTCTGGCGTGGGGGAGATGTCGATGTAAACCGCCTCTGGGTTGAGAACTGGCTCCAGACTCTCAATGACCGAGACTGGGTCCCCGGAGTCCTCCTGAAACAGGCCGAGAAAAAAGTCCATGGTGGTTAACTTGGATATTTCGCGATCAGCAGCAGCCGCAGAGATCTCCGCTACAGTAGAGTTGTTCGGAAGAGTGAGTTCAACCGTCGTAGACTCGGCGAGAAAGTCACGAAGGCTGTGCCAGCAATTAAGGATATGGTCTCGTGGCGCGCCATTTGCCGTTGTTGTTGAGGACACTGATGCCCACAGAAGGCGAAGCGCAAGGGGGTCGCCTGGTTTGGGGTCACGTTGCCTGGTGAGCTCAACGGCAAGTCCCATCCATCTATTTACCCGATGCTTTGCTTCTGATCTAGCGCCCGGGTCCGTCGCGCTGTTGGAATCCATGGCGTGGTCACAGATGTCGAGATGCAACTCAAAGAGCATCTGAGCAAAGCTGGCAAGTTCATCCGTTACGTTTCTGTGGTCATCATTGAGGCTAGTCTCGAGGTCGTGGAGAAAGCCGTCATAAATGCTAGCATCAAGCTGGGTGACCACATCAACGACGGCTGTCCTCAACTGATCGCTCCATTTCTGCTCCATGTACGTCCTGCCCAAAAGCTTGATGTATCTGTAAGCGACGTCGTGTATCGTGTGCCAACTGCGATTTGTGCCCTCCACGAAACTGCGGAGCCCTCGAGAGTCGTCAAACGCGGGCGTCTCTTGAGCGCGTTGCGAGCCAGACTTTGCGTGCTCAAGAAAGGTAGAAAGGCTGAGTTGTGGGAGCTCTCGTTTATTTAACAAAACCGCCCCGGTGTCTTGGTCGAAATGCGTTATCGCATCCCGGAGGTCGACTGTGGCCTGATTCTGGATCTTACCCATTCGATCGTCTGCGGCACACGAGTCGAGGACCTCGGCGATCCTCCCCAACGTCACTTGGTCTGTTACGCCGACGTTCTCCAAAAGGTTCTTGGTGGTCTGGAATAGATTTTGATCGGCGGCTTGCAAAGGTTGCAGCTTTGTTGCAAGAAATGTGGCCGAGTCCATGGCTTCTTCAGCAGCAGTGTCCCGCCGCCTGGTTCTTTTGCTTCTTTTTACATCGGCTGTCTCCTCTTCGTTGGCATCCGGAATACCTGCCACAGACTGCGATCGTTTCCTGGTTGCTCCCGAGTTTCCACGCTCTTTAGATGATTGTTCTTCGGTTGGCGTGCTGTCGATCGGAGCGGAAGATGGCTCTTCTGCCAGTGCCTCTTCGTTCGGTTGATCCACGGCCGCTTCTTCTGTCTTGACAGCTTCTTCTTGGGTACCCGGGGAAGGGGAGAGCTCCCGGGGTTGCAGTTGCAGTTGCATATCGATCTCCATCTGAACATCCTCTTCGTCCTCGTCTGTGGCCGGCGCATGGATCCAGATGGCGCGGCCGACAAGCCCTTCTTCGGCGACAAAGCACACAATAGCAGCGCCCAGCTCAGCCCACGATAGGTTTGATATTGAGATGTCTTTGCGAGGGGTTTCAATGTCTCCCTTATGAGGCTCGGATGCTGCCAGATTCTTCGTCGGATTGGGTAGGAACGGCATTGGATCCATGAATCGAGTTAGATAGGGGGGTATTTCTCCCTCCACAAATGGCTTCATGATGGGGTGACTCAATGCCATCTCATCACCAAGAACTCGAAGCTGTTGCTTGAGTTGTTCGCCGGCAAAACCCTCGGCTAGAGAGGGTGGTTCGATTTCCTCAACTGCCGGGTCATCGTCTAGCTCAATGGCAGCCTCCAGACTGTACCGGCTGACGCGGGTGCTCTTCAAAAATGCGGCGACCCTGCCGACTTTCCTCCAGAGTTCGGCATCTGAGGGGTCGCGGTCCAGAGCAACGCAGAAGTCCTCCAGTGCCCGGTGTGCATCCTTCAAGACATCGGCGTCCTTGAGCAGATCCTCCTTTTGCGCTAATGATTTTTTCGCCCGGTATTTGATGCGATCAATGACGAATTGGCCATGGTTTTTGTGCGACAAGTAGAGCGCCTGGGGAAGGCTGCTACCAATACCATCAACGTCGGCGCCAAGGGGCGGGAGTCCCTGCGCAAAGGCTGGCTCGATCGCCAAGGTCCCATCCTGGCCTGCCTCGAACCGTTCGAAATCAGTTTTGCTTTCTGGGTATTGAAACACCTCGGACTCGAAAAGGGCGTCGTACGCGTCGGCGGCTTGATCGAAGAACTGCGGGCCCTGCGAGTGGAGCTTGAGGGCATTCTGGAATAATTTCAAGGCATCATCGACCTGCGGGTGTGATCAGAAAGCAATCCGAGGCGGAAAAAGTTGTGGCCGTAACCCACCTGCAGGTCCTTGGTTGTGTCGACCTCCTCGTCGATGTTCTCTTCGGGTTCGACGTTGATGGCCAAGAAGGCGGCCTAGAGATGAGCCCGTTAGTAAAAACCGGGAGTTATCATAAAATAGAAGGAAGTAATTTACCATCTTGTCGTTTGAGTCCGAAATGTCATGTGCTAAGGAGGTTCGTGTTCACGGTTCAATCCGATGCTGTTAATGTTCAACCCACAACTTTTGATGCCTCCAGACCGGGGGTTCGCGAAAGGAAGACGCGACTGCCAATGGTTAATTAACGTTAAATTCAAAGGTGGTGGCCCGAGCCCCTGATGTGACCCGTCCACCCCCACAGGCAGCGGTTTCAGACCCAATCCCAGCTGTGGAAATGCCAAGACAACCGTGCGTGGCCGCAAGCAGCTTTGGGAGAGCTGCTGGGGGCGAACAAGCCAAAACTTGTCCCGAGACAAGCACTTGGATTGAGAAAGGGAGTCAGGACCCATTGCGGAGTGGGTTTGAACATACGTCCATCCATTCAGAAGTCCACGCATTCCGCTGTGCGGTGCGAATCCCCGTCTATCGGCAAATCACCAAGCCTTCAACTTTCCGATCAATTCGAGGCCTTGAGCGCAGCGAACGGGTACCTTACATCGCATCGCCGCGCCAAGTGACATCACGGCCGTTCTCCCCTCGCCATGGTTGCGCCCGCCGTGCCCGAGTGCGTGCTCCCCACCACCGCCGGTTTGGAAGCGGTTGAGCTAATGGCTTTATTTGTGTAGGCTAACCGAGGAGGTGCTCCATGAGGCAATTGACGCCCGTACCGATTCCCTTGTCTCCCTGCGCGAGCTGGGCCCGCCCGATCTTGTGCATCTTGTGAAACAGCAGCTCAGGAGTGGAGGAAAACAGGTTGGTTTCTTCTAGCCTGTGCAGGTCTGACGATGATATATGTTGACTCCTGCATGTGTAGACAGGCGTCTATCACCATGTCACAGGCGTGGATGCATCGTCGTCCGCGAGTCTCGCCGCCTACATCAATACCCTAGCTTACAGGGAGTTCGGACCTTCCGCCACCAGCAAGACCCTCGAGGGAACCTATTGGTAATTCGGTCCCATTCTTATGGTTATCGCCGTGCGGAATTGATTGTTGACCCCCCGCAATAGCTGTTACAATGCCTTCTCTCGGGTCGACATGCGCGTTCACGCCCCCTTTCCCGGTTCGGTAGAGAGTTACTGCGTCGACGAGCGGGGCGAAAAGCGCAAGGCTACCGACGAGCTCTGGCTCGAAACATACCTCTGTAGCGTCCTCCGCGCTTACTCCTACGCCGATGACGGTACCGGCGAGACCATAAGGAAGATCATTGGCGTCCGGCGGTTCAACCCGGTGACCAATACGGAGACGGAACAACGCTTCCTCAGCGCGGCAGAACACATGTTCTTTAGGGGTGAGTAGACCGAACCCCCCACTTATGGCGGCCCGTTAGCTGTTGTTAACGAACCCCCTAGGCTGGCAACTTGGGTCGGACTCCGTTGTTCAGGTGCCAAACGTTGTCTCGAATCACCTCACAGCTGGCCTCCTTCGATACTTCCACACGACGGGTCGATATGCGTCAGGAATTAACTTGTTCGAGAAGCTGCGGACCCAAAACGTCGAAGTCGCCGCTCTTCTCGCCAAGGTCTTGTTCATGGGCAACGAAGAGGTCCAGGGGATACGCATTCTCTATGATGCCCTGAAGCAGTCGCCCATGGACTACGTCATGCTGGACACACAATCCGAATTTCTGTTGAAAAAGGCCAAAGGCTCGGCCTCACCCGACCAAAAGGACGACAGACTGCGCTTGGCTCTCGGTTGCGCGGACCGCAGCACCATCGCTGCGCCCAGTGAGTTTGGCACTTGGGCCAGGCTAGCTGAGGTGTATGTGGCCATGGAGGACTGGGAGAATGCGCTTACAACGCTCAACTCATGTCCCATGTTCACCTATCAAGACAAGGATGCGCCTGTCATGCCGGAACCTAGAGACATCCACCTCCCAACTCTTCAGGAGACAAGATTGGATGAGATCGACAGTGAACCCGAGTCCCGGTACGCGGAGCAGGTGGACCCGAGTCTGCTAAACCTCCGCGCAGCTGCTTACCGCGGGACATTTAAGCATGCCTATAGCATCCTGACGGAGATGACTTCCAAAATTGGTTGGGACCAGTTGCTGAAGATCAGGAGCAACGTGTTCGTGATGGAAGATGAATACCGCGAGAAACAGGAATCAACAACAACGTACCCTAAAAACAGGAATGCTAGCACGGACGCTCTCCGCGGAACCCCAGACCCTACGACTAATGGACGTGCGTCTGAGGCCGGGGACGAAGAGGCTAAGGATGAGGAGACGAAGGACGAGGAGGCTAAGGACGAAGATCCCGAAGAAGAGAATGAGGAGGAAGCTGAGCCAAGCGCTGATAAAGGAAAGGAAAAGGCGGTCGATGATGAATCCGGTGCGCAGACACTTTCTCCCGGCGCCGGCGAGAACATTGAGCGGCCCTCGAGCGCTGTGGATCCAGCTGAAGTGAAGAAAGGCGATGACAGCGTGAGCTCACCCCTGGCACTCTCATTCGAGGTTTATTTTTCGCATCCGTTACTGACAGCCTCCTTAGGGGTCCAAGGATGACCATTTCTCCCGCTTGAATAACAAGCGTCTTTGCGAACGCTGGCTCGACAGCCTGTTCATGGTGCTCTACGAGGACCTGCGCGTCTACACCATTTGGCGTACACAAATGGCACAGTACCGGGCTCAGAGCATGCAATACAAAAAGTCGGCCGAGGAATGGGAGATACTTGGCTCGCTCGCTGAACGCCTGCAGCACGTCGACGAGGCCGTCGAGGCTTACCGCGCCTGTCTCGCGCAACGGTTCAGCCCCCGCGCATTGGCCGGCATCCTCAAGGTTTTCGAGAAGAACAAGGCCAGCACTCGCGACACCGTGGCCGCCACCATCAGGCTTGTAACATGGCAGTACAGGTGGTACAGCGAGTTTTCGCCCGAGCTGCTGCACACGATCCGCATGCTCATTGAGGACGAGGGCGCTGTCAAAGTCCGCAGCATTATCCAGGCGACCAACTTACCACAGAACGTGCTCGACTTGACGCATCATTACGCTGCGCTTTGTGCGACCTTCAGGAGCAGTGGAACTGACGGCTAGTGGTCGGACTAGTACGGCTCTGGGGGGGAAACGAGCAGGCATGTGCTGGGAGAATGATGAGAGGGGAAGAAAAGTTTGTGACGCGCAATAGGGGCGCGGCGTTTGAGGTAGTTGGTAAGGGCTGGGTGGCAGCGTTTGGCGTCACACAGGTGTTTGGCGGTTCTTTAGGGGTTCCGTTCGTTCTTCCGTTCGTCCTATCGGGCGGCCAACTCGTGGACGGTGAGTTTTAGATCTTGCTGCTCGAATTCGAACACCCAGTATCCCTACCTTTTAAAGCTCGACGGGGCCACGCTGTTGGTGGTTTGGCCCCTATCGTTTTCTCGTTTCAGCCTATGATTGCCCATTGCGAATATCCGAGTTCATATCCTTGTCCTAGCTTGAAGTGGAAGCTTTAGGCTTTTTTCAACGTCTAGCCTATCGCACACCGTAGGAGAGATGTGCTACTGGCTAAGTCGAGCAAGTTGCGTCTTGTATTTCCCCACTTCCAAGATCTTTAGACCAGGCTCTTATCACTTTACTCGTATTTAAGTTCACCCGGATTATTAATGCCCAAGAACTTTGCAGGATCAACGTAGTGAGATTTCATGGCCTTGGATTATGGTCGCACAACTGAGTGGGTATTGTGGTTGTTCGTTCCATGGTGGTGGAATTCAGGGGTATTTGTTGATTGGAGAGGCGGGGGACCATGCAGCGTCTTCCCCTCCATTACGCATGCGAAGTTGCGAACAGCCACGCAACCACAGCCATCCATTGCACCACACACCGAGACACCGAAAGAAAGCTAAGTAGAAGAAGTGGAGGGGGAAACGAGGCCGTCGCATTCCCGCTTTGAGTCACTTCGGCGAAGACAATGCAACGGTGGGTAGGCCCACTGATTGTGGAATTAACCTGCGAGCACCCAGGCACCCCAACTTGCCGACGAAGCTTTCCTCGCTGTCGTATCGGTCCGTGATGCCGAATCTTCGGGTCGGCCGAGCTCCGAGCCGCTTCACTCCCTCTCGGGAACGGCCTACATATCGGCCCAGTAATTCATCGAGTACTTTCATGAGGACTTAACCCCCCACCATGCATATCCCTGCTCGCGCAACAAGTCTTGCTTCCCCCCACTCAAGAGCTTCGTCTCACCACTGGCCGAATTTTGTTGCCATATTGAGGGTATCCCCGCGTGCGCCGTGTAAAAAAACACGGGTCGTTGGAGAACAATCGTGCGGGGTGTGGGGAACACCAGCACCACGGGGTAACGTCATAGCAAACTTTGGGTAATGGAAACACTTCGAAGGTCGGGACGGGTGTGGTCCCACATCGGGCTGTTGGAGCTCAGGAGTAATAAAGCTGCTCGATGCGCCGCCCATTTTGGGTTTGCGGTTCGAGCAACTTCAGCCCCTTTAACATCGATATTACCATTACGAGCATCCCGTCAGTACTCCGCCGCAACCATGACCAAGTTCAGCACGTAAGAAGCCTTCCCCAGCCTCTATGTCGCCCTTCCGTCCCCCCTCATGTGTCCCATGATTTTATCCCATTTTTCCTCGCATTCCTTTATTGACCCATCCGTGGTTCAGGGAGACCTTCAAGCTCAACACGGGCAAGGAGATCCCCGCCATCGGCCTGGGCACATGGCAGTCCGGTCCTGGTGAGGTCGGCAATGCCATTGAGGTAGCGCTGAAGAACGGGTACCGACACATCGACACCGCATTCGCGTATGGCAACGAGAAGGAGGTCGGCGAGGGTCTCCGCGCATCGGGGGTGCCGCGCGAGGAGATCTTCCTGACGACCAAGCTTAACAACCCTTGGCACAAGCGGGTACCCGAGGCGCTTGAGGCGTCGCTGAAGAACCTGGGTGTGGATTACCTCGACTTGTACCTGATGCACTGGCCATCGAGCACAGATCCTTCGGACTCCAAGAAGCACTACGAAGACTGGGACTATGTCAACACCTGGCACGAGCTGCAGAAGCTGGTCGACACCGGCAAGGTCCGTAGCCTGGGTGTCAGCAACTTTGGCATCACGCACCTTGAGCGTCTGCTCAGCGACCCCAACACGAAGGTATGTGGACCCTTTCGGGAGGCTTCAAGCCCAGGTGTAGTAAATCCGTGCTGACATTCGAGAAGATTGTGCCGGCCGTCAACCAGATCGAGCTTCACCCCGCCAACCCGTCGCCCAAGTTAATTGCCTACCTCAAGGAGAAGGGCATCCACCCCTCCGGCTACTCCCCACTGGGCAGCATCGACTCGCCTCTGTACAGGAACGAGACGCTCAAGTTCATTGCGGAATCCAAGAACCTCAGCGTTGCCCAGGTCCTGCTTCTTTGGGGCGTCCAGAAGGGTTGGAGCGTGCTGCCTAAGAGTGTCAACGCCGAGCGCATCAAGGCTAACTTCGATCTCGACAACCGTGACTTGACGGAGGAGGAGGTTGCCAAGATCGATGCGATCCCCGACCGTTTCAAGGTTTGCGGTGACAAGTGGTTGCCGATTAAGGTGTTTTTCGGCGATGATGAGTAAGGCGCTGCGGGAGTTAGATAGAGTAATATTAGAGATATTTCGAAAGAAAGACGCAAAAAAAGTCTCAAAAAACCTTACCGAAGAGACCCATCACGATGCCATCGTCCATCCACGTTTCTCAACATGCCGTTTTAACGCACACACAACGTCGCGCTTCGTGTCTTCCCCAAGGCCCTAATGATGGCGACATGTCGAAACGAGCGCAAGAACATCACGGCCCCCATTCTCCAAGTCGGGCACGATACTCCCTACAGCTTCGCCCCAGCCTCCTCGTCTGCCCTCAACACCTCCGCCACCGCTCTCCGAACCCTTTCCGCCAGCGCAACCCCCTCCTCCTCATCCAGCTCATCCCTCTGCCCGCGCCCAAACATCGTCGCCGTAAACCGCTCACTGCGCTGGTCCCGCAATTCCGGGCGCGGAATCACATGGAAATGCATATGCGGCACAACCTGCGCGGCGGCGGCACCATTGTTCTGCACCACATTCCAATCATGAATCCCCGTCGCGCGCACGACCGCGGCAGACAGGATCCGCAGATAACGGCCTAGCTCGGCGGATTCCGCGGCGGAGACGTCGGTGAGTTTGGGACGGTGCGGGCGCGGACAGAGCAGGACGTGGCCGACGGAGAGCGGCATGATATCGAGGAAGGCGACGAGGTGTGGGGTGGAGAGGATGATGAAGGTCGACGGTTGCGGGGACGTTAATTCGGGGTTGAGGATTGGTGAGGTCGGTGATGGCGGGTCGGAAGGGTTATATGGTGGGAAGACGGCGGAGATGTGGCAGAAGGGGCAGCTGGGTTCGGAATCGGGGGAGGTGGACGACGTGGACCGGGGGAGCCCAGGGTCGAAGTCGGTGGGAGATGGGACGGTGATGGAGGTTTTAGGCGCCATGGTGGCAGTAGGTTTGTGGACGCGTTCGAATGTTTGTTGAAAGAGTGAATTGAAAGAGGGGGAAAACGCTGGCTTCAGTTTGGACGTGTTACTTCCGGAAAGCTCCCATTTGAAGCGTCGTGTGCTTGATGCTTTGGAGACTCGACACCTCGGCTCATGGTTTCCAGCAAGAGCTGATTCGTCTGTCTTGCCTGCCGGAGACCGAGCTATGAGTCTGGGCCAAAACACGTTCCCACGTGATTTAATCCCTGCACAGGCCCACCGCTCATGTGTTCTGCCGCATGCGTCCGCCAATTTTTCTGCCGCCTTATTCAACCCCTCGACTCGTCCCAGCATTTATCAGCAGAGCTATCGAAGCACGTCCAGCCCATCCATCTCTTAATCCACAAGCTTTCATCAACGCCGAGACCTCCTCCAATCCCTCCATCGACCCAATTGCACCCTCATCCGACTAGCCAATTAACAAAGAACCTCGGACTCGATCAACACAATGTCTCGCGAGGAATACCAGATCCCGACCGGCTCCGCCTCTGCCTCCGTGGGTGGTGGTGCTGGTGCGGGCGCGGGCGGCTCCTCTTCCTACAATGCCCCTGCGGTGCGCGACTACACAGGCTCCGGTGCCGACGGCGGTACAATGTACTACATGTGCGGCGACTGCGCGGTGCGGGTGCCGCTGGAGAAAGGCGCGGCCATCCGTTGCCAGAAGTGCGGCGCACGTGTCTTGTACAAAGAGAGGACGAAGAGGTGAGTTTTGTTGTGGAAGGAGATACATTGTGTTCTTCGGAATAAAGACGTGATGTTAATGAGTTTTGTTGTAGGATGGTCCAGTTTGAAGCACGATAGATGGGTTGGATTGAGTCATAGATGAAGGGATATTATTGGGCACACCAGCCAGCCCACCACCCGCAAAGGTCGCCCACGGTGTTTTCATGTTGACAACAGAAGGATAATAGTTGCATCACCTCTCTGTTATGGCGTTATGGAAACTGGATAAACAAGAATTACGCACCGGCGTGTGCAATGGATGGGAAATGTTGATTCTTTGATTTCCTATTACTTGAGATGTCCGCCCATTCAAGGACGTGGTATCATTCCAAACGCCGATGATGCTAAACCCCCATTTTGCCGTCCCAATACTGTGCCCAACAAACCAACAGATTCATTTCCATACAAGCTGTTCCTATCGCTGGGAGTGTAGATATTTGGCAAAGCTCGCGTCTGCCGCCGTGGAATCCTCTTGGTGCAACATGGATGCCTCGTACCTCGCCTGCAATCCCTCCCGGTCTTGCTCATCATCAAGCTCATCTTCACTGGCTTCATCCGGGCTCAGTGGTTCCATATCGTCATCCTCCAACTTAATGTCGCCTGGAGCGCTGGTAGATGCCACATTGCCCATCGACATACCCTTCATCATCTTATCCAACTCTTTCTCCCTTTGCTTCTTCTTAACCTCTTCCCTTTCTGCTCGTTTGCGATCCAACTCCGGCTGATAATCCCTTCTGAACTCGTCCGCCTTCTCTTTCACAGCCTCGAAGAATTCATCGATCCCCGTACCTTGGACGGAGCTGACGCCTACTACGCTGAGGTGGCTGTAGAATTCCTCCAGCATAAGGCTCATGCTGTTCAGAAGGCTGCCCATGTATCCGCTCCCCGCACCCTCGCCTTCTTGCCCTCCAAAGGCATTGCTGTTTTGGTCGTTGTCCAACGCCTCCTGGAATGCTTCATAGTCGGTCATCCACTCCTTCGCAAACGATGCGTCCTTCACGTCGGTCTTGTTGAAGACGATGATCATCGGCAGCTTGGTTTTGTACAAGATACTGCAAGCGTAGAGCATGTTGCTCATAAAGGTCGAGGTGGAGCTCGTGCGCGGGGTATCGACGATGTATGCGATGACGGTAGGGAACGATGACGCGAGGGAGTCCAAGAGAATGCTTCCTGATGCCGACCACACGAAGGCTTCTATTTGGCCTGGCGTGTCGACGAGGATGTGTTTGATGGGTTTTCGGCTCGGGTTCTCCGGATCGGGTGCTGCCCTCTTCTCGAGAAGGCCAAGAACTTGATCCACCTTGGTGGTGAAGAGATTCAGGGCCGTCATGATACCTCCATTAGGACCTAAGTTGTACTCTTCCATGACCTTCTTGTAGTTGACGGAATCCCGGATGTCAATGTTACTCTGATACGGCGAGTAGGTGACGGCAGGGTCAAGGTTCACGACGTAAGGAGGCTCTTTCTTGGCGTGGAGATGGGCGTTGATGCGCTGCATGAAGGTTGTCTTCCCTGCTCCTAAAATGGGTGTTAGGGACCTTTGTCGTGACGACGAGTAAGGTGCAGAGGGAGAACATACCTGCCATCCCGACGCAGACGACCACGACGGGTTGCTCGGATGGGCCATCTGAGGCTGGTGTCGGTGTTGAACTCGAATCCATATTGTAAACAACAAGCTCACCGTCCGCGATGAATCTGAAGATTGATCATGGAGAGGAGGTTTGTGGGAGATATCTTCGCGATCTGGATTGGAATCCAATCGGGGATGGCGGGGTTGGTGGGGCGGTGGGCAAGCTCAAAGAATGTCACACTCAGGCAACACAGTGTTTAAAAACGGTCTCACATGCGCTCGAGAGCGGCTCCCTTTTTTTCATCCCGCCTGTCTTTGGATTCCACATCTTCTCTTGGCGTGACGAATAAGCTCATTGCCCGTCACAGCCTGTTGCCAATAGTGAATACCTTTACGGTATCAATTATCATTCAACCAACTCAAAACTTTGCGCCGACATATCCAGTGCGCGATCAATGATCAATGCTGCAAGTTTGGCAGCGCAACGAAAGCTTCGCTGTTGATCATCTCGCCGTCCAAAGCGAAAGTCCCGGCCAGAGCCGTCTCACGTCATCTAGACCCTTGGCAAAGTCCCCGTTGTGGTCGAAATTGTCTTCTGCTTGCCTCTCACCTACACAACAGGGGAGGTGTAACTATGGAGTACCTAACTAACGTTAACTAGTTTGTGGCAGTGGGTTGGCTTTCGTGCGGGAGGTGACCATTCCGGCCGAAGGCGACAACCAACAGAACAGACAGCCGGCAGCCACCCACAGCAGCCCAGGCCGTGGATTTACCCTAACTGCGCCCCCAATAAAGCTTTATTTGTCCCCCCTCTCGTTTCTTCATTCCTCTCCGTGTTCTCACAAAGAAAGACGCTGTTGTGAATCTTGCCGCGCTCTTGCCTCTCCGACTCTTGTTTCCCGACGGCAGTTCTTAGACTGATTGAGACCTTCACTTCGCCTCAATTCCCGGCACTCATCGTCACATCGCCCAAGAGACGCGCTCTGCTCCCACCGATACCACCGCCCGCCATGTTGCGGAGAAAAGATACCTTCACCGTGATCACGCCCATTCCCGGCTTCATTCCACGGCAGCTGGCCATTGACATTCTCCATTCTCACTCCGAAGTGATCACCCTCAATCCGCTTGTCATCGATCACAAACCCATTCCGGCGCCTCAAAATGCCGAAACAGACGAGTTCTACTCAACATGGTATGAAATTACAGAGCGCATCCAGGTTGTCCCGGGCATCGGCAAGATGGGCTCCTCGACTATCAGGTTTAACGGCTGCTTCCATGACATGCCCTGGGGCTTACAGACACATATCTATGCCCCGGCAGGCATAGATCTTCGGAATAAGTACCGCATTGCGGGCAACCAGCCCGGCGTGGAAACCCCAGAGGTTCCCGAAATTGGCCTGAAAGGACTCGGCGCGCCCTCTGATGGTCTTTACCTGAGGGAAGATATTGAAATCAAGGGCAACGTGACCGTCCTTAGCTTCGCGAAGTCGCAACTTAAGAAAGCCGGGGGCGAGATGGTGAAGCGGATCATTAAGAAGGCGGAGCTCCTGGATGCGGGAGTGCTGCAGGCCATGATCGAGGACGGAAAGCTGAAGACGATCAACCCAGCCGATCGGAGCGGCGGGATCAAGTCCCCAACGCTGTCTCCGGTCAGCCCTCGGTTCCCGCAATCCGTCAACTCCACGCCGCCGCCAGGCTCACCGCCCATCCCGTACCAGGTTCCCCGCATCCAGTCCAGCTACGGCCAGTACCAACGACCCGGAACGGCAAGTTCGCAAGGCCATGGCCCTTACCAGCCGCCGCCACAGATGGTTCAAGAACTTCCCGCAACGGGGCCCAGCGCATCGACTCACGCTCCCATCGAGATGCCAGGGGACTTTTACCACGCCACTCCGAACTTGCAACCCGACCAACGCTCATCCTACCAACAGTTTGGGACGCAGCCTCATCCCCACGGCGGTCACCATGACCCATCTTCCGTCGACCCGATCCAACGCTCTCACAACATGAGCCCCAACCCGTCGGTGGGAGGCGGACAGTGGTCGACGGGAGGTTCGCGGCCGACCTCAGTGTCCTCCGGCCTCCCGTCGCCGGGCCTTGGTGTGAGCAATAATGGCAACGGCAACAACAGCCTATACCCGGCCGCGCTCGCCCCTCACAAGGAAACGAAAGAAGAACACCACCCGCAACAACAACAACCGCCGCAATACATGCCCTACAACCCGGCGGACTACGGCAAGGTGGCGCCCGGACAGCAACCGCAGCAGCACGGGCAGGGGCATCCAGGGCAGGGATACAACTATGCGCAGTGAGGACTGGGGCTAGATTTTTGGTCGCGTGGGGGTGAAATCGACCGATGAGAGGCCTGTTGATACCCCGGAGAATTTGTTTTTAAGTTGGAAGCGGTTGGTAGGCGGCGGGCTTCGGGCATTGGGAAAGCCAGATTATGCATGACAGGCGGGTTCCATTCAAGGTGGAATATTGAGCGGGCGTTTATTTTGGCGGCCGGTATAATGATACCAGTTACATTACTTCAATTATGAATCAATGTTTTATCATATCCTGTAATTCATGGTCCCGTCATTGCATGACCTGTTCAAAGAGAATATGTCGATGAGAGACAGCGCAGGCATGAAATTGGCCAAGACAAGACTACCTATGGTACATTTGTTCCTCGCACAATATATACACTATTAAATGAAACGAAGCACCAGGTAAGGGTAATGTGAACGGTTTCTCGACGTTTTTTTCTTTTGCCTTCCGCTTAGCTAACAGCTTACCCTTAACTCATCCTCGTCTCTCAAATGATACGGGCCCATTTCCAGGCGTTGGATCGCAGTTCCCTGAGCTACGGACGGTGGCACAGCGGCCACGCAAGCCCGCCACGAGGCCCCGGCATCTCGATTCCCGGGGCTACAAGTCACGATGATGACGGCACAGACGGTCAGATTTCGCACGCTGATTCCCCATAGGCTGACTGATGGCAAAAGCATCCGAAGGTTGAGACCCGGCACTACGACATTCCGAAAACGGAATGCTTCTTCTTGTGAGAAAGGTTCGGACAAAGGATTCACGCTCAGGTCTTCGGTGGACGACTTCTTTGTTCCAAGTCCGCTGTGCTTGCTCGAGGCACACAAACTTCGAGTCAGTCTGTTTTCACATGCCTTGGGAACAGATTGGACCCTTTTGATACCAGCCCTGCCAACCACAGGTTCCAGGTTTTAGTTTAGACTGCATCCTCGATAAAGAAGGAAACAACGGGACACGTTGATAGCAAAGATCAATAATAACACATCGTAAATACAGTCCCGTCAGGTGTGTGGTTTCTTCAAGCTGGAGGTTGTTGAATGTCTTGCTGTGAGGCCACAAGGATGGAAATAGAAACTTGAACAAGGGAGAAGCCAGATCAGAAGGGCCGAGAAAGGTGGTGGACCGCCTTGGGCGGTGCGCGCACAGTGGGCCGAACTGTGTTTAGGCTCCCTCCTTCAAATCGGCCTCTTCTACATAGTACAGAGGTACGAAGTAGTATGCCTGTCACACCAATTCTGAGTGACATTAAATGATGTAGTTAAACTTTATGGCGTAACAATATGCTTTACCAAACTATTCCAGGTGAGAATCAGTAGCTTAATGAACAGCGCTGCAACGGGACGCATTTTTGAGCGGTCATCAGTCGCTGCCGAGACCCCTGTAGCTGGAAGTTTTTAGTGGGTCTGCAAGCAGAAGCTCCAAAGACGTCGCCAATTTGAGACGAGCTCTCGGCGTCCAGTTTGAACAACGACGCGCTTAAAGCGATCTCATCCGTGGTGGTCAAACACCGACCACACGCTGTCAAAATGAGCAGCCTGTACGATTTTGAAAAGTCCTTGGCTGCTGAGAAAGCCGAAGAAGAACGACTCGCCCAGGAAAAGGAAGACCGACGCGAGCGCAAACATAAGCACCACCACCATCGCCGCGAAAGATCCTCAGAACGCGACAGGGGGGGCGACAGGCACAAACACCGACATCGAGACCAAGGCCGGGAGAATGTTGCTGATGGGGATGGCCACCGACACAAACGGTCACGCCACTCGCGCGACGATGAGGACGAAGAAACGAGCCGGCAGCACCGACATCGACATCGGTTGAGATCAAGAGAGCGCTCGAGAGATCGACGCGGGGAGAGGAAGGAAAAGCATCACCGCACACGGGACCTCAAAGATCTAAAAGCTTCTGATGCAAAAGAAGACCTCCCCATCCCTGACGAAGAAAGAACACCAACTGAGAGTGCCGGCCCGGTGCGAGATTCATGGATGACAGCACCTTCAGCTGTCGATGTCGACTACATTCATCGAGGTGTAAAGAGGAAGAGCCCGAGCCCTGCTAAGGAGGAGCCAAAAAGGGTATTACACGAAAGAGAGCTGAACCGAGGACTGGAACAACCACAAACCCACGAGCAAGAGGCAGCGCCCACTCTAAAGGAAGTGGACTACAAGTTTGGTGATGAGGGTTCGCAATGGAGGTTGACAAGACTCAAAGCGGTGTACAACATTGCGGAACAGACAGCTCGTCCGATTGACGAGGTGGCAGAAGAACGATTTGGCACTCTCCGGGAGTTTGATGATGCCAGGGAAGAGAAAATGGAGATGGACAGGCGAGGCCTGTATGGGAAAGGGTATGTCGGGAAGGAGAAGCCAACCGGGGACTTGTATGCGGAACGACTGGCCAAAGTGCGGTCAAAGCCGGCTCGCTCTCCTTCCCCAGAACTTGAGCAAGGGGTGGTTATTGAACAGAATCTCCAGTCGGCGCCGCCAATGGACCAGTCTGCGCTCAACCGCATGCGCGCACAGCTCATGAAGGCAAAGCTCCGCAATGCCCCGAATGTCGCGAAGCTCGAAGAAGAATACAACGCTGCCATGGCTTCCTTCAGTACGGGAGCGGTCACCAACAACGCCGTCGTTCTCGATGCGACTCATAACCGCATGCTGGCGGGACCCCGTGGCGAGGTCAAAAACGTCACCACAAAACGCGGCGTCGAGCGTGGCCAAGTCGAAGCCAACGAGGACATGTCGATCGACGACATGCTGCGTGAGGAGCGCCGCACACGTGGCCAAGCCGGAGGCGAAGGCATGCGTCTCGCCGAACGTATCGCCAAAGACGGCCGTTTCGACAACGATCTCGAATACCTCGACGAGAACGCCGCCAAACTCGCCAAACGCGTCCACAAATCCGACACATCCCTTAAAAACATTGCCGTGACCGAGTACAAGAAGCTCAACCGCATTCTCGACCACTGTCCACTCTGCTTCCACGAAGACCGCGCACCCCCTCAAAACCTTCCCACCGCCCCCGTCCTCGCCCTCGCCACCCGGACCTACCTGACCCTCCCCACGGCCCCTGAGCTCACTGGCGCCGAGGGAGGCGCCGTCATCGCACCCCTCAGCCACCGCACCAATCTACTCGAGTGCGACGACGATGAGTGGGAGGAGCTGCGCAACTTTATGAAGAGCCTAACACGGCTGTATCACGACCAAGGGCGCGAGGTACTCTTCTACGAGAACGCGGTGGCACCGCACCGGCGCCCCCACGCGGCCCTCGTCGCTGTGCCTATCCCGTACGACCAGGGCGACACGGCCCCGGCGTTTTTCCGTGAAGCGATGCTGAGCGCGGATGAGGAGTGGACACAACATAAGAAGGTGATTGACACGGGCAAGAAAGCGAGGGAAGGACTGGGGAAATTGGCATTTCGACGGAGTCTGGCGAAGGAGATGCCGTATTTTCACGTGTGGTTTGATTTGGATGGCGGGTTGGGGCACATTGTGGAGGATTCCCAGCGGTGGCCGCGGGGAGATTTGTTTGCAAGGGAAATCATTGGGGGCATGTTGGATTGCGAGCCGGACGTGATCAAGCGGCAGGGGCGGTGGACGAGGAGCGATGACCGGGTTGACGGATTCAAGAAGCGGTGGAGGAAATTCGACTGGACAAGAGTGCTCACAGACGGGCAGGAGTAAGAACGGGGTGAAGTTCCGATGCTCGAGGAGAGGAGGTTACCTGAAGTTATGAGGGTCGGGTAATTGGACGAAGCGCCAAACTTCCAACATATCTTGCTATAATTATAAGGCAATATGACTCCGAGACCATGCACTAGACATCCCGGGAAGTGCTTTTTATCCCCAACTCCAGACTCCAAGCCACATGTAAACCCAAAACTTCTAGCCTTCCTCGGCATCCATATTATCACGGCCCGACCCTGGCGGTCCCCGCTTGCGGCCTTTACCCCCCTTCAACACTGACCCCTTCTTGCCGCGATCTTCCATGAGGGCCTTCATCTCGTTCTTTGCCTCCCGCTGGGCCTCCTCGACCCGCGGCTTAAAAACCATCACCTCGTCCTTCTCAAGGGCATATTCAGCAAGTTTGGTACCTAGGGCGGCTTCGATCCGCAGCCAAATCTCGAGATCGCTAGACATGAGTTAGCTTTATCCAAACCCGTAACAAATGGATCGCGAACGTACTATTGAGTGACAACGCTGATAGCATGACCCGACTTGCCCGCACGCGCAGTACGACCCACGCGATGCACATAAGTCTTAGAATCCTGAGGTAGGTCAAAGTTGATGACACAGTCAACATTGGGAATATCCAAACCACGGGCGGCAACGTCGGTCGCCACCAGAATCTCCCTTGAGCCGGCGCGGAACTTGTTCAGCGCGCCGAGACGGGATGACTGGGAAAGGCCACCGTGCAGTGGGATGGCGCCCATACCGAGGAGACGGAGGAGGATGGCAATCCGCTGAGTCTCGAGGACGGTGCGTGTGAAGATGATAATTGTCTGGCCGGCGAACTCGTTGCATAGGTAGATCAGGTAAGTGTCTTTGTGCATGTGCGGCACGAAGAGGTAGTTTTGCACGAGGGTCGAGACGGTCTGGTACTTGGACGACGAGATGCTGACTTTCAGGGGGTCGCGCAAACTGGCGCGCTGCAGGCTTTCAACTTTGCTCGACATGGTCGCGGAGAAGAGAAATGTGCGTCGCTCGCGGGGGAGGAATTTAAGGACCTTTTCGAGAATGGGCCCGAAGTCCATGTCCAGGAGACTATGGCGGTGTTAGGTGGGTTGCGCATGGTGAGCAATTTGGACTTACCGATCAGCCTCGTCCATCACCAAATATCGAAGGTTTCGCCTGAAGACCTAGTCAGTACTTTGTCGGCCGGAGAATTTGTACCACACAGCCAAAATACGTACAAGCTAAACCCCTTTGTTTTCTCCAAGTGATCCAACAGACGGCCGGGTGTCGCGACAACTACATGGGGCTTCTTTCCGAGCGCGATAGCCTGCTGAACCATATCCAGACCACCAAGAATCAAAGCGCACCGCAGTGAGATCAGGGACCCAAGAGCCTCGAACGACTGCGCAATCTGCGCCGCAAGTTCTCTTGTCGGAGCGAGGACGAGCGCGAACAACGGTTGAGGTTTGTCGAGAAGCGCTTGAAGAATGGGGAGCGCAAACGCCGCAGTTTTACCGCTACCCGTTTCTGCAATACCGATGATGTCACGACCCTGTAGCGCTAATGGTATTGATTCTTGTTGGATCGGTGTTGGTTTCTTGTAGCCCAGCCGGTCGCAAGCGTCGCAAAGGGAGTCAACGATACCCTACAACCTTGTTAACCTTACATATCCCACATTGATCTCGAGTCCTCGGCGTACCAGATCTTGAAAAGACTTTTGAGCCGGTTCCCCGTTTCCTTCCCCTGATGCATCGTCTAGAGTTTCGGATTCGGCTTCGGATACCGGAGGTTGCGACGGCTCGATCGTTGCGGGTATAGCCTGGGGTTTTGATTTCGATTTCGTTTTGGGTAATTGTACAGACGCTTCCTTAATGCCACTCCCATGGCCAATCTTCCTGCGTTTGGTCGACATGATAGCGCTAAGTTTCTGGTTGTCTCGTGCCTTGGTGGACAATGTCTCGAAGAACTTCGACAGCCTCGAGCTCTCCCAAAATTCATGGCTTATCGTTGTGTGGGGCATGCACGATAAGCTTGCCTCCACTGAAATTTTCGCCCGCCTGCCGCAGTCGCGGCGCATCAATTGGCTTCGGAGCTCACCCAGAACCTCCACCAGACACGAATTTCCAACTTCAACACCGCGAGATCATCGACGTCAAAATGGCCAAAAAACGATCAAAGAAGAGAACCCATGCGGGCGCCAACAACCCCGCTAATGCGGCTGCCATCAATGGCCACGCAAATTCAAAAGACCCAAAGAGCATGGTGATTCGGATAGGGGCCGGTGAGGTTGGAAGCAGCATTAGCCAGCTCGCCGCCGATGTTCGACGGGTCATGGAGCCGGGTACAGCCACACGCCTCAAGGAGCGGAAGGGAAACCGACTACGGGATTATGTGACCATGTGTGGTCCGCTCGGCGTCACCCACCTGCTCTTATTCTCGAGATCCGAATCTGGGAACACCAACCTGCGTCTTGCAGTTGCACCACGCGGTCCGACCTTTCACTTCCGTGTCGAGAAGTACTCCTTGACCAAGGATGTACGGAGGGCGCAAAGGCATCCCAAAGGTGGTGGAAAGGAATACATCACTCCCCCTTTAGTACGTAATACAATCCTCGATGTCGGTCTTCTCGCCTCGCCTTGCTCACCAGTGCTTAGCTCGTCATGAACAACTTCAGCAGCCCCTCTGCCGACGCCAACTCGAAAGTCCCCCGTCACCTCGAATCCCTTACCACGACCGCGTTTCAATCCCTGTTCCCGCCGATCAACCCCCAGACCACACCCCTCAAGTCGATTAGGAGAGTGCTGCTCCTGAACCGCGAGCAATCGGACGATGGAACTTTCATCGTCAATTTCCGCCACTACGCCATTACAACAAAGTCGGTTGGGTTATCAAAGCCCCTGCGGCGTCTCAACGCTGCGGAGAAGATGCTTAAATCCAAGAAGGGGAAGAAGGGCGGCCTCCCCAACTTGGGGAAGCTAAAGGATATCTCCGAGTTCATGATCGGTGGTGAGGATGGCGAGGGCTACATGACAGACGGTACCAGTGGCAGCGAACCGGACACTGATGCTGAGGTGGAGGTTCTCGAGGAGACGGCTAAGAGGGTTCACAGCGGGAAACTCAGAGCGGCCAAGCAAGATAGCGATGAGGATGAGGAAGGCGGCAACGACAATGTTGAACGGCGTGCGGTTAAGTTAATCGAACTGGGGCCTCGGATGCGGCTTCGTATGTCCAAGGTCGAGGAGGGAATCTGCTCGGGCAAGGTCATGTGGCACGAGTACGTCCACAAGAGCAAGGAGGAGATTCGGGAGCTGGAGAAGAGGTGGGAACAGCGGAAGAAGGAGAAAGAAGCCCGCAAGAAGGAGCAAAAGGAGAACGTGGAGAAGAAGCGCAAGGCAAAGGCGGGCAACAAGAAGGGCGGAGCCGAGGGGGAGGCGGATGACGATGAGATGGACGTTGATGAGTACGACAGTGACTTGTATGATGACGATGGGTTTGACAGTGAAGGGCTTGAGGGCGATGCTGAAGGGGAGGTTAACGCTAGGATGGAGGAGGATGGTGGGTGGGAGGATGAAGAGGATGAAATTGCCCAAGGGAAACCCTCGAAGAGGAAGTCTCTGAAGAGGTAGTTCATATAGCATATCAATGATCGCTTTGTTTGTTTGGAGTTGCCTGTTTTTCCCAGTGCTCGGGCGTCGGCTCTTTACCATTCATCCCAACAACCTCGAGCCCAACCCCAGTGCCGGGCACCATCTTCACGCACCTTCTCTCCTCCTCCCTTCATATACCCCCTTTCCCATTCCCACCGTCACCAGCTCCTCCCAATTGACGCCAAACACCGGTTTGGCGCAGCGGCATTGGGGGGAGGGTTCCGCCAATACCGCCGTAAATCGAAATGGCCCGGGTTCGATCCCCGGGCCAGCGAAGTAAAAGCGACTTTTCAAGTCGTTTTTCGTAACCACCGACCGCTATCCTTCCGGATGGGGATAGCGCTCGGCGGTGAGCTTTTTGTCCTCCTTTCATTCTTAATTATTATTTTCTGATTGTATTTTCTACATATATTGTATATATTGTAGCGACAGCCTAGCCTTCAAATAATTTTGCAGCGTGTTGTCAGCACTTCCACCTCCATGTCCAACACGACCTTCGGCGTAACACGGGCATTTCCTCTCTGCCGTGGGCTGACATCTGCCAATGGGTCAAGTCCGGGAGGGAAATAATACGTGGAATTATGAATTGTCGTGAGCTGGTCGAGGTTGAGGATATCTCGCTGGGTCTTTGAAGATGGGAAAAGGATGTTGTTCAGAAGATAATTTTCACGGGAGACTGTGATGGAGTAATGGAAGCTAAACAAAAACTTCAATATGCCGCCCGAAACCGATGCTAATGCTAAGACCCCTAAGTACCTAACTCCCCAAACGAAGCAAGGGAAAAAGACAAAGAAAAAAAAGAGGAGTAGCGTGAAGACATCGCGGAGAGGAGATGTCCAAGCGACCCGGCGTAAGAACCGAAGAAAATGAGCAGAGTGCCGAACCATACGCAGTCAAATCCCACCCAGAAAAGTCCTCCTCCTCCCCCCAACACAGTCCCCTAATCACCTCCTCTGCGCCTCATAAACAGCCATCGCCCTCTCCAACTCCGCCAAGCTCCCGCGGTCCCCATACGCCTCCGCCATCGCAGCCTCGCGCCGTAGGCGCTCCATCTCGGCTTGTTGCGCGGGTCCCGAGGTTGGTGGGGATACGGCGGATGAGTAGCGAGCGGAAGAGGAGGATGGCGATGAGGAGGCTGGTGATGATGTTGATGATGAGAGGGAAGGTAGGTGGGAGGGTGATGTAGGGGAGGAGGAGGAAAAGGAGCCAGGTGTGAAAGTGAGCTGGGTGCCGTCACGGTAGGAGGAGACGGCATAGCCGGCTGTGACTACTGCCGCGAGAGGTGGGAGCCTTAGAATTTCTCATGTTAGGTTCGATTCTAGACAGGCCATGGATTTACGGGGGATTTCTTCGAAAATGGGGTGCGTACCATTTCAGGCTCCTGCTCTTCGTCCGTGAGGCGTTGTGGAGGTATGGGAGGTATGGTGGGTGGACGCGGGCGGAGGTAGAGATGGGTCTTGTTGGAGGTTGGCGGTTCATGTTGAATTCCCGTCGTTTTCTTTGCTCGGTTTTTCTTTTTCGTCGTGCTGAAGAGGTTGTGTAGTTGTGTTGGTGTTGGTGAGGAGCTGCAGAGCTACCCGAGCAAGACCCACGTTGAGATGCCGAGGAACACGTGCGAGTTTATGTCCAAGACCGGTTCATGAAGGGACGTCGAATCCACGGAGTGGAGTGCCAAAACTCGTTTAAAGGTGTTGGGAGACTGGAGGAATGGTTTATGTCAACAGTGGAAAGTGTGAACGGGAGGGAGGGGTAATAAGTAGACGTGTTCCTATTTGGGGCGGCGTCGCACAGTTTAAAGCTCCCGTCCGGCAACTCATTTTCATAGCAGCTGGGCGCTCGGCATGTGCTTGGTGTGCCATCCGGCCCACAGTGGTGTGTTTTGGGCGTGCGGGAGCGCTGCGGCGGTCCCTTCAATGGTGGGGGCACGCCGAACCGAGGAAGCCACTCAGGGACCCCATTCCGCGCCCGTTGCCCCGCCTCCGCTTCCCCGGATCTTCCCCCAGATCTGACTGGGCGTCCATTGGATGTCTTGACCGGCCGCGGGGTTTGAGGCCCTGGCTGCATCTCGCTGATCGAGCGCATCTCCGACGGACGCGAGGGTCAAAAATGCGAAAGTGCATGCACGAAATGCTAGAAATGGCGCGTGTCGATGAAATTCGTCAAAAAAATCCCTCTTTCTTATTGCCTACCTTGCGCCTGGGTTTTCCTCCTCGTGGTTTTAGAATCATGTCCAGGCACTAAGATCCCGCGAGATTTTCTACAATTTGTACTGGAGCCGGCCGGCGACACGGCCTCAAATGACCCGACCTCGAATCCAACTTCTGGGTTCGTTGTTTTGGGCAAAAATGGGGGGTTGAAGCACATGCCAAACCTCCAGTGCCCTGTTGTGGCACCAATGTCATCAAAAAAAGTCGCCACAACGACAACACCTCCAAGGAAAACATACCACACCACTCCGATGACCGCATTGTCTCAGTGGACACACGTGTCCGAACCTGTGGGATGAGAGGCTTCCATACCTACCCTGGAAAACCGCATATTCGGCGTCAAAAGTCCCTCGAGCTAGTTTTGACACCAGATGTGACACAGATTCCATCTTGCAGCTGGACTCCTGCCTCGAAGCGCGACGAAGGGGAAGAGAAAGAAGGGGATGTGAAATTCCCATCAGTCACAGCATGGGGGGATTCTTGGAACACGTTTCTCATTGGTGGTGGATTGAGGATCTTGGTCCTTCACAGATTCATCTCCTTGGCAGAAGCGGGAAGGGAAGGGAAGGAGGTGGGGGTTGTCTGTTTTCGGAATGGGCTGAACGGAGCGGGGTGTTGAGCTCGAGCTCCCCTGGTAACTCCTGATTGAACTTGCTTCAGTGATTTCTATTCTGATCTGTTCTGTTGTCGTAATTCTTGTGTCCTTTTGGCGACTTTTTTTGGTCCAATTCACTTTGAACCCTTCCTCGTGACCTACACCTTAATTTTTTTTTTTTTTTCAAAAAAAAAAGTCTCAACTCCCTCAATTGCCTGATGAAATTAAAACAAAACGGTAGACTCTGAATTTCTTAATTATGCCCCAAGTACTTGTCAAACAAGACAAAGAAAAACAACGGCACCGAAACGGAAGAATGTAAAATAAAGGATACGTTTTGGAGATAAATCATATTTAAGCCTCTATATCTCTTGTAACCTCCTTAGAGTTCTTTAACTCGGAGCGAGGCTTTGATTAGAAATTAGGGTTGGATTATCTCTCTTCGATCCTAGGAATTCACCACCCCGACGGTTGCCCGGTATCAGGCCACATTACATGCCAACTTCCCAGCGTTGTAATGTTTATAGGCGCCAGGCAACATGTTAGGCGAGCCTGGACAGCGACTGGGTTGGAACGCATGCGGTGCTGTCACAGGTTGTATATTAGTGAAGTGTGTCTGACATTGCGAAGGGTGCTCATTCTTCAGGGTCTTCTCGAACGTCTTCGACAGACCCACGGGTTGGGCATGAAACTGGGCACGAGGATTGCAACGCAGAAATTGGGACGATATGAAAGCATAAGGTTAATTGATTAAGGTTGCCGAACTGGAGGTCGTGTTGGTAACGGGTCGAGTGCCAAGCCCCGAAAACGTGTAAGTGGCCATATTAAGCACATTATTCCAACAATCAAATCACGGCTTTAGGACTGGATAGCAGTCATAGCAACGACACTTCAAGAGAAGCAGTATATATACTGAAGCGAAACAATTCGCAAGGGAATATTGCACAGGCGGACCAGCTATCCAACACTTAATCCCGAGCCTCTCCTCGTCCCTGCCACCATCGCCAAGGTATTGAGTGTGCGTCGAGAACAAGAGCTGAACAACAAGAAATGAAAAATCAAAGATTGTAAATACAGGGTATGATGGGGTTTAACCCAAGACACCCACGTTCATCATTAGAAACCCTCCCACCTCCCTTCCTCTTGGCTGCACCTTTCTCCTCACTTCCGGCGTGCTCGCCCAGGGCTCCCCACAGTTTATCGACCAGACCGGGCCCACGGGTTGGGTATCATATCGTCGCGGTCGTCATGAGGCGTGATGTTTGAAGGCGGAGTCCAGTCTTATGAATCGTCCCCCGCCCCCGTTAACCCTGGCACCATCCTCCCATCCTCTCAATGGTCCCATCATTCTGTTTCAGGTTTCGTCCTCCTCTTTACTGTTCCTCCTTCAACGGCGCGTCGCGCGAGCCGTGGCGCTTGGGGGGCCACGCAGGGGGCTCGTTGCCGCCCTGACCGGGCCAAGCGGTGGGCCAGGCCGGGGGAGCACCGCCGTTACCGCCGCCGTTGCCAGGCCAGCCGGGCCAGCCACCGGTGGGCCAAGCCTGGCGGCGTTCGTGGTGGCCGTGGCCGCCCCAGCCGGGCCAACCACCGGTAGGCCGAGCTTGACGGGGCTCGTCGTGTCCGTGGCCACCCCAGCCGGGCCAGCCACCGGTAGGCCAAGCCTGGCGGCGTTCGTGGTGGCCGTGGCCGCCCCAGCCGGGCCAGCCACCGGTCGGAGCAGGACCTCCGGGGCCTCCCGGACCGCCAGGACCGCCGGGGCCACCAGGGCCACCGGGGCCCTCACCGCCAGTCGGGAAGGGGAAGGGCGGGACGGTGCCAGTTGGAGTGGGCCACGAGGGCAGGTTGGTGGCCGTCGGGGTCGGGGCGTCGCCGCCGCCTTGGGCAACGGGCACGGCGTTGACGGCAGCCGCCGCGGCGAGAAGAGTGACGAGAAGGCGAGTCATGTTGATACGTCGGCGAGAAAGAAGATTATTTTCTTCTTCGGTTCAAGAGAGTGGAGTTCAGTTGGATGTCGTCTGAAAGAAGGACGCTGAAGCTGTCGTCGCTCAGATCAGGGATGGATCGGGGAAGAGAAAGTGTGTCCGAAGAGGTTTGAGATTCAAATTATATACCTATCCACGGCCTTCTGTCAACGGAGGTTAGCCACCCGGACGGCATCTGGGAGGTCGATCTTGAGTCCTGGCTCGCATGTTGCCCCCTGGGGGCGTATTTTTCCAAGCGACTGGCTGTCTGGCGTGGTGCGATTGTCGGGCCGGATGGCGATGGGCCACGCCAGGCACTCCAGGATGTCGATATTGATCATTGCCCATCACTTTCCACGAATCGACGCGGCGGACATATTCGGTGACATCGCCCTCGGCACTGAAACTGTAGGCCACCCTTGCAAGATAGGGAGAGTGTAACGCTCTTTGCCAACCAACAATGTCCAGCGTCATGGAAGCCCCGGGCGACCACCGACATCGAAGGCCTGAGAAGGGCTCGGAAGACTCCGAGCGGCTCGGGGGCTTGTGAAGGGCCCAATATAATCGGGACGTAAGAAAAGCGGCCCCATGCAGCGAAGAAATGATGGAGGAGGGTGATCAACGGCACTCCCTAGTGTACTATGTACCAGGCGCCAACACCACAGGCGGAAGAATCAGGCAGTCGCTCAACCTGTTCTCGGAACGACCGAGAAGGGTTTGCCTCTCCTGCCAGCTCCCACGGTTGGCAAGACCTGGTTGTCTAGCTTGTTCTGGCCCTCATGATTCATGCAACTGCGGCTTCCCGACGATGAGTTTCAAGCCGTCTCTTATTGCGCTAGTTAACGTCCGTACAATTTACAGTAGACGACAGCCGTTCCCGCAGACCTGGTCAGCCACTACTGGTGGAAAGTGCGGCGCGAAACTCAAAGCGCGCGCCGTGGCAGCAATTAATCCAAAGCCTTCACGCCCCCCCCCTGCCCACTTTTATTCCGGTATTTGGCCTGACGATCTCTCGGCTGTGGATCCTGGTTCCTGGCCGCGTTGACGGGATTGTTCCTTGGCGCGGTTTTAGCCGAGCGTTCACTACCGGATCCTTTACCAGTTCGAGAAGAGGGGGGAGGGGCCAGAGCGGCCAAATTGACGCCGTTGCTCGAACACGGATATGTTGGACATTGATGAATTGGCATCGAAGTTTTGGAAGTCGCTTGGAAGCAACGAATTCGGTGGAGGACATCGCGATAAACAGACGCGCAGGGGGTGACCTCGGCCTTCCTTGCAGACCATTTAGCCTTTGCCGTCGCTTGAGACGGGATGTCACACAAATAAATGATTCAAAACCTCGCACCCAACGACGAGCAAGTTCCCTCGATGTATCGACACTGAGGGACTGAGAGACCCGAATATCACTACCTTTGCGGGCATGTTTCTTGGGCTCGGAAGGGCCAGACTGCGGTAGTCTGTCTGGCGGATTCACATCCACGGACGAGCTCGCAACCGCCCTCTGGTTGATCGCTCGACACCAGGGTGCCTGGGTAATCAGCTTAGCGTACCACGTCGGAGTGTCGTCGGAGGGCCTGGCGGTGCCGACGCGTCGACTGATATCAGCTTCGCCCACGATCCGGGTTGTCTTGATGCGATAAATGGTCTGAAGGCGGGACGATATGGCGTGAGGTCATGAAAATAATGATAAACGGGGTGGCGGGCAGGAATTACGCCTTGGGAGATAATTACGGTTCCCAGGTTTCCAGCTTTCGGCTTCTCTATGCTTGGCCCTGCCTAATTCTATGATTCATGCGGGCGGAACTAGCTGGGCGCCTCACGGAAACGAATCTGGCGCCACCAACGTTAGCACACAAGGTTGCGGATTTCACCACGCTCCGCGCAACACACCCTTTCGTCGTGGGCGCGCACACAAACAAAGTTGCGTCAACGCTGATCCCAGAGGTACATAACCGCAAGCGAACCACAGGGGGCCGGTAGGAGCGCAGCCATTGGCCCGCATATCTTCGACATTTTTCAAGATTACCACGGTCAGATCCAAATCCCGATCCCTATGTGACTATGTCCGGCCGTCGTGAAGGTGGGAGCCGATGAAGAACCCGTTATGATGTGCCGTTGAACATTATTCTGCGCGGCGGGAGGCGGTTGCTGCCGGATGCCAACCTTCTGCGTTTGGTTCGTGATCTTCGTGCGCTTTCCCATCGTGGTCCTGGCTTGCAGCAGGCTGATCGATTCGTGGGTGCACATCAACCCTTTGAAGGAATCTTACCATCTCATCCCGGTCCTTTAGGTCCGAAAGCCAGAGATAGATAAGATCTCCGAAAGGCTGAGGTTGAATGCGAAAAAATCGTGGTGCCCTCAGTTTCCGAGGCTGACCTCTTCGTCTGGTATTGTCCCGGGCGAAAGACCGCGGTGTGGGAGAAGATGATCCGGGAAAAAGGCGGCTGTCAACGATGTCGTACCAGGTAGGGCTTTTGTTGCCTTCCACATGTTTAGCCTCATCAGGCATTTCAAGTGAACCAAGGTAGACAATGAATGGGTACCTTTGACTGCAAGGGCTGGTTGGTGATGTGGTGATTGCACACGCTGAGAGGGGGGCAGCAGCGGGTAAACGAGCAACATGATATCCCGCTCCCATTAATTGTTTTGGTGGACTGGCGAAAGCTCCTGTGCGGTCATTCAAATGGAAGGACCGGCTGAAGTGGTGTTTTCGAGCTCGAAAGGAAAGGGCAAGGGCGATGAAGCCACTCGACCGCTCTGGTCAGGGCAGGGGCCTAGAGCAGCTTTCCACCAGCTCGCCACGCCCCGTTCCTTCCTTTTCCTGTATTTTCATCATTTTCGGTCCAAGATCGATGAAAAGCTTGGAAGACTTGGTTGTATGGAGACGGGAGTTGTCCCGTGTGATCCCAGAGGGCCAGCCTCGAGACTGGAGCGGAGCAATTCCCGAGGCCATCGGCAAATCGAGCTCTTATGTCATGTAATTAGGTATGTATATAAATCGCTTGGGCTACGAATTATCCGATAATTCCCGACACCTTGTACGGTGTTTTCAGTCCTCCATTTTGTAACCCCCCTTTTTTTCTTATGCCGACCGGAAGGAACATCCACCTGGTGCCAACTGTAGGCACAAATTCAATCCTGTCACACAAGCGCGCCATCCTCGGGGCTGTCGTTTGGTCGGTTAGCACTGATCGGGTGGGTAGCGCAACTCTCTACTCCGGACTTTTGACAACATGGCCTGTTCGAAATTTAACGATTAATCATACGTTCCTACTCCTAGATTGTTGCCATAATATTCCTCAGCCGTGATCTTGCGGCCTATTCTCCCGAATTATACCTCGCGACCATTACACCCCAGTGCTCCCTTTCCCTCTTTTACTTTGAACGTTACCCCCTTTCCGGGGTTGACCATTACTACCTTACCTATGATTGACTATTCTCCATACCACACTAACTTAAGCTTTTGTTATACATTGTCTGCAAGCATTGGTCGTCCGTTAAGTGATGTGGGGAATTTGCCGCCAACATTGAATCCGTGACGTCGACTGTTACTAAGTTTGGCACCTTTAATGTGTTTTAGGGAGGTGGCGGGTGTAGTCCTACTTGGGACAGTTATCAACAACATAGGGTGAATTCGGAGATACTGCCCGATGGATTTAATCGGTTTGAAAACTCGGGTCACGATTGATGTTGCAGCCGATAGTGACAATACCTAGGTACCCAGAGTAGCAAGGGCTTGGGAATACGAAAACTTTTGAAACACACTTAGAGACCGTATTCCGTTATGCAAAGCTGCCATAGTCTGCCTGGAATATAAATGTACCCGATATAGATAGGTAGGCTGGGTATTGGTTAGCACAACGGCTCGGCGTAGCTTAGTCCTGGGTCCAGACCACTCCCACCCATTCGTCATTTCCATATATTGGACCCTACCTCATACGTTGCGATCTAGACCCTTTCCTTTTCTCTTTTCTTCTGATTTCTTTCATTCTTTCATCCTCTTGTATGTCCCAAGACCAGTCCTTCACCTGTTGCCACGCCCTTTCGTTGTTGAATCTTCCTACCTAGGTGGGTTGTTAGTTTATTCTTGTTTCCCCATGAATTTTCATTCCCTTTTATCCCCAGGTAGCTCACCGTCAGAGATCCAACACAGATGGACACCTGATGTGACGTTCTGGTCCTAATATCCCACTTCACAGAATAATAGAGCCTCATGAGACAGGACATTTCAGTAACTGTTAAACCCGAAGGCACTTGGCCGCTCAAGTCCCCTTATCATTACATAGTACCTGTCAGACACGTTACAGCGCATTTGGCTTGAAGTGCTCTGGTTGCACTTCTGCAGATGAGAAAATAACAACAGATGCCACTCCCAAGCTGTGGTGGTAATCATTGGTCAACTCCGGAGCCTAGCCAGTGTCCTCCACGGCGATTGATACTGTTGTAAAGAGGGTTTAATGGGCTTCGGCGCTACCGGATATTTTGTAACGTTGCGAATTCCTCGGGGTTACCTACGGTGAGCTGTTCAAGTGGCCGCTCCTTTGGTCAAACATCGCGGCCGAAACTCACCGGTCCTGAAGACACTCCATCGCAGCAGCGGATCAAACCCCATAATCAGACGAGTGCCCCGGGTCAGGTTGCCATCTCAATGATCTCCCCGCGCCCCCCTCCACAATCATTGTTTAAAGATAGCAAGATCTCCCCAGGGTGTTGGGGATCGACAGGAAAGGCCATGTGCGATTTATCACCAGGTAAACGTGGTCCATCAGGCCTGCGCGTGGTCATTGGCCACATCGTTCTTGTGATAGGGGGATTTCACTCACGCTACCCCAAAAAGTTGTTGTCTCAGGATACAACCTCCCCCTCCCTCCCATTCCGGAATAGGCAGCTTGTTCGGCCCGTTACCGGCCTGTTGGCGGTTACTGGCAACTGCCCCTTTTGCACTGAAACCTAGCTGAGGAACTCAAAGAATGTCCAATCTAGATAGCGTTGCATTGTGGAGGGGAGAAAGTCCACGGGTGGAAAATTCTCAATGGAGCTTGCACACGACCGATGCGAATAGAAGTTTTGACACCTGGTATAAAACCGACGGGTTAAGCCAGGGTCATCTTGTTTTGGGGTTCTGGATTGGTCTCTAAGTTATGGTATCTCACCTGATTAATTAATCACGTTTTTCTATGTCTCAACAGCTGTACAGAAGCAGAAAGCTCTCAAGACAAGAGCACAAGACCGACAAAAGAGTGTGGACAGTGGATGTGACCCTCCAAAGCATCGTTGTATCGGATTCACCAGGCAGCAACAAACGCCCACCGACAGCCCCTTTGTCGAAGCTGTTGCCTCGCTAACGAGGCTCTTTGGGTACCTGCATTTAGATTACCCAGGGGGCAGCCTCACAGCTTGATACCCCGACCCACCCCAAGTTCCTTTCCCGCTTGACATTGGCCCTTTTGGCGGCCTATGACTTCTGTCATTTGCGCGAGAGGGACAGTCGTGTGGACTTGAAGGTGGATCTTCTAAAAGTTCTTGTTCCCGTTGAAGATGGAACATGTCCGGTGTTTGCAACGTCGCATACCAAGTCCTGTGAAAATGGGCCACCGAGGGATAGGGAGAGGTTGCAAATCGGGTGACCTTGCTGTCGGTCCAAGTCTCTATAAGACTGACTGATGTCCGGTCTTGTAAAAGGGGTTACGTTGGTTGGGTGTTGAGAAAGACAGTAGTGTGTAAAGGCCTTCACACCTGGACGATTTCTTCAATTCATTCTTGTACCTTACTTCTTTGTACAATGATTTCACAACGTGTTGTTGCGGCCCTTGGTGGCCTTGCTGCGAGTCTGCCTGGTGCTCTCGCTGGCTTCAATCCGTCGGCGACGGACAACATCGCGATTTACTGGGGTAGGTCTACGGTTTGCCATGATGTCTGAGCCTTCTCGCTGACTTGGTAAAGGCCAGAATTCAGTTAATAAACAGGGTGGCCAGCTGCGTCTCGCAGAGTATTGTGCCGGTAAGAGTTCATCTGCGCTGCTTAGGAGGATTGTGATTCGTAAATTAACACATGCCTCTTAGACAGCCCCATCAATATCATCCCGTTGGCGTTCCTTAACGTGATCAAGAACCCGACAACGGTGAACTTTGCTAGTGCGAGCGACAACTGCACTGCATTCCCCGACTCTCAGCTTCTCCGCTGCCCCCAGATTGAGTACGTAGCCCTCCTTCGATTTCCCCTGAACCCCTGATCATGATCCCATCTCAACTCTCACCATCCTACCACGGACTAATACTGACGTCGCAAACAAACAGAGAGGACATCCAAATATGCCAATCCCTCAACAAGTCCATCCTCCTCTCTATCGGCGGCGCCACTTACACCGAAGGAGGGTTCGCCTCCGCCGAGGAGGCCCAGACCTGGGCGGCCACCATTTGGGCCATGTTCGGCCCGGCACCACCAGGCTTCACGGACGACTCTGACTCTGACGTCCTCCGACCGTTCGGCAACGCCACCGTCGACGGCTTCGACATGGACCTGGAGGCTTCCTCGGCACACATGGCCGAGTTTGCAGGTGCCCTGCGGTCCAACATGGATGGCAGCGATGCTGGGAAGGCCGGTCGTAAGTTCTTGCTGTCGGCTGCGCCGCAATGCCCCTTCCCGGACGCTGCGATGGGTGAGATGTTGGATGCGGGTGGCTTTGATTATGTGGGCGTGCAGTTTTACAACAACTACTGCGCTGCGTCGGCTTATCAGAGTGGCGACCAGGAGCCTGGGCAGTACAACTTTGAAACCTGGTACGTCTACCTACCACACGTCTCCTGATATTCGAGACGGGAATAACGGGATTGCTGACCTCCATGACAGGGACGAGTGGGCCAAGAACGTGACCACCAACCCCGGGATCAAGGTCCTGGTGGGCTTGCCTGGGAGTTCTACGGCTGCCGGTATGGGGTATGTTGAAGGAGAACAGCTGCAGCAGATGCTTGCATACTCCAAGAAGTTTGAGAGCTTTGGAGGCGTTATGTCTTGGTAAGCTTTGCCCCTTTTTGAGCCTTCCACCCAAGCTTCAGGATTTCCTGGGCTGTTTCACAGTCTCGAAGGTGATCGCTAACGAATAGCAGGGACATGTCGCAGGTGTACGCCAATCAAGGCTGGCTCGACAGCGTCGTGTCGGCGTTGTTGGGTTGAGTCCGAATTATGACCGAAATATCGCCGCCTCGACTTTCTAAGCTGGACTTTTACCTTTCGACTGTGTTATATTTTTGGTTCTTGGGGCTTGGATACACCAGGAGGCAACTGGGGCCCCGATTATGGTCTCGCGTTTGCCTTACCGGCGATGCCTGAGTATTGTTTATTCGTTTATACTTCTTTTCTTGTGTGTACATACCTTATGTGCCCATGTGTATCTGTCCATAGCTTTTGCAACATGTATATTTTGCCATCTAAGCATTGCCACCGCGTTGAACACGGCTCCAAGTTTTCCACTGCCTTGCCAGGGGTACCCCTAATATTGATGTTTGGTGTCATGACCTTGACTGGCTTCGGATTCGGTCTTGGCTCCGTTCGAAACAAAACTTGGGTATGATAATTAGAGTCCAGAACCATGAGCCTATCCACAAACAAGTAGAGCTGGAAACGGCCGCCCAATCATGACCTTCACCGTGCGCCGTCCGTGTTGCGCGTGGGGCCGTCACGACTGACTCGGTGATGTTGTGGCGGGTGACCACCTCTAGCTATTAGCTCTCGCCGAAAATGAGGTCATGTCGCCACATTCGCGCGCGCCAGAGCCTTCGAACAGCCACGGTGGCTTGTCCCAGCTGCCTTGTGGTTCGGCTTTCGGTTTCGAATCCGAGAGAAGAGAAGTAGAACAGGCCGCCGCTGATGCCGCTATGGCCTTAACCGTTTCGCCGTTTGCCTTTTCACACAGTCCGTCTTAAATCCCAAAAGCCCGGCGCCACCAGTGGCCTCTATGGCGCTGAAGCTCGAACCTGCTGCTGAGACGAGAAATGACGGCATGGATTAGAATAAAAGGAGGTCGTCCCCGTTCACTCTCGCACTTTGGCAAACAGCCTAAGGCTCATTCATTCGACGCAGGCTGGGACACGATACTTCTGGGAAAGCGCGCTGGTCGCAGCTATACTTATTTCGTTTTATTCTTTTCTCGATGCCGTTTTAAGTAATCATGACAGGGACGCTAGTCCCTCCTTGGTACAAGGAAGAGCCTACAACCAGAACTGGGCTATTAGTGGCGGCCTTTTTCTTCGGGGCATCTGTGGCTGTCGCTGCCTTCGACGTCACGAAGGCTGTCCGCCAGTCTCACCGGTCATGGCATCGACGCCACCGAGCGACTACCTACGTGGTGATGTTGTGGGCTGTGATGGCTACAGCTCTAGCTGCGGCCGTATGTAGCTGGTTTTATTTGTTGGGGATGATCCCACCAAGGTATTTATCTACTGTTACGTCGAAGATGGCTTGAAGAATACCTGGCTGATGACTTTGGAACGCAGTATATGGTACTTTTTAGGGCTGCGTACGTTTTCTCACCCCTGACGGCAGTACCCCATTGCTTTCATCTTGCTCACAATATGTATCCAGTTCTTCTATGGGTAGTTCAGGTACGTTCCCTTTCTCCAACACTTGGCAAGCATTCTCGTGCAGGTCGTGATTCTAACGACGTGACAGACACAATGTCTCATCCAGATCCTTGCGAACCGAATTTCTCTCATCATGTACAATCCGAAAAAGGCAAGACGCCTCAAATTGGGTCTCCTCATTCTCATTGGCCTCGTCAATATCAGTGTCTTTTGCATCTGGATCCCGGCTCGGTTGCAAATTAACGACACCTACATGCGAATCAACTATGTTTGGGATCGGATCGAAAAGGCCATTTTCGCCGCCATCGACTTCTGCATGAACGCCTATTTCATGTGGTTGGTAAAATCGAAACTGGTATCCAACGGGTTGACGCAGTACAACCGCCTTTACAAATACAACCTGGCGATGGTTACGCTGTCCATTTCTCTCGACGTGGGCTCCCCGGAACATTGCTTACATACCTGGTTACCTGGCTAACCAAGAATCTTGCGACCAGGTATTACTCATTGGGCTCATGTCTCTTAAGGATGATGCAGTGTGAGTCTCTTTGCAGCTGAAGACCGGGTCCCTGACTCACGGTTAATATGTGTTCCTCCACTAGATACGTCCAAGTCCACCCGCTCATGTACTTGGTAAAGCTCAATATCGAAATGAACATGGCTGAGTTGATCGCCAAGGTGGTGAGACGATCCCAAGACCAGCGCAGTACGCTCCCATCGACGGACATTTGGAGACCATATATCGGCATGGGCGCCTTCGACCGCGAGTGGCTTGGCAGCGCGAAAGACTTCATGATTCCGTCTGGTGGCGAACCCGGAGATGGATTGGGTGGCGGAAAGGCGCCAGGGCAGATGATTGACCTCAACATGGACATACTGAACGAATCTGGCCAACGAGTGGATGAGGAGGGCGCTTCATCCGGAACACAGGGGGGTCAAGATGTGGATAATACACCTCGGGATGGTAGTAAAGAGTTCTCACGGACTGAGAGTATTTGTGAGAGGGAGCGGAAGGATAGTGGGAAATCGGGATTCTCTGTGTAATTGGTGTTAGGCATTAATTACTACTAATCGTGGAAACACAAAAAGTGAACTAATGTATAAGTGTCAAAGTGATATCGACAGCCACAATTTAGTTGCTTTCCACGTTCATGATAATTGAGGGACCTATCCGTGCCATCCAAATAAACCTAATTGATTAGAAACCGGAAATTTATTAGTGAAGAATTTGCTAAGATTTTGTCCCCCCCTTTCTTCTCATCGGTCCTTGAGGGGCCTAAAGTTCAAGAATGGAACAGGGTTAGGGTTAAATGCCAGCCTTTTGGAGACATGAACACCAGGATGTCCCACTTTTCTCAACGTCAGCTGCCTTTCGTCGCAACACTCCTTGAACTCCAAAGTCCAAACACATTTCGTCTAAAATTATCGGGAGATTGTGTGCCCTTTGCCATGGATAGTTATCGGGATTCATCGCCTCAGGGCCATGCACGGACAAAATCAGGCATAAAAGGCAAGTGCAGACGAAGGGGATAATTGATGCAAGGCGGATCTCGGATTCCTTTGTGCGATGGTGGTTCAGGTTGAGGGTCTCAACTGGACGGTCACACGCCCGTGGCGGGTGTTCCACGTAAACGAGTGAAACCATGGCGCTTTAAGAGGTTTGATTTTCATGCAATCAAGGCCGCTAATAAGGAAGGTTCAATAGCCACACGACCCCGCTCATCGACCAAAGGGCCACTTGATGACGAGTGAGTCGTACTTTCCCTGTAGCATCTGATGCCGTCCTTTACAGCACCAAACACAACCATCCCACTAACCACAGAAATCGTTTTTCGAAAGTGGCCCGCTCGCATCACCGTTATCCGCAGACCAGGTCCAGCGCACGCTTTCACTTCGGAGCCATCCTCGGAGCCCCGCGCCCGGATCACCCATGATACCACGCTCCCCAGCACATTCTCCGGCGCCCACCGGCAAGCGACTGCCTGGAATGCCCTCGCCTCGCCATGGCCCCAAGGACTTTTCCTATCTTCTCCGGCCCGAAATCTACCACCCGCTTACGCCGCTCAACATCCCCCCGTCCTTCCGCAATCCGCCCAACCCACCGGCCCCGGATACCCCGATCCCGGACCTTCTCGCCCGAGGCCACTTCCGCGCGGCCGCTATCGCCGCGACCCAGACCCTCACCAACAACACCGTCGACCCAACTGACCACGCCCGGATCTTTGACCTTCTTTACACTCGCCTAGCCTGCCTAACCCTCATCGACAGCACCGCCCTAGCCGCACAGGAAGTCAAAGCCCTCGGGGACCTGCACTCAGCCTTTTACTACGTTCTTTCTTCCGACTCGACGCCTCAGCAGCAACAGCAGGAGACGACCATAACCACCACCGACCCCCCACCTTCTCCCACTCCTCAACAACAACAACACCTCGTCCCCTGGTCGCTCCGTCTTCTCGCCGTCCGCCTCCAAGCCCTGGGCTTCGGCGACCCCCGTCGCGCCGTCATGTCCTACTACGAACTCGCGCGCGAGGCCCGCACACGCCTGGCCACCGCCCGCGCGGCACACGACCATTCGGCGGCTGAAGTGTGGAAGGAGCGGCTGAGCGATTTGGGGGTGAGGGTGGCTGGGGCGTTGGTGGAGATGGATGATTTGGCTGGGGCGGCGGTGCATTTGGGTACGTTGGGGGATAGGGGTATGCGGGGGGAGAGGGGGGAAAAGAATGGAGATGGGATGGTTGGGGTGAGGAGGGCGTTGTTGTGGTTGCATTTGGGGGATGTGGAGGCTGCGAGGGGGTGTATGGGGATTGTTGATGGGGACGGTGGTGAGGGGGGTCAGGAAGGGAGTGGGGGGGTTGAAGCGAAGGTGGTGGGTGCTTTGTGTGACATGGCTGATGGGGCGTATGAGAGGGCGTTGGGAAGATGGAAAGAGTTGTGGGAAGAGGTGGATGATGAGATGGTGGGTGTCAATCTGGCGGTTTGTTTGCTCTACCTGGGCAAAATGCAAGAGGCAAGTCACTCCCGCCTGTGTATGGCCTCCTGTCCATAGCCGTTGGTCGCTAACTTGGATACTAGGGCAAGGAGTTGCTCGAAGGGCTTGTCGACTCCGGCAGGTCTTCGCACACCCTCCTTTTCAATCTTTCGACCATGTACGAGCTTTGCACAGACCGCTCAAGGGCTCTCAAAGTAAGCCTGTCTGAGAAGGTTGCTGCTCGGGGTGACCGCGTTGAGGGCTGGGAGAAGACAAATGCCGATTTCAAACTGCAGTGAATCACCTAGGTAATTCAAAGTTACAACCCCCTTTTCTAGTTTGGAGACTTTGCTTTATATTCTTTGCATTTCAACCCGGCCGTACCCTTGCCTCTGCCTTGTTGGCCTATTGGAACCCGTTCCATTGTGTCGTGGTTCCGGAACCCGATAGAAGCTCAAGAGTGACGATGTGCATGTTCCGACACGCCCTAATGAAGGCTCCGCCGCACGACTAAGCACACACTATTTAATTGAATGTATTGTAGCTTTTGAAAATTTCCTCATTCCCTTTTTACGATCTTCTCCCCATGCGTTTGCTCGCCGGCTGAACAAATTGAGGGCTCAACACCAAATCTGGCACCGTCCTCGTCGCCTAAGGTAAGCGTCCACAGTTCCTCGAGAAAGCGTCTGTTTCCTATCTTCTGATACTGACGTTAGAAAAAACGGCCATTCAGGTCGACCTCACCGCTCAGCTTTGTGGGTTGACGATCTGGATCCCTTTCAACTTCGCAACGGGTATTGCCTCAGGGTTGACTCCCAGTCCATGACCTTGAAGAGTAAGTGACCGTTTGAGCCTTTGAAGTTGTGGGTAGCATCCTTTCAACAATTCCGGAGTCAGTAGTGATTAACGTGCGATTTGATCAGAGACTGCAGAGTTAATGAGTTCCTTCGCTGTTTTTCATATATCGTCTTCATTCAATCTTATCGGATAAGATGGACGCCACCGACGAATCCCCTGGCCTCTTCAAGATCCCTCGCCACATTCGCGAGAACATCTATCGGCTTGTTTTTGGCAGCGGGCCCAAGCACCAATCCGAGTACATCGACCGGATGGGACCCCATGTTCCGATCAAAGACCTGGGTCTCTTGAGTGTTTCCCGCAGGATTCATAAGGAGGCTATCGCAGTTCTCTATGAATCAGTCGATCTTGGCGCTGATGCCCAGCTGGCATTGAACTATGTGCAGTTCATTCTTTCCAAGCGCAGGGAGTGTATTTGAAGCGTCACCATCTACGACTTCTGCCAAGGCAGCTGCAAGTCTTCTGGCGACTCTATCTACGGCCCCTGTAACTGGCACCCGGTACTCGAGCTTCTGGCAGCATCTGCCGCCCCCATATCTCGCGTCAACGTTGCCTTCGATGGTTGCAATGGTGGAGCGCTCTGGGCGCGTGACCCTCCTCCTCCGGACTCCTGTCGCCTTCACTGGGATTTGGACCAGGCTCTCTTCTGGACTCAGCTGCCAGTTCTCTCTTCCTCGGCCCAGATTTGCTTCATCGATCCTTGTCCGGAGTACTTCATTACCCGTCTGGCCCAGTATTTCAGGTGGGGGATGAAAGGAAAGATCTACATTGGCGGATACCGTGGCTGTTCTGTCTCCGCCTTCATGGGCAAGCTGATTCGCCCTGAACGGGCCGAGCAGGTGGTCGCGGTCTTTCCTCTTCTTCGGTTACCAGTGGAGATCCGTCACAGGATCTATAAGTACGCCCTGAAGTGGGAGTATCGTCCGTTTTGGCCTATTGCCCCCGCCACATTTAACCCAGGCATCGGTCTTTTGAGTACCCGCAAGGAAATCGCGAAGGAGGCGAGGCCGTTCCTGTACCGCAGCCTCACCATCCACGGCGGTGTCCCTCTCCGAGATCTGGACACCTTCGGATCCAATATCACCCTCACGCGCCGGTTCAACATCCAATTCTCGTGCTTCTGTGAATGGAAAGGAGACCTGGAACACCAGAATCACACTCTCTACGATGAGCATATAGGAAGAGTGTCTGCATCCGGTGACCCCTTCGAGGACCCCACAGTCAGCTACCCATTTACCACAGTTGAAGCTGTCAAAGGTCAATGGGCCGAGGCTCTGAAGCGTATCCAGTCCCTGGAGGCTAATGCAGAGGTGGCTGTCATCTTTCAGTCTTGTTGCCGGACCGCTAGACCGGCGATCCCTCGGGGAGACGGCGGGAGTGTCAACCTTGTCGGCCCCAAGATCCACAGTTACGTTTGTGCCTCCCTAGAGAACCACTTCACCGACATTCTATCAGCTGCCTGCTGCCACAGAAGCATCCAGCAGATTGCGCTGTGGGGAAACGTGCCCCCCAGTCTCGCCATGCGTCTTCTGGCCCTACCATCGACCCCTGACCAGTCCGAGGCCCCCCTCTACCTACGCGACATGAGCGACGCCATGCGCAATTACATCGGCTGTGTGGAAGAGGTATAGGATGAAGAGGCCAGTGAGAGGGCCACGAAGCTTTTATATTCGCAATATCCAGTTTTTTGGGAGCATCTTGTTCCGTTTCCGAATCGCGTGCGATATCCTCTGACGACCTCCGATGCGCCGCATTTTATCTTGGCCAAGAAGGGGACGGCGCGGGACCTGTGGATGGAAAATGCGATGGCACAACGGGAGGTGTATGATCCTCTGATGATGGGGTACACCGAGGGAGAGTTGAGTCGGTGCAGGTTGGAACTGTGGCGGAAGTACCTGGACTACGGCGTTGAATGCCTAGATACATAGCCATACCCTGATGATGAAATGGGATTTTATTTCCTGACCCGGACAATATGGGATAGGATCATGGCAACGAGGGCCGCGTTCAGGATGATGACATCAATGACCCCGTTCTGGGGTAATTGATCGTAGCAGGGCTCAGGCGGGACTCCTTTGATGCTTCGGAGGACCAGCTTTCGGAACGCAAAGGCTAAGAAGGAGCAAGGAGACGTTACTCGGGTGTTTAAAAACGCGGCTTGGGTTGCTGTTATTATTTGTAATCTCAGTCTTGTAACCAATAAACCATTGCTACTATTGTCTAGTCAAGTCTGTGTGCTACAACATTCCCATATTTTTTCCTTCACAAAAGCACGCCCGACACAACAAGATCTATAAAATCCCTACAGCTAGTCAACCGAGCCAACAGGAACCCCCCACCCGGTCACTCTACCCCGCCTCAAGACAACAACGTCTTCACCACCTCAACAACCTCCTCCCTCCCTCCACACAACAAGCCGCCCCTCTCCCCACAATCCTTCACTTCCCTCGCCAACACCGCCGTCCCATCAACCGGATCAACCGCCGCGCCCCCAGCACACTCCACCACCAACGCCAGCGGGCACAACTCATACAATCTCCTCAACTTGGGCTTACTCGCCTGACCTCGCGACCCATCCCCGCCAGCCAACACAGGACTCACGTACACACCCTGCCCCTGCACCAGCATATGCACGATATCCGGCACCAGGCCGCCCGCGTAGCGGAGCGTGTAGCGGCGTGTGATGAAGCTGGTTAGTAAGGTCATGTAGGCCGGGTCATCGGCTGCCATGCGCAGGTTGGCGGGGGAGAAATATTTTGACCGCGGGGCGAGGGTCAGTGTGGGCGCAGTGAGGTGCCATTTGGTTGGGGTTGTTACGGTAGCGCTGGTAGGGTTGGATACTGCCGGGCCGAGGGCGAGCTCGAGACAGGTTTTGGGGACCGGGCTGCCGGACACGCGGAGGGCGACGATGGCGGTGGTGCGTGGGCCGAAGACGCCGAGGATGGATACGATTTGGCGGGTGGCTGGGTCTTGGTTGAGTGCGGAAGGGCCGTCCCAGAGGGAGAAGATGGCGCCGACCGTCCAGTTGGCGGAGATGATGGAGCTGCCGTCGAGGGGGTCGAAGGCGAGGGTGTATTGTTCGGAGGAAGATGAAGTAGCGTGGTGTTCTACCGCCTGCTCGATGGGGTCTTCTTCGCTGCTGGCCGTGACGATGCTGGGGCATTGGGCGATGGTGGCGCGGATGATGTTTTCGGCGATGACGTCGACGTTGAGTTCTGGGAGACAGTTGGTTAGTATCTGATTCAAAACTCAGCTCGAGATGGGCCACAAAATTACGGTCATCGCCAAAGGTGTTGGCTGTCCCAGCTGCAGAAACTTGATGGGAGTTGCGCAGTGCCTGTGCAACATCGGCTATGCTTTGGAGGAGGTTGGGTATGACAGAATGGATGAGAGCGTCGCGGGTTCCATCTTGTGGGAGGATGGTCCGCAGGTGGTCAATTGCGGAAGCTGTTGCCTCTTGGTTACTCATTGTCAATAAGTACCGAAGGCCCAGTTCAGCGACTTTTAACAAGACTTTAGAGCTTAGAAAGTACAGATCGTGGGTTGGTCGTTGGATCCCAAATCTTCCACAGTTAGTAGGGGACTAGATGCGGTGGTAAACTTCAATGATAATTCTCGTCGAAGATATTGCACCCTTTGGAGGACCGCAAGGAGCTTTTTTCTCTCGAAGTGAACGCCAGACGCGATTTGACCCCGCTGCATTTTGCTCATAATACCCAAAAATCCAAAAAGCCCTCTCATGACCGTGGTAGAACCCACCTTAGGGTTAGGGTTTAACTACTTGCCCCTGAAACCAGCGAGGGCCAACGACGGGAGTATAAGAAACGAACAGATTTTAACAAGATTTTACATCCATTCATAGTATACTTGTGGCTCTGTAGGGGAAATAAGTGCTTACAGTCAGAAGGCATTACCGAGAGAGCTGTGGGGATTCGAAAAGCACAGCAGGTGAATTTATTATTCACGTTGCCTGTGGATATTTGGGACGAAGGAAGCTAAATCAACATCTCTTGTGTTTACGCACAACATGATGGAAGGTCCAAGGACAGTGTATGAGTTCTAGGTTTAGCTGTTTTCACACGGCTTCTTGGTTGAGTACGCTCTTGCACCTGATGTAAATCCTAAACTATCCCCCCTTCAAAACCGAAACTTCCTTTCTTCTTGGAAGAACTCGGCTTTAACATTTCAACCATCGAGAATACTTATCAGCCTATCACGCCTAGACTCGGCCGCGGCATCGTCAAAAATATTTCACTCCTGGTAGTCGGTTAGGCAAAATCTTGCGAAAAGTATTAGACTTCTCTTTTTCCCTTCTTTGGCTGTTTTGAACCATGATAAATGGTCGCTAATATCGTCGCAAAACAGTATCACCAAATGTCGGGCATTCCTGGTTCTGGCCAGAAGAGGCCGCGCTCTTTGCTAGAAGAACAGGGCGTTACTCATCCCCGACCGAAGGTGTTGCTCATAGAACTTAGCACGATCATTGAAGGCAAGGCCGCCTTGGTCGACTGCCTTCGGATGGCTCTCACCAGCGTGCTCATCCAGGAAGAGATTCCCTTGTTCACCGGCGAAGAACTGTACCGAGAATGCTACCTGTCGCCGCTCGTTTTCGACATGATGAAGGACATGGGAATACGCGAGCTTTCCGACGACGAGGAGCTTACATTTGCCAAGAAGTACTTCGAGAGCTGGCAGAACGCAGGGTTGCCCCTCATGACTCTTTGTAACGGCGCTAGAGAGTTTCTGGAGGCTGCAAAGGCCCAGGAGTCGATCAAGGTTGCGATCCTTAGCAACAATGTGCCTGTGGCCAAGTCTGTGTTGGAAATGCTAGGCGTTGAACACTTGGTCGACAACGTAGGTCAACCCCACACATCCCTTCATATCTGGACGTTGTCTAACGCTTCTTGTCACAATCCAGCTCATCGAAACCCATTCGTATGAGGCTCACAGAACCACGGACGGAGAGTCCAAGGAACCTGCTTTCTACTTCTGGTCTCATTGGTACCACGTGGTGGTCAAGTGGTTCGACCGCATCACTGGCGGCCACAATCTAATTCTGACCGACAATATTGCGATGGATGCGCCCAGTAGCCAGAAGGACGAGCACATGAAAGATGACTCCAGCACCGTCGTGACCACTGTTATTGCGCACGCCAACCCTATTAGTTCACAAAAGAGGGCTTCTTCCCTCCACCCCAGCGAAGTCCTTCTTGTCTCTCGAGCCATTTACGACTTCAAGATTGTGGCGCACAGCGGCATGCAGACTTGCTGGTTACACGACATTGACGAGGCAGCCGATCCCGAGACAAATGCGGTGGCCGTCAACGACAGTGCCGATACTAGCAAGGCTAGCGGCGGCAAAACGCCCCTTACTGTCCAGCATCTTATTGCTGAGACCAATTGGTCTGAGCAGGAAAAGAAGGAGAATAGGTTACGCCGAGCACAGCAGTACCGTGCCGCGGTCGAGAAGATCAAGTCGGAGGTTGATTTCACCTTCTCCGAGTTGGATGAGTTGACAGCGTTTGTCTTTGGCGCCGACGATCGGTCCGCTACTGCTAGCCTGCGTGATGACAATGAGGGTGAGATTGGGGTTGCGCCGGTTGGGGTTGCGCAGGATCAGCAGGTGGTGGTCAAGTCCGAGGAGGATGATGGCAGTGTGATGGGCCTGAGTCCGATCAAAGACGACCAGGTCGTGGTTATTGAGGACAATGACAGTGACGACAGCGACGATGAGGTGCTCTTCATCGGGGAGACTAAGGTCGTGACCGTCGTGCCATAAAGGGCCAAGATTAGCTCGGATGGATACGGAAGGTGCTTTTCACGATGTTCGTGCTTTCACATCGCGTCTTTCTTAGATCAGCGATCCCGGTCGTTACCGAGGTAGTTCACTTCGAAATCGGGGGATCTTGAGAATCGCTCGTTGATTTTACCATGAATATTTATGCCCACAAACTACCGTACCAGAGTGTCATGCCAATGTAATATTAGCCGCGATAAACTCATCCAGCGTTGTCAACTTGTACGGGATCAACTCTCGCATCTCCTCAACCAGGCTCTCCGTCTGTGGACCGTAATACCCATATTCGGTACAGAACTTGAACATCTTCACCACCGGTCCCCTTGCCGATGGCGGCAAAAACCCCGCAAACTGCTCATCTGTGATCTGAACATACCGTACTTTCCTCTCCGTATGCTTCGTCAACTTCTCTGCCAGCTCAGCAAACGAATGCATCCCACTGGCCGCGTACAATCGCTTGCCCTCGAATCTGTCCGGCTCCACCAGGATCGCCCCAACAAATTTCCCCATATCCCCGACCACATCAAGCCACGGATACCGCCGGTCCCTCGGGCACATGTTCGCCATGGTATAAACCCCAGGGAGTTTAGTGCCCACCATGCGCGGCGACATGCCGCCCCCAGCAAAATTCTGCATAAACGAGCCGGTCGCCACAAATGCGCTCTTGATAGGGAGTGAGCGGATATACGCTTCGACCTCACCGCGTGCGTCAAACGCCGGCACACAAAGCTTCCCCTCGCTGATGACCTCACTGTGCACCTCGGTGCTGTAGATGATATACTGCGCCCCCTCAGCAACCGCAGCGTCGGCGGCGGCCTTTCCTTGGCGCACCTCACGCTCCTTGGTTTCGCTGTGGTAGGTGGTGACCGTAGAGATGAAGACTGTATGAGCGCCTATGAACGCCGTGCGGAGAGATTCGGGGTCATCGAGGTTGGCTTGGGCGATTTCTGCACCCTTCGCACGCAGCGCTGCGGCTGCGGGTTGTCTTGGGTCGCGTGTAACGCCACGAACTCGGAAGCGGGTTGATAGGTCAGGGTGGGAGAAAACGAACTGGGCGACGGAGCCGCCTTGTTGGCCAGTAGCACCAAGAACGACAAGGATTTTGCTCATATTGTTTGATGTTGAGGATGCCCGATGGGGGGTTCATGAACTGGGAGAAACCATACGCAGAAATGTTGAATGAGTTTGGAATGGGGCTGTCTCTCATTGGCGGGATTAGCGCAGCCGCTTCCTTTCTTGGCTTAATGGGTTGTTCGCGAGCCAGACTTTCAACGTAAGGGGAGCAATAATTGCTCCGGTGAGGAACGGGGTAAACAGGGCTACACGGAGACAGCAGTCCGATTCGGAAACCACACACCCTTTCCCAATATTTCATGATGTAACAGAACCGCTGGACCGTTGGACCGTGTTTCGCCATCTTAATAACCATGCCCGCGCCGACTTCGACCATGCCGATCGCCTGGATGTGCATGCCTACTGTTTCGGTGGTGCCCTGGCCATCCATAATCCCCTTGGCCGTGGCTCTGGTTACGATATGAATAATTCCCCCGTCCTGGTGGACGTGAATCCGACTCCTTAATCGGTTCCTCTACTTCCACCTCTTGCTCTTCGTATTGATCTTCAAAATAGCGAGCCACAAGGTTCTTTTCATTGCGGGCTTCATCCGCATCGAAAACAAATCGCTGGGTCCCTTCGCTAGCCGCCCTCTTACGTTTTGACGAGCCACTGCCGGGGGCTGATGAGTTTGTCGCCGGCGAGGTGGCCGAGCCGGGCGTGGCAGATTGTGTTTCCAATGTGTCTGACACGCACCGGTCACACCAACCATGGTGACGTTGACGCTTTTCGTTCGTGAGTAGATTGTTAATCTCAATCTTGACATCCATGACCTTTTGAACCACCAGCCTCGGCCCAACCTTGGTCGATTTCGGAAATTGCGTGTACAGGTCGAGCAAATCCAAAATCGTCTCGAGAACGGGTGCACGGCGAGTATGCCAAGCAGGAGTGTCGCGAAACTCGGCGACACGCGCGGGGTCGGTCTCCAGGAGTAGAGCAGTAAGCTCTAGGACGGCTAATACCAGGGTGAAAGTAGCCTGCTTCACAGGCGCAAAGGTTTTGTAGAGGTCGATGGACATATCGTACGCGACCCGAAGGAACTTCTCGCCCTCCTCCTGCGCTGCCTCATCGTTACGCGGAAACATCCTTCTAATTATCTTCACAAGAAGCTTCTGTGGGTATTGGACGCGGAAATCGAACCCTATTGTTTCCAAGATGTGCCGCTCTAAACCGACAGTGAAACGGGAGGGAGCTTCGAATATCTAGTGCCTTGTTAGCTTATCCTAGCTATCGCCATCCCAGTACTATCCAAGTAGCCTTAATATTCACCTTATCATCCGGTGTTTTGTGATCGTGAGGTTGTCTGAGGTTGTGTGCGGCGCAGAGAATATCTTTTGACTTCTTGATGGTGTCTTCGGCCTTACATGCTACAAAGAGCGTTGCCAGCGCCACATCTTCGTAATTGTACTCGTTGCTCGGGAACCGCACACGGAACTTGTGGTAATAGACTGCCGCTGTATCAAATGTCTTCACCGGCCTAAGAAAGCGTTTGTCAGCAATGGTCGGTGCACAACACAGGCAAACAAAGGGAATGATCGGTGAGGGGTAGCACGAACAGTTGCAGGCTCCGTCGGACGCTGTCAATCAGCTGTATACCTTTCAAGCGGTACCCGTCTTCGCGGGCCTCATCATATCCAATGTGCTTCAGACTTTGCCGTAGTCCTTGTTCCGAGTTGTACTGCGAGGGGATCACGGACAGACCCGAGGGGGGACCGGCTGGGTTGCTTGCTGGAAGAGCCCCCCGGCTCTCGGGGACGGTTGGCTTTGGGGGCGGAGCCATGGCGGCGCCGGCCGGAAATGTCGTAGGAATTACCAAGATCCTCTTTCGCTCGACCGCAGGATACAGCAATGCCGTGGTTGGAAGCGGTTGGAAGAGTGGGCAATCGGGCGTGGCTCTCGTCCTTTAATGGGGCCTCGCGGTCGGGATTTGTCGCTTGTCATTGCATCGTGCCTCGCAAAATGGGTGATGGGACGACTGATTCAGCGAATAGCGGGTCCGGCGACGGCGATGGTGGTTCACGGTTGGCGGAGCGGCGGGGAGGATACTATAGTCCGCCGACCTGGTGTGGGATGTGTTGGGTGGATGAACTTTCCAAATGGGACGCGTCGTGCGTGACTCACAGTTTTATCTTACAATACGCACTGTATCCGTACTCTTCCAGTGGCGCCCCACCTTGGTCCCTGTATTTATTTGTACATAGTATTATTCCCGTCACACGTCTGCAAAGGTTCAAAGCCCAAACGGCACGCCTGGGGAGTGTCCAGTGCAGCTAGTGAGTATTTTCCGGAACTGGACAACCCAACACCCTTCGGTCACAGTCTTAGCTTGCCTGAACGATCAAAAGGAAGCTTCATAACCGCCGCTTCCGGGCAGAGGCGCTTGATGGTCCCAGGTCCATTAATGGGTGACGGATGGGCTCGAATACACAGGCGTCAGCATCGACTGGGAGATGCCGCGAAATGGGCGGAATTCAGGCTGGGTTCACATAAAGTTTCATACCCAAACAGTGGGCGATAATCTCACGGGGAGCATACAAGGTCCGGATTAAGGTTTAGCATCGTTAAACCTACTGATGAGCCCACCCCTTCATTAAAACCTTTTGGGCCAACTTAGAGAAAGTTGGTACCAAGCACGGTGAGCTAGAAAATGGATGATAACGGGGTATATCAAGAGACCAAGGCCCAGAGTGGCCGCTAGGGTGAAACGTGTATTTTGGACTGGCGATCGCCACACGCGGAAATGGCATGGATGTGTGTTCTCAGCAACTTATGATTTATCATTTCTTAACTTTGTCCGACCCTAAAAGAGATCTCACATCTCGTATGGTGACTTTACCACCCGCCAATCGTCCGGATCCAGCTCGCCTCCGTGCCCCGGTCGAAACTCTTTTTGTTCCCGGCAATAATTACCCCACCACTTCTCAAAGGCCTGTCGGTTGTACAGCAATGTCGGTGCAATTCCTCTCTCACCAAAAAGGTCCAGTATGTAGCTGGCGTACATCCACACGCCCTCGAGATGGTGCGGCAGGAACGGCTTCTTGTCCTTGCGCGCGACCGTGACGGTACCGATATGGGACTGCCATTCAGCCGGCGCCAACCCATAGGCGAGGTCGATGTTGAGATAGGTGATAATTTGGTTGTCGAGGTCGGGGCGGTAGGCTGACTGCGTGCCGTCGCGGCGGATGACTAGCGGGATCCCAATGACCTCTGAGAGAGGAGTGACGGGCAGCGAGAACCGCGATGGTTGGCGGGGATTGTGGTCGCGGACCAAGGCGGAGTTCTGACTTTGTCCATATCGCATCGGACAATGACAGCCTGGACTTGGGCAGGGTCCGAAGAGTTCTGCGTTTGTTGTGACGCCATCGGAGTGGATGTGGACGACTGCAAATCTTGAGTCACTTGAGTGGTTGTTTTCGATGCCTGGTTGGCTTTGGGCGCCGGCGGCTGGGGAGACAACACGTCAGGCTCGGAATCCGTGTCTATGTTGTCCCATTTTGAGTAATCGATGGGTGCCATCGTTGCCGAACCTCCACAGTGGTCGCTGGTCGAAGAAGGGGGTTGATCGTGGGAAATCAACAGTCGGCGTGGAAGCGGAAAAGGAAATGAAGACCGTTATTTGTGCGCCTGGAGGGACATTTATGCTCCGAAAGGCTTTCCCCAAGCTCAGGCCCTTCGTTCCTTCCTTCCTGCCGTCGATTACATCCCATTGGACGCATCAGGGTCTTCTTTATCATTTCTCCGTTTGCCTCAGGTGGACAAGCCTGTTTGTTGTTTTTGGGCCGTGATTAGTCGGAAGCGAAACAAAATATCGTCGTGATCACAATCAAGGTGCCCCCAACCCAAAGACTGTTGGGGTACAACGGAATGCAAAGTAAATGTGGCGATAGAGTCGACGGTGAAGCACACTTTTTGCATGCAACCGAAGTTGGTAATTACACACCCAAAGTGAATTATATGATGTTTCCTTCCTTTCCCAACCAATTAACACCCAGAACTAGATCGTAGGCTCTGCGTCCATGTCCGTCCGAAAGTCTCCTCGGTGAGAAAATACCTGATACTTCACCCTTGTCCTTGCTGTCCGCGGTACAATGGGAATAAATTCAACGTTTCCTTCATCATCCAACTCCTTGTTCGCCTGAAAGTACGCTATAAAAGGGTCGCTTTCCGTGCCTGGGACAGAGCAATCGACTGTAACGACAAGATCCCACGAATCGTTGACAGAATTCCCCATGTAACCTTCTTTGACTTCGAGAAGAAGGGCGTCAGATCGTTGACAGGTATTGGCGGCCATTCGTGCAATCTGACGAGACACGGGATGACCACCTCGGCGATTAAGGTCTTCCTGCTTGATATTCTCGCTGAGATCCGGGTTGAAGTGATGCAACAAAGGTCCTGGCACAGACACGATGATTCGAAGAGGACCTGATGCGGGAAACACCTTGGGAACCACAAGAGTAAGGGTCGTCATTTTAGGCTACAGCGTACTGTTGGGGGGTAGTTTTTCCGGACATGCCGGTTAACGGCTGTCGAAGCCACTTTGTCAGTCTAAAAGCGTACGTATTGGGTAGGTAAATTTGGAATCGGCTTGCGTCGTTGCGGCTCTCAATATAAGATGGGAGTGTGAATCGATAGAAAAGTACCTATACACTCTCCCCCGACTATAAAAAGGAAGCGGGGTATTAATCCAGCCCCTGCAGACACTCCATTTTCACCTGATCGTGCCGTCTCTAACACTAACCTTTCGCGCTTAGTTTTCCAAAACGGCCTTCGGCACCTTCATTTTGCGGGGGTACGCAGACACTACAGTACATATCATCATGTACCAACTGTGTAGTGGAAGTAAGGGGTGGTGTGGGCGGTGAAGTCGGCGGCTGAGTCGAATCTACGACTGAGTGCAGGGGGTTCGAAACGCGAAAACGAACATCAGTCGAATCATTCTCACGATATCTAGGAGCCTAACACTTGCATCAAACTGTGCAGATGATGGTTATGGAAACGAATAACTGGCATTGGGACATATGCGGTGAACGTCAGGGGGAGAATCATAAGGAGCCTCCTCGCGTACACCATCCTCGGGATCTAAATACGGGGCTTATGGTGGCCTTAATACGCATTTTTGTAGGATATGTTATTCCTCTGCCAACGTTATATAGGCACTAGTTCTTAGGTCTTCCAAACTCACTGTCTCAAGGCGATGTACAGTAACTGCAAGTGAAAGTGTGCAGCACCCCCCACTGTGAAGTACGGGATCATACATCACCAGGCTTCTCATGATCCCCTCCGAGCAGAAACCTCCAGCGTCCGTCGCATACACAAACTATATAAGCTCCCAATAAGTATTCCGGTCCGGATGACGCATTCAACACACCAAGCCGAAGAAAGAAGTTCAACACCACCAGCACAGAACTGGGCTTAAATCACGCCAGCCGTGTCGCCTGTTACCTAGGTATTTACGATAATTACACCCCACAATTGGAACCACTCGACCTGTTCATCATTGGGCCATGGCTTGACCCTAATCGGGATGTCCAGTTCGTGGACTGCACAGTGTAATTATATAGTCCACCTCCCGGTAGAAAGGATACTGTTTGCCTTTGCCTTTGAGGTACTTAGTGGGCAGTTTGCTGACGAGAATACGACTTCGTCCCGCATGGCCGAACGTCGCGAGGAAGCAAGCAAATGTAGGCCCGGTACATAAGTTAACAACAATCTCTTCTCACGAAACATTGCATCTTCGGCATATGCTGTCAACTCGGAAGAAACCAAAGTAGTATGGATAAGATCAACTTCGTTGAAGTATGTGAGGTAGTGGGAGTGTGTTGGTGTATGACCTGGCCTTCTGGGAACTGAGTGCATGATGGCAATGCCTGGGTCTCTTGGCTTCCGTAAGGTAACCCCTCTCTTCCGCCGCCGGTCTGTTATTGACCAATCCCTAGGATATAGCCGGTAAGCGGAAAAGAATGTTCGAAAGTTCCTCAAAGCCTGCCGCGAGTGGAAGTCGGAACCCAACCGCTGCCTTTCCTCCGGTCTCGAACCTACATGTGCGTTGGGTACCAACGCACAGCGGAGCCTGGAGGGGAAGCGAAAGCCGGGCTCTCCACGAATAGAGCCCAATCCCGTCTTGGGCGGAAAGAAGTAACCAGCCTCAGCACCAGTGACCTTGGAGGGTTCAAAATCCAGCTGCAGTGACTGGCCGGGGTGGATCTTCCAAACTGCGAACGGGCAAAAAGCATGCGAGTTCGGTCTTCCCGGACCATCGCGACTCGGGGACGGCCCGGCCCGCCTGAAACGTTGATCCCCGCAGAGAAAGTGACGGGATGTGACCAGGACTGCATTTCTGATTCAGATTAGAGTCCACCCATATTCATTCAGCTGTGGTGATTATGCATATGGAACATCATCCGGCCACAACATGGAAGTCGATTGTTCCGATCTGCCAGGACATGCAGAGTACGAACGCTAACGGCGGGAATGAAAAAAAAAAAAGAGAAAAACAGAAGGTTAATGTGGTGAGCGGGCAACCGCAAATCCATTAGTTGGAAGAAGAAAACTAGAGGAGAATGACGACTGCAACAGGCTGAAGAGAAATGGGAAAGAAATCCCGATAAAAGTAGAACAAAAAGCTCACCGCCAAGGCCTATCCCCATCCGGAGTGATAGACGTTGGCAGTTACGAAAATCTTTGAAAGAAGATTTTACTTCGCTGACCTGGGGATCGAACCCAGAGCCATTTCGAGTTACGACGGCAGTGGCGGAGCGCCTCCTCCCAATGCCGTTAAGCCAAACCGGTGTTTGTTCTTAATTGGGAGGAGGCGGTTGGAAGTAGGGGACGGAGATTTGGTATATGGAGGGTGGTCGGGGAAGGAGCGGTACTTCCGCCTCCTGGGGCATCTACCGTGCGGAGTCCAGAGACCAGATGAAAGCGACGGGTTCCCAGAGTCGCTCCTTATAGCGCGAGGGTTAATTACTAATTAGATTCAGGTTTGAAAAATACTGCCCACAAAGTATATCTCTAAGAAAAATCATGGAAGCTCGTGTTGGCACCAAATCAATGTTGAAGAACGGGCGGAGGGTTCGGATGAGAAACTTGCAACCTGCTCAATGTCAGGTGTACATCCGTTCGGTGTGGTTGTCGTCGTGGGAGTGCTCGAATCTCAAATGGCTTCATATTCCTGGTCTCTATCTGCTTCCGTTCTGTTTGATCCGGCTCACCCTGCACTACAGTTTCGGGGTCAAGGAGTACCTTAAGCCGCCTCCTCCAGCCGCCCGTTGCCCTTTTTCAGCACCCTCTTCCGGTTATACAAATCCGTATTGAGAACGTTTGTAAACCCTCTCGTCTTCAGCTCCTCCTGGATTTTACTAACCAACCACCCTTCCTGTAACCAACGGTCCACCTCCGTAGCCATGTACCCCGGCAACTTGCGCGCTCGCGGGTCGGTGGTGGTATCCGACGGGCCGTGGTTGTGCACCTTGTGCATCTCGTTTGGGTAGTGCAACACCCACACATCACTGTCCTTCACCGTCTCGATGAGCTCGAACTTGAATAAACACCCGCACTTCTTGCTGGCGCGGTCTGTCGTCGGCTTACGACGTCCCTCGGCCTTCGCCTGCCTCAGTACAGCTTCGTCCACCGGAGCCCGGTGGTGTCTTGCCTCGCCGCCACGAAAACAAACCCATCGCACCTTCCGCTTGCCCGTCACCTTCGCACCCGCGATCCGCATGCTATACCCGCGCGGTAACGTCCACTGGTCCAACTCATCCTGCATCGAGGCGCGCGACGAGACGGTGTATCCTTGCGGAGGAGGCTCGAGAGCGGCCAGGGTGGTGGTGAGAGCATGGACATTGGGATTGAGGTTTGTTGTATTGTCGTTTGTGAGAAGACTCCCGGATGATGGTGGCGGCGGTGGTGGTTGATGAAGGCCTGGAAGTGTTGGTGGGGGTGGTACGGCTGGTAGTGGGGGGCGTTGCGGGGCAGGTGCGATGTGCCCCGCGGGGCCTGCCTGCGCAGCGGCAGCAGCAGCGGCGGCCGCAGCCGCCGCGGGGTTTGTGGGGGAAGACGTCGACGGAACACCCGCGAGAGCAGGAGAATGCGAACTATTGAAGCCCGGGATTTTCAACGCAGTCTCGATGCGGTTTAGTCGACGATCGATGGACCCGAGGGCGGTCAGAATTGCCGCGAGCTGGTTGTGCGGGAATCCTAGGTCCGCCATCGCTGGGCCGGCCGGGTTGTTTTGGGGCATGCTTCGGTGCCTCGCGGGGTCGTTTGCCCCCCCGTAAACCCGTTCTTTCAGGCGGCTTCTGTTGGCGGGTGTGCGCACTGTGTCTGGCGCTAGAACCGGCGTCTTTGGGGCCCGCAGGCCCGGTGCGGAGGGTGTTTTTCGCGATACCCTCAATTCAAGTTTCGCGAAACAGTCGTGGCTCGGGTAGCAAACAAAAATGCGAAAATAAAAATCTTAGAAGAAAGCCCCGACCCGCGTTCAAGCACCTCCCCAGCGCGCCTGCCCGACCGGGCTCAAGATGCGAATGCCGTCACGTGGTCTGCACGAATCAATGGGGAGCTGCGGGAAAAGGCTGTGGGTGCGCCTGATGCGGGGTTGCAGCTTGCCGCGCGAGCCGCTTTAAAAGTGCAACTCTTTTTCGCATTTTGACGGGAAAGACAACAGGAGAGATGCAACTGCATGGGCCACTAAATTGATCCCTGGTTAGACAAGAAGCTGGTTTGCGAAAATTTCCCGCAGAAATCGCGTTATGATGACAAAATATTAACCGAAAGGAAGCGAGAGGACAATTCTCATTCTAAACGCAGAAATGGATTGGCTTCCTATGTAGGTATCCTAAACTGAAACATGTGTTGCTGACAGATGGTTTTTTAGGGCTGGAGAACAACACCTTGGCGTTGCTTTACCTTTCTCCGTGTTCGCTGCGCAAACCCAGAACCTGGTTTGATTATTGCGACCCGACATTGGACCACACACTGCCGCAGGCTCTGCTCGGCACCTCTGCCCAAGAGATCCATTAGGGCAACCCTTCAGGATGGCACCCGACCACTCGCGACGGCAGCAATCCAGCTGACATTCCACCCCTCGCCCCCGTATTTCTTGTCCAAGAGCTCCTTCAGGAGCCCAAGAACCTCCTCCTTGGGGTGTTCGTTCCGCAGCTCTTCGGACCAGCAGCTCTTCATCAGGAATTCCAACATTGGGCCACTGGTGTTCAAGAAATACTCCGTACTATCCATACGGCTTAGGAAGGCAAACACCTCCACGTTCACATCCTGCAGACCTTTTCCCTCGAGCGTTTTCCGGATCCAGTTCACATCACTCCAGTTGCCCCACGGAGTGGTTTGTAACGCCATCTCCCACGGCGCCTCAAAAGGAAAAGTCTGGAAGGCTTCGCGGAGCTCAGTTGCCCAGCCGACCTCCCGGTGCCAAGTCGTAAACCCGAGGACGCCACCAGGCTTGAGAATGCGAATCGCGTCTGTTTGGTGGTCAACTTCTTGCACTCCCGGGTGGATTCATCAGTGAAACATACCGTTCAAGGCGCTTTCAGAGTCAGGTACCACATGAAACCCGATATTGGTAGCGACATGTGTAAATGTAGCGTCGTCGAAACCAGTTTTCTACCCATCACCATCAGTCCCCCGTCACAGTGAGATAAACTTGCGGCGGGTGAGAACGCTTACCTGGGCATCAACCTGTTTCACCTCCGTATTCACCCACTTATCTCTCTCCGACCTCTGCTTCGCTAGCTCAACCACTTGCTCTGAGAAATCGCCACAAACAATTTTGCTCTCGCTTAACACCTTGGGCTTGACGATCTGCTGCAAGATGGGAGCCACAACGCCCACACCACACGCATTCTCCAGGAGCGTGAACGGGGTGTTCGTCTGTTCTGTCAAGCCCATCTGCGCCAGCATGGGTAAGGCTAGGGGGGTGCTGACACGTCGAGCATTGTCTAAGAAAACCTGCTCGAGGGCACTGCCGCCAAGGGTGCGGAAATTGTTGAAGAAATTGTGGAGCTCTTTGGCTGTACGGGTTGCGTTCGTCATGATGGGCGAGGATGCAATAAAGGGTATTACTTGGGTTGTGTGTTTGAGAGCAGAGGATGAAGGCAAGAAACAGTTGTTAATATTGAGCTAAAGCCGTATTAAATGCGCATTCCCATGGACGGTCTTACACAATACATATGTTGCGAAGTCTCCGAGTTGTCATTAAACGCTATGTGTAAGTCATGTTTGGTGTTGGGTTGTTCAAGAGGTACTCTCCGAGAAGTGTCCGAGCCCCCCTTTCACGACAAGAAACCGTCAAAAGGTTCCGAAAACTCCCCCCAAAATTGACCATGAATCAGGGCTGAAATTCAGGGTCCTATTTGCGCATACTCGTCGCTGGGCACTAAAATTGAAAACATTACAGCCCAACTGCCTGACCATCACCAAGCCGGGTCAGTCCCTGTGCCGAAGTTTCTTACGAATTACAGCTTCGAGGCCAGCCGATCCCCACCCGCACCGAGACCCGTGAGGGTTATGCCAATGCCCGTCACGGCTCCATTCACGCCCGCACCGCCAGCTCCAGCGCTCTGCAAAAGAGCGAATAAGCTCCCGGCGCTCACGTTTCCGATCATGCTGTGGATCCAGGAAGCTATTGATTCTAAATCAACTGTCTGTCAGATTCTGTTCACGAAGACCCGCCGAGTGTGTGCGTTTTTGGCTGTAACCGAGAGAGGCCGAAAGGACTAAAGATCAGGAGAAGAGAGGAACTCACGACCAATGACGCCCCCTTCGCCAAACCCGGCGATTTTGAGGAGTGGCATAGCGACACCGCCTGGATTGATGATCAAAATAACGCCAGCGACGATTATAACGGTCTGAACTGGATGTTCTTTGATGAATTCAATGATCTGCTCGTCATCGCAAGGTGGTCAGTTGTGAGTTCAACGTAAATTACTAGGCTATAATAATCAGAGTCGAGCCAAGCTCCCACCTATTCATTGAAAGCATCGTCTCCCACACCTTTCAAGGCCACGATGAGGAAAATACGGATGTAGCTTACCTCATGCCCAAGCTGCTGTGTTAGCTTCACAAGCTGCTCTGCCATCTGCAAAATGGGGGTGAAGTCGACCTTGCCCAGAACTGTAATGCTGTTGACGCCCGGAAGATCCAGAACCCCGCCGCTATCCACCGTTGAAATGGCAGACATGTGCTCTGGGTGCACCGTGACGTATTTGAAAGCACCATAAGCCGCGTGGTGGCCGAAGTCAATAGCCTGGGTTCCGTTAGTGTGGCATTTGAGAAGGGCGGATGCGTTTTTAATTCATGCGTAGAGAACAAAAAGCTAAAGGCCTCGCTCACTGCTTGAATCAACTTCTCTCCGTTTGCATGAGCAAAAAGGATGGCGTGGGTTGTGGGAAGCACAACCGCTGTTGCAGCCGCTTGGGCAATTTGGACGAGGTATTTTGCGGATGTGACCATGTTTGCTGGGGTTGCGGAATTGGGGGTAAGGGACCTAAGTAGTTGCAGGACTCGTTGGGCCGTGATTTGTAGTCGTAGTTCTTGAATCTGAGGTTAGGACCTGGGGGGGTTGCAAGGAGCATGAGAATTTGAGGGAAGAACGCCGAGGAAGGTGCTTCCGTGCTGCAGTGAGGCCTGCAGCGTGTTGGCCTGTTGTGAAGCGTTTGTTGGGGGCGGTGTCACTGCAAACACTGCCTCACTGTGAGCCTTGTGATTCTGAATAAAATTTATGAAGATTCGATTGGGGATGATCCACGTCATAACGAGTGCCTCTTGGTTCTCAAACGGATATCTTGTGTTGGTAATTACCTAGGTACCTAATAATCGACGCTGCTGGCTGGGTGATGAAATCATGGAATTAATAAGGCTTAATTGGACAACATTGTTACACCGGGCACTCCATTGACCCGGATCTGGTCAGGTAGTTAGAAACAAAGCGTCTCGCAATAGGCCGGCCGGCAACCGAGTCTCACGATTCAATGCACGGCTACGGGGAATGAATAGGAGGCTTGATATTTGACGTAATATTCCTCCATTTCTCGGCACGGCTGTGCAAGCATGCAGTCCCCCTTATTTAGGGTTCCAAGTTCTAATCTACAAAACCAGGATAGAGAGAAGGCTAGGGTTTGTTGGTCCGGCTGATTGATATCTTGATACGGTTTCCTGACTCGGTCCACGGCCAGGCCAGCCCCAGACCATCAACCGCCACTTTCTTAGCCCTTGGCGAGCCTCTGGAGGCCGGCCAAGTCGCCGTTGAAGATCTCCGAGTCACCACCGTAGGCGTACGAATCCGAGTTCTGCCAGATGGTCTGGTACGGCCAGCCGCCGGGGATAGTACCGGGGCTGCTAGCATAGCGGGCGAGTACGAGGGGGTTGGTGCTGACGAAGGCGTTGGAGTTGCCGGTGCAGGCGGACCACCACGAGGGGTTGGTGTAAATCAGCGGGTAGACACCTAGGCGAGAGTGGTAACGGTCGCTGAAAGCCTTGATCCACGAAACCATGGAGGCGGCCGACAGACCCCAGCATTGGCCGGACGAGCCGGACTCGAGGTCGAGCATGCCGGGCAGGGTGCGGCCATCGCTGGTCCAGCCACCGCCGTGGGCGATGAAGTAGTCGGCCTGCGCCGCGCCGGTGGTCTGGCCCGGGTGAGCGAAGTGGTAGCCGCCGCGGATGAGACCAGCGTTGGTGGCCCCCGTGTAGTGGGACGAGAACGAAGGGTCGATGTACGAGGTGCCTTCGGTGGCCTAGCGGGGAGACGGGTCAGGGTTCTGCGGCTTTGTGCACAACGAAAAGGCATGGTTTTCTCACCTTGATGAAGACGAAGCGGGCACCCGAGCTGTACGCGCCAGCGAAGTTCACAGTCGGCTGCCAGTGGGAAACATCGAAGCCTTGGACGGCGGCATTCGCCGCGGCCGCGAAGGCGACGCAGGCGGTGAGAGCTGATTTCATCAACATGGTTGGGGAACGGTGTTGTCAACGAATGAGCGTTGATGGACTCCAGCTCCTCCAGTCCCAAAATGTCGGGGATTCTCAACTCTTAAATGGTCCATCACAACAGCACGACGAGGCTACAACGGGTCATCTTCTTTCTTTGCTCCGCGGACCTCGCCGCTAGAACCTCGCGCCGCGAGCCAAAGTTGACGACGTCGAGACGCGCTGTCGGGCCTATTCCTGGAATAGGAAGGTCAGGCAGAGATGGGGATCGGGGAAAGTCGGTGACGCCCCCGGAAGTGGCTAGCCCTACTGCAAATCTATTGCCGTTCCTGTAACCTGAGTTAAATATAGTGGACACTGCACGACGTCGAACCATGTCATGATCTTCGGCGCGTTTTACCACTGGCTGAAATAAACTTCAGCTCTTGTTCGCCTTGTTTCGAGCGATTCGCGAATCTTTTTAAAGCTCGACGTGCAATATGTGGGAATGCAAGTCGTTAAACCCTTCGACTAAATCACCATCGTACACTACAAGAAACAGGGCCGAAATACGTGTGAGATTGTGTAAGTTATTGTAGATCGTCCTGTGTGTCCCCCGCCCTTGGTCCTCAAGGTCGTCCACTGGTTGCAGGACTGAAGCCCTTGCGCTCCCCTACAATTTCCCGTGTCGCCGCCCAAGGTTGTACACTCCTAGTATGGAGGGGGGTAGCTTCCTGCGCACAGCGCTTGTCAGTAGTGGGCTCATAATGGCTTAGAACTTGGAGTTCAACGTAGGTGGCTTGCAGTGGCGAACAACCCCGGATACCTTACCCCCCCACGAGCCTGTTTGTGGGTACAGGGAAGCAAACCAACCGACGAGGTTCACTACTACACTATATGCACTATACTACATAGTACACAGTCGACCATAAAGCGTTCCTTGTCAGGAGATGCATGCGCTTATCGTAGCGCCTAAGCTTCGGGTTTTTCGGATTTTTCGGGCGACTCGAGGCCGGATTTTATTGCGTGTTAGGGGCGCCGCGTTGTTCGTCGAGTCTGTCTGCTTCTGGTGGATCATCAGCCAAATTTACGGCGACCCTGAGCGGCAAATACGCCATGAGATAATACCCCATTTGCCCGTGATGAAGAAGGGCCCGAGATCCGGCTCGTCCTCGAAGAGTTGACACCGAGTGTGTCGGCGCACTCCACGTGGTGAATTCTCTGGGGCGTGGACGATCGTGGTGAGGCACCACGCACAGCAGCTCAGCTACCACCTACCAGGTAGGTCGGGTGATGCAGGAGACGTCGCAGCGCCAGCTCCCCCACGCTTCGACCAACCAGCTGAGAACCTATCTTTAGCGCTGCAAACAGAAGATCAATGAGGACGTTTCCACTTGACCATTTCCGAGACCGAGCGCTCTCTGCAAGTTGGTGGTGTCAGGCTCCTCCCAAGCGGTGTTCGAGCGGGACGATTACCCCGAGGTATCCCTGCTCTCCCTGGCGCGCACAAGCGAAACCGGCGAACGGGTCGTCCACAGCTCAGACGCGCAGCGCTTCTTCAGGTAACGATAGACATTTTTTGACCTCCGGCCTCTCCGCCGCTGTCGCCCACAGTAGTTAAGTTAACCGATATGTTGCAGTTTGGTCGGTGCAGAGATGGGCCAAATGGAGTTTGAGCGCAACCTAATGGCATCGCCAGGCGAGTTTCCCCCTCTCGAACGATCCCTCGACGAGTGGCCGCGATATCTAACCTCGGTTGTTTGACACCTTCTGTGACGTGACAGTGTGAGAGGCTGATTACCCCGGACAACGGGACGGCTTCGTCGGGGGGTTTTCTAGAAAAAGTTGACGCAGCGATCGGTGCCATTACGGATGCCGGGGGGTACATGACGGCCGTCAGCCAAATTCCGGGAAACCACCAAGGACAACGCCCTAGTTAATTCTACAAGGCTCACCCAATCAAAGCTTTATTTCCCAAGAGATGGTATTAGTTAATCGACCTACACTAGAGTGTTGTGCTCAAGAGTGAGCATTTTGTTGGTAATACGTGTTGTCGTGACATTTGCAATGCTTGCGTTTCATGCATTCGTCAAGGAGGAAATCATGCTTTGAGAAATTGGGGCGATGAGTGCAATATACCTCCGTAGCGATTGCCCCACCCGGAACCGCTCGTGCACGGGGCATTCTCCCGGCCCTGCTCCGGAGGCCCGGGCCTTATTCCATCACCTCGGCCTGCAATGCTTGGGTCTACATCTCTCGATCTCGAGAGCATGTACATTTGACGCCAACCCCACGCCCCAGCACGCTCGCTACGACGACACACTTCTCTTTTCCCTGACCGACGCTGCATTCGGCGGTTTACTCCGCTATGGACACAACATTAGCATTTTGTGCGGGCAAAGGCATCCACCCTTCGTTAAGGTGTGCTAGTTCGGCAAGATTGATCATTGGTGACCAAAAGAATCGACCATTTGACGTCAAAAACTCATAGTCCAACATTTGTGGCGCAATTCAATAGCTTGTCTGAAGGTGTGTCCCGGAGAGGTTTCGTATCCGTTCTCATCGAACGGTCGAAGATCGGAAAACACGTTATGTTGCTCTCCTCCTTGACCTTCCGCATCCATTACCTCCTCCGACTTCTACCGGCTCTTTTCTGGGCCCAAGTACTACACGATGGCCTTTGACTTCCAAATTCACTCGTTCGGAGGAGGCTAGCGCATCACTGGTACGGCTGATACCGGCGAGCTAGCAACATTAGATATCTGTAGAAATTTGTAGTAGCAGCGTGCACTCGAGATATCGTGTTGCTGTGTGACTTGTTCAGTGTAAGTCATTCTCCTTAAGCAGTTTTCATCCCGTTAATATTAACAGTAATTGAAATAGTAATTACCTAGTTACTCCCCTGCCCAACCCCCGTACAGCCCTTTATAATCACTTGCTTTGTCGCTCCTTCTCCACAGCCCTCCCACCCGGCAAATGCCTGCCCGGACCGTGGGTGGCGCATTTGAGGGGGCGCGGGCCGCACCAGTGTGCCCGCTTTCTCCCCTTCGTGGGTTCAACTCACGGAGGGGGCATCCAAGAAAACCCGTTTGGGTTTTCGTAGCTGTTCACGACCTCCACGGAGGAAGTGGGCGGTGAGCTTTTTGATGTTTTCTTTTCTTTTTCTTTTTTGATACCTGTGTCCGGTCAGAGAATTATGTACAAATGTCATGCTGACCACGGGGATACGGAGGGCACGGAAATGGCAAGTTCCTTGCCACTGACTCCAGGTCATTGTCTACTAACTAGGGCAGCATGTAAAAATGCAATTGTAGCCATCCACGTTGCTGTCACAATACATTGGGTGTTCGTCATCTTTCCTGATATCACTCCAGGCACTCTAGTCAAAGTTGGTCCTTCGAGCTCTTCGTGTCTTACTCCAGAACGGACCGTCGGGACTGAAATAGAAATAACCCAAGCCTAAACAGTGCCCCGTGAGTATCAAAACGCACAAAGGACCTCGATATTCACAAAAGAGTCACAGAGTTGCCGCTCTCTGGTAGGAGAAACAGTGTTGAATTCGCGTTGTGTCCTTATCCTTACCTAAACATCGTTCTTAGTGTCGCGGCTTCACCATCTTCTCCGGGTAGTTATTATAGTGAGCCGAAGCCGAGGATTCGGTTTGGGCTTCGTAATGGCATTATGGGATCAGCAATATCTGATTAGGTTGGCCCCTTATTCCCTGACGACGCATGCATCCCTTTATTTCGGAGGTCGGCTAACGGTGATGACCTAACTATTCGAGACCTCGGATCTAGCCTTATGACGTTTACGATTACTACTTCCCATTTACCGCTCGTTAATAATTAATACCATATTTAGACATTAGCATAGTCCTTAATCTTTCGAGAACGTCACCAGGAACAGCCAGGCCGCTCGCAAGAACGTTAAACTGGCAACGACAATTCCGGTTACTTGACCAACGGTGAATTCTTCTGGCCCTCGCCCCGCATTATGAGCCCGAAGGGTGAGCTCAGCGGCTGCTAACGAACCCAACCCAAACACCGCATGCCGGAAGAGGGAGAAGCCAACCATCTCTGGCACATGTGTCCAAAACGGCTCCACCACGTCCAAGTCATCCGACGCATACTTCTCCCACAAGTGAAAGTCCCACATGTACCGGAGCCCAAACAGCCAGTTGTGAATCGAATTCAGCCATCGAAAGTCGTAATACACCCAGAAGATTGAAGTCTCCATCATCGGCACCCCGAGACATGTATCGTGCCAACTCCACCAGAAGAAGCTAAAACACGGGCAGTCGTCCGTCTGGTACCGGCCAACGGTGTAGCCGCTCATGAGCACGCCAATCCAGACGAGGCCCGTAAACTGCGTAATGGCAATCGTCACGACCTCCGACCGGGCGGCTAACACCTCGCGCGAGCTAAACGACACGGAGAGGGCGACGTTCTGCGCGTCCAGCACCATGGCGCCCAGCGCCGCGTTCAGACCCGATAGTTTGCCCTGGTAGCTGAGCACCAGTAGTGAGATCCCCAGCGAGAGATGCGTGATAACCAGGCCGCCAGCCAACTCCTTGACGGCGGCATTGGACGGTGAAATCGCCACTGACTTGATCCCCACGATGAATACTAGCATGCCGATCTGGATCCAAAACGCCACGCGGACGCCTACCCCCGCGATATCGCCGTCAGCCTGGGCATTGCACTGGCTGTTGAGGTAGCGTTGGAAGTCGGCCGCGTTCCGGAAGGCAAAGGCGGAGAAGATAATCCCTACGAAGAACATGGCCAGCGCGTTAAGTACGATCCAGCGAGTGCGGTAGGTCCAAGTCCAGGTCGGGGGCGGCAGCATGGGATCTCCAAAGTCCCAGTCTATTGGCGGTTTGAAAAGCGGTCGCGGCTGGGCGTAGATGTAGAAACACTCGACGATGAGAGAGTGGATTTGGTGTAGGAGGAGGAGGAGAACGAAGATGAAGCGGATGTTGGCGGGGAGTGACGCGCCCATGGCGTCGCTGAGGGTTATTGTGTCGGCCATTTGGAATCAGGGGGCCGCAAATAACCATGAGAAATATGTGACGTGGGAGGCATTGTGTGAATTGGAAGAAAGGGCGTGGAGGGCGTGCCGCGTGTGACGTTCCCCGGCAGCAAAACTAACGTCTCACAGTGTAGAGCGGGGGATGATGGGCTATCAACGCAGCCTTGTGGACGCCGAAGGGAATGGAAGCATGGCGTTGTATTATTCCACAGACTAGCGATGAACGTACAGTACCGGGCGGATATGAGGTGGTATTGATGCATGAAGGGTAGGCCACCCGACGATACCATTGGTGATTGGGAAAGCCTGTCAGATGGGCTTGCAGAAACGGCTGGGTTCGGCTGGATGGCGTCGATATGGTCCCGGCCGTTCCGCTCCTACACAACATGCAGACAGAACGCACGAGACGAAAACTCAGCTTTCTGACTCGCGAGGTAACCGAGGGCGCCTTGCGCACCTGTTCTAGTCTGACAGGCCAACTGAATCTCGATTTCCCATCTTACCCGTCACCAGGTACGTGTTCGGGAACACAACTGAGGAGGGTGACATGCAAACTTTATTGGTCAAACTTTCTGCGAGCTTCCCCGCTCTTTTGCGTGCTGTCTGCGAGGGCTTTGAGGAGATGTGTTGTTCTTCAACGTCTTTTTTCTTCCACGATTGTTACCGTCAAGACTCAACACTAAGCCCATCGTTCCCAAATCGAATTTCCTAACCCCGTTGCTTTTGATGGCGAACTACAACTCAAGCTGGGGGGGGGGGGAAACTGTATTTTTGCGCAATCCTGGAGTGGGGGGTCGTCAATATCTGGCGCAGCCACCACGGCGCGTAGAAACCGAGATTCCCGTCCCAGATGGTATACATCGTCGTCACAGCAGGCCTCACGCCCCGGCCCCCCATGATTTCACTTCTCATCGATCTTCTACTTTCCCCGTTAGGCGCGAACGAGCATTCGTGGGTATGTTGACGCCATTCCCTTCTGATCCTATGCTGCTTGCAGCGATTTTCCGCCCCCTTTCCGCCCCTTAATTAACACACTTCTTCCCTCGCGGATAGGATTACCTACCGAACACAAAGCGCACCGACGAGAAGGGAACTGGATACAACGACACTTCACCTGGCCCTTCTCCTTGACAGCGACACGAAATAAATACAAGCCGGACGCGCCGTTATTCACTTGGCATGAACGCCAGGCCAACGCGCGAGCAGAGCGCGAGGCGTTTCAGGCGCAAGAGGAGGCGGCGCTATGGAGAGAACGAGATATGGCGATCTTGCGAGAACAGAGAGGTGCAACAATCGGTGACGTAGACGTAGACCAGGAAACATTTTTCCAGGCCCGAAGAAGGACTCTTGATCTAGCAAAATGGGAAACGAGCATCCGGGAAAAGGAAGCCCTCTTGCGGTCCGAGAGAAAGGCCGCCCAAAAGGAAAGGGATATTCTTCTCAGGGAAGGTAAAGAAGTAGTCGTCAAGGAGAGGGAAGCTCATTTGAGGAAGCGAGAACGGGCGATTCTAAGAGAAAAGGAGGCCTTTCTGAGAGCGGAAAGAGAGGCAGGGGGGAGGACAAGGGAATCATGGACAGGAGAGGGGCCAGAGGGGTCGTTACGGCCTGCCGATGCCACGTTTTCACAACAGCATGAGGGACCGGATATTATCGTCAGGGACTACGAGGAGCATCGCCGTGAAACCAGATATCAAGCTTACGCCGAGGATGCCGTGGATCGCGACATGGGGCGTGCATCCCGGGAGTCTGATGGTATACGACGCGCCGAAACGAGGGCTGTCTCTGTCAGGAGAAGTCATGAGCGTGGCAGCTAGACTCGGCTAGTTGTAAATGTTGGGTACATATTTTGTGTAGATTGGATTTTTAAACGCTGCTGGGCGCATCTTGGTTGTTCGGCTATAATTCCTGCCTGCTTTCTTGGTCACACATCTCCAGTTGGTTATTAATTGGTCCCGCTCACGGGGATCAAGAAACCTTTTCGGTTTTATTTTGCGAGCCACAAATACATTTAAAACCTCGCCTAGTCGTCCTGCTCCAGACCAACTGGTACCAGAGTCTCAGAACTAGCATAATCCCCCTTGAACGTGAAATCGGCCGATGTTCCATCCTTGCCTGTGAACACGGCGGATATCTTCCAACATTTTTAAGTGAAATCCATGGTCACAGTGGGGTACAATTTCCTTGACACCCCTTTCCAGCAACTTGGCGACAATGGGCCCGCTACGAAGCACCAGTGCATCCGCATTAGTGGTGCCACTTTTACATTGGGGTTGGGTGGCTTTCAGGCAATTAGCTAAAACAGAGATGCCCAGCGACTATGAAGATCACCAATTTCTTCGGTATTGGTTTTCTTGTGGTTCCTTTTTTTAAATATTCTATGGCTCTATCCCGTGCGGTCATTGGGTTTGATTTATGTTGTTAATGATTTGCCCAGTTAGCATCTTACAAGATATTTGCAGCCGTGCAGCGATATTAATCACATGCTTCTTGAGGTTTATCATAATAATTCAGGTAATGAAGCCGTAGCTGTGGTATGTTTACTCGGTCGGTGGCATCAACAAACATTGTGACGGTCATCTTGGGGATTATAAATAATTACGTTTCGACGACCCCTGAATTAGCGTTGTTTATATAGGTGTCTCTCCCAGAATGCCCGGTTTTCCGGCATCAAAATTGTCCCCGTAAAACCTAACGTTTAACGCCCAATGTAACCTTCGAATGGCGAAAAAGCTGAGCCTTTAAGAACAACACACAATTTATGAGTAAGAGCCATAGCGCACTGCGTGCAGAATAAGCCAAAATTGGAACTAGTAGGGATATGTTGGCGACCCGGCCGGTTCGTCGGTGTGAGACTTTCCATCCATGGAGACATGAGTCGCGGAGCCCTGACTTAAGTGAGACGAGCGTAGTCATCAAGAACGCATGTGGTCAAGTTACATACCTTAGGTCGGTAGGTAGGGAGGTAGGTAATAAATTAGTCCCTTCTGTTCAAGTCAGCCCGTCTAGGCATCTATTTAGGAGTTAAGAAGCCCTAACAACTCGGGGTTAAATGCAGGGGTAATTACCTGTCTCTCATTAACTGGTGATTTATAACACTTTCTCACGTATTCCGCCGCCCCGAGTCTTGGCGGAGTTCCCCATCACTTTTGCCCAGCGCGATACAAATACATTAATCGTTAATTATTTCGCAACTGTCCGATTTTCCAATTCGACGGAGCCCGATTCAAACGAATATTTATCAACCCTCGTAACAACTTACAACATCATGGGGCCCTCCATACTTCCGGCTCCCCACCCGTTAGGTGTATCCGCAATCGCCTCGGAACAGGGCACTGGTGTTGTCCTGACACAAGACGGTGTCCGTCTCCAGTATAATCAAAGTGGGCCCCTCGACGGCCAGAACCTTGTCTTCATCCATGGCTGGCGCCAGACAGCTGCGCAATGGCAGAAACAAGTGGACTACTTCTCGAACGCTAGCTTCCGGGTTACCACATACGACATGCGTGGGCACGGGGAATCTGAAAAGCCCACCTTCGGCTATCGCGTCAGTCGCCTCGCCGCCGACCTCAACGATCTCCTGCGGCAGCTCAAGCTCACCAACGTGACCCTCGTCGGACACTCCATGGGCTGCTCCGTCGCATGGGCGTGGTGGGACCAATACCACCATGACCACCGGTCCTCCCCCGTCAACGGCCTCGTCTTCGTCGACCAACCCGCAACTTTGGCGCGGAACCCCAACTGGACCGACGAGCAGGCAGCCGAGGTGTCAGCCCTCTTCTTACCGAACCAGGTGTACGACCTGGCCAATGACATGGCGGGCCAGCTGGTGGGCCTGCTGCGAAGCATGTTCACCGACACCATCCCCGACGCCGAGTTCGACTGGATCCTGTCGCAAAACCGGAAGATAAGCGACGCCAACGCGGCTGCTCTCCTCATCGACCACAGCTTCCGGGACTGGCGGGACGTGTTCCCACGCATCGACGTGCCCACCTTGGTCCTCGCGGGAGATCTCAGCATCGCACCCCCACGAGGTGTCGAGTGGATTGCATCGCAGATACCGAGCGCTGAGCACTACACGTTCTCCTCCGAAGAGAAAGGGAGCCATTTTGCGTTCTGGGAGAATCCGGATCGGTTTAACGCTGTTGTTAAGGACTTTCTGAAGCGACGTGCGTCGGCTGTGGAGGTTCCTGGACTGTGATTAGTAGGTAGCAATCGTGCCTGTGCAAGCACTGCTGGGCTAGCAGCAAAGTACGAGAGAGGGAGTTAGGGTAATAGCTGTGGATACGGTTTCCCATTGTAAATACAAGTGTGATTAAAACCCCACTTATCCCCCAACTGTTTCAGCATTCATTTTGTGCTGGACTCCAAAGTCTTGAGGATGACGAGCTTGGTTCAGTGGATCGCGCCTGCCGCAAGTCTTGGGGACCACGAAGACTTTGGCTGTCAACAATAGGTAGTGCGCCCCGGTCAATAAATGGGAGTCAAAAAAGCTTCCGCAACATTCCACCCACGGAACTATTCTACCTAGCTCGGCCATTAATTAAATTTTCCATGCTCTTACACGTACACGTACGTAGTGAGAGTCTCGGAACGACCCAGCCAAATAATCGATTAATTAATTAACTACCAATTCATCAATAACTCAGAACTCCGTCCAGGCTCCAGCAGCCTAAGACTTGACACCTCTAATTAAAGTATCCCAGACCTTGACCAAGACTTACAAGCCTCCTCGCGAGAGCTTCGACACCAAGAACCTTCCACCCACAGCGGCAGCCGACACTGCAGCTCCCGCACCCGCCACGACTCCATTCACAGCGGCCGCGCCCGCCCCTCCAGCGGCCGCGCTCTGGCAAACAGCGAAAGCGCTTCCTCCTACAACGCTGCCGATCCCACTTTGGATACTAGCAGCAATGGAACCTGTGAGATTGATTTTCGTATTAGCTGCCGAGGTTGAGTAGAGGTGGATGTGTTGGGCGGAGTAACGTTTGTGAGAGCGAAGGTATTATAAGGGAGGGTAATGATTGGAAAGGGGGTGGGAACTTACCGGCGGCAACGCCCCCAGAACCAAATCCAACAACGTTAAGGACGGGTAGCGCAATGCCTGCGGGACTGGCCATAAGGACCACACCCCCAGCCATGGCGACGGCTTGGATGGGATGATCTTTTATGTGTTCCACGGCCTGTCCGATCGTGGGAAACTGTTAGCTTGCGATCTACATCTCTGCGTATCCCGGCGCCAGAGGAAGTGGATGTTTGCTCCCCTGTCCACCCACGCTCAAAGGGAGACTAGAAAAGTAGGTAGATAGCTTACGCCTTTTCCGAGCTCCTCGGCAGCCTTGAGAACAGCACCGCCAGTGGTAGCTACAAGGGGCTCAGCGATTGCCCTCGCCCCGGCCAGTTGCGTCGAGGCAACTTGCGTCGCTTGAGCGACGCTCCTCGCAACAGCTTCCATGTTGAGAGTGCTTTTTATTCGGGAAAAGGATTTGAGATTTGCCGGTTACGCTTACTAGGAATCGGGAAATCGCGAGCGGAGGTCTTCGGAAGTTCGAATTAAGGAAGGAAACAGTTGCAGGTTGGCGTGTAATGAATCTGGAATGATTGTTTTTGAGGCGGGGTTCTGTATGCCACGAAGGCAGCAGCTCTTTGTCACTGCCAGGTTACACAAGAATTATGCGCAGAGGCCTACAACACGCTCTGTAGGACTGCTTGCTGACCAGACGATGTATGGCTGTGGTTGGTTTGTTTTGTTTGGCGCTTTGTGGTGGTTTGTCATTGGACAAATTGCGAAGTCTCACATGTCTGACTCTGTTTGTGGACGTCAACGGAAACTCAATGGAAACACCTGTTTGGATACAGTCAAAACCGGCAACGTCAATCGCTGCAACGAAACAAGATTGGACTGTGACGCCCTATCATTCTCACCGATGATGGTTCATGAAATAAAAAGAAGGTTCTGGCATGAAATCAACAATCGATTTGGGGGTTTCCACTTTCATTTCCTCCAACTCATGGTAGGCTAATTCCCCTAGACGTCAAAGGCCGAGATAACCTCTCAACAACTTGTTTGTTGAAATTACGTGGTATTATTATTTAGTCTCTAGACTTGGCGGATGTGATATGGTTACAATGGCAATACGTACAACCTCTTTGGTCGCACGCCTATCTGTGTGCCAGTCCCTTCCGCTGGGAAATACGTAATACTAAAAGACAGCGGCAAAGCCGGCGAGCCGAACTTGGGGAACCGTTTGTATTTCCCATGAGGTTGCGCTTTCCACACACACAGACAGCACTTGTTAGGAGACAGACCAGGGATCTCCTTCCTTTCGTGCTAGACATGAAAACAGTGCGCAGGTAGACTCAACTCCTACCAATTAATTACAACAAATGCCCATATGGAACCTAGGACTGGTGGTTTATAAGACGGTCGCAATTTATCGAAACCGGTACGCTCTCTACGTCAATTATTCACGGTCGCTCAGAGAACACCGGAACTCTGTTGTTCCTTTCTTGCGCCCCACGTTTCCTTTGCTTGTTGGTTGTTTGGAAACCTCTTCCTGCAGACTGATTGATGAGATGTCCTCGCAGCCCAACACCTAGCCGGGGCATTGATCTGGAATCGTGTTTAGGCGCTGCATCATGCAAAGTGGCGGCCCGCCCGGCAATCCCAGCTGAATCAAGCTCGCTAAGGAGAGCGGATAACAACGTCGGGATTGTCATTTCCAGCAATTCTGGTCGACGAGCGACTTGTCTTGTCGTCCATTCTCCCTCTGTGCCTCTTTCGAATGCCGTTATTTCCGTGTTGCTTGCAGTACCCGCACCAATCCCTAAGGGAGGATTGGCGCCCGGAAGGAGAGAACAAACGTTTCAAAAGGGATTTCTCTCTCTGTTTCTCTTTCTTATTTTTTGTCTTGCACAAATGAGAACATTCAGCCCCTGGATCGCAACGGCAGCGTTCAACGGCGGATCTCACATGCAAGGAACTCGGCATCGCGGCTAAGTGGTTGGGCGGAGTTTCTCGACAAGTTTTCGCCGGCTGGTGCGCCGGCTGTTCAGCAACAAGGATGACGTCTGCCGAGTAGCCGCGCCAACCATGTTTATGGTTCGAGGGGTATCGTTTGGTGATCGACGGGACTCAATGTAATTCTCAGACGAATTTCCAGGCATAAATGCGAGGAACAGTGGGGAGCTTCGAGGGGCAAATCCAATTCGACACCAATTGGTGAAGATCGCCCAGCCTATCCCCGGTCCCCGGAAAGCTTGTCTGGACTCCGTTCCGAAAAGAGAAAACCGCACCCGCCGCTGATCACAACCCCGTTCCAATGGGAGGCGGAACCCGGCGGTAAGCAGGGACTGAGCTTCCAATGCCATCGTCGGGCCGCTGTTGTCCATGGGGAGTACCTGGAAAATGGACATGGAGGCTCGTAACCAGCCAAGCAGGCATGGAGAAGAAAGGGTGACGCATGTCATCCACTACCTGGGATGCGGAGAGAACGGAGTTGTAAACAACCGGTCTTGAACAGGAAAGCGGGAACATCCGAAACAGTCCTTGCCGGCAGACATGGACGGCCAGAACTGCCCGGAGATACCGATGGCTGATGGGCCGTGAAAGCTTGGTTCATTATAAAAGAGGCCGCGATGCCCCTTCATCGACGGGCTTGAACAGTGCAACCAACCAACTTCCCAATCTTCAATCACCGGCCTGTTCCTGAATCCCCAGTGCATCCCCTACCATGGCATTCAAGTCCGCTCTCTTGGCCACGCTGGCTACGGCCGGTCTCGTTGCGGCCGACGGTCTCAACACCCGCGCCGTCGCGGCGGGCAAGAAGTACTTCGGCACGGAGATCAGCACCTACGTCATGAGCGATTCTGCCGCCAATGAGATCGCCAAGAACAGCGAGGACTTTGGGCAGTACACCTGCGAGAACGAGATGAAGTTCGACGCGCTGGAGCCGAGCCAGAACACATTCAAGTACGACGGCGCCGACCAGATCGTGGCACAGGCCGAGGCCAACGGGCAGATCATGCGCTGCCACAATCTGGTCTGGCACTCGCAGGTGCCCTCGTGGGTGAGCAACGGTGGCTTCGACAACGCCACGCTCATCGAGATCATGCAGAACCACATCGCCAACGTGGTCGGCCACTACAAGGGCAAGTGCTACGCCTGGGACGTGGTCAACGAGGCTCTGAACGAAGACGGTACATACCGTAGCTCCGACTCGGTCTGGGGCCGCACCATCGGCCCGGCTTTCATCCCCATGGCCTTTGCCGCGGCTGCCGAGGCCGACCCGGATGCCAAGCTCTACTACAACGACTACAACTGCGACAAGCCGGGCGCCAAGGCGACCGGTGCGCTTGGCCTCGTCAAGATGGTGCAGGAGTACGGCGCCCCCATCCACGGCTTCGGCATGCAGGGCCACATGACGGTCGGCCAAGTCGGCGACGCCTCGCAGTACGTTGAGAACATGCAGGCTTTTACCGCCCTCGGCATTGATGTCGCCTACACGGAGCTCGACATCTCCACCTCGTCCAACGACTTTGAGCAGCAAGCCACCGACTATGCCACCATTGTCTCTGCCTGCCAGCAGGTCGAGGCCTGCGTCGGCATCACCACCTGGGGCTTCACCGACAAGTACACCTGGATCAACAACGGCGCGCCGCTCATGTGGGACCAGAGCCTGCAGAAGAAGCCCGCGTACGACGCCATCCTCAACGGCTGGGGCAGCAGCGCTTAAGCTGGTTATTGAGAGCAGCAACAGCTGCGATGATGGAGAGGATGATAGGTTTTAGGGTTGGGGGTGATGAGATTAAATCATTAAATGAATGTGGGTTCGGAGGTTTGTCCGTGAGGAAAATGTACATATTCCCAGTTGGTTTTCATAGTCAGCACACAAAAGAACTGTTGGCACCCATTTTTTTAATTTTCGTCCCGTTCGGTGATTTAACCACCCCTGATCACCCCCGCACTCCAATCCCCGACTTGGAACCAACATCCCATCGCGTCAGCAACACGCCGTGCGCCATGTCATCATATTCTAGCGCCGACGATACCTACGACTCGGGCGAGCCGTCCGAGCTGGACCTCGACCTTGCCAAGCTCATAGAGTGTGCCACCCAGGCACTAAACGCCAAATGCACGGCTGTGAGGAAGCTAACCCGCGGAGTCAGCCACGAGGTTTTCACGCTTCAGCTCCAGGAGGCCCCCCCTGTACCAGATTCTCTCAAGCAAGCGGGCTTCTCATGCATTGCACGCTTCAGCCGCCTCAACGACACCCGGGCCAAGTTGGCCAGCGAGATAGCCACGGCGCGGTACCTGAGACGATTCTCCTCCATTCCTGTGCCCGAGATTTACTACTACGACTTGAATCCTGACAATGGCGTTGGAGCGCCTTTTATTTTGATGCAAAGGATGCCCGGGCGGCATCTCAATAAGATATGGGACACACTATCCCTTGACGGCAAGAAGTCGGCCCTCTCGGAGATCGCTGCCGTCATTGCGCAGCTGTCCTCCCTTAAATTCGACCATATTGGATCCCTAGACGAGAACGGAGTTGGGCCCCTTTATTAGCCCCTGTTTTGACCAGCCCAAAGGACCGTTCTCCTCCTCTTCCGAGTACATGCGGTCTTTCATCTCCATTCCATCCGTCAAATTTTCTGCCATTGGGGACCCTCTCCAGCAAGCGGGGGATGAGATTGAGCGCTTTCTCTACCACGACTACCTCCAACCGCCATTTTGTCTCATCCATGCCGACTTTGATGGCCAAAACATGCTTTTTGCAAATTCTCCAGATGGCTCAGGACCTAAACTCACTGGTCTAATTGACTTTGAGTACGCCTATACTGGACCTCTCTATTTCCTCTACGAATACCCGATTTTTATCCAGGATGTGTCTTGGTCCAAGGAACTTTACACCGAGAACGCTATCTTGCGTGCGCATTTTATTCGAGCCGTCTGGCGAGCGCTTCCTGACACCGCCGCGCAATCCACCTTTATCTCCTCCATGAACGGCAAGAACTTTGCATTAAACGGGTTCAGGGACTCGTTCATGACCGTCAAGCTCTCGCCAGAGTCGCTCCTTGATTCTGCAAAGTACTATGTACAGAGCCTCAAGGATGGTACGGAACCCGCGTACTCAGGCCGCCTCGACTACACGCCTGAGAGGTATACAAAAACAGCAGACCCGCTGCCTTATGGTGAGGATAGTGACAATGGCGAGGATGGCGGGAAGAATCTTTCAGGATGAACTGGGCTCGAAAGCTCCTGATCTTGGCTGTCGGGAGTGCCAGGTACTCCGAGAGGACTTGGATTAATTATTCTCATGATGTTAAAAAGCGATTGATTCCCTTGGTCCCCACGTCCACCGTTTCTCTCCTTCGGTTTCGGTCGGAAAACCCCAATCGCCTTTATTGGCGCGCTTCTCCGCAACGAACCGAACCCGATGCCCCTGAAGTTGATGCGCTGACCACCGATACTGACAAGATCGACAACGCTAGAAATAAGTGGGAAACAACAACTCCCTCACAGCCTAAATTATTTATGTTTCAAGAAGCCCTCTGGAAACTTCCCCCAGCTTCCCTTCCTTCTTTAATTATTGCTCTTTTCCCCTGTTCTTCCCCGGCTCATCAGTTCCCATCCCGTTCGCTTTGCCTCGCTTACTTCGCTTCCCCTGTTTACCCGTGTCGATCTTCGAACCTGACTCCGGGCTCACGACGCACAACAAGAGCCACAAGGCGCCGGTTAATGGGAGAATTCCTACCCTGGAACCGGGAATAGCGAAGGGCCTGAACCCGGGCCTCACGTGGGCCTGTGGAACAATGCCGCCGTGTGGGGGGTTCTTGGGCTGGATCGGCGTCCGATGGGGCTTCATTTTTGGAATGGATTTGCTTACAGGAAAGACATCGGTCTGTGTGCCAATTCGCTATGTAATTAATCGTGAAAACCGGGCGGTCAGTTCAAGGGAATCTGGACCTCTTCAACGTCGAAGCCATGCTTGCAGAAGTGAGTTTAGAATAGGTATCTAAAGGATCTCTGCATTTTATAAACAAAGAAACTGGATTTGGCAATAAGTTTCTAAGCTTTTATTTCGTATCAATGGTATGTTCAAGATAAGGATCGTAAATGACCTTCAACCACAGCATAGCAGCACAACACTACGCAATTAATTAGTTTGGAAGAGATTACCATTTAACTTTTTACATTTGACATGCCCAGCTGTCACAGAGATTATGTCTCCCATAATGAGTTAGATGACTCAATCTGATTCACACAAGTTGGTGCTAACTAGGTAAGGTATGTCGTGGGAGATGAATCCCGACTAACAACCTGACATGGGCGCATCCTATGATCAGCCCTCGTCAACTGATTCCCATTTCCCCCTATAAGATCCAGAGCAAAATCCAAGACTCAGTAACAAACGACAAGCCATCCGACTGGAGTATGAAATTTAGTAACGCTTTAAAATTCAACCACCTTGCTGCTGAGAACCCCCAGACCATATGCAAACTTATCCCAACACAACCAGAGCCAAACCCCAATTATGATTCCCATTTTTCACAACCAGTCATCCCATCACACAAATTACGCAAAGAAAGTGAGCCCAACCTCAGTACCAAACTTCCATAAGTCCCAAAAGTAATCCAAGACCAGAGCCCAGGTCCCACCCTTCCCATGGTGGTTCTTCGAAATCGTTTCTTCTCGTAACCACCCCCTCCCTCCGCCCCACCCAAAGGTTCTGGGCTTCCGCCATAAGATCAAGTTTGGTGGCTAATACCGATCACCCACAGGCTTGTCGAAGTGCGTGGTGTCGGAGTCTTTGACTGCCCTCTTGCCGCTGCCCGCCGTAGCACGGTCCTCGCATGGAATGAATCTGGGCTTCTCCGGTTTCGTCTAGCCGCGATTGCACAGCTTGCAATCGACCTGAACTAGGGGGCCTTCATTGTCCTCGAAACTGTCGGACTTTTCTTTGCCGACCTTGAAACAGCCGCACTTTTCTTCGCCCCTGAGACCCCCATTACCGCTGCAAACCTGACAGATGCCGCCTTCGGGATCTGTCCCTGTGCTTTCACAAGGCCGACACCGTTCGTATGTACGGTGCTCTTTGCTGCCTTGACATTCCTGGCAAGACACCCAAAGCTTTCCCTCTCTGTTGCACCGTTCGCATACACTGCTTGCAACGGTAACGTTGGAAGCCATCTTAAACTCAAGCGAATCACGTTTCGTAGATGTTCCTGGAATGCGTATGTATGTTGCGGCTCGATGGGTCAAGCAAAGCTGGTCAACGAGTACTTGGTAAAGGGGTTCGGAATCAATGGTTTGGAAGTTGCGACAGATATAACGGACGCGGAGTCTGAAGAGTTGGCGTTGGTCTTACGGGTGAGTCGGTTGAAGCGCTTTTATGGAGTCGTCCTTGTGTGCGCGTTGATGAGGATGGGTACGAGTTAGGAGAAGAAGCATGTCAGGGAACATCGACACTTATATACTGTTGAGAACTGTGACTCCGACACCTGTTCCAGTCGCCCGATGAAAACAGTAGGCCCATAATGAAGCCATGGTAGGGCTGATGGTATCACCACCGTGACGCCCCATCGGCCTCAACTTTGAACCACCAGCTACCTGAAGCTTACCGCCCACCCCAATATCACGAGGCTGCCAAAGAAACCCGTGTTCTGGGTTTGAGAGTAGGCCCCGGAACTTCCCAAGCCCTACAGATTATGCAAGAGTCATTAAAACAAGGCTCGAGGCCTGGGTTCAAGACCTACACACCCACACAAGGCGGTTACCCAAAGAATAGCCTCGTCAAATGACTAACCCACCACCGCCCGTCTCGGCCGGAAGCATCACTACCACACGAGGCGCGGCGCTTTGAAGTGTGTGCTACGTTTCCAGTCGAGTTTCCCGTCAAACCCGACAGCCCTGTTGGGTCAGTATTTCTGGTCGCGGCTAACGGCCTCGTGGGCTGCCTCTTGTTTGAGTGGCCCTCCACGCTTATCTGGTGAAGCAAGCCCGTCGCCGGCCGATGAAACGAGTAAGGGGTGTGACTCTGAGCGTTGCCCGGGGGCAACGGGACACCTTTGAGTTCAAGCATAATTCGTTGTAAGGCGGTCGGCCAGATATTGCGCCAGGTATTTGATCAAGGTGTCAAGGCCACCAAAGTATTTTGAGGCATTTCAGGCATCAAATGTAACCAACTTTTTTTAGGCCTCGGCGGCAAAAGGAGACCTCCCGCATGTTCCATTCCAGATATTTATGTTGGGGTGGGAGGAAAGACTGGAACCAGTCTCGGGTTCGGGAAATCAACTGTTCTCTCTCAAAGCGGTCAAACCGGAATCCGGACAGCTGATGAGGTCCGAGGTGTTCTCAGCCGTTTCACAAAGTCGCGCCTACAAGGCGATAATATACCGTACTACGTACACGCTGCAAGTGCTTTGCAGCCAAACTCTCACTCACCAGGATCGGTACCCTAGAGATGGTGAGACGAAAGACCAGGCCACTGTTGACCTGATAGTTCACGGTGCTATTTATGATATTTTGTTGTTCTTGTTTCGTTTAGCCTTCCCTATCTATCACCCTGAATCCTTTTCTTGTCTTGGGTTTCCATTGGGATTGGATTTCACGATCATCACCTCGATGCCCTAACCTCTCACCCCTTGACCGGCGTCAACCGCACCCACAACGGCGGCTTGGTCATGGAATGAAACACCGGCATAGTTTTCATATTTCCATCAAGACCCCAAACCCCATTCGCCCTCCCCGCATCCCCTTTCTCTTCCAACACCATATCAAAATTCCGCAACATATGTGCCGCAATCAACCGCATCTCCATATGTGCCAAATTCTTCCCAATACACACCCTCGGCCCCGTCCCAAATGGAAGCGACGCCCCCAACCGGTCCGAGGCAAACTGCTCTTGCCCGCCCTCGTCTACTGCCAACCATCGTTCCGGCCGGAACGAGTCCGGGTCGTGAAAATTCAATTTGGACCGCGTCGACGACCATGGTGATACCGCTACCGTCGTGCCTTCGGGCAGTGAGTACCCGTCGATCACGGCCCCGCCGCGGGGTACCATCCGCTGCTGGCTCGCTGGTGAGGGTGGGAACAGGCGCAGGGCCTCTAGCAGAGTCGCTTCGAGGAAGCGCAAGTCCTTGACGGTGGACCAGACCACGTCGGATGCGGCAGAGGGACAGGCCTCGCGTACTTCGCGAACGAGGCGCTCGTATACGGCGTGGTGGGTGCATACAAAGTAGGTCCAGCCGGTTAATGCAGTCGCGGTGGTGTCAGAGCCAGCGGAGATGAAGAGGGCGATGTTGAGGATGATTTCGGTTTCGGATAAGGGGAGCGATTTGGTGGAAGAGGAGCTGTTGAGGATCTGGTAGATGAAATCACGGTGGTCTGCACGGGAAGGGTCGTCGGCGGCTCGGAGGCGCTTGATGGTCTTTTCACGGGCGTTGGTGAGGTGGATGGTGCGCCAGGCGGCTGCTTGGCGGGGAACGAGGAGGCGGGTGAGGAGGGATTCGAGATAGGTACCGACGCCGGAGATACGGCGGATCCCTTGGGTCCATGTGGCGGCTACGAAGACGTTGATCACGGAGGTCGACCATTCCGTCGCGGAGGCTTGGTCAAGACAACCGAAAGGTTCGGCAAAGCAGAGCTCCCCCATGATATCGAAGGCGATGTAGGTGTCTGCGCGTCGTTAGTTGACTGGAGTGAGGGATATTCAACGGGGTTCAGGGGCTTAGTTACACCAATCTGCCACATCCACGGTCTGGCCCTCATCCGCCATGACTTTGAGTTTGGAAATGAACTTATGCACCTGGACCTGAGCTAAGTCTTCGAGATTTGCCAGCGCACTGTTGGTAAACATGGACCCCAATGCCCTACGCTGACGGGTGTGTTCCTTGTTGAGTGCCAAGCTCACGCCAGTCTGCCCGTCTACGTTTCCCACGGCGCCAAGAAATATTGGGCTCTTCTCCATGAGGCCGGCTTTCTGCGATCAAGATGAGTAACTGATCGAGAATGGGGGGGGGGGATGTGCGTGACGTACCCTGAAACCGTAGATTTCCTCGCGTGCCTCCAAGCTGACGAAACCGACTTCGTTCGGGGACACTCGCACCACCGGCCCATAGCGTTCGTGAAGGGACCGGTAGTACACATGCTGATTTCCAGTGACCAAATTGAAGGCTGCGGGCAGCTCTGATATGCTGTTGGCCCAGGGCCCAGGAATGACGCGTAAAGGGTGGAAGTACCGTCTTTGGACGGCTTGGAAGACGAGTCTTAAAATCACCTTCGAAATATTAGTCGAGTTTGAATTTTTGAAAACGAACAGCTAGGACTCACAAGTATGGCGACAGATGTGGCCGCCGTTGAAATCGTGAGAATAGCCATCTGGGTACGCTGCAATGCTTCCCTCGATACTTACACTACGAGTCCCGTGTGACAAAACTGACGAACAGGAATAGGCAGGAACAGCTAATGTTCAGTGCATCCTCCCGACCAAAGATCCGACCTCTGGATTTGCACGAAAAATGTCAACTCTCTCCAAGCAGCCCGGCCTTCAAGGTTGACGCCGTCCCCGGCTATGGATGAAGTAATATCGGCTCATCAAGGTCCGCAGGCTTGTAACTAGCGCTGCAGCTGCCGTGGGGTGAGAAGTGGGGAAGGGACCTTGATAAACGACCTTGAAGGATAAACTTGCTCAAAAGCCACTTGTACCGGTACAAGAGCCTTCGCCAAGGAACTCGTGTGGTGTCGTGCGAAACTTGCTCACTGACAAGGGCAGTTACAGGCTCCACCATGCATGTGGACAAAACAGGATCAGCGTGCTCGTTTTGAGGCTCGAGAACATGCAGACTAAATACCACCATCCTTGGCGTCAGATATCGCAAGTCAAATACCGAACGGTTATGAATGGTGCTCTGGATGTTTTGACGGGACCTACAGCACACGGTATTGCATCAACCAACACTTGTGACTTCTTTCCCCTTACGGTCATTTCATACAAACCATGGGCGACACCAAAGAGCTTGCCGTTGGGTACACCCGCGCCAATACCACACAATCCAACGCTGCCGTCTTCCTTCTCGACCGCCTTCAAATCACCCCCGGCTCGCGCGTACTTGACGTCGGCTGCGGGCCTGGCAACATCACCGCCCACCTCGGCACCCTCGTCGGACCCCAAGGCAGCGTAGTCGGCATCGACCCCAGCCCAGAGCGCATAGCCCTCGCCAACGAATCCATCGCAGGTTCGCCTGACAGCAACCTGTCATTCTACGAAGGCGTAGCCGAAGACCTCTCCCGATTCCCCAGCGACAGCTTCGACGCCGTCTTTGTCAACTCTACTCTGCACTGGGTCCCCGACCAGCCCGGCGCCATCCGGGAATTCGCCCGTGTGCTCCGCAAGGGCGGGCGTCTCGGCATCTCGGGCGGGTCAGGCGACTTCCTCAGCGCGCAAGAGCGTATCAAGGAAACAGTGCTCACGCGCGCGCCGTACAACGAGTACTACCGCGGGGCTGACGCTGGGCCGCCCAAGTTTTTGAAGCGCGTGGAAATTGAGGAGTTATTACGGGCTGCTGGTTTTGTGGATGGTGGATGGGAGATTGTGGTGAACGGGATTGTCAAGGCGACGAAGGACGCGGATGAGATGATCGATTGGTTAGATACAAGCTCGTCGGGGCAGACGTATGGGGGGATTCCGTTGGAGTTGAGGCCAAAGGCGAGGGCAGAGATGAAGGTTGAATGGGAGAAGTTGGAGGTGCCGGGGGAAGGAATCAGGATGGAGATGGAATTGTTGGTGACTGTAGCGGTGCTCTAGGACGGAAAGGTGATTACATAAAAGTCTCATCCAAACTTGGCCCCTCAATGGGCATAGGACATCTGGGATTGCAATGACGAAAAGTATAGACACCGGCTCTGTTTGACCTGCCGCGTCTCGACTTGGGCTTCAAAGTGCCAATTACCCGTTGGTGTCTTACTTCACCAGGGATCTCATTTGATAATATGTACGGGGGGCGTACCTTCCATCAACTGCTGTTTGTACCTACCTACCTAGTACCGGAATTATCTCGAACAACACGACCGATATCCACTTTCGGGGTCGCAACTTCCGCATCTAGATCACAGCGCTTGGTGGCGAGCTTTTTGCACCTGTTTGCCTCTTTTGGGATAACATGAAGTGTTGAACAACATTAAAGTCAATAACGGCTCATCCATCCAAACCCGCTGGAACGGTCTTATTCACGTATTTGCCATTCAGGGTCAGATGAGCGATTTTGCGCATGTTCTTATGCACTGAAACGCAGCCCGCGGGGCAGGATCCAGGACCCCAGAAGCCGGAACCATGTCGATTGCGATGGCATGCTGCAGGTGCCGGGGTGGTCTTGGCGTGGTGTGCGTGGGGTTCCGAATGCTGGCAATGTGTGTGTGAACCGAGAACCTTGGGGGTCCGAGACTCGTTTGACCAAAGAAGGGAGTATTCAGTGTTGTTGAGAGTTTGGTGAGAACGATTCACAGGTGTCGCTGTTGACAGCTGTGTACTACGAGGCTTCTTCATCTCTCGTAGCTAACCTCTCGGGGCAGTGCGCGATACCTACCCAATTACGGAAATACACAAATTTCCTAATCCGGCAATGGCTCTTACATCAAGTTCATCAAGCGAACTACCCTCCGACAAATCCACATGCATCGCCATTACCATGCCCGGCTCACCAGTTGAGATCATAGTTAGCTGGGAAGAGCCCGAAAATGAGGATCCGGCTAACCCATTGAACTGGTCGGCGTTGGTGAAATGGGCCAACATCCTCACCTTGTCTGTAATCAGCTTCCTCGTGTAAGTGGACTTTTGAATAACTTCACCTTTATTCAGAACCATTCGTTCTCTAATAGGTATTTGAGAATAGTCCCCTGGTATCCTCCATGATAGCACCCGCCGTCCCACGGATTATGCAAGACTTCCAGACCACGTCCCCCCTCTTTGCAACGTTCTCAGTCTCCATCTTCGTGCTCGGCTTCGCCTCCGGGCCACTCCTACTTGCCCCCCTCAGCGAGCTCTACGGCCGGGTTATCATCTATAACACTACGAATGTCCTCTTCCTGCTCTTTACGTTACTCTGCTCCGTGGCCCCCAATGAACAGACGTTTCTGGCGTTCCGGTTCCTGTCTGGGTTTGTGGGCGTGGCTACGATCACGATCGGGTCTGGGACAATTGCGGACGTGATGCCGAAGGAGGAGAGGGGCCGGGCGGTGTCGGTGTGGTCGGTTGGGACAATTCTGGGACCGATGGTTGGGCCGATTATTGGTGGATATGTGTCAGAGGTCGCAGGGTGGAAGTGGGTGTTTTGGGGAGTTGCTGTCGTGGTGAGTTTCCTAAGGTCAAACGAAAAAAAGAAGAAGAAAAAAATTAACAACACCAGATTGCCCTCGCCACTATCGCAGCTTTCTTCATCCTCCGCGAAACTTACCCACCCGTTTTACTCGCCCGCAAAGCCGCCAAGCTCAACAAACTCAACCGCAACAAACACACAGACTCCAATTCCACACCCCCCATCTACGTCTCCAAACTTGCACTCGCCTCCAAAACCACCAACCCCAAAGACCTCTTTACGCAAGCTATCCTCCGTCCCAGCGTCCTCCTTCTCACCCGCCCAGCCGTCACTATCCTCTGCACTTACGTCGCCGTGCTCTACGGCACCCTCTACCTCCTCTTTGCCACCTACGCCTTCGTCTTCCCAGCCATCTACGACTTCTCCCCTTCCGCAGCCGGGCTCGTGTTTCTCCCTGGGGGCACTGGCACGCTGCTAGGTCTGGCCTACACGGCGCGGTTCAGCGATCGGAACATCAAAAAGGTGAATAAAGGCCAGTCAGAGCAAGGGGGGCCAGCGCGGATGATCACGCCAGAGGACCGTCTGCCCCTGGTTATCACCGTACCAGGCGCGCTGGCCTTCCCCCTGGGCCTGTTCGTGTACGGCTGGACAGCGGAATACGCAGTGCACTGGGCGGTACCACTACTCGGGACAGCCATCACCGGGTTCGGGTCGATTCTGGTGTTTGTGGGCGTGCAGACATATTTGATCGATGCGTTTGAAGGGCATGCGGCGAGCGCTGTGGGTGCGAATGCGGTGTTGAGGGGCTTGGCCGGTGCATTATTGCCGTTGGGTGGGTTGGGATTGTATGAGCGGCTGGGATGGGGGTGGGGGAATGGGTTGTTGGGGTTTCTGGCTTTGGGGCTGGCACCGGTGCCGGTTTTGTTTGGGAGGTACGGTGCGTGGATTAGAGGGTGGAGGGTTTGGGGATGGGAGGGCAAGGATGGGTGAGGGTTTGCTGGATTTGTTGTAGGAACATAAGAGTGTTTTGTCACCCCTGAATCCGATTTCGCGCCGGGGAAATGTTGAGAAATAGATGTGCAAATTCCGATGTAGCGACTGAATTAGATTAAACACAACACTGCTACGCTGCCGCAATATTACAGTCGACTGCTGCTAGCTACCATGGCCACCGGAACAATTACCCTCTCTCTCTCCCTCTCCCTTTCCTTCGGCATGTCCCTCTCCTTCTCTCCCCCAACACCAAACCTCTCAACCAACTCCTCCCTATCCATCCCCTCCAACCCCAACCTCGCCAACCCCCGGCCCGTCCCAAAATAATCCACCCCCATCACCATCTCCGCCATCGTGATCACCGCCCTCACCGGCCCGGCATCCACCCCCAGCCTCTCAGCCAGCCCACACCACGTCACCAACAAATCCGGCACATCCTCCGACAGATTCCGATTCTCCATCCCCCCCGGCGCCCGCAACCGATTATGCGGCGCCGACCCCGTCGCCAAATCCACAAACCCCCTGAACCCTTGCCCATAACACTCATTCGACACTTCCACAGCCGTCTGCATGCCGCGATACCCGAGCGCCTCACCGATCTGCATGCGCACGCTGTCTAGGGCACACATGGCCCGTTCCACGGCGGGGGTCAGGCCGTCGGAGTAGAGGTAAAAATCACCGCCTGTGTTTTCGATTCGCCCGGCGTTGAGGAGCATCATGAGCGGGTGGAAGATGCCGTTGACGTTGGCGAGGCAGACTTCGAGGATGCTGCTGCACCAGCGGAGTTGGCTGGTGGGGAAGAGATTGGAGATGGTGGTGTACATTTCTGGGGTCATGAGGCGGCGTGTTGCTGTTGTGGTTGTTGGCCTTCGGCGGTTGTTGTGTGATGAGGATGACGAGGCTAAGGAAGGGAAAAAGGGGGCGATGAAGACGCGTTCCTTTTGGCCCATCACCGTCAGTCCGCCGTCGCCTTCGTCGTCCATGCGGCAGGAATAAGGTGAAAGATTGGTCTCAAAGATACAGCCGACTTCGATACCCTCGGCAGAAGCAATCAGTGAAAAGAGGTTGCCGGGGATAGCAACAATGATGTGTTGGCGGAGGTCGAACGGCCGCAGTTCGGCGAGAACTGTTTCTTGGCCCGTTGAAGGTACCGTGATAATGAGGATACGGGAGAAAGCCACGGCCTCAGCCATGGAGGAGGTCACGCCGATGGGGAAGGTCCCCTCCAATCGCCCGGAAACCTGAAGGCGGCCGCCGTTACGCCGGACTTGGTTGGCATGACGTTGATGTGTCGGATGGCCGTATACCAACACATCGTTGCCGTGATTTTGGAGGCCAGCTGCGAGGGCGAAGCCTGCTGGGCCGGCACCGAGGATAGAGACAGTTTGCATTATTGGGAATTTTGAGGGCACGAGAGTCAAGAGGGCGAGTGAGGTCTGGATGGTTACGGTGACACCAAACACAGAAATGAAGGAAGTAGAAGAGGGAAGTTGATCGGCCACAGCAAGTCACCTGTCCGTCCAGCCATGCGACCATCTGCAACCACCACCGGCCATCCGAAGACCCGAATACATATATACACCACACCATCCCCCCTCCTTCCCATCCGCATCGCAGAATCGTATCTCGCAGCCGAGCCCGCCTTCTCGTCCCGACGATCCCCTCGTGCAAGGGGCCATCAGCACCCAGCTGCAGTGACGGCACGGTCCTGCAACGCGCCCATCGCTGTTTCGAGTAGCCGTCGGGGTTCCTGAGCTCCACGCAGAACTCACCAGACCGCGCCCCTTGTCAAAGTACGGAAGTACCGATACCTCGCTCTTGGCTTGCAGGTGAGCAAGTTTGCTCGGGTTACGGTTACGTTACCGTTAGCGGTGAGTAAGAACCGTACAGGGTCCGCCGTGTTGGACCCTTTCTCGGCACGCCATCCGCTTTGCCCTTTTTAGTCGAGGAGTTGCAGAAGCGTGCCAGCTGGCAAGAAACCTAAGCGTTCTTGTTCTTCATGGCTCCCGGCCTCCCGTCCGTCCTCCCGTTTTTCAGGGACATGGGACTGAGGAGATGGATGTTGTGAGGTGGACCATGGACAAAGTTTCGGGGGAAAGAGTGGGATGTGGTGGATATTTGTGCAAGGATGTGATTTATCGTGTCAGAGCAGCAAACCACAACTCGCGCCATGGAATAGCCAAGACGGGAAGAGATATACCAAGCTCTGTGAACCTTGATAGTACACCTCCACGATCAAGAGAAGATATGAGCTCCACGACAACCTTGAGGGATCGATGACAAAATTGAATTCGCAACAACAATAACAGCAGGAACCTTGAGGGCATTTTCAAGAACCTTGAGGGTATTTCGCAGAACATGTGAAAATCAACATGCCAAGACAAGCAGCAAAAAAACAACTACCAAGCAAACGTTTCCTCCACCAAATCCACTCGGAACCCACCCTTCACACACACGACCACCTGCTTCGTGACCTCATCCGCCATCGCTCCCGGCGCACACACCAACACGGCAGTCTGTTGGCCCGCTTCCACCGCATCGCGCAGCACAGCCCCGACATCCATCTTCCCAGACTTCACCGCAGCACCAGCCCCTGGCACCGGCACGATCGTGTCAGACCCAATTTCCTTGTCCAGCACACCAGCACTCCCGCTATCACTCTGGTTCCCGGAGCTCTCCACATCCACAGGGGCCGACGAAGGCGACGATGATGATGAGGTAAACTCCGAGCACCAAAACTGACATTCCACGCCCTCCAGGTCAAAGGTCTGTCGGACATGCTCGATCAAAGCCCTTTCCCGCGCCGTCCACGCCAACACCACCCTCTTTCTCCTCCTCTCACCCTCCACTACTACCCCTTCCTCGGTCTTTTCCGTGCCACTCCCGGCCGTGTACGCGCGCAGGCTCTGTAGCACACCCAACACATGAGTAATGCCGACACCGCCCGCCACACACACCACCGTGTCCGCGGTCCGGAGCGGGTACAGCGTCGCGCGGTGTCCGGCGTAGGGCCCCTCCGTCATCACAGAGAGCGTCAGTGGCGCAGCCGGCGTGGAGGAGGAATCAAGTGCGAGCGCATGGCGCCGCAGTTTGGCTGTAACACCCTTGTGCGCGCGAATCAAAAACTTGACGTTCGGCTTTTCCTCGCCGGTTTGTCCCTTTTTCGACCACGCAGCCACGCTGAAGGGATGGCTCTCCCAAAACTTCAGCAGCCCACTGACATACAGGAAACTATGCTGCCCTGGACCAAACCCACGCGTCGACCGTGGGAAGAGCGTCACTTGGAGGATTTCTCCGTCGCAGCCTGGGACAGCCTCCACGACGGCTTTCGACCCCGTCAGACCGTTGTAGTACAGCAGGCGGGCCACCCTGGCCACGCGGTCGGCGGCCCAAAAGGCGAAGCACAGGTACAGCCAGACTTGGTAGCCGTAGTCAAAGCCGAAGTGGGGGATCAGGTGGTACCAGCACCCAACGAGGGCGATGACCACAAAGGCGATGTGGAAGAACAGGAAGAGCTCGTAGAGACGGGCGCGGAAGGGAAGGAAGGCGAATGCGGCCGCAAGGCAGAGGGCGATGGTGCCAATTATGCCCCAGTACTAGTGACAGTTAGTATCGCGTTTTTCATTACAGCGACGAGGGAAAGGGGGAGCAGGGGAACCTACGAAGAAAGGCTGGGCCGCCATCGCGGCATACGCCGACGCGCCCTCATATCCGGGCTCGAAGTATGCCACGGTATACGCAATCGAATGCACAACCGCCTGCACGGCCGCAACCCTCGCAATCCATCGGTGCAGCACCATAAACGTCGTCTGGCTCCACCCTGTGAACGCCATCAACACATTGTTCCGGCCCGCAAAGAGAATGGCAATGCTCATGTTCACCAAGCTGAGCGTGCCCGTGCGGTTGCCGACGTATTCGGCCGTCTCGAACTCTGGAGACATGAACCAGAGGTTGGGCGAGAAGTTGCCATAGTCAACGGCAGAGAAGATGGTGTTGAGGATGATGAAGAGTGCGATGAACAGGCTGAGTGCGCGGCCTGGAACGTAACCGAGTTGGCCGGGTAAGGGTTGCAGGCGTTTGCTACCGAAGAGGGCGGGGAGGAAGACAGAGGATTGAAGTTTGGCGTAGAGAGACGAGTTGCTGAGGCTTTTATGCAGGCCGGGAAGCACGCTGAATGCTTGCGCGAAGAGCCCGCAGACTGTGATGAGGCCGATCGTGACGAGGTAGACGATGAGACTGTGAAGTCTAAGTGTCAGTTCCCTACACCGTCCAAAACCCAACAACAGACAACATAATAACCACCACCCTAGAACCGCAAGTGTTGACGTACGAATATTTCGTGTGTAGCCTCTCCTGCCTGGCAAACTCCCCATACGTGCCATGAGTGGAATAGTACAACTCGTGGTTTACCAAGCTCGTCTTATTCAGCCACATCGCATCACTAGCCAGCTCCTCCGTCGGCGGCCGGGCCGGAAGACTCTCCTTAAACGTCGGCGTCGACGCGCCGCCCACGGCCTGCTTGCTGAAACACGCCGCCTGCTTCTCGGCTGGGTACCCGTCGGCGTCGCAGTTCTGCTGGATGCAGTACGCCATCGTCTCGAGCCAGGCCGTGTTGTTGGCGTAGCACTCCGGGCTGGTCATCCCCATCGGGCCCATGTCCATCCCATCCATCCCGCCCATACCCATACCGTCGCCCCCGCCCATGTCGCCATCGTGGAAGGTGGTACAGCTCAGGTACAGGGAAGAGAGGGAGTCGTGGCAGGCTTGGCAGCACAGGTCGCCGTACAAGTCGATGCCGTACCCGACGACGCCATTTTGTGCGGCCGCGAAGTTGTGAACTAGCCCTGAAAGTGCGAAGAGAAGAAGAAGACGGAAAGTGGACGCCATGGCGGGCTAGCCGCAGGAAGCTGTTTTCTGCAGTCCGCGGGTTGTTGCCGAGCTTGTCGATGGCGAAGATGGGTTTTGTCGAATTCGATCAACAGATCAACCTAAGACAACAAAAGGGGAGAACCACGCGGCAGCCCTGCAGATATACCTTCCCGATGGATTCCGGAGATTTTGTCAGTTATTCTGAGCAAACCGTCCACCGGGAGCCCGGCATCAGCACCAACAGTGGCGAGACAAGACATCGGTGCGCGCTGCGGTACTGCAAGCTCCGCATTCTGTTTCGAGCACTCATTCAACGCAGTCAGCCATCCGTCACCTCGACGGAGGTCGGGAGCCTTCCTGCGGACAGACATCTTTGGCAACCCAAGTGCGAGCCCCCCTCAGGCCCCTCCCCCTTCTTGTCCCGTTCACCAGTCGGCGCGCTCCCGAAGCCGCATTGAGTATGTTTCCGATGGGGATGCGCGCGGCGTGCCTGAATAAGACGGCCCGTCATTGGTCGAGAGGTGCAGGCATGGAAGCGGGTTTGAGCAAGTTTCCCGGATCTTTTTATTGACGCTCCCGGCGGATGGCACAGTGAGCACGTTTTGGGTGGGCCGGGCTCCCGGGCCAAGCTTTCTGCGGTTGACGGCATGAGCGTTGCGGGAAATGCGGGTTTTCGTTGCATTGGAGACCGTTGGATTTTCTTCGAGACATCTGGAGCAGATGAGGGGTGCGTGGAGGTGGTTCTGAATGAGCACTTTGTTTTACGGCGGAGTGTGCCTCAACTTTAAGACGACTGCCTTGTTTCAACCCAATTATTTCCAGCGTGGCGTTGTCAAGAAGATGCAAACAAGACGGATGCGACAAGTGCAGAACTAGGGGATCGAGGCTTTCATTTGCTGCGTCACAGCTTTACGATCAGTACGGAAGAGTTACACGTCCATGGGTTTCAGCCCGGCGCCCACTAGATCCACGGGCCCGTGGCAGTTACGTAAGCACAACGATTATGTAAGCACCAAAATTCCAAGTGTCCGCGCCCGCCCGCGCCCCTGAACTGCGTGCCCCTGAATGCCACCACCAACGACATCGCCATCGCCATCGCCATCGCTATGGCTACCTTCCCAGACGACTGCCTCCCTCCCGAGGCTATACATGACTCCCGAGATGCCTTATTCAGGGCGATCAACGCGTGGGCTAAGCCAAGAGGTTACGCCTTCACAACCCAGAGATCGACGCGAGAGAAGAACGGTCATATTACAGCTATCTACGCATGCGATCGGAGCTACCATCCACCTAAGGCATTAAGCAACCGCCAGAGAAGAACGACCAGTCGAGTAACAAGCTGCCCCTTCTCGGTACTAGCCAAGGGGTCGCCCGACGGTAGTTGGGCTCCGAGCAAGTGTACCAAGTGCTACGCAGTTGGCCATACAAGGACCTCCAGGGCATGCCCTTTGCGGTATTCAGATGTACTGTAGTTGGCCAGAGTAGTGGTATTGGTGATGGCATTCAGGGGTTCAGGGGCACGCAGTTCAGGGGCGCGGGCGGGCGCGGGCACTTGGAATTTTGGTGCTTACATAATTGTTGTGCTTACGTAACTGACACGGACCCGTGGATCTAGTGGGCGCCGTTTCAGCCCCTGCAGATTACATAATTCAAACGAATAGTGGGGCTCCCACTAGGCGCACGGGTCCGTGCGCTTACGTAAACCTGAAATAGCTTATATAATCTACAAAATGCATCAAACGCGGCATCGACCTTGTGCCCCTGAACCCCTGAATGCCACCACCACAGCCAACATATCGCCCACACCAGAGTCATGGCTACCTTCCCAGACAACTGCCTCCCTCCCGAAGGCTTTTTCGAGTCTCGACAGGCTTTATTCGAATCAATCAACGCGTACGCAAAGCCTCGAGGCTACGCTTTTACAACCCATAGGTCAACCAAGGAGAAGACCGGCCTTTCAACTGTCATATATGCTTGCGATCGAAGTCGTCGACCACCTTCGTCCCCAGAGCGAGACCGCCGGAGAAAAACGACTACCCGTATGACGAATTGCCCCTTTTCAGTCCTTGCCAAAGAGTCTAGCGAAGGCTGGACTCTAAAGCATCGTCTAGATCGTCGCTTCGCAACCCATAACCACGAGCCGAGTTTACACCCATCTGCACACCCTGTCCACCGACAGCTCTCTGGCGGTATATCACAGCTACCGGTACTCTCAGACGCTGGCCTTGCGCCAAAGGAGATCCAAACAGTCGTACGGCAAAGCGGTTCTTTAGCAACACGTCAAGATATCTACAACTATATTGCCGAAGTCCGCCGGGACTCTCGTCAAGGCCAAAGTCCAATCTATGCACTTGTAAATCAGCTCGAGGAAGAAGGTTTCTGGAGCCGTGTACAATATGGGCCGGATAGGCATGTAACGGCAGTTCTCTTTGCGCATCCTGACTCTCTTGTCTACCTTCGAGCGTACCCTGAAGTCCTCCTTCTCGACTGTACGTATAAGACAAATAAATATGGTATGCCGCTCCTTGATATGATCGGTGTTGATGCGACTGGGCGCTCCTTCTGTATTGCCTTTGCGTTTTTGAGCGGGGAGACTGAAGAAGACTATATATGGGCCCTCGAGCGGTTGAAGACCCTATATGAGCAGTGTGGCGGAGTCTTCCCATCAGTCATTTTAACAGACCGGTGCCAGGCAGTCATCAATGTAGCTTCAACTCTCTTTTCATCGGCAACATCTCTCTGTACCTGGCATGCAAATAAGGCGGTCCTTATACGGTGCCAACCAGCATTTCCAGAAGCTGAGGAGTGGAAGGAGTTCTATACTTTTTGG